CCCCCCCCGCCATTGATTTTCCTCGTCTTTTTTGTAACACTCCCACCTTATACCGATTAACTGCAGTATGGTGGTTATGTCCACCCATAAGAAAATGGCATCCTCGCCTCATGCATCACACGCATCGGTAGGTTCAGAGGTAGTGCTAGTGCTCGACGACGTGCTACCACTCTCGGTCCCAGAAGACGAAGGAATCGTGCACGACACACTCCCGAAGCTATGGCCCAAAGAGCCTGTATCAGATATTCCCGGGGCACTGAAAGTCCCCGCTACACCACCAGAGCAGTCGGAACTCCTGTGAATCCAAGAGAAAGAAAACAAAGAAATGTATTAGCTTTCGGCATTCTATACTGACTTGGTCTAAAAGAGCAAGGAACTCACGCATATACGTTGCAGTTGGCGTTTTCGTCAACTGTGGCAGATCCAACGACCCCTGATCTGTCAATTGTAGTTATGACTTGGTTAATTATGGCTGAATAATCCTCTGTAAACGACCGAATCGTTAGGTGTCTACCTACGATGGAGGTGCAATTGACTGGCAAGCACCAGGTGAAAAAGTGTAGTACTCGGTATAGTCGTTGAAATTGGCGCTGCCCCAAATGAAGACCTTCAGATACATCGATTAGCATGCGAGATGTAGCATCAATGTCATAACAAGGTAGAGTTGGCACGATTAGTAAATAGAGATAGAAATGACTGAGAGAGAAGGGAGGCTGTACATCAACGGTGTCTCTTTTCTGAAACGAGGCAGCAGAAGCCGGTGACAACAAAGCAAGAGTTGTCAATACGAAAGCCTTGAAGAACATGATGAAGGAATTTTGAAAGTCCTGATGACTGATGCTATTGGGGAAATGCAAGGATCAGTTATCGTATGGTGTGCAGTTGTCCAGAAGTAGCCTCACTTCTCTCTTAGTAGGCAACTGTACTTATAGAGAAATATTATAAATAGTCCACGTCAACACACTGAAGAATCTCGCAGCTTTTCAAGATGAGGGTATGACCAGAGTCACGTGGACCTGGGCAATGGACAAACGTTGGCGTCCGGTCTGGGCCATAAAAACTCCTTGGGAGTTGCCATTGTCTTGCGCTGCCTTGGTTTTGCGTCTCTTTGGTTACATTTCGTGTAACATTGCACTCCGATATCGCTTCGGTGGCCAATATTGAAATCATCCAAGGACCTGTATCACTGACGAGTCTCGCTCTTGTCACACCCGACTGAGTGAACTCTGAGAAATGTTGCTCATGTTGTCCACCAAGGTTTCTGTCTATGGAATGTCATCGATGATCTGGAACTTAGAATATGGACTGAATTATAAGACCAGAAGCTACCACTAGTCAAACCAGAAACCAGTCCAAGGACCGACCTGCAAACATTTCGATCGTTCAACAAATCGTTGATTGAGAGGAAAAAACATCCCCCTCCGCCTCTAAACAGAATGACTTAAGCTCAGTGTGGCAGAGTTGTCACGCTCCAATATCCAATGTTACTTAATCCAACCACCTCCCATTGCTGTGCCAGACAGCTTCGCCCAAAAGCCCCTCTGGCCAGTATTGTTCTGGTTCATCTCAGCAAATAAGACGGGATTGATTCCCTTTTTTCTCATTTTTTCCTGCTTTTCCACGGGTATTTTATGAACGGGGTGATCTGGACCAGGAACGGCGTTCTTGTCTCGGGGCTCTTTTGGGGTAATGCCCCATTTCAGGCCAGCTCGTGCTGCGGCGAGAGCGTTGGCAGATGCTACAACAACTGCTGTTAGATGCCTGTCGACCTTTGCTACTGTGGGGTGCGTTTATTTTACCTTGGTCATCAACACGGTCAACGTGGACAGTGGCCGATTTATCATGGTCTTTGTCCTGTTTGTGAGACATACTTCACCATTTCTCGACTCAACTCAAGTATTGTATCCAAGATGGCCCCGGGGCACTCCGCTATGGTGAATCGGGAGGCTTTTATATGCAATCTCAACAAGAACGCGTATCCCGGGTCGAAGCACTGCCACAGCCTAGACTGTCTATCAATTACTGCTTCGTGCTGGCGTTGGTGCTCGATCAGGTGGATGACGTCATATCATTGGGGTTCGTGGTTCCTCAGGCAGCCTTGGGCGCGCTTGACCCCAGAAAAGAATTTCCCCGGATTGTCCCTACCGATGTCATGCTCATGGCAGTGGATAATCCACTGGCATAACTCTAACATCCTCCCGAAGAGGAAGCCGGAAGGAAACAAGGTCTGATTTCAGAGGGATTACAGTTTATGGAAGCTGCTCATGCCTGCCAAAGAACTGTCGTGGATTCGTGGCTTCCTAGCTGACAACAGATGACATTTTCTTGATCAAAAAGAAAAAAAATAAAATAAAATAAAATAAAATCAACGCACGCTGGCACAAACCAAAACATGTATGCAGTACTCCATACTCCCACAGCTGCTCATTCATATACAAGAAATCAATTTTCAAGATCACAATATATTCTTCAGCCAGCTTAATGACAACTCGTTCACATCGCCTATACGCCGCTCCGGCGAATCGGCGTGATATATAGCATTTCGACAAAGCCTCGGAGCAACTTGCGGTGTGACTTGTTTGACAAAGGTATCTGTGCCTCCCAAAATGGCAATTGTCCGTTTCGTGCTCAACATGTAGTCGAACTGTGAGCTGTTTGATTCATTCATGGGCCACATCGAATGCAGGTATTCCTGTACTGCGTCGCAGGAAACACCGTTGCCGACCATGTCATCGGTAATATCCGCTCGCGAATAAAGCCATACGCATACGATGGCTATGTGAGAGTCATGAAACGAAGTCGTCTCAGAGATTATGGCTAGGTGCCCTGTTCCGTCTGCCTGAGTGATTTTGACAATATCCCCGACATGAGATGGAAGAAGTGCAACCGGCTCTACTTTGACTGTTGGACTGGTCCTTGGTTTGAAGGTATATGTCATTCCTTTCAAAGAGAACTTGTCCTCGGGTTGGCGTATTCGAAATTTGTGACTCTTTCTCGCCTCGCTCTGGGTCCGATGGACGATTTCCAATGATCCAGCTGCCGTGGAATATTTTTGCGTCTTGCGAGTCACTTTTTTCATTGATAGAGGGTGTTTTATCCTCCTATCATCTTGGTGGCGGTGTTTTGACGATGGCTTTTTCGTTGATCGCCGCAGACATACTCCACGAAAGTCGCGTGGATTGGCCATAACAGAAACTTGGAGAACAGTCTGACGGTTTTTGTGTTTTTTCAGTTACTGGAGATTAAGTTTCTGCGAAAACCGTGTCATTTCTACCAATGCTGTTTCTCTTCTGTTATCATCCTGCTGAGACGGAGCGAAGTCGAGGTAAGAAGATATCTAATATATAATATGATATCAGGTATATACACGAGATAAACAGAGAGGAAGATGGAGGGCTTCGACCACATGTACCAACTAACTCTCCCAACATACGTGGACTTCGTACGTCGTATAGGCAGATAAGTCAGTCATCAGCACTAAGTAACAAAAATTTGCCGGTTAAAACTTCCTTCGTGGCTGGTATGCCGCATGAGCGCTTAGTTCGAATGATCAGTAAGCATCGAACAGCCATAGCTAGTTAACTTAACATCAGAGCTAATATGCACCGCAAGTTACTGCTTCGTACCTTATTTCGGTCTTCCAAATTATACCCACCGGTGACCAAAATGTGAGCGCGTACTCACGCAAGCGTTTATACGAAATGCAGGCCGGCTACTCCGTGCCGTACGGGTACGAGCAAAGCAGAGTTGATCGATGGTTATTGGAGCCTTTTAGCAACACCATTCGACAAATGATGGTCTTGATTAATTTTCTTTTTGATGTTTCTCTCTGACGCGCGTTGGCTGTTCGTACACTAAGTCTAATCTGGTAAGCGTGACGGACACTAGTCCGCATTAGGTCACTACTCAATAGTGGGCCCCAGAGCCTTATTATCTAGGCACCGAATATTTCTATAGATCATTCCACCTGCGGAATGACTACATCTTCTGTTGTTTATTATCATTCGCGTCGGGTTCTTACTATGTCGTTCTGACAGTATAATCAATAAGTCAAGTCAAACAAGGAATCTGTGTACAGCTGTCACGCTCGTTGACACGCTCAAGAAAATATGCAGGTCTCTACTTTTGTAGCCACTCCCCAGCGCCCACCCGCTCACAGAGGCTCCGTGCGATATGACCAATCCACGCAAAGTCCTCAATCTCAAGATAGATTTGTCCGCTCAGTCGTAGCCAAAGCCAGCCTCCGTGTGCATAAAACTTTGCGAAAGTATCGAATTCCATAATGAGTGTGTCTTGCATCCAGTCCACAACGCGGGTTGCATCCTTTATACTCAGCAGTGGAAAAGGGGAGGACGAAGAGTCTGGCACATGTGGATTGACCTCCTCGTCGTCTGAAAATGCTAGCGGCATGCGAACATTTACCATAGCACATCGACGAATCTCACTCTCGGCAATCGGGTTTACAAGACCCGGTTCTTGCATAATCTCGGTTCTGAGTATCTGCGCAACCACATCACCACCCTCCTGGGCAACAGTGTGTAGATATTTATATATGGCTTCTTCGCCGCCACAGATTCGTTCTCGGAAGTCCAGGGCTGCAGGAACGCACATGTACGGAGTATCGTCGGCCGTGGCAACAAATTCAAATAAGATCTCAAAGTCAGTCTTCCCAGGGTGAATTCCACGCCCTCGTTGGGATGGTGAAGTGTAGCCGTGAGACGTAGGAAATGATGTCCGGAGCAGATGCTGGTTCCGTTTGGGTACATAGAATAAACCACAGCCTCGTGGTGTATACAGCCATCTTCGAATTAGAATAGTTAGTTGATCTAGTTCTCTGAAAAGAAAAAAAAAAAGACGAAGTTAAGGGGAAAAAATAGGCATAGAGAAGAACGTACTTGTGACAATTACTGACAAAAAAGTCGGGACTAAGTTCACCCAAGTTCAAGGGAATCTGACCAACTCCGTGTGCCCCATCAATAATACTCAGAATAGATTCATCTTTGCATGCCTTGACGAGTTTCTCGAAGGGAAACCTCACGCCCGGAAGAGACACTATCGTATCAAATATGGATGCCCGTACATTCAGTCCTTCACTTTTGGCCTGTCTCACCACGGCCAAAAATCTTTCTACAATCTCATCGTGCGTAATCGGGAATGTGTAATTAACCTTTCTTGTTTGTACCGGCGTAGTTTCCAATATTGATTCCAATGTTTGCTCTACGGCATTATAGATTGTCGCAAAGTATACAATAACGTCGCCGGATCTGAACTCCAGATTGCGAAGCACAGTATTTATTCCGGTCGAGGCATTTTTGACGAAAACACATTCGTCCACCGGGGCCTTGACGAATTTCGCAATCGCTCTCCGGGACTCGGTGACGTGTTCTGCATGTGAAACAACAAAGAAAACATCCGGGCGAGATTCTTGTTCGTCTTGTAAAAGGCGCTGCGCATCACGTACTTCAACGGGAAACGCTCCAAAGGAACCTTCCAAGAAGAGGCGTTAGTTTAGGATATCTTTGCGAGGCTCAAGGAAAAAGTACCGTGGTTTAGTGGGCGATACTTGGGGTCCATCAAGAAGTGCTTTTGCAACATGTCGCGCCCGAAAGGCGTCGGCGCGTCCGGGTTTGCGATATATTCCCCCATCTGCACTGGCATAGACTAAACCTGTAGATTTAAGTAGTGCAGCAGCGGCCAGTGAAATCGAGCAGAAGTTGACGAGATAAACACAGATGGTGTTGATAAAAGCATGGGTTGATAAGGCGTTAATCGCCTTATTTATGTACCCCACGTTTTTATTTGCCGCGGATTTACCGGCTGGATTTTGGACGTTAGAAGAGATAACTTGTAATCTACCATTATATCTGACATAAGATAGTTTGAACAAGATGCATCTTTTACTCTGTTTCTAGGAGGAAATGGCTCTGCACTGCTCAAGGCAGGCAGTAGCTACATATCAGGAGAAATTTCTCAACAAAATAGACGCCTTTGCCAGTGCGCTCGACCCTGTGAGATGAAAAGTCTCTCGTTAGATCGATATTCTATCTTCGGCTCAGAAAAATGATATTCACATTGAAGTTGAACTAAGTCAGAATAAAGTACATATAGTAGACTAACACACAGAAAAGAAATATATATACCGTCGGTCTAGACCAATTCTGAGGACGGCATTGTTTGGCCATTATTGACCGATTTATTAGTCAACCCCGAAACATTCGACGCCGTCCCCTGAGCAAAGCTACCATCAGCTACAGGCCACTTCTCCGGCAATAGCCAAAAGCTCTCATGGTTTGGTTGACCGGACAGCATGCCGGACAAATCAAACGGATCCACGAATGTCTGCCATTTCGACCGCCTGTCAACCCAGCCAGGACCGAGACGTTCCGTCTTGCAGTCCAAGTCAAGGTAGCGCTTATTTTGTCTAGGAAGGCATATACCTGGATGCATGATATTGAGCCAGTAGGTGAATAAAACCATTGGTGCAGCTTCAAAACTGTAGAGGTACCATTCATGCGTCAGGATGGGACTGCAATTGCCTTCTGCGCAGCTCAAAATTGAGGAATAAATTGTGAAGGATTCAACAGCACGACAGATACATCGGAGTATGACGAGAAATGACGTGCCATATAGAGTGATGCAAAGTCTCTGCACATTTGGTGGCGTCGAATGGGCAACACGTTTAGTACGGAAATGGACCATACATATCACACTAACGACTAAACCCTCGACGACAGCTTGCAGAACTAGTGCAGCCGAAATAAGTGTTCCACCGTTCTGGTACGCAGCTAGGTCGGTAGTGTTCGAGGCCATTGTGGAGGCGCCTGCAGCTGTCAAAGCTTCAACTGCGGCACCCATGTAGACGAAGGCAATAGTTACGCGGCCGGGATGGAGCGGAGCATGCATCGGCAGGTAGTACAGAAGTCGGCCCAGAATATTGTACGCGCTTGCTGAGTAAATTGGCGGTCCTGCATAGATAAAGACAGTCTGGACGATATAGAGATCGACATTGGATGTGTTGTAGCTTGAAATGCATCGGGTGATCCAACCAATTGTGAACACAGCACCACCCCATGACATCCAGAATGTTACCGACCAAAACTTGTAGCGACTACAAGGAAGTTAGTAAATAAACGCGCGAGGTATTAGGCCTTCGGCTAACTAGCGGAGGTGCTGACTACTTAGCAGAGAAACAAACACTCACAAATTCTGGTAGATATGCCATAGGAAGGAAATCCCGATCAAGGCAGAGAACACCGCTGGAAGAACATGGCTTGGATGGTATGGATATAGTCCATCCGATGCAGAGGTCGAGCTCATATTGGGTTTCTAGCTAATATGGCTGATAGGTGATGTTTTCCAAGCTTGGTTTCCCAGCGATTTGGAAGGCCATGAAATTGGTCTCCAACCCGGGGGGGGGATGCCAAATATATAATTTCTTCCTATCCTCTTCCATTGTTTGAAAGCGAAGAAGAGAGTTCAATCTTGACTTGGCTCGTGAGTAGAGCTGAAATAGAATTTATATACAGCGCTCCAACGCGCCATTTAGGGTTAGCCTGAGTGCTGTATTTGCAGGCACCTCATTGGCCGCGATGTTGAAGCTATGGTATGATTGGACAGATGGCGCATAGCTTTGCGTCATAGCCAGTGTGCTTAGGCAACGGCCGCCATGGTGTGGCTGCTTTCCATTGGTCAAGTTCAATATTTGGTCTGCTTGGCGATAATTCATTTCGATGTTGTGGGGCTGGAGCCAATCAATGGCAATCAAACGAGCTTACAGAATCACCTAGTCTATATCTATATCAAGGCTAGTTTCATGTTGAACAATAAACAATACATATTGTGATGAGGTTGGATCTTTAAAGCATGAATCCTCTAGTTTTAACGATCTGAGGATGAGAGCTTGCTGCTGATCAATTATAGGCTCGTTACTCATAACTACAAATTACTGGGTAGTATTATCTTTTCGTCCTATTTATGTTCCGTGCATCCTCTTCCTCGATCACTTTTATCATTTGCTGCTGTAAAACGAGGCATCTTTTGGAGAAGGTGCGTATTTATTACACGTAGGTAGTTAATAGAGAGTTTTAGAGCCTTTGAGCTGGGTTAGTGTCTATTGATAACAGGTATTGGCGAGAGAAACCTCAAAGCGATGGGGATTCTGGTAGTATAGTTGGAGAGCTTGACATGAGAATAACGTCATATAGAGGCAGAGTCGAGAACTTCGTTGCGTATAGAGTAATCTTAGATAAAAACATTTGCGCGTAGGAAAAAGAAAAGCTATTAAAGCATTTAGGTTAGTAGCATTGACATTTAAAGCCAGTGACTTTGGCAGCCCAACTGCACAGCACTATTCTTAACTTGGGTTAGCGCCGATATGAAACAGGTTGAGGCTCAGAGCCTGAGCTGAATTGCTCGAGGTTCGAAGCATTCCTGGACCTCAACCTTTGGAAACATCGTGATATTGCAGCGGTTAAAATCAAACGCTAGAGACGCACAGAAAAGTTGCTTTTTGTCATAATCATAACTACAATTGCAACTGATTCTCTTGCTTTAAGTTGGCGAACAAGATGCCCGGCGTCCCTTCAGGAAAAGCATGCGATGGCTGCCGCAAGCAGAAGAAAAAGGTTGGCCTGTGAAATCAACTCCAAATAGAAATCTGGTGTGGTGTTCTTGTGTCATACTTACATCCCTGAAATACTCAAGTGCGATGAAAAAGTCCCTACATGCTCGCGATGCACTCGCCTCGGTCTAGTATGCATTGGCTCTGGGCAGAGAAGGTACAAATTTCAAGAACAACACACTTTCCCCGCAATTCCCAAAAAAAAGGCAAATTCAAATTCTTCAAGAATTGAATCTTGTGCGCAAACCAATCGGAAAACGTTGGAGATGGACATAGCTACCCTAGTTATTCGCTTACCACCAACAAACAAGCTGACAGCCCTGACAAGTCGATATATACATATAATTAAGCTGTCAAAGGACTTGAGATACAACCTTGCTTGGGCTTATGGGCTTTTTATGCTTGACATTCCACGACGCATGAACACAAATGAAGCACTAGATAGTGCAGTTGGTGCTCTTGTTTGTGCACACTCTTCTTTGTGTTCTCGCCAACAACCCACTGTTGAGGCTTTGTCAAGCTATTCCCGTGCGTTGGTAATCCTGAGACAATGCTTGAATGAGCCGATCAAAGCTTCGACACCAGAAACACTTTGTGCAGTGATGCTACTTTTAATATGCCAGGTCAGTGAGCGTCTACAGAGGACTGATGGTGCATCAGAATACTAAACTCATTTCCGCTCCTAGAGTATCAATGGAACAGAAGGGCAGCGGTGGTCAGGCCACTGTGAAGGTGCAGCACAAATACTCAAAGCTCGATCATCCATGAAGCCACGCGATGAATTCGAGCAGCAATTGCTATTGTCTCTAAGAGGATGCGTGGTATGTTGTCTTTCGTCGCGAAATTGTGCAGGGCAAACAATAACATATCTGCAGCTATTCGAAGGGTTATTCAATGAAAGGATAAACTTAACTTCCGACGAGTGGATTTCACTGGTGGGAAACGAGCTGGATGAAAAACTTCCTGAGGGCCAGTTGATACGCCATCTTGCTCGAATGCCGAATATAATTCGCCGTAAACCTTTGGACCTTGGCGATAGCGAAGGTTCCAGTCTTCGGGATTGGACAAAGCCTTTATATCAGTCCTGTAAAGCACTTCTTGACCATTTACGGAGCAATTGGGTTACATGCCGGCGTCCTTGCCCGCAAGATGAGCTTTCAACAGTCATACTATATGCGTACTATCAACGTGCATATGGTCTCGGGTTGTTGATTGTGACCATCATTAACTGTGTGCTTCGCAACCTTGCTCCAGCGTCCGAAGTGCAAGCGCTTGTGTTGGATTCAGAACATTTGGTAAAGGAAACCCTAGACCTGGCCCAAGTGGCCAATATGTATAGACCGCTGGGATCGTCTTATATGGTGATTTCTCTGGGTTCAGCCTGGCTCTCTAGCACCAATGAACAAGATAAACTATTGGCGGAGATACTGTTACATGACTACTGTTGCGATTTCCCTATGCGAACTGCAAACGATTTCATGCGCGAACTGGATTGGATGGCCCAGAAATTGCAGACTTTACGAATGAATGGTTGATCTCTTGGCTATAATACTGTGATTTATGTTGAATCGTGCGCTTGATCATATAATTTTCCGAATAACAGGTACCATGAGCCTAAAGCTTCATAAACAGAGGCACAGTAACTACATGAGCCGAGAGTGTTTTGTTGATGGGCAGCGGAATTTGCAAAGAGAGATCACCCAATGGCCCTTAAAACCTTGATCAGAATCCTCTTCACCAAATGCCACCATTGCCTTTGACATAATCAGGTGGGTTATCATCAACTAATGGCCATGATCGTCAATAGTGTAACAAGACACGATGGGAGACATGATTTATCAACAAATTCATAAGAGTTAGAATGGTATCTTTGAGATCAAATATTTCAAAGACATCTTGGGAGATTTTGATAAGGACTCTTCATGTGCCTATTTTGCTGAATACGATGTGTAATCAGGCTTGTTGATAGTTGAAGGCGGTATTTCAAGCGATCAGAGAAGTGGCAGTATGATTCATGATGTCAGTATTGAAAACAATCGATAGACCTCGCGTATAAACCTCACAGGTAGTTTCCGGTGAACTGGTGTGATTTTCATGATTCCATATCTGTTCCTCTAGAACCTTCCTGATAACTAGAGCGCTGCTGTGGTTGCTCTTTCTAATGACACGATCAAGCCATATTTTGACCAGAGAGATGCCATGGTCGTCGTAGATCATAGCACCAATAATGGCGAGAGGCCACAGGAAAAATTTGCCCCACGTCCTATCAACATCGTCCTCTGTTGCTATTAGAAGATTTCGTGCTTCACTAAGAGTGCACTCCATCTCTGTATACCACATAGAAGATATTCCAGAGATATGCGCGTTACTATATTCCAGAACGGAGATAACGTAGAGAAACAGAAGCCGGATGGCAACGGCATATAGTTTCCCAATCCATCGACGCGAGTCACTATAACACGCGTAGTCCGCTTCAAGAGTAGATTGCATTCTGTGGACCTCGTAGTAGCGTGACCATACCAGTATATCATCTGAAACATACCCCGGACATAGAGTACGTACGAGTCGAATACCTTCCACAAGGAAGAGAAACATGTTATAAGGAGCTCCGAGGACGGGAGACTCTATGGTATAATTTTCGTGTATATCTGTCTCTTTGAGCGGATAAACGTCGAGCCCTAGGAACGAGGCTGGCGGCTCATGTGGTTTTTGGCCTTGGAATTTCTTTAATACCATAAGTATGTCTTCTATAAGATTGAGTTGGTCATCAAACAATGTCGTGACGGCGCTATGATAAATATATGCTTCAACGCACATGCGCTCCCAAACCAACTCTGATATTGAGGTTAAATTGCGGTTCATTGGCTCACGTAGGAGCAGGATTCGGCGCAGGGCAGCAGCATGGATGGAACTCTGTCGTAAAGCTTCGACTCGACAGTTCTTTTTGCCTTTATCAGCACAAGGAAAACGAAATGCATAAGAAGATAGGGCGGGGAAAACAATGCTTCTATTTAAATATCCAAGGAGGAAAAAAAAGGCAGAAACGGCTTTCAACACGTACCTCGTATACGCAAAGCCATAAGACCGTCGCGAGAAGATAGTCCTCTGTTCCACGAAGCGCACCCTGAGCGATTCCTGTGGATATCTCAGAGATAGCATTCATATATAGTTTATGGGGTGACTCTCCCGAGCTATCTGCAAGTCCATTATGCGAGGTAACTAGTGCACATGCTGACACGGCATTTAGCAGAAGACGCGATTCCAAACACATATATCGCAGGTAGGAGAGATCAACTGTGGACTCGCCGTCTGCAGCCTGATGGTACTGTGACGGCAAAAAGAAAAATAGGCAGTATTCAACGAGGGCAGAGCCTCTTTCATCTATGACATGTTGATAGTAGTTGATGCTGGGGAAGATGCTGCCGTGTCTTTCTCCTGGATTTTCGAGTTGCGGCGCGGGTCTAGAGTCATGTACACGCCTCCGATGCCGTAGACAACGCCTGTCTATATGATCTGAGTTCTGCCATTGACAGGAGAGCCCATTTCGCCTGCAACCCAGACATGTAGGCTTATTCTCATCACACTTCTTCCGTCTTCGTCGGCCTACAACACCGCTGCTATTAATGTCACGGCAGCAAAAATGGTCTCTAAATCCGGTATGCACACTTACATTGTAAGCAACCCGTGAGCGTCCTTAGTTTGGCTGGCATGCCGTTATTATTTTGGCTAGGAGTTTTGTTCCTTTCGTGTCGAAAATGAGGCAGTCAGTCCGTCATTTAGTCATAACTTGTCGCCCAAATAAAACCCGCCGGAGTTCACTTCATTGGTCGACGCTCTCTAAGGCGATTGGATGCGGATAACAATATATGGGGCGCGCGCAATTATCTTTCATTGGCTGCATAGCGGAGTATTCCATATCAGCCAATGAAATCTAACGAATGGGTCGACATCATTCGTGCGATATGATTGGCCATGGAGTAAGGCAGTAGGAACGTGATTTTGAGAACAATGGCAGATATGACCATATGGCATAAACAATTGATATCCACAATACTCCAGTGATCACCGTGTGCATCCAGCGCGAACAGATCAACCAGGTTACAACATGCAACATCCGACAATTTATCAATTGGTATTGCTTCAATGGTCGTTGCTACGCCACACTACTATATGTCAGTCTCTTGTGGCAGTGCTTGCAATTGTAATTCGCAATCACTCTGTCGTCCAGCAAACAAAACGTGGCTTCGCAGATGAAATCATGCGACAAAAATAGATTGGACGTGACGTAACGGGCCGTCCCCGCAAAAGCTTGACTTTCACAAACCTTCATCCCAACCTTCTCTTGTGCCACGGATTCGTTCCTATTTTATTGAAATTGTCCTCACGATAATTATCTATCATTGGCATTGACGATGATTTCCGACTCTCTCTACCAGCTCGCTGTGAGCGACAAAAGTGTTAGCTCAGAGTTGGCTCAGAACCCCAAAGAATTCCCCGGCCAGATCGCGCACAGGCTCTTCAGCAATAGAAAACCCGAAGCCGTCGACGAGAGTCGTCAGTCATCATCTCATGAGAAAGGAGACGAAGCTGGTCTCCAGCGAGCATTGAATTCTGGGAAATGGGGAGAACAACGCCCGAGCAATTTGTTCTTGAAGGTACGTGACATGTATTATAAGCATTTAGGCATTGATGACGTATCCTGAATTTTTACCAATGTGCCATGTCGCGTTCTAGTGTTATTTAGATTCTCTTCGCTCCCTTGAGAACCAACCATTGGCTGGAGTTGTGTCCCCAAGTTTGATGGGCAGTAGTGGTGTCGTTCCGTTGACGATAGTCTCCACGTTACCGGACATTAATCGCCATACTGCTAATTGCATTGTGCGTGCGGAGAAGGAAGTGCTCCTAGCTACTAATTTCTGGATTCACTCCGACGCCTCAATTCTAATAACCAATGCACTGCGCGAACTATCAAGACGAGCTGGGGAGCGTGGCCAGAAAGTCGTGGTTAAGATCATCTACGACCGCGGCAGTGTGAAGCAGGTAAGCTCGTCACTGACATGAATGCACTAACAATCCTGTATAACAAGCAAATACTAAAGGGTTCAACGTAGGTATACCAAAATCACCAGCGCGTTCCCCCGAGCGAGTGGGCAAGTGAAAAAGTCAAACTTCCTGCACCTTCGGACATCCCTAATATACGAATGGAAGTCATCAATTATCATCGCCCCGTCCTCGGGACTTTCCACGCGAAGTTTTGCGTGATTGACCGAAAAATTGGGCTCCTGCAGAGTAACAATGTGCAAGACAACGACAATCTGGAGATGATGATGCATTTGGAAGGTCCGATCGTAGATTCGATGTATGACACTTTCCTCGTATGTTGGGATAAGCGATTCGATCCCGCACTGCCAACGATTGGAAGCCCTGCATCTCAGCGCCCAATACCCAGCCACGACAGTTCAGCTGTCGTAGCAGAGACGTCAGGGTCTGAAATAATAGGCTCCTCGCAAAACCAGAATGGTATCTTGTCGGAATCCACAAGCTCGGATCCTCACTACGATCTCGACCTTGTGGAGGAAGCTAAGAGAGTGAACAGCCAAGTCCATCCAAGGCCAAATGAGACTAGACGAGATGCCACTACCCGTCACCTAAGTAAGCGCATTCTCCACCGAACCATTGATTATTTTCTACGTATTAACTTTGTCTAGACAAGAGGACGCTTGCAGACAAAGATGGGTCTCAGCAAAGCCATGGTCAGCCGGATGGCCCGGACATTACTGAGGAAGATCAGATGACTCCATACATCGTGTTGCCCAGACATGACCCAGTTCCTATGGCTATGGTAAACCGTGAGCCGAACGGCTGTATGTCGCTTTCACTCCTGCTTTTAGTATATTATAATAGAGAAAAGACTATATCTAACTGTATCCTCATAGCCCCTGGGAATTCAAACTATCCGGTACCCCAGAACGCCGCTTGGCTGGCCGGTATTAACAATGCCGAAAAGTCCATTTTCATCCAGACGCCGAACATGAATGCAGAGCCTCTGCTCGAGCCCCTTTTGAATGCAGTCAAACGTGGAATAATTGTGACTGCATACGTGACACTCGGATATAACGATAGCGGAGAGCTACTTCCAGGACAAAATGGTACCAATGAAATGATTGCCCATCGTTTATATTCCTCTCTCTCCAGCGAGGAGGAGAAGTCGAGACTGAGGATTCACAATTATGTTGCCAAGGATCGCAAAACTCCTATCCACAACAAGTTCAAATATCGCAGTAGTCACGTCAAGGTGATGATTGTTGATGAAACAATTGCTATTCAAGGTTCGTTTAACTCTAGATTTGTCCAACAGTTTCCTTTGGGATCCCTGTTACTGTTACTGACAGTCATACAATACAGGAAATGGCAATCTTGACACGCAGTCATTCTTTCACTCTACTGAAATTAATATTCTCATAGACTCACCGCTAATCTGCAAGATATGGCGCGATGCAATTGAACGCAACCAGAACACACACAAGTTTGGTCACGTCAGTTCAGAGGATGGTTGTTGGCACGATCCTGAAACTGGTCAAATAGCAGATGGCACGATCGGTCCGGACCCTGGACGATTCAGCTGGGCTAAGGGCATTGTCGGGGCGGTACAGCGTGTTCGTGGAGCGGGTGGATTTTAGTCAAGCTGTGGCGGGCTACTATGTGTAATCATCGCTTTTCAATAATGTGTCTTTGTCTATATTCTAGTCTATTTCATCTTCCTCAGACATAGATCCGTCTCTTATTTACCTATTAGCAGCATCCAAATAAATCAATCATACTTCTTCGTCATAGTTTTCTAGATTTTGGACTTTGCGTCACTTTCGTTCTCATTTTCATCATAAACGAAACCCAGTTCTTCCAAAACAGTAATTTCGCGTCTCTTGCTTCCAAGAGCCTGCGATGCAGCCTTTATCATGGGTGTCAATTTCCGTAACCACTGGTCCTTTTCATTCCAATATGGTGGGTTCTTCCCGCGACCGTTGTTACTCAACCCATCTCGTTTTGTTGCTCTCAAGCTCCAATCGTGAAGGCTATTCAGGTATTCGGCATCAAGAGGATACCCAAGCACGTTGAAACTTTTTCCTGGGCCATGCTTCGCAATCCAGTTGGTCTCCCACTCCTTCATTTCCGACAGGGAGGGAAGTTGCAACCGTCCGGAATACACCCGTGCTATGACTGCGGCCTGTGCCTCGGATAACGGGAAAGGGATTATTTTTTGCGGCAGTCCAATGAATGTCAGTGTTGGTCGAGGGTAGTAAAAGATGTGCTGGAACAAGTTGGAAGGGCGATTCCCATCTGGGGTCACCGCCGGTGGCAGTAATGAGGGTAGGAAAGGAAATGAATAGAGATAGCCCGTGCAGAGTAATACATGGTCAACATTTTTTTCGACGTGACCATCTATGAAACGAACTGCGCGATCCACAATGAGAAACTCGGCAATCTCAGGTACAATTCTGATATTTGGATTGTCGTTTAGATATGGTGGGGATCCAGTCCGCTCTGACACCAGAAGCGGGCGTTGCGCTACAGTGGCAATTTGGACACTCACGTCAATTCCTGAAGCTGAGTTTCCTACAACGATGACTTTCTACAACAAGTAAAATGCCTGGTTAGCTGCTGGCATGAGAAGCGGGAAAAAGAGTACAATCTACTAGGTGGGTAACCTACTTTGTTTGCGTATTGCTCCGCCCGACGGTAATATTTTGAATGCGATACCGAATCAGGATACGCCTGACTCCATTCTCGAATACCGGCAATGTCTGGGACATAGGGATCACTGTAATGACCATTGGCAACCACAACATAATCAAACTCATGAGTTGAAACTTCCTTAGTCCGAAGATCGAGAGCAGAGAGAACCCAACCAGAGTCTTTATTGCTTTCGTCGAGAGGCTTGACATCGACAACTTGAGTGTGAAACGAGATAGACGGGAGCAAGGTCTTTGCATAGTCTTGCAAATACTCCTTGACGGTTTGATGCGAGGGAAACAAAGATGTCCCCGTGGGAAATTTCCAATCCGAATAGTTCATCAAAGTGTGGGGAATATTTGTCTCCAGGAGATCATATACCGGTGATTGAAACACCACATTCTCAGAACTTGCTTCTTTCTTCGTAGAAACAGGCGTGTCCGGCGTTGTCTGGGGTGTTGTGTGAGGAATAGCAAAGCTCTCGTCTACGGCGTTGTGAGCGGTATAGCACCAAACCCCGCCGGCTTCATCGCGTTGCTCAAAAATTGAGATAGCAGAGAATGCATTCTCGGCATGCAAGTATCTAAGAGATGAATAAGAAGGCGTCAGGAGGGTCATCGGCTTTTTTCCACATTCAATATGTCTACATTCTGCGGCGCTCTTACTTTGCAGCTGCCAGGCCTCCGGGCCCAGCACCAATCACAGCAACACGCATGTTGCACGGTAAACTTCTAATCATATTAGATTTTGGTCGACATAGGGATTCTCATCGGGCATACATACAAGAACAGTAGACGGCTGTGGTGCTAAGGAAAACTGCTGCCGGGTAAAAGTTATTTTGTGTTTATCTTGGATTACTTTGGCCGATGGCGCAATATTAATGGATCCGTTCCACCAGAGTCAAAAAATCGGATAAAAAGCCGACATCTTCAAGTTCTTATCTTATCTTACATTTTTACACTATGTTACATATGGCTCTGCTTATCTGATTTCTTACCTGCACCGTCATCGCATACTGGAAATGCACGGTTGAGAAAAACGAACGTGCTTTATTTTTATTTGCTATCGATCACTTCAACGAAGCTAAAAAGCCAAAGAGAAAAGAAAAAGAAGAAGAAAATAAAAACTAAAACTATTTGTATGTACCTGGCAGCTTGTGGAACTGCACAGCGGCCAAAACAAATTCCCGATGCATTCCATTTTCAATCTTGGAAGCTTTTTGGCGCACAGGAACTTTTGGCTGCTGATGAGACATTGAAAGGATGCTGAAGACTCATTGCCTTTTGTGTCCGTCATACTCAGCAGTGTTTTAAACGTACTTGACGATAACGGTGCTGCCAGAAGCAGTAACGGAGGTAAGGACGGTTTCATCCTGCTCAATGTCCATGATAACAGCACCAGAGGTGTCAACAGTGTCATCATCCTTGGTAGCCTCACAGTCAGTGAAGGTGACGGTTCCGAAGTCAGCAAAGTTGACCAAAGAGCTTCCCTCCTCGAAATCCTCAACAATCCATTCAGCGTTCCACTCGCAAAGCTCGTCTGATTCGGCGAGGAAAGTGTGAGTGACGGTCTTGCCTCTGCTAACGTTCTCAACAGTGGCAACACCAGAAGCCTTGCTGTCAGCAACAACGGAGATTTTGATGACATCTCCGGCTTGAATTGTGATTCCAGAGAAGTCGTAAGCGTAGTCAGGGTACCACTCGTACCAGGCGTCGTAGGAAACGTCACCATCATCAATGCAGAAGTCGACACCGGTCTGGAGAATGGAAGTGTCGCAGGTATCGCCATCAAGACCGACCCAAGCAGCGGCGCAGAACTGTCCAATGCCCAATCCAACAGCAGAAGGGGTAGGAACAGTGAATTCGGCGGAGACAGCGGTATAACCGGTTCCGACAAGGACAGCACCGGCCCAGTTCTCGCTGTACTCAACCTCTCGGGTGGATTGAGTAATGTTCAACAGCTCAGTACCGAAAGCACCAGGGACATAAGCGGGGTTCGAGCGGCGAGAACCAGCAGCACGACGTGCCATGCGCTTCTCAGTCAAAGGGGCTGCGGCAGCGAGGCCAGCCAGCAGGAGGCTAGAGGCAACAGCGAACTTCATTTTGAATAAAAATTGCGATCGATAACAGAATCGCCTTTGAGAAACTTGGATATTCTTTGATGGTCAAGAAGATTTTCGCTGTTGGTGCTTTTTTTTCAGACTATATTTCAGTGGAAAGAGCAGCCCTTTTATACCTTTTCTTCCTAAATCCTCTAACCTGTCCCAAAGTCTTATTGATCCTCAAAGAATACTATATATCTATCACTGTTGCATCTCACAGTATAGGTTGATTTAACCACGTCAGTCACCTTCCCAATCGATCCTTGGGGCGGCCATGTTACCTTGCAGAGTCGAGATGCATATGCAGCTACTGGGACGACCAGGAGGAACATTAGCTCAATTCTTACAACGAGCTTTATAGCACTCGTTGTTTTTGGCAAAGACTACTTAGTTCGTTGGGTGACGGAGCTGTGGACTAGTTGATTGACAAGTACGTGTTTAGGTGACCTTGGTCTGTAGTGTGGCTCGTGGGCCTATGATATGCCGAAAACCAACTTTGCTACAGAACCTGGCTCGCGAGAAATATGCTAGTAGTTTCTCGTCTCCGCCCCTCGGAGTGTCTGATGATCAGTTTACTTCAAACTTCACCCTTGAACGCTGTGGAGCTCGCTGGACGCGCAATAGCGAGGGGTAGGTAGCAATTACTAAGAAATAGGTTTTGAGAAAATGGTGAAAGCATAGAGAGAGAGAATGGAATGAAAAGTCATTGCTCCGGTGTCTAGCTTGGAATCACGAAATACGTTTAATTTTGAGTTCGTTGTCGCAAAAACTCGGAATATTTCAGCCACAGCTCCATGATCTAGACCTAGACAACAAACCCCGCCATATAAATCACTATATATGATGATCATATCGGGAAGTTTATTTTTTCTATTGTTAACAATTGTATCCAGGTTATAGATTCACGAAATGACAGTGATAACACAGCCGGCCATTGAAGGAGGTAATCGGATCAAGACTATTCTACTAATTAGCTTGACCTAGAAATTGGTGATTTGACAGAAGAGTAACTACGTGATAGTATGCTGCCGGTGCAGCATCTAGGCTCTAGACCTAGTATTTCATTGGGAGCAATACTGAAGAAATGCAAGCCACCCTCGGCTTTTATTCTAGATTCATCCATAGATTGCTCCTTGCTCATGATATACTAACTCTCTGGTAAACGTGTAATATAGTCCTCAATTCAGTAGAACGTGGGATGCATCTCAAATCAGGAAGCTGATCTAGGTCCGTAATATTAAAGCCTTATCGATACTTAGCCTATTGATTAGTCGATCCAGTAATTGATCCACAGATTATAGTGTTGCATCGGCATCCACCGAGCGTTTACGCCCTCAAAAAAATACAGCCACGTACGCAAGTGCCATCTCATTGCTTCACCAATCAAGGCCAACGCCTCATTTTTATCTGGCCAAAGTGGGAAGTCCGTCAGACTCTATGACGCTTTTGGTAGAGCTATTTGTCGATCATTAATCAATCCTTTCCCTGAAGAAGCAATATATATGCATGACTCTACATGTGCTCCGAAGCCCGTACGTGCTAGGGTCCGGAGTTGAATAGGCCCGGATTTCACAATTGATTGGCATTTGGCTATCGTAGTGCATAAATTGCATAAAAACTTTTATCATGCATCTGATATTGACGCATTGCCCCAGCATTAGCAAAGTTTTTCGATCGCGGAACCACCTCAGAACATACCGAGGACAATGATAAAAGGCGCTAAAGCCGTTTAACCGACGATATCCTTAGGAACAGGGGTCCTCTGTTCAATAGAACACATTCGCTTGAGGGATTACTTGTTTTCATTGCTTGCTATGATATTAAACATATATATGCTGGTTTAGCCTCCTTTTAGCCATGTTACTTACAATGCCTTTTGTCGCGTCAACCGCCTGGTAATATCGAAATTTTATCTTTAGGTTCTGATTAATATATGTAAACGTTATAGCTCGTATGATTAAAAGTGAAAACGGGCATTGGACGGTTAGGATCGGGTCCACGGCATGCACGCTAGACGTTTTAGACATACTTTGCAGTACCGATTACCCCGACTTCTTTAGAAAAACCCAGATTCATGCATACATCCATGTTGCAGTTGGCTGGCTATCATCGGCATAGCTACAGCACACCATTCTGCTTTCACAAAAATCTCGGATCTACCGTAGGACTTCGAGAAAAACTTTGGAAAGAAAAGCATGCAGGAACCATTACAGATGGCGGTATATAGAAACGATAACCTGCAGATCACAATTATCAACACCCGTCCTTCGCACCCCTATATTTAACATCAGATATACAGGTCGTTTGATGATGATTGCCAGAATTCTACCTAGGTAGAAGAGTATTCCATACTTTTTTAAAGAGAATGCTACCACTTGATATCATAGCCATTAGTTGTGTACTGGTCAAATTATCGTAGCCTATATGTATATCCCAGGGTAATCCTTTAGTGCATATGATGTACGGGATGGCAGTATCAGATATAAGCATGGTTACATACTATAGGTGAAATAATGCAGACCAAGCGCCACATATTTCACTAATTGCGCTGGCAATGATACTTAAATAGTATGTTTTCAAAATGAAAAAGAAAATTTCCACCAGTCGCCATGATCAACTGATACAGCTATTCAAGGGAGCAGACCTATCTTATGACGCTGCTAGATGAAAGAGTCAACCTGCATAACTTCTTAATTACTTACCTCATTAATTGTGACTGGTAAAGTGAACCATTGAAAACAATGTCGAGGCTATAAGCACATGTATGCTTCGTAGGGATGCATCGTTTATGCATGTGATTGTCTGCATACAAGGCGCCTGCAACAAAACTAGCTTCCTTAAATAACACCCCGATGTGTTCTTGCCATACATAGCCAGGTTGTAGTACGTGGGAGAGGGAATTCCCAGTAGCTAATGTATAATCAAAGTCTATTTATGACGCCCAGAGGGCATTACACAACATCAATGAGATAGGAAAGGTAGAAAATCCAACACCCTTGCATATCAATGGAAGAAAGGCATGTCGGTGTAGTTTATTCATTATTTTGATTAGAAGTGGACACACACAACTCAGCATTAGACTTGAAACGATATAATAGATCTACTCTAACGCCGGATGATTTTCTGAGGATATAATCCCGGCGCAGGCAAAAATGCCATGCATTGGTTGGAACTTCAAGTAGTTTTTATGCGAGACATTACGACACCCGATGTGTACCTACTTAGTTACGACCTACTCACAGTTTGCTTAAGTAACTACTTCTTTTTTCTAAATAAGGAATCCTAAATTATCCATCTAGCGCCCTAAGCAGTGGTTAGAAATACAATCATTTAGTAACTAGACCTTGAGGACTTACTTAGAGAAAAAGAAAGGGAGGGGAAGGGAAGGGAGAGAATACATTGTCTTCTTATATTAAATGCAGGTAACCTTGGAAATGTGCATTAAGTATTGCGTTGCATTGTGATTTTATAGTGTTGTTAGTAGATTATGTGGCGTTTTTAGACAAAGGCTACATAATGCAAATATGAATTATGCATTTGCTAGAAAAATCTATCAATCTAATCAGTTGATTTACCTATATTACTGAATCACTGTGTCATAATCATATGAATAGTATATTACATTCATCTTAATTGTAATAGTTGCTGGATTTATGCAAGGCATGTAGAATAAGTGAGAGCGCACCATGTCCAAACTTGAGCTATTACACTTCATTATACTTCGTGACTAATTTGATGAGCCAACAAGGCTTTTAATACCTCTTATCTTATGTTACAACCACTACAAGTGATTCCTTGGTCACCTTGGGATTGTGTTGCGCTTGGTTTTTAGGGAAAGGGGGAGGGAAGGGAACCCTATCCTATTCATTTTACAGGACCAAATTCTCTATTCATTGCTTCATTGATAGGAATGATGACAGGAAGAATAATAAGTTATTGTATTCCGATTTAGGAATAAAGGACTTAATTACCAGATTCGGCATATATTTCCCAAAGTGGAAGCCACATGAAGTCTCGCAACCTTATTTCAACGGCCAACTTCATACTCTTGCAACAAGAGGCAATCTTTCAAGAACCGAAGGGCCTGGGAATATCTCTTCTTCAGAGATACAGAAATGTAAATTTGAATAAATAAGAGCTGCTTGATAATGCCCAGAATATAATGGCATTGTAAGAAGATTGTCCCCTTCCGATGAAGATCTTCCCTGAAAAATTATTTGAAATTGCAAAAGTTATGTTATTTAATACTTATACTTTGTATATTGTATATATTGCTAAGCGAATCTATGAATTCTACATATGTGAGAATCCTTCCTTTCCACAACAGTTGATATATTACCACCAACATTTCAGCAGACTTGTATGTAACCGATGGCATATACTTGAGTGCATTTGAATTTGTAGGGAATTGGCAATTTCGAACATTCCAGGGCTGCTTCTTAGGTACTTCTTGTATACTAGAGATTTAAATAACTCAGCCCTGTCTCGACAAATCTCTAGCTACGTTCTTACATGTTTTCATTTAATTCACCGTTAATTAGGATACTCGCAAGAAGATGAGAGATGTTTCAAGGTAGATGTAGAATACTGGAAAGAAGACCTACCCAAGGCTTCCCGTCAGAAATCTTCTACACTTTCTGTGTTCCATATTATGCTAGGATAAATATGAAGCCCATTATATCAATCGGTCGAACTAAGCAGTCTATCAATGAAAACTGGCATTTTCGAGATAACTCCCCGGGGAAGAAACAAGCAGGTGAGATATCTCGAGTTTCATATATTGTATAACCTTGAGATTTGGAAAATTCTATCTGTACCGGATGACTATCAAATAAGCTACAAAAACCCGAAGAGGACCTAGTAAATGAGGTTGAATGATTCAGCAGACTTGATCTAACCAAAATTTAATAGGTGTATATATTGCTGATGTTCCCGGGACAAATGTCGTGATATTCGCCTAAATACGGCAAGAGACAGATTTCCATCTATATCTAATGATACTCTGCAGGCACTGTACCAGAGACTTATTTGCATATGGAGCAGTTTTGGTAGTGATCAGCTGAATTCCTCGACATTCGCAGATGTATTTATTATACGTACATGCCCAGTTGACCGTACTCGAGCCCCCATAGGAAAATAAGTAGGAGTTTAAAGTCTGGCTATAGTTGCCGCCCAATCTATACAGTATACAGCGAGATGTGACTCGACTACGAAAGATGGATGCGGTTTAGAAAGTCTATGCTACTTTAACATCCAAGCCACAGTTACATCGTGACCAAAGCTTAGTAGAGCTACGACGAAACTGTCAACTCTCTTGCTACTACGATTCTTAGTGAAACAAGTCTCCGGTAATTGTAGTTCGATACCTAGGTAGCTGACGTTAATTTCAACCATGCTCGGAAATCTCGGTGTTAAATTTAGATGTCAATCGTCACTATTCCGAAAATTTCCTTGTAGAAATCCATTTTGCGCATGGAGCGAGGGTGTTGGGAGCGGAGAAAGCAGACATTGCAGCATGCTATGTCAGCGCCGAATGGCGTGACTTAGGGCATTGCGTACTCTCCAGCGCCTAAACAAGTTAAACAGCGGGTTAAACACAGTGAACAACGCTTTGTGGGGGTGGCTGCCTATCTAGCCCAATTTCACTGGTGCACAACAGCGAATAGAGTCGCTTTAGCATACCGACCGTCCTTGAACAGCCAATAATGCGCATCTCTGCCGCGATTTAAGGTTGGTTTTGGGATGGCGACATTTCTCCGGCCATGTTCAGCGATGACTCGCAGTTGCGGTGTTGCGTAGTACCTTGGTGTTGACTGTGCTACTTTTAAAGCAGATGCCACAATCCATCATTCTTGGTTGTGCTTGACTACTTCCTACCCCAGTGACCTGCTCTCGCCAACCTTTCATCATGGTCAAGTTTCCCCTGTCTCGTGTCCTGGTGCTGGCCAGTTTTACTAGCAACTCCATAGCAGGAACTGTCAGCTTGCCCTCATATCCACTGGCCGTGAAGAGTCCCTATTTGTCGACATGGGTCCCTGGAAATCAGACAGCAGACGCTGCAACTGCGCAGCCCGAATTCTGGGCCGGGCAGAAGCTGACCTGGCCAATTCTTGCGCGTGTAGGTGGAACAACGTATAGCCTCTTTAGCTTGCCAGGCGGGATTTCTGGAGTGAGTGCTGCAAAGACCACCGGGGTTGAATATACATCGACGCATACAGTAATCAGTTTAATTGCTGGACCAGTCACTGTTACTCTGGATTTCTTCTCTCCGGTGCTCCCAGGGCCATTAGACTATGCAAAACAGTCCCTTCCATATTCGTACCTAACGGTGTCAGCGATTGCCGACGAATTCACTTCGATTCAGATCCTTAGTGGAATCGACCACACTTGGACAGCCCAAGGTGGTGCATCTGCACTCAACTACACCGAATCTGGGTCAGCTGGCTTTTTTTGGTTTTATAACCCCGATCAATATTACTACTCCGAGGACAATGACATGGCCACCTATGGATCTATACTATACGGAGCTAGTACAGGTAATGGTCTAACATATGCCTGCGACACGGAGGACAATATCTACAGTGCTTTTACAAGTGATGGGAAGCTTGCAAACATTGCCACATGTCAAGGAACTGATCTAGCCGCATTGTCGCAGGACTTGGGCACCGTCATCTTGGGAGAAGTAACATTCGCTGTGGGATTTCAGCGTGACCTTGCCATAAATTATCTGAATGAAGCGCAGACTGGATATCATCGCTCAAAATGGTGGCTTATTCCTGACGCTATCGAATATTTCCTTGGTGACTACGCCAGTGCGCTCGCCGAGTCGGTACTCTTTGACACAGCTGTGAGAGTTAGGTCTGAAGCCGTCTCACTGGAATGGGGAAGCCAGTATGCAGATATAGTAGAAGCAAGTGTCCGACAGACATACGGTGCATTTGAAATAACAGTCCGTAAATCATTAATCGGTAGTGTTCCAAGAGAGAGCTAATCATACACTAGGTACCAAATGACGACGTGGGCGCCGAGCCACAGGTCTTTTTGAAGGAAATCTCCAGCGATGGAAATGTTCAAACCATCGATGTCATATTCCAGTCGTGGTCGATCTTTGCCAGTCTCAACCCTGAATGGCTAAAGCTGCTTTTGAAGCCGGTTCTATCGTATTTGGAAACCGGGGCATGGCCTCATGCTTGGGTAATTCACGACATAGGAACGCGTATGTGCTAATAAAAGAAAACTATAGCAAAATATTCGCTGCTAATTTACTACAGACTACCCAAACGCAACTGGTCATGCCAATGGCGTCGCTGAGGAAATGCCGCTATTTGAGACTTCCACTGTATTCATTTTGTTGTACGCGTATCAACATTACACGAATGACGCATCTTTTGCGGCAGAGTACACCACGCTCTTGACAAGATATGCCAACTACCTCGCCGAAAACTCTCTCTATCCTGCAAGCCAACTGATAAGTGTTGATGCCATCGCTGCACAACCTAACCAGACTGGCTTGGCAATTCAGTCTGCCATCGGCCTTAAGGCAGCGAGCATAGTCCTGGACAACTCATCATATTCAGACATAGCCGCATCGATCGCGAAGACCGTGTATGAAGATGCCCTTGGCCTTGACGGCGCCACACTTGCAGAAAGCACCCACTTCACTTACTACTATGGGCAGGATGACACGTGGAATGTACTTTTCCCAGCGTATTCCGACGTATTACTGGGACTTGAAACATTCAATCCTTCTGCGTGGGATCTGCAATCATCCTGGTATCAACAACAGATGCAAGAAGGCGGGTTGCCATTTGCAGGCCCTGTCACCGATACCTCTTATACAGGGTCGGGCATAACCTGGGGACTTGCTGATTGGAGTAAGTATGGAAGCGTTGTATAATAGATACATAATGGCATAAAATTGACTAACATGATTATGAAATCAGATCTCCTTATTGCGGCCGTCGTTTCAGAAGAAGTTCAGGCACAGATCATCAACACAACCCACACTTTTCTCACCAACAGGCTCAATACAATTCCATTCGGCACCAAGTACTACGTTGAAGGCGACGAGATTGGAGTCTGGGTAGGTAATGAGGCACGTAGTACGGTCGGTTTAAGTTTCTCTCTATTGGCGCTAGATCAGGGTTATTGGGGGTTCGCTTACTAACAAGGAAAATATCTTTGTTCTCTCTTACTTGAAGAGCAGCCGATTGATCAGCATCAATGGTCAGCACCGTGTTGATGTATATAGTGCTGTCATACTCTTGTACATATTAAAGTCGGAATGAGGAGCGAACATATGCCCCATTCACTAATTACGTGGCTAGCCAAGTTCTGCTGCTATATCTATCAGGGATACACGTACCAAAGGTATTGGCTATCAGTCAGAGTAATCACAAGCATGTAAGAAATCCACTATTTAAAGCTGTTCAGAGAGTAAAACTCCAGAGGAATTGTGAATGATATGTGATGCTCCATAGCGACATACAGCTCAGGCTCTTTTATCCTTCAAATCTTTCAAGTCACCACGCTCCTTCACGGTTCGCGCTATGTTGTCCCCTACATCGCTTTTGAGATCCTTGAATCCTTGAATAACTCCCTCTCTATCACCGTTGCCTTTGTCTTGATTCATTTTGAATTTGCCTTCCAATCGATGAATGCAAATTTCGATGCCAATGATATTCTTCTTCAACAAATTAACGTACGAAACAGGAGCGTCGGAAACGGCCCATGGCGAAGGTCTATCTCCGCCTGTGTGTCCCATAATCGACGTTTCGGCATGTTGGCTTAGATCCTCGAGTTGCCGCTGTAGAAAAGACGATGTCTCATCTGACTTTGAGTCACAATAGACTCGTATCTTCCCATAGGCCTGGACAGCGGAATAGTTCCACGTCGGAACGACTTTGCCTGTGGCAGGCTTAGTTTCGACATAGAATTTAGGAGTAACATAGTGATGGGCTGGCCCGTTAAATAGCACCAGGACTTCTTCCGGGAGTTCTTTGATCTGTGGATCATGATGCTCATTCTGAGTGGCAGCGAGGGCGTCCATGAGAGCCTTTGCTTGCGGATTCTGCTTAGCAATATGACCGCGTAGGACTCCGTATATCAGACCAGTATCAGAACCTTCATTGCCGTTCGCAGTTGCTTCGTGTCGATCTGAAACTTCGAGAATAAATGGAATGTGGCTTGCTTGGATTAGAGGATATGTTGTAGACTTTATTGCTGTTGTCAAAATGCCAAGGGGGTTGTCTTTAACAAAATCCTGGAGCCGATTGATGTCTGTTTCTGCATGCACCTCACGAAGATACATTTTGTCTGATTCACTGAAGTATGACGAGATCAGAATATATGAGTGAAAGAATAATAATGATCAGACTTAATGACTGACTCATAGTAGATGACAAAAAAGTTAATGACTTGACTCACAGTAGTGATAAAAAAAGGAGTTGCTCGGATTGGTTGAATGCGCCGAGGGTTAACTATTACTACCTTGATTCCCCGCTTGTTCATTGGCTTGATTGAAGGCTTGAAGAAGTTAGGGAGCCTTTTTCGACCAATAAGGAACGATATGCATCTGGATCTATATCCCAATCGTCCAATCAGCAAACGAACGAATCTAATGCTAGGTTAATAGTAGGATTAGTTAATAGCACAGGGGTGCACCTAATTGGCCAGAATAGGCATCGGATACGTGTCTTAGTTGACCCTTATTCTGATTATAAATATGGCCTCAAATAACCCCCTGAATATTCTCTTTAGTTAGATATGCAGAATATATAGTATTTTCCCAATACTAGCTAATACAGCGTTCCGAATCCGTTGTTAATTCATCATACATGTTCCAGTTGATAGAGAATCCGCCCCAAAGAGGAATTATGACAAAGCCATTTCTAATCCAAGTGTAGATGAGATGTCAGCCCTTGTTATTTGATCGGTGACTGATGAATCCCGTCGAGCCATTAGATGTGTGTTAAATTATACTCTTGGAATCTGTTCGTAAACCTGTTAGTTTATTTTAATTTGAATACATATGGGATGTCCAATTTCATATCGTTGAACTAGTGTTTTCTGTATCTCACTTTGTAAGGTGGTAAAGTGCTATAGGCATTCATATTTTCCTTCCTCTGACTCCTTAACACAAAAATAAAGGGGGGGGAAAGATAAAGAGCATAGTGAAGATCAAATAGTTACACAGTATTGTATGAACAACGTCATCTACATAGTCCAGGGACATTAAGCTAATCAAGGAGTTGTTATATAATCGTAAGAAATCTGTCTCCTAGTTTCACTATCACTTGAAATAGAATCACACCACCAAAATTTGCGTGTAGTTGCAGAACTTTGCTTCTCCCTTAAGGTTAGTTGATAGCCATGAGATAAGTATCCATATTTGTTTGACAAAATGAAATTGCACTGCTACTTCCTCTTGATAAAGGTACGAGGGGTTTAGTCGACTAAGGTCCCCCAGAACCTCCAGGTGCACCAGGGCCTCCAGAGCCTCCAGGACCTCCAGAACCACTATCGGAGTTCGAAACCCCACCAGAAGCAGTTAGATAAGCAGCTGGAGTAATAGAAGTATCCTCAGAAGAATCAATCGCTAGCGAAATCCAGGCAAAAATACCGTCGGATATATCATCGTCATTCAAGTAAACATAATCGACAAATGGATCAATCTCGTCCGCTTCTTGAAGAAGAATGCTATCGTCGGAATTTTCCGTCAGCGTCTGAGTGTTAGTGGTATAGGGAGAAGTGCTTTCAACCTCAGAGATGAGGTCCTGGTCGAAGAAGAGCTGGCCGACGTGTGATGCCTGCGAGGTGTAGAGTCCAGATATGGTGTCGTTAGCTAGAAGGGTCGTTTCGTTCGTGGGGTGGCTGAGCACTGATTTGGAAGGCTATTATTCAGTTTGTGACCCAACCAAATCGTAGAGGAGGCCCTTACCATGGATATGGGTAGCACGGCTAGTGTAGTGACCGGGGAATAGTGTCTCAAATTTGACGACACCGTCGTCGTCAGTCTGCTGAATGCCACGGAGGAAAGTTGTGTTTATATTGGAGCTATCAGCACTATTTCCATTTCCGTTCGCAACAATTCCGGAATAGACACCCTAACAATAGTTTAGCACATCTGCGGCACAAAAGAGGTACTAGTTTGCTCACAGTTGAGTTGCAGTGCCAAATGTCGACATATGATCCAGAAACTGGCTCACAAGTAGAAGAATCGACAAGTTGAATGTCGAGGTACAAGGGAACGCCGGTCTGATCTTCCACAATATTCTCACGAACAAGTTCACCGGTCACATCTTAATCAATAAGCATGTATATCCATGTTAGACCATATCGCATGGTAAAACATACAGTATGGGCCCTGTGTGACATCGGGCCCGAGGATACAAGTTGCATTTGATGCGAATAGAACCTCGGGATCTGTGTCAAAGTTGACATCTAAAGAAGAATGATGGCTGGTGTTCAGGGAGCCCAAGTCTCGATCTTCCAGCGTCGGCACTTCTGGATGTTTACATCAGCATACTTCACTGTCTGTTCTATAGATTTGCTGACAGAGAATAGAGGTTACCTTTCTTGATGGCAAGGCTTCGACGAAGCTTCTGAACAGCAAGCTCTCGTCGAGCGATGTTCTTCGCCTCAAAGCCACGGATCTTGAGTGTATCCGAGCACTCAGCGAGGCCGCGTTTACCCTTTAAAGCAGTAGCACGCTCACTGGCCTCAGCATTCACATCATGGCCGGGGTGCGCCTCGACGAGGGTAGAGAGCGCAACGAAGGCACTGAATATAATCCTTTCGAAGCAGACCATCGTGGAAGAAATGGAATTTTCAACTTCAAATTACAATAGAATGTTAGAATTTTTTTTTGTCTTGAGAATTTTGTAAAGACAATGCAATGACTCCTTTTATACCTCGTCTGACAGCATCAGCAAGCACATCTTCGCCCCCCGAACAGTATGGCTTACGCGTCCATCCCCAAATTTGGATCTTCGTGCACATTTCGACAGTATCAAGTTTGATATCGCCATGCTTGGCGGACGGTGGCTCTGCGGTAATTGCAACCCTTCTTTTCCTACCGTTACACTGCTTGTCTCCCACCTGTCAGGGCCTCAAAGAGTGCGATGAAAACCAAAGCTTCCATTGGATAGCACGGGACATCGGTTCGTAGCCAAGGCGGGAGAAACTGAAGGCTGTTTAGCATTTTCCATCAATGCAGGGTGGCCACGCAAGCTTACCAAACTGAAATTGGAATCAACATTTTCACTCCAAACATATCCCTGTATACGTTCATCGATGACCTCGGGATGAGATTTACACATGTTTCTCGTCACCGAATGGAGACAACCACAGAATGGACAGAGGGTTCAATGGTCAGGCATCTTGATCAGTGGGAATATGATAGCGAGGAGCTAAACAGGGCAAAAACAATGTTTTCCTGCCTCTGTACAAGGTGCTTGATTGATAATATCTGGGGTTCATATAGACCCATTGCCAAGCTTGACGGCGGAATTCTTGGCAAATTGATGACAAAAAAGAGCTTCCCATTGGCTGACAGTCGGCATGCAGTCCTTGGCAACGCGCAATTGTTGTCGGGTATATGCAAAGTCGAACGGGATATTGACACAGATGGATTAGGATATTTCATACCCTTCCTACTTGTAGATGATGAAATCTTATTTAATCGAAGAATTGAGACTCATTGCTTTGACACCAGCACGAAAAAGGCACAATGCCAATGCTGCTTGAAGTCTTAATCTCAGGGATTAACAAAAATTCGAAGGATTATCGTCTCCGGCTAAATACACACATGTCCATGCAAGTACACTGTCACGTACATGTTACCTAAAACCTTGGCGGTATCTTTCTCTGTTTTTAAATTGTATTTTTGAGAATTACTAGTAGTGTGGTGCCGCTGTTCATATTGACTTGTAAGATATACAGATAACAGTGATTGTCACGTTGGATATTAGCATGTTTATTCCAGCCAGATACCAATGGATAAATAGTCCTCGAGTTATACCTAGCAGTATGGACACTCGTCTACCTCCTCCAAGTTTTATTTGTGCTTCATCAAACATCTGAGAGGCTGTGGCTTCGAATGAATCGTGCAAATCGATAGGCCAAAAATAACACCGATAACCCCGATAACATTGATGATGGCTAACATTATGCTTACCACGTAAGTAGGATAATGTGGCAACTTCTATGGGGATATCAGACCAATTCACGATGGAGAAGTCGTGTTCTGTCCAGCTCGGGGTAAATATAGACTGAAACTAATCAGGGAAAGATGGAGGCATTGGCTTGAACGTAATCGCACTGGGATAGTGTCTTATCGATCAAAGACCTTAATCTAGTGAGGAGGGAAACAAAATTTTGAAATTCCCGATCTCATTATGTATGCATGGAGATCTAGTTCTCAAAGTTCCATCATATAATTGGATACTGTTAGATGCGCATGTAGTGAAGAAGATAAATTGCTTTCTATTCCGACATTGTTCAATTGGCATCCATAGGAAACATCGATGCTCCAACTTCACGCTACTTGGTAAATGACTGTGTTATTTCACCATCTCTAGTTCCCAGAGTGTTGGCCTGGGAGAGTATTACCGCCTTTCAGGGGATGTACAAGCGCTTCTGATGTTTCCTGACTTTGAGGATTTCCAATAAATATCTCAAAGCGTGCGATTATCCGCTGCCGGTTCCAGAAAGCTTTTTTTCATTTTTTTCATTTTTTTTCATTTTTTTCTCTTTTGTGTGTGTGTGTGTGTCGAATATCAAATTCTGTGACGTATTGACGAAGTGAACATAGACTGAGTAGTTCAGAGTCCTTTGTGGATATAGAATTTTGGCACTTGCTCTTCCAATATCATCTAATATTCGAATATTTTCCATACGATAGTCTGCAACAGAGATGTCGGGTTCATATAATCTCCGACATTTCCACTTGGATAACCTTTAACCTATTCTATGCAAATCACCTTTACCCACACAATAACTACTTTCTCGGTTGTATTTATTTTTTTCCAGCATTATTTGTGTTGGGGACGATTTATGAGAACGTGGGCAAAAATACATAGCGAACGAGGACAGCCTGGATAGGGAATTTGCACACTCCAGATGTATCGGCTTTATCTAGCAGCGGACTTTACTTTTGTTCAGTAACCTCGGCAAAAGTAGATCAATATTTAAACCATGTACTAGATTGGCTTGCATATTGTCCAACAAATTATACCAATGCCGAAATTGGTGTTCCCTGCAGCACGGATGCCCATGTAATATCCAATTCTACGCTTCTCCAGTTACGGCATTTCCACGTCGCGAATACTTCTTTATTGCGTAGTGCCTTTATCCACATTCTTTTCTTCCCTATCGCACAAGCGTTGATCGTCGAAAGTCCCAAAAGGGCAAGTCGATAGGCCACGGCGATAAGCGGCTGCCCTTATCGGGCGACACAGCATCTGCCCGCATTCTTTGTCTATTAAAAGACACCAAATTCTCATTTTCTAATTTATGGAGAAAAACTATTTGTATTGTACATAGCTTGCAAATTTCCGGCTCAGACACAATTTATTCCATCTGTACGAGGTATCCCATTGCCCTTCGTGAACCATCACCTGGCAATCTTGCAGGTTGCCTGCATGAGCGGTGTCCCATAGTTCTGCAGAATCTTGACACTGCCTTGAAAAAAATTTCTAAACCCCAGCGAAATCATTGACAGCAGTCAAATCATTCCTCCGAGATGGACTCGGTTCTGGAAGCGTGGGAGGCTTGCTCCAAAATTGACACCCTCTTCATTCTCGTCTGCTGTGTATTCTGCTGGCCTATTATTCCTGCTGTTGGGTTGGGTTATTCTGGCTATTCGACTCGTCGCAGTGGGCTTGCTTCATTTTATCCTGGTCTTATTGCAATTATCGTCTGCACAGTTCAGTGGTGGATCATTGGATACTCATTGGCGTACGGCGAGGGCAACTCGATAATTGGGGGATTTGAGAAAGTCTTTCATCGTGGAGTTCTAGCAGAACCAATTGGGTCCATTCCTGAGATACTTTTCTCGGAATTCCAGTTGATCTTCTGCGCAACTGTTTGTGCCATCGCCGTTGGCGGGGCCTGTGAGCGCGGACGTTTGCTTCCTCTATTCCCATTTTGCTTCGTATGTGATCACTGTTCCCTTGTGCTTACTGATGAAACATGCTTTATCCCCTTTCTACTCCGGTATTATCATTTCTTATGCTAGCCTCTATCTAACCGGCTTAGTTGTGGAGTACTTTCGTTTACGAACCTCTTGCGCATATGGTGTGGTCAGAAAATGGCTTCTTGGGTAATATCGGAGTGCTCGATTTTGCGGGTGGCACTCCTGTTCACATATGCAGCGGCGCAAGTGCCACGGCTCTTAGTATTTATCTATCCTACCCCCTCTTTCGCTCTCGAAAATCCACCGTTCGTACTCCCCAGCATCTGAAATTGCATCGACCGCATAATAGCATCTGCCAGTTATTAGCGTTGGTAATTATCTGGAACGCCTGGCTGGCTTTTGATGCTGGCACCACTTTGTCATTGAACTTCAAGAGCGTGATGGCTGCCTGCGTGACCAACATTTGTGCTGCTGCCGGTGCTCTGACCTGGTCTTGCATAACCTACTATGAGTCGGGGACCTGGAGTCTCGATAGTACATTCATGGGTGCAATCTCGGGCCTCGTTCTCATCACGCCAAGTGCCGGCTTCGTGGATATGACCACTGCATTTTTCATTGGTGTACTGGGTGCGGTGGTATGCCGACAGGCCCTTCGCATTAAGTTCACAAAACGTGCTGCCATGTGGCGCTGGGTGGATAACGGAGACACCTTTGCTACTCACTGTATCGGTGGATTTCTTGGAACTATTGTCACTGGTCTCTTTGCACAGCGTGAAGTCGCTGCCTATGATGGATTCACTGTCATTAAAGGAGGAGTTTTCTTTGATGGAAACTGGGAACAACTCGGTATCCAGATCCTCGAAGCGCTGATAGGCTTTTCTTGGAGTTTCATGGGAAGTTACATCATATATGCTTTGATTGATTGTGTCCCTGGGTTTGAAGTACTCGCAAAGGATAGGTAAGTGTGCTGGCAGTGATTTCCCCTCCCCCCTACGAAATATGAATAGAGTCATACGCTAACTAGCATGAATGACAGTGAGGTGATATCTGGAATGGATGCTTCTCAAATGGACGAGTCGCTATACGAAGCTCAATGGGAAACGGAAGCAGACTATCATCCTTTCGAAGGTTCTGTGAGACTGGAATAGATTAGACTGGCAGAGTCCTGCAGCTCAATGCTCCAGCGGGTACGGAGTGCCCGATGTTCGGTATGCCTAGAAAATATATTTAGATTATGCCAGTAAGCATCTGTGCTTAGGCTGCAGTTTTACAGGAGTACAAAGAGAAATAAAGATACATAAAAAAGCCAAATATTCAAGTTTCGGGTCTCTGAGCATACCAAAAGTAATAATTGAAATACCGATGGACTTTAGTATCTTCCAACGCTTTTCGTGCAAATGCTAGGGTCACTTGACCCTCAGCACCAGATATGCCTAAAGCATCGAAAGGTCGACCGGCAATAACAGGCAGCATGTCAAGAACAGCCATTTTCTGATAAAGCCCAATGAGTCTCATAGTCTTATCTTGGGCCCATACTCCAATAGGGACCTTCTTCACAACACAATGGATATTCTCGAATCCAGCGCTACGTATCAGCGGCTCCAATCGTTTCGGTAAAGTGACATCCATTCCAAATTTGGCAAATGCCTTGCCAGCTAGGTCGTACATATATTTTACGGGGTCGTCATCGGGCATTGTGTCATCGTCACATAAAGGCTCACCACAAAGTTCTTGGAATTCGACCCAGCCACCTGGCCTTAAGCTCCTAGAACACAATTAGACAGGTAAATACAATTGCAACTAGCAATTAATTGCCTGGAGCATTTAAAAAGTGTGGTAGATGGCTCACGTATAGGCGTGCTGCAAGACAGTCGGTACATCTCTTAGTATAATAACCATAAATCGAAAGTGAACAAGATCACAGTCTTGATCCAGCCAATCCCTTTCACAATCGTCAATCAAGAAATCGACGTTCGGGGGCACCCACGACGGCTGGATGGGAGATAGGTCGATGCCTCGGACGCGAGCACTTGGATATCGGTCACCCACTATGTTATAATGAATATTTAACTGATCAAGTTATTTTCAATCAAAGCTCACCATCCATTGCCCATATACCAGTGCCCGTGCCGATATCTAGAATATTTTGTGGATTCTCGCCGATAGGCGCATAGAACAATTCCCCATCTGTAAGCTCAAGCATCATAGAGTGTTTCAGATCTTCCCTGTCTTGCTCGCTGTCATCGTTTGGAATTGGGTACCGACCATTCTTGAAGCATTGATAACGACGGCCGTTTTCGTAGGTATGTGCGAAAATACTTGACGTTGCGCTTGCGGATCCAGCCGACGCCGACTCGATGCCCTCAGTGGCATGGAATTCATCCTCGTCAAGAGGCCCGCTGGCTGGCTCTATTGGCGACGTTTCTGGTAGCTCAGAAAGTGCTGTGAATTCGTCGACTTTATTCGTTGGCTTTGGCTCTACGGCGCAAGCGCTGCTGCTCATAGTGAGTTGCAAGATTGTAGATTCAGTCGGTTCTGGCAATTTCGAGGACTATACAGGAGCTTGTGTCATCGTTCGGAACCTTGTTGTGCAGCTACAACGACTAGGTTATATTATATGCCTAGACTAGAGGCGCTTGTTGTCGAAGCTAGGTCTGACCAGACGCAATTAAAACGTGCTGAGAGCGGGAGCAAGTGTGACTGATGTAGCAGCGTTTATCACTACTATGAGACGCATTGACGGGGGGCCCTTGTCACGACCAATGGCCGCCTGTGGTTTCCATTCCTAGCCTGAAGAATGATGATATACAGTGGAGTCTCGCTACATAGTACGTACAACGTGGCGTTTTTTTATGATGCATCCGATTTTAACATGCAATCTCGGTTTTCTGCATCAATGCCTACCTAATTTGTATATTTTTTCGACCATCTTTGACGTTTGCTGCTATTGAAAGCAGTTGTGATCATGATGCCCAAAAAATCAAAGAAATGCAAAGAATGAAAAAGACAACCGGGGTGCATAACTCGCAATACTATTTTTCACAGTACGGAGTACAGTAACTAGATTTTACTCTGTCTTCTCTTTTCATTATTATTGTTTTAAAAATTAGGCACTGCGCAATCCAAGGTTCCGGCACGGAGCAATCTGCATGTATACACACACTACTGCAAGTTTTATCTAGTTACATTATCGCTAATTAAGTGACTTCTCTTGGCTCGTATAACTCAAACGTCGAACTTTTCCCAAGTGAAATCGCACATATCGTAAATTTAAGTGGCAATATGTCAGTCATCTTGCGTATCTACGTAGCACATATATGATTTAGACGTAGTAACCCCTAAACCTCTTCTATATCTGAAACCGCCTCAACTCCACAATAAATCAGGATGAAAAACAAGCTAGGCAGATCGGCCATGTCCTTGGGTTGCTATCAGCATCTTACTTACAGTCTCTTCGTTCATCGAATACTCGGCTTCTTGAAGAGACTGTTTGACGGCCTTCGCTGTCCTCTCGATCATTTCCGCGTCAAACGCGGACATGATCGCTTTTCTATCCGCGATTCCTGTAACATCTCTAATTTTTGTAAGGGCCTCGATATAGTTGGTAACATCTACAATGGCATGTTGAAAGCCTTGGCCTCGGTCTTAGTTTTTGGTTTAGTCATATTTGTCAGCTGATGTTTGAAAGTTGACTTTTTGTCTTGTCAAGACGTACAGATTAGCATTGGATGAGCGGCATCTCCTGCCAGTGTCACTCTTCCGGCATGGTTATTGAAGGGAACGGGAACCCAGTACTTCATCTCATCAACATAGCAGCTACTGCCAAGCGGGGTCCAGTTGATAAGTGACTGAAATGGTTCACAGACATTCTTGGTGGTTTCCTTGATGAATTCAAGAGCGTCTTGTTCTTTGGGAAAAATATCTGCGCTTCCCTTCCAAATTTTGGTCCAAAAGGTCGTCCAGGTAGACATGTCGTTCTTATCTCCCACGTACATGACTAGAGGCGAGTCACAATTCTGTTAGACAGTCTGGTACAACTAAATAGAGAGTGAAAGATAGAACTGGGTAGTGCACAGCAAGGCATAAACATACCGCCACAGCCTGTGACCGCCTCCATGCCTAACGTAATGGCAGCGACAGGATGAGCTTTCACCACAGCTTGAACCTTATCTGCATCATGATAGTTGGCAATTCCTGTGGCAAACATGAAGCCAGAGAACTGCACTCGTGCTGCGTCTGGACCTAGTATTAACTCTCGTACTTTGGATGAGGCGCCATCAGCGGCGAAGACATAATCTGTCGTGTCTTGCTCTCCATCATCAAATACCAAATGAACTTTATTCTCTGTTGCTGCATCATCATCGCTTCTGTCAGAGGGAAAGCTTATCTGGGAAAGTGTTGTGCCCCATTTGATATCAAGGCCATTGGCAAGTACTCTTCGTAGACGCTGTCGTGATACCCGTCTAGAGTCGGGCAGTGGACTCTTAAAGAGAAGTTCACCAGTGATGCCATGGTAACATGGAAGACACTCCACTTCTTCATTGAAGTCCAGATAGGGATTGCATATTGCCTTGGGTATATTTTTCTTGATGTCTTCTGGCAGCAAGTTGGTCAAGGCTGGCATGGCCCAGTGTAACAAAATAGTCCAATCGCGAGATCGGGCATCAAAGCTCTTTTCACGTTCGAATACAACAACATTAAATCCGCTCTTATGGTTCGGTCAATAGGGATTAGCATTTAGGAGATTAAATTTCAAGTTATCGCGGAGATAAAGCAGGGCAAACAGTATACCTTTCTGAGTCCCTGGGCAGCTAACAGACCCGTTAATCCCGCTCCAATTATGGCAACCTTTGGCGGTTTGGAGCTGCTCCCTGCCTGTCCGATCATCCTTTGCTTGAAGTTCCTCACGAGGCCAAGCATGGAGCGCCGAGCGTGATATTTATACTAGGATTGGCGTTTGGGAATAAAAAAAAAAGAACTTCAGTGCACGCGGAATTGATGCTAAAATGGACGTTTTCTAAATCCCTTCGCTGCATCTAAGACCCCCACTCAATAGTGATGACGATACGACGGTATATGCTATGAGCCTGTACATTAATTGGTCGTGATATAGTTAGACAACTAGTGCTACACTACTAACTGCAAAGTCTCTGCAACAAGCCGTTCAACCACGCTGCTTAAGAGTTGTTCGGTGCATGGGCCTCTAAAGCTAAGCCACATTCTTCAATGAATTCGTTTTTCTATATCGAAGTTATAATTACTCGCCGTTGACCTATCATAATTGTCCCGATTTCCATCGATCTGAGCGTCAAAATGACGCTAAGAGATTTGACGACTACTAAAATAGAAACTTTAAAGCTGTTGAATTTACCAGCTTGTGGTTTATCTATGGAGGATGTCGTGGCATTCTTCACGTATTTTTCACGATTAATACTGAGGCACGTAATAAAATAGAAGAATACCTCAATCTTTGCACCCAAGTTCTCGAATAATTTCCGTCCTGTAAACGTTTGTCACATGATAGCAAGAAGAAAGGGGAACTTAAGAATAGTACAAGCGTGACTTACTTGACTCTAGAACTTTATGAGATATCGTCTTCTGGGCTACTCAGGACATAGATTACTAAAAATACAATATACACAGGTCATTTCGATAAATAGAAACATAACCGACTGTTTGGATTACGATTCACCGAGCTTTTGAACATGGTACACGGCACACATTCATTCACTCCTTGATTCAGAGATGCTTCTCGTGCTCCGTATAATAGAGTGTTATTGAAGAGGCATGCATACTCCAATTGCGTCTACTTCAGCGCCGGCGAAATGGTTACCTCTCTCATATATACCTAATCGTATCCTTCTCGATCTGGAATAGGGCCATGAGCAGGAACATTGGATACTTAACATGTCATCGTTCGAATAATCATGAATATAATGCTGTGGGACGCGCCTGTAAAAGCACGTAGCCCACAAAATGTCGTTATCATGCACTGCAACAAGTGTATCCCACAAAAACATATAACAATATTGTTTTGAAATTGATTAATTGACAGTATTGTACATAAAGAATGAATGTCTGTATAGCAGTGAGCCCCTCTTCTATTGAGAAGCCGCAAACGTATATAGATAGTCCAGTCGTGCTGGTAGTAGAAGTGTAATACCCAAATCTTGGGTAGTCGTCTGAAAACCTGGTCGCGAGGGCTAGCTAAGCGTTAGAGGTAGCGACATTTGTACTTGGAACAGGTTCCTTGTTAAGACCAAGTAAATCCCCTCTATCACCTCGGTGGTCACTGAAGGCCACGTTCAGCTTTTTGAAGTCCCATTTCCGAGTCATAAGAACGAAAATTATGCTTAACACCGGGCCCATAAGTACGTCCAGAACGCCGAAGAAGATAAAGCTGCTTGTCACACCGATGAGATTGCTGCCATCACTAAGAGCAAATGCAATTGGATACAGAATCCACAGTAGATTCAAAATCCCGGAAAGCAAGACGTAGTCACGGTTGATTCCAAGGAGAGACGCCGATTCCCGGCTTTCGTTCAGTGTACTCATTGCAAGAATGAGCCATGCAAATGTACCAAAAGCAAAAAACCCCCATTTATAGTCCGTGATTGTGTAAGCAGCAGCCAGATACGTGAGAATCCAGAACCATGAAAGAAATATGTTGCAAATGATAGTGGTCCACGAGACACCTGATAGCAAACCCAGGGATAGAGCGAAGGAGGGAAAGGAAATCGCCCAGTTGATGTACTTCGCAAAGAATATCTGACGAGATGCTCCAGACGCGAGATGCTCTGCTTGGTCAATAGCAGTCCACCCCAAATCCGAAGCCTGGGCGAAGTAGGTAACCGAGCCCACCAGCAGGGCCATGGTCAGAATGTAGTGAAAAACCCTATCGCTCTCACGAACGGCGAAGCAAACACTCAATAAGCCGATCTACGAACGGTCACATCTCGTCAGCATATATGTCATACATAGCGTACAGTACTCAAATGTCAAGTTCCTTTTTTTTTCCTTCCTTTTCATGCAGCTTGCACTTACAAAAGATACAATGTAGAGAGCTGTGACAGCCCAGAGCCAATCAGATCCATGTTGAGACAAGGATTCAGTGACGCCAACTGCTGGATTAACAGTGAGAGCATCGTTTCCTCGGGAGAAGATGTCCATATTGACGTTTGAAGATTTGAAAAGTTTTATGTGAACAACCGAGGATTTGTATATTGCAAGTATTCGAAAGATGAAAACAGGTGGGAGATGATAATCAGATATTTATACTTATAGCACCTACGAATATTGCCCCTGGCCATTGGCGATTGCTGAAGTTAGATCGCAAGCCCCCATGGCTGTCTGTGTATGTCCGTTAATCACTAAAATCGATCCTCCGAATATCTAAGCCCATTTGATTATAAATCTTGCACTCTAGTGGATGTGGACAATATGATTATCAACTCGGAGGATGCCAAAGGTGTGCCAGCTGTAAAGCTTGCATGAGAGATGTGTTGTTTCATCTTACCACAAAGAGAGGAGAGCGGACGGTGGAACATGGCCGGATGATGGAATACGACGGAGGGTGAGGTCGGGAGGGTGCCAGCGGACCATGAACAAAGGCCGACCGGATTAAGAATCGTAGTATTAGACTATGAGCTCTGATCCTTATTAAATATCGGGCGCTGACGCAGCAACATAAATACCCTATCATATCCCCATGGACGGCTCATCATTACGCTTTCGTTCGCCGCCCTACGAACAACCTTGGAGTCTTACAAAAGCTACATTGGTGGACGTTTTACATAGGTTCTAACGTGCCTGTTTTGGTCCAATTACATTGCCTACGCTAAGCAAACTTGTTCCACGTGAATCATGACTTGACTTTTTATCATTGAGATCTAGGTAATTCAAAGCCCGGATGATTATTCCCTTGTGTTGTTCTACATCATGCACGTAACCGTCCGTAGGTATCACTGATGAACGCGCGCCAAGGGTTTTCTCGTAAAGACTTTTAGGCTCTCCTGCGTCATTCAACCGCGGCTAATAGTGACCGGTAAAATATAATAATCCATCTGTCTAGGTAGATTCGGTTCGAAAAGCCATAATTGATTTCGGAAGAATCCCCGTAACTCGAATGACCCCGGTACATAAAATGGTAGTTCTGAACGTCGATCTTAACATATGATCATCGATTCCCCGCATGACCGTAGGATCTTGATTCCAGGAACTCCATTAGTGGATAGAGAATGAAATTCTGAATATTCCGGAGAACCCCGCAAACATATACATACCTACCTAGATGGGTAAGTGCGTGATGGAATAAGCAGCTTGGCGGACAACCCAAGGTGACAATCCTAACAAGATCTAGTTAGCAGCTATGTCCAACCTATAGCAATAAAATATAATCCATAATGTTGTCCGGCTGCTTAGGTTAATTTAGCGAGAGAATTGAACCGAAATGTGCTCGTACCAACAATAACTAATTGAATGATCGGAATCTTTGGTCATCACGAGTACGATGCAGAAATGCATAAGAATGGCCTATGAGCCTCGTGAAAGGAGTAGAAAAAGAAGATAATAACAACAACGATTCCTCCTTTTGAGAGAAGAGGACCAAGCTATTCTTACATATATGCTTTAGTGTCATTTATTGGCACTTGCGTCTCGTAAAAATGATGGGCGTCAGCATTCTCTATTCTCTCGCGCTACTTTCGAGTGCATTAAGCCCAGTAGCTTTAGGGGTTACTTTGACTGTCTCAAAGACTGGTGGTAATGCCTCGAGCCCATTGCTCTATGGGGTAATGTTTGAAGTACGTTCATTTCTGACAAAAAAAAAAAAAATGGTTTTCGATGCACATGTCTCAGAAATGAATCAACAGGATATTAACAACTCTGGCGACGGTGGTATTCATGGCCAAGTGCTCAAAAACAATGGCTTCCAAGGGGATAATCCAGGATTGACCGCTTACGCCGCTGTCGGTAATGTAACTCTGTCTCAGGATACATCTAATCCTCTGAGTTCAGCTATCACCTCCTCACTCAAGGTCTCCGTCCCGTCTGGAGCCACGGGATTTATGGGATTTGCGAATACAGGATACAACGGAGTACCCGTCTTGAAAGCGACATACGCCAATTATTTCTGGATGAAAGGAACGTACTCCGGTGTCATCACTGTGAGACTTGTGGGCTCGGAAAGCGACATTGTGTACGCTTCACAAAATATCACCGTCAATAGTAACTCTTCGGCATTTTCTTATTACGAAACCTCGTTTTCATCAGCCGAGTCTCCAGATGGCAACAATGAATGGCAGCTGCTCTTTGACGCTGCGGAGGTTGCAGGTAGCTCCTTAAATTTTGGATTAGTCCAACTGTTTCCTCCAACTTACAACGATAGGTAGGCCAAAGGCTATCTACTAATCATTAGCGGATTGCTAGAGTTCGACATTTACACTGACATTTGGCAGATATAACGGTTTACGAGATGACGTGGCCAGTTTTATGGCAGATATTCAACCATCCTTCTTGCGTTTCCCAGGAGGAAACAATCTGTATGAAAATGCAACTACATCGTTTGACATTTGAACAAGTTCCTGATAGTTTGTCTTCCAGGGAAGGTGCCTCTACTAGTAACCGTTGGAAGTGGAATGAAACAATTGGACCTGTAGTTGATCGCCCTGGACGAGAAGGTGAGTGATTGCTCTCTGCGTGATATGATGAGGATTGGCTAATGAATCTTTCAGGAGATTGGGGGTATCCCAATACTGATGCTCTAGGTACCAAACACACTCCGCTATGATTATTGATATTAGCTTTTACTGATTTGTTTCAGGCCTAGACGAGTATTTGTATTGGTGTGAAGATATGGGCTTGACACCTATTTTGGCAGTGTGGGACGGGCACAGCTTTGGAGAGATTGTATCTGGGTCAGATCTTGACCCATATGTGGACGATATTCTCGACGAACTTGAAGTGAGCTACTTAAATGGATGGCTATATCATGGCTTACTGACGGTGGTCAAATATAGTACGTTTTAGGTGACGTAAGCACACCGTACGGTGCTCTTCGTGCTAAAAATGGCCGTACCGATCCATGGCCTGTGAAATATATCGAAGTTGGCAATGAAGATAACCTCTCAGAAGGTTGTGACACATACGCATCTCGCTTCACCCAGATCTATGATGCAATCCATGCACAGTATCCCAATTTAACATTAATCGCATCTACAACGGACTCGAGCTGTTTGCCATCAACCCTACCGCCTGGGGTGTGGACTGATATTCATTATTACGAGACTCCCGATGAATTTGTTTCATTATTCAATGAGTGGGACAATTGGTCACGAGATAGACCCATATTTGTTGGAGAATATGCTAGCACTACTGGAAATGACGGTAGTACAACATATTGGAGCAACATGCAAGGCAGCTGCAGCGAGGCTGTCTACATGATTGGGCTGGAGCGCAACAGTGATATTGTGAAGGCGGCTAGTTTTGCACCTGTCCTCGAACATTTTGACTTGGCTGAGTGGTCGGTAAGCATTCCCCTGTCGAAAATGAACTATTTCACGCATGGGCCATTGGCCATGTTGATTTTATTTTGCATATTCCTTTTCTAAGATAATGATAACAGCCCGACCTGTACGGACTGGACTCTTCACCAGGCTCGTTGACAGGTTCTACATCGTATTATGTCCAAAAGATGTTTTCCACTAACAGGGGCACGGCAATTCTCCCCGTGACATCCGATACTGGGTTTGGTCCGGTATACTGGGTTGCCTCGGTGGCCGGATCGACCTACTACGTCAAGTTGGCCAATTATGGGTCTTCTGCGGAGACAGTTACAGTTGAAATCGAGGGCACCAGCTCCGGCAAGTTAGAAATGCTCTCTGGGGGTGAATTTATTAGCAATTATCCACACAATGTGTCCATCAGCACGCAGACTAGCGACGTTTCAGGGAGTGGCAGTTTCACCATTAGCCTACCTGCCTGGGCAGTTGGAGTACTCGCTGTATCTTGAAGTAAGTATATCTATAAGGACTCCATAAGGACACCTATTTGCACCAACTCTTTGTTCGTGTCTTTCAAATATCCATACCACTAAATGTACGCTTTGGCGTCACTACTTGTATGTGTTACTTTATGAACCCATTTTCAAGCATGTGAACAGGGCAAGAAATCAACAATAAGTAGATTCATGGATACTTACAGATAGGAGTGAGAAGGCTAGCTGCTTCAACGACTGGTTAAACCGTCATACATCACAAATTAGGTTTAGGGCTGTGGTTCTGACGGTGGCGTTACCTCCGTTACCTCCGAGCACTAGTAAAGATTCAACGCGCCGCTGGCGACGATAACTAATGAAACAGGACCGGCTCTTGCTTTACTACTACACTATTCTAAAGACGTTACTGTCTAGCCTGCTTCGTCGACTAGAGCTAGACGATATTTCTAATTATGCCGTTCGAATTCATAGACAACAACGCGCGCATCGACAGCATCGCCAGAAAGCGCATCCGCAAGCTGGCCGCCACGGGGAAGAACGCTGGAAAGACCGTCGTGCGCCCGTCTAAAATCAAGGCATTTAAAGAGCAAGCTAGACACCCAACAATCTTGACAAGATTAGAGGAAAGAACATCGGAAAACCCGCAAAAAACTGTATCGGAGGATCCGGTTCTTACAGTTGAGCGACAGATTGGCGATGTCCTATGCTTTCTGTCTTCATCAACCAAGCTGAGCCCGACATCCCAAGTTCTTGCTAAAAGAGGTTAGTTAACGTTATTACAAATACGTATTCACTTGCAAGCATAGCTTCTACGTGGATTTTCTGTTGACAGTTCGATGTTGGCTGTGCAGCCATCTACTTCATAACAGGCCCTCGCCACTCACCTGAGCTAAACTCCATTTTTCAAACCGACACCAGTCTCGGCTCGACATGGGTGAAGCTTATCTTTGAGAACGAGGCTTGTAAGTCACAATCAACCCTTCAATGTCCTATACACTTGGAGTCATCTCTCCCTCTAACCACCTGAACCCAAATATATCCACGAGCAGTTTTACATTGCTCTATAGCTTTGAGTATGTCAGTTATAAGCAGCCATACTGCAAACCGAGATGATTCCAGAGAAGCGATTCATCACTTGTGTCACACATTTCGCATGGTCAATGAACAACTGTCCGAAAACGGGGTTGTTTCCGTTTCTACGATCGCTACTGTGATGATGTTGGCTCAATATGAGCGACATCAGAGCCAACATTATGAAGGTCTCGTGCATATGAACGGACTTCAACGATTAATAAATCTACGAGGCGGTATCCTCGAGATCAAAAAGGATCTGCCTATATTAACACAAAAAATATTTAGGTAATGCGTCCTGAAAGCTACTACGCCATTGAATATTGACAGATGTTTTGTAGGATCGACCTTGACTACGCTTTATACATGGGCACAACAACAATGTTCCGTGTTGAGCATCTCATGTCAAGCGATTTGTTTCTTACCGCAGTTGGAGCTAATTCATCTAATTTCGAAGGATCAGACCGGCCCGAATATAAGGAGCTTTTTGGATATTTGGCTCCGGATCTCTATGAGCTATTGATTGATACGACGACTCTTTCCGGGCGAATCAATTATGCAAGCACCACGAAGCTGACGAAACTCAACCCTTATGCATTCAACGCAACAATCATCTTTCTTGGATATCGCGTACTTGAGATTAGCTCACTCAGTATGTCCTGTCAGCTAAGTCAGATTGAAAATGCTGTTCATCTGGGCATCGCGATGTTTGTGACAACCTTTATGAACAAGCTTGATAGAAGAATGCCGGACATGCCATTTTTAGCCGAATCATTGCGCTCACTTGTCAAGTGTAGCTTTGACAACGATAAATCAGTTCTGCTGTGGATCCTTTTGCTTGGGGAAGTTTCTGTTCTGACCTATGACGACCGTGACTGGCTACTTCCAATGGTAGCACAAGTGGCTCAGGAATTGGATTTGGTCACTTGGGGCGATGTTTTGACAGTGCTAAGCAAATTACCATGGATATATGCTCTTTACAACAAGCCAGCCCAAGCACTTTGGTATGATATTTCATTCATATATATGCAGCCAGACAATTATCCAACATCAATCCCTACTGGCAAATGAGATTAGCAGGAAAAAAAGTTCTGGCACTTTCTTTTTTGGACTACATAACTTGTGGAAGGCGAACTGCAAAAGTATGGAATAATTGTTATGCGGACTGAGAATCACGACTACAAAACTTGGACGGAGATATCTATGTCGTGATCGTCACATTTGACAAACTTTGTTCGCCTCAGCGTGAAATGAATAGCTGCAAGATGCTCTACTCTTCTTCAACAAATTCCATACATCCCGGTGAGATCAACTCCAGTTCTTCGGCGATGGCGCTCCAAACCAATTCCTGTGTTTTCTTCCCTGCCTCATCCGTCACCCATGAAGGTACTTTGTATCTTTATGCGAGAGCCAGATCAGTATAATAAGTTCTAGCGGATGATTGGCTACAACTCACTCAGCAATCTCACAGGATGAAAGATAACATCCATGGCTTTCTTTTCCTCCAACAGCACCATGCAGAAGTGTTCTGCTTCCAACCTCCGCAGTGCGTCCGTAGCTTGCGTGCAGTTTTGCAAGCTGTTGCCGGAATTCTGGTGATGCATTTCGGGAGAGTTCCGTCTTGCACAAGCCGGGATTAACAAGGTTAATCACAACTCCGCTCCGAGAAACAGGAACCAAGCTGGCAAGCTGGCGCACAAATAAAACCTCCAAAAGCTTGCTGAGAGGGTATCTAGAAGGTATTAAATGAATGAACAAGTTGAAAGACATGGGAATGGGGGTTTCAATACTGACATTGCCCTTCCGATATCCTCTTTATCCATCTTCACCAGCGGGTCATCCCTCAACTCGTTCCATTTCGCCTGAATATCAAAGGCTGTGCCACTAGTGACGATAGTTAAATGAGGAGTTATGCCAAACGCTCGTGCACTTTCTCTCAGTTTAGAGAAAAGCAATACCCCCAGCAAAAATGTGCCGAAAACATTAACTGTTAGGCACAAAGAACGTCCCTCAGCCTTGTCATGGTCGGTGGCAACAGCAGCGTTTTCAATCACTGCGTCAATGCGATCCAGCTTCGCAATTGCTTTACTGGCAAATGCTTTGACAGAGTCATAGCTGGAAAGATCGAGAGCCCAAACTTCAGCATTTTCCTCCTTCCCAGTTTCCTTCACAATGTTGGCCAAGGCAGTCTTACCCGCGGTCAAATTACGCACTGCCAGAATGACTCTCGCAGCCCCGAGGGCTACAAGATGTTTGGCTGCCTCGTAACCAAGCCCCGTATTAGCTCCAGTGACTATATACGTTCTACCAATACAAGACTCGGCTGTGACAAGGAGTGGAAGGTCTTGGAGTTGAGTAGCAACTGCGTCGGTCATGATTGCCAGGGGTAGGGGGTATTCTCTTAGCTAGGTGTATAGTGACGAAGAAATTCAAGGCGAAGTTTGAAATGAACTCTTATAGGTATGAAGATAGCAGTATCTGAGGTTGTGTTTTTGTACAGATCTTTGGAAATTGCGAGAGATATTTATACTTGCTATGTACCCCGTAAGGGTACGTCTGGCAAAGCGCAAACAGTCCATGAGAGTACGAATTGCACCGGATATAACTAATTCCCGAGCAGTGTCTGCTGTAAACTCCGGACTTGAAGACAATATTTACTTGGTATAGCTTCAATATGCATTATTTCAGGTATTGAGGTCTATTTGTCCAATGGGAGAGAAATTGCCTAAAATAGAATAGTCGGATCGAGGAATCTCCCTTGATGTCCCCACCATCTTCGTAAGAAGCCAATAAGAGACCATTTTCTCAAAACAGTTTAATGCAAGTACCGCTTTGGGTCTGGTCTGTACCTGATGGAGATTTTAGATTGGAGATGGATATCTTGATTGGCTCATCGGTAAATGGCCTTCTATTTCGGGAAAAGCCGATCAATCAAGCGGGGCTCATAATCAAACTGTAGCCACCTGGAGTTTCCAAAGAGTGTCTCTGATTGGCGCAATGTCGTGCTCAACGGAGAGAATGAGGAAATTCGTCAGTCTTGAGGAAACGGGAACATAACACTTATAAGTTAGCCAGCGACACCCATGGTGGCTGCACCGTGGCCAGAGCGTTGAAATGCAAGGAAGTACGAGCGAAGAATAAAACGTCCCCGCCACTGGTCATGCCGAAAGCAGTTAGCACCGAGGAAGTGAAAGCGCCTGCAGATGCTGTCGTTGACCAGCTGAGAGCCAAACTAGGGCTTGTAAACAAGCAGGTTGGTAACTTTTCCCGTCTTTGCCCTTTGTTTTATTTAACGAGTCGCTCGTGTACATATAAGCTGGGTTCGCTGCTTACTTATAATGCCAAGATTTGGTCCAACCCAGAGACTGCATATGAAGAGCATAATATTCACGATGCCCTTTGTGATTTCTTAGAGAATGAGGGATTCCAAGTCACCCGGCATGCCTTAGGTCTGGAAACTTCATTTGACCCGTAGTGGTTCAGGCGGACCCCTCGTTAATTTCAACGCTGAATATGACGCGCTGCCAGGGATCGGTCATGCCTGCGGTCACAATTTGATTGCCAGCAGTAGTATTGCTGCCTTTATAGCACTGTCAACAGTATTGAAAAGGTTTGGTATGCCCGGCAGAACGCAGCTACTGGGGACTCCAGCCGAAGAAAATGGCGGCGGTAAAGCCAAGCTGATTGAAAATGGTGCTTACCAAAGGGCCGATGTCTCGTTGATGGGGTAAGCGGAAATGGGCAACCTCCCCCGTGTTTTAACTTCTGACATTATTCACAAAAATAATACTCGACGTAATGCAAAATAATGCCAAATCAGTGTTACGTTTAAAACAGCCCGCTAATGAATGTCTTGGTGTAGTCATGCTGGTCCGACACGGATCTTCCCGGAACTGGAATCAGATGGGATCGCGGGTCTGTTAGTCAATGCTCGCAAAGAATTCACTTGCGAATTCATTGGCAAAAGTGCTCATGCAGGCGGAAATCCATGGACTCGACTCAATGCATTGGACGCATTGGTGACGTCTTATAATAACGTCGCCGTTCTTCGTCAGCAAATCCAACCAGATGACCGTATTCATTGTGCCTTTTTAGATACTCCAAAAGATGTCAGTATAATTCCATATTAAACGAAGGCATTGTGGCAAGTTAGAAGCCCGACATTGACAGGCCTAAATCAGTTAGTGCCTCGTGTTCGAAACTGCATAGAAGCCGCCGCTCTTGCAACCGGTTGCAAGGTTAATCTTATGGAGTACGTAAATTCTGATTTTCCGGGAGCGCTCTAACATGTTCTCCTTCAAGGGAAACATTATACCAAATCACTGAATCATTATGTATAGGGACCAGCTCTATGCTGATATTGAAATCAATGAGACGCTGTGTGAACGGTATCAATTCCACATGTCTAAGTACGGACGCAATGTGACCAAGAATTTTCCCAAATTCCTAGCAGGGTCATCGAATGTTGGTTAGTTTAACGCCTTGAAGATTTTCTTCTGTATTGCTGTGCTGAAATCCACAAAACTAGGAAATGTGAGCTACATTATGCCCACTATTCATCCAATGTTCTCCATTCATGCTCCAGATGGTTCTTTCCCACATAACCCTTCCTTTGAGACTGCTCCTGGAACTGACGTCGCGTTTGAAGAGGCTTTGGTTGTGGGGAAATTATTGGCATTAATCGGTTGGGATGTGCTTACTGACAATGATCTATTGCAACGTGCAAAGTATCAATGGAAGCAAGCAACATCTGAAAATCAGACCGTGTCAAGACACCTAGGTAGCAATACCTTGAGTGACTTACTATAATGCCGTGCCCAGCGAAAAAAATTTGTAGTATTATAATGGTAATACGTATTGAGGAAAGTTACAGGAATTTAGAGACGCAGAGTATTATTAGGTGTTTTCGTAGTGCTTTCAAATTGAGCAAAGATGCAGAAGACACATTGACATGACATAAGAAAGCAAGCATTGATGGGCAACGACATTCCTTGCAGGTCAATGACGAAACGAAATGAAATCAAGAATGGATAGAAAACTATAAAAAGAAAGAGCAGAAAAGAAAACGAAAAAGATAGATGTGCCAGCGGGCAAAAGAATTTCCACAGAGAAATATTGATATCTCTCGTACCTGATTCCAGCGAATGCACGTGTTAGTGAAAATAGCGCGAGGTATAGAAGTCTACACACTTGGCTATTTATAGTTCCACGTCTGCATGTACCCCATTAAGGCTTCGTGCGTCAACAATCTCCCAGTTCTTGATACCAGTATCCAAAAGATCATCGTTACTCTCAGCCTTTCCTGAGCCAAAATTCTTTGGCGTCCACTTCTCCACACCCTCAACGCCATTGAGGTCCTCCTTGAATTCCCGGAAGATGTCGGCGTTGAGCCGCTCGAACTCACTGTAGTCCTTTGGCCAATCACCCAAGCGTTCGATAGCAAGCTTAAGGAGAGCCAAATGTTGGCGAACGTGTTCTCCCTCAGTCCAGGTACTGTGGACAACATTGCCCAATTCCAGGGAGTACGTGGACCCATCCAAACTCAAACTCATGTCACCGCCTTCGAGTTCAGCATAGGATGGATCGCTGAAGACACGCAGTATATTTTCATGTACGACGGCAGCCTTTTTGTAATACCGATGAGCAATCTCCTGGCCGGACTTTTGACTCTGGTACCGCTGAGCGACGCTAGTGTACAGCTGCGAGAGGAGAACAGACATCTCCAATGTGCTGGGATGTCTAGGTCCATGCACGCGGCGGCAATTGTAAACGATATCCTCAGCAAGACGAAGAGCTGCCAATACCTCTCCAGCAATGTAGCGGACCAGAATAAAGCGGCGCCCAAGAGCAAATGTGACTGACGGTTGCCATGAACGCTGTGCTTCACGGCTGTTCCAGAGCAAGGTGAGCAACCATGCAAGAGACTTGTAGTCTTGCTGCTCTCCAAGCAGGGCAATCAGGTTGTTCAGATGCCCAAGGCTGAGTTGGGTCAGGTTGATATTCAGCTCTTTAACGACCTTCAGGACATCTTGCAAAATGAATGATGAAGTTTTGAGTAACTTCGCTTGAGCAGTCTCATTAGTTTGCGGGATTCCGCGGCCGGCGACAGTGACAGCCAGCCGGAAAACGAGTGTGACAATTGAAGCACTCCGATACGACTCGTGAGCCGAGATATAACGGAAAGCAGCCAGGGCAAGGTCAGACGCTACGTCGAATTTCTTGTCTGCAATTAATTGCTGTGTACGTCTTTCGCTCGCGATACCCACGGAGCGAATGAAGTTGTGCGTGCCACGAGTGCTAAAATAGTTCAGCAGAGTGAGTGTGAAGATTCTCACCTGAGCTATTTCAGTCAATTTAACTCGTTTTCCATCTGTAGCGAGGAAGTAGTTAACAAAATCGTCGTACACTCGGGTTGCGCTTGCATGGCGTTCGCGAGAGAGCAGGAATGCATGCAAACGTGCAGCAGTAAACGTTATGGTTTGTAAAGTGGTATTCGTTGACTTCAGCTGACTTCGGTATTCCTCGAAGTAGACATACTCAGTGGTCAAAGAGGAGAATATCTCATTCAGAGTCACAGAGGTGTTTTGACGCAGGTTATATTCGAGTTGGGCCAAGAAAACCAAGCTCTGGCGCTCCTTCGAAGTAAGGTCGAAGTTGACTGACTTGACATTGGACGTATCCTTCGTAACAATTTGGCGGTAGATCTCCTGCGAAAGTTCGGTGGCCTTTTGGATCTGGTTAGATGCAATGTAACTAGACGCAATGGCCGTTGCACTGGAGACAAGTCGTGTGGACGATGTTTCAGTAGATAGAATCTGTATAGAAGCTTCCTTGAGTTCCTTTAGAACTGTTTCCGTCTCGTTACGCTTGGAGTAAAATGAGACCATCTCCTGCATTTTAGAGAGCGATTCTTCGTGAGCCCAGCCGTGACTCTGTCGTACGGTCGTGATGCGCCGCTTCAGAACGGAAACTGCGCGATCGACTTGAGCAGATGAAACAGACTCCGATTTGGTGGACGTGACAATGGCAGCCTGTTCTTCATAAATAGCATCCAATGTGGCGGTGATCTCCTGATAATCGATCTCCTTTGACTTGACTTTGAGAAGCTCCTCGTACAAATGAATAGCTTCAATCTCAAGTCGCTTGGATTCTTGACAGAGTTTTGCCAGGGTCAATGTAGCTTGAATAGTAATGGAAGCAGTGGCACTGAAAATAGCCTTGACCTTCGTTTGGTATTCTACCGTGATTTTATGGATGACGGCGAAGTCACTTTGGATCGCGCGAAGAGAGTGCGTGTATCGTGTGAAGAATGTTTTGACAAACTCCTGATCCTCAAACTTTGGGCTTACTTTCGGCTGTTGTAGGAAAGTATTGAAAAGAATCCTGTAGTAAGGTACCGCATCGGAGTATCGCCCTTGGGTCCATAGCTCTGTAGCCACAATGACAAGAGGCTCAAAAGCCTCGGGGTGGGAGATGTCTGAGTCCTTGTTGATTGCAGTAACAATCTGACGGTAGTAGTCAACAAATATCGGACGTGGTCGAGTGAGATCTGCGAGAGCCCACAGATTGGTGATTACCAGTGGATTATGAAGACCATATTGGCTAATATAATCACTAAGCAATTCCTGACGGAGGGTGATCACCTTGTCTGTCTGAGATGTACGCTCAAAGAATCGCAGGAGTTCTGAGGTAATTCGGTCAAGCAGCTTGTCGCCAACCGGGCGACCAGATCTTACGGCACGATAGACTCTGGTACGAATATCTTCTTCCTTTCCAAGACGACGACGTGAGTGGTAACACAGGCTCAAGCGCTCGGCTAGCTCAACGCAGTGGTCAACATGCTTGCTTGGAAGCGTCACATCTTGAAGGGAGGGGGCAAATAGAGTTGGCCAGATGCCTTGCAAAACTCGCTTGATCAGACGGGTAGCATCATGCCACCGATGCTGTGAAGTATATCTTTCAAATAAAGTTGATGCCGCAGTGATGGATGTTTGATCTATAGTGGTAATTGAGGATGAAGCTTCGTAAACAATTTCTTCCAAAGTAGTTTCAGACGTAACCGAAGAAGACGAGGACATGACTTGCATCACCTCCTTAGAGGTTGACTGGATACTCTGCTGAACCTCTTTATAGGTCGTTGTCTGTGTCCGGTTGGTACTTTCATAGTACTGCGAGCATCGCTTGTAGACAGAAAGAGCAACGCTCGACAAGCCTACTGTCTTCATGACTTTAGCAATCTCAGTCATATAAGAAATAGACTTTTCAGTCGCGACGCTTGTTTGTTCATATTCCTTCCATGTGGTAGTCAGCAGCGAGGAAGCTTCAAATTCTCGTTTTTGTGTCTTCAAGAATTTCGAATATGCCAAGACAGCCTGGTATTTCTTCTCTTCCCACTCAGAAGAGTAATGCGTGCGAGACTCTTTGCTTGCTCGTTGCCAAATTTCAACATATGTTCGCTCTGCAAGCTGGTGGTGGCCCTCAGCCGCATACTTTTCAGCTTTTTGCAAGTGAGCTTGGAAGTCATAAGACTCTTCAATTAGCTCATCTTCTTCTACCGCATCTAGGAGTAGAGTTGTCCCGGTCTCTACCTCGGCTTTGGTGACATGGCCTTTAAGGTGCACCTGCAAGCTACCATTGATGTCACGCGCCTCTTGGGAGTCTGCACCGTATTGCTTGATGGTGGCTGTTCTTAATGACAGAAAGATTTCCCTTGCTTTAGTTTCTTCTTTGACAAGTTGATAGTGTTCCGCCAACTGAGTCAAAGTTGAGATCACGATCTCAGAAGTTACGCCGTAGTGAGCCTTGTACGCTTCCACAAGTAACACCAGTATTTCCTCCCTCCTAGTCATGATTTCCGTCTTGGTCTCAGTGATCGTCTCTGCAGTGACCTCCAAAAATAGACTGGCGACCTGACTGGTTATGATATGCTGGGGGTTGAGAACGGTGCGACTGATAGCGGTAGCCTCATAAAGTAAGTTGCCGGCTTCTGGGTAGAGTTTGATTTGACGGTAGAATAGGGCTAGCGTTATAATTGACTGCAGAGTAGCGAGATGGTTGGGTGTGAGGATATTACGAGTCAAAGTAGTGACGGTCGTGTACCATGGTAGAAGAACAGGAATAGGTTTGTGTTCCCAGATGGTTTGCTGTAAAAGAAAGAATGTCGTAGTTGTGGGCAATAGCTTCCCAAATTCCTTAGCTGCCCCAACTTCGCCATCTTTAATGAAGGCGGTAGTTTGGCGGAAATGCGAGACCCAATAACGCAGAGCGAACTCCAGTAGAACATGCTTGTCAATGAGTTTGGTGGTTTCAAATTGATCAAGAGAAGTGAGAGAAGGCTCACGGTCCTCGTTGATTGCAAAGCGGGAATAAACAAAAAGCCTTCTTAGTAAGTCAGAGTGCCTGTCTTTTATATTTGGGAGAAGCTTTCCCTTGGAGAAGACCTCGACGACAGCCAACCGGATTTGGCCATGTCGGAGATACACATAGCCATCCTCAAGATACACCAATGAGTTTACCGGCTTCAAAAAGTGCAAAACGTCCATATTGCGTTCGGTGACCGTTGACTTGTCTAGTTGAATAGATAACAATGCCGAGAGCTCACGTTGGGACAAGGGACGGTCCACAGTAGCCAACCAGACCACTGCAAGCTTTGCTTCCTCGGTAAGATCTGGGAACTGCAGAATGCGCGTCACAAAGTCGATGATAGTTAACTTTCCAGTGGTCAAAGAACCAACGGCTTTCTGAAGGGCTTCGGCAGTAGTTTCATTCCGAGCGAGTCTGGCTGCCAACTTTGCCCAAAGAAAAGAGCCATTAGAAGCCTGTGCAATCTGTTCAACTAGGATCTCTTGTTCCGTCTCTGAGAGACTATTGAAGACCTGACTGGTCTCGAAGCCGTTGCGAACAACGGCTGAAATGTCATCGAATATGAGTTCAGGAGTAATATGTATGTTTGTCAAGTTGCCCGATGGTTTGAAATTCTGAGATCCAAGAACGATAAGTTTCAGATTGTTTGATTTGGCCGTAACTGTTTGAAGCCTTTCGAGTAGAGTTGACTCCGAGCCAGATATTTCATCGGCACCATCTACAATAATGACCAGAGGCTTCGCACCACGAAGAGGAGCCTCTAGAGAAGCCCCCAAGGCATCCCAGAGAATGTTTTCGTAATCATCAATACTGGTTACTTGCCGGCTACGGTCGTATGCGTTGGAAAGTATTTGGAATAGCTGGGTGTTACCAATACGCTTGTCGAAAAGCTGGCGAAGTATTGACTTCACGACTGCCTGAGGAGCCGTCTCCACGGGAATACGAGTATCTAAGTATTTATTTGTTAGTTTCATGATAACATAGCTAAATGTCTTTGATATCCATTCACTTACTAATTGGAATAAAAAGGGTATTGTAAGTGACACCTGCAATAGGGTGCTGGAGATGATCAACGATGACAGAAGCCAGGACTGTCTTTCCTGAACCTGGAGAACCGGAAATCGAAAGACCCTTAAGCTGCTGGCTTTTGAGAAAACGAGTCAAATAAGGGCTCAGCCAAAGGCATGTTAATTCTTCACGATCTTGCGCAAGATGAGACACGTTTTCTGCAACGTTTGACAGCACCCGGTCTTCGGGCGCCAACCACAGCTTGATGGATTTGACCTCAGATACTATGAGAAAGAAAATGGACAATCAGTATTGGTGCTCCAATCACATCAGGTAAGTTTACTATCAGGCTTACCACGTTCACCATCGAGGCCATCTTTCAGGAGTTGATGCTTCCACATTGCCTGGGAGATCTTCTCACATCGGCTTCGGAAGCTTTCAATCTGCCCCGAGAACGTGCCATAGATGTTCACGGAGATCGAAGCTTTGCTGAGCCCACGGAGAGCTTTGTGGAAGTGTGTGGACACACTGGCTACCAGTGTTACCAAGTCTGTCAAAGCCAGAACTAGCTGCTCTTTGATTTCTTGGGAAACACTAAATAACTCAGTTCGTTCAAGAAGATTAACCAGAATGAGTGAAGTGCTATAAAAGAAACCAAATGAAACCTTAAGGGCAGATGAATTCTCTTCGCCAAGCTGTTGAGCCATGATCAGCATCAATTGAATAGAAGAACATGGCACTGAGCCTACAAACCTCTAACAAAATCGCGCAATACCCATAAGCCAACTGAGCAGCCAAGTAGCTGTCTCCAGCGAAGTGCTCAATAGCCAAGTCAAAGGAATGCAAGCGCTCCACGAAAAGCTGGGCCCACGCCAGGACTTTGTCATAGCTGCTCCCTTCCGGGGGGATCTTACTCATCCGTTGATGGCGGATCCAGTCAAGTAGTGTAGCATGGTTCGCATTCATAAGCCGTGAAGATGTTGTCACGCCCAGTTCATCGCCGCTCCTACGTTTCAGGGAATAAACGACGTTGGAAATGTTCGAGGATTCACCGGCAGCTCCTAGCTTCCTAGACACTCTTCGCGAGGCTACAGAGCGGGCAGCACCATTGGAAATACTGTCCACATCGAGGAGGCCTCCTGAGACTCGCCTCCAATGCCCACCTGCAAGTCCCGGTGAGAGAGGTGTGTCTGCGTGTAAGGCTGGCGCCATTTTGCTCAATGTGGAATCGACGCGTGGGGGGGTCGGTGGTTGTTGTCTCTTGATTTGGCTTGGAGGTTTGGCAGAAACGGTAGCAGGAAGTTGTTGAGAGGAAGTTCGAATGATAGATTGTCTTGGTGAGGGAATCAACTTCGGGGGAGGAGACTCCGTTTCAGAACCTCCGATGCAGCACTTGCAGAACTTTAAACAAAACATTCAACTATTAGGGAGGGAAGAAAAAAGACTTGCCACATTAGGTCGTCGGGAATCGCTACTCTTATAAGTGCCCTCAGGGGCTATTAGTGTCTTGCAAGGTTACTCGCATGTGGTTCAATATCCGTCTGGACCTTTATACACTATTGACAGCGAGTGGGGCAGGAAGAGAGGTCTCGTAACGTATAGTAAACAATCCAAATATCCTGGCTTCAAGCTCCGTTTTTAGGTAGGATTGTCTTCTACTCTGTAATGGTATTGGTGGCAAGGTCCTCCCTGCTTGTATGCAATGAGCCTCGTGCTATGGGTTTGACTTTCCGGTTTTCTAATCTCCATGACCTGAAAAAATCATTACAAGTTTGTTTTATAGCAATTGATGCACGGCTATTGGTGTACGATCTTCTGTACTCGTGACGGAAAACCCCGTACATGAATGAGCACGGTGCAATTTGTCGCTGATCTTCTGTGCCATCGCACCGAGCCATTAGACGGGAGGACCGTGGAGATTAGGAAATACAGTGTCTAGCTTACGTTGCTTGGTTTTGCGCTTTAACAAGTGGCTATGAAGCCACAGTACGGACGAAAATCCTCGACGGCCTGTCAAAAGGCATGCAATGTGGAGACGAGAGCGTGTATTCCAAATTCGTCTCACGTTCCAGCTAAGCCGCGGCCGTCATCACTGGGTAGCTATGGCGGAGCATGCATGGTCTAACTCCCGTCGGAATGTGCAGCGTACACAATCATATAGTATAACGAATCTGAGACCCTCTGGGCACTGTGTGGCTGCCTGAGCCAGACAGCCAATGATTTTCTCTGTCAATTACTGCAGTCGACGAGTCACGAATGAAATACTGCATTTGCAAGGACCAGATAGCTATGGCGTTTCACAACTAGGAGAAATTGCGGGGGCTTCACTACGTTTTTTCGAGGCAACAATCGACACAGCTCGCATGAGGTCGTACTGGTCGGCAATAATTGAACATCCCATCCGGTCAGAGCCACTGAAAACTCATGCAGAGGTTAGCACAAGCTGCAGTTTTCAACCAGCCCAGAGAGGCCTCCACTGAGACCACCCCCTGTCCATGCAGCAAATATGGTGCAAATGGGTTCTTCCTTGCGAGGCGAAGTCTTATAGAGCCCGAGGGGCATACCAGGCAAGATATCTGACGCGGTGGAATATTCAATGGTATTTAATGGTCCGACTTATTGCTTGTGTAAAGGCTGTTAACATCGCTCTAGCAAAATGGGGGTTTAGAGACGCTGGCTGGACGAACAAGCAGCGTGTGGAGGAAGTAGACAGTAAAATAGCCCGGAGCGTCCGCCACTCCGAGACGATCCGCGGTCGCTCCAGGGCTAGATCTAGGCCTCTCCTTGTCTTATACTATGCTATCCTATGTCCGGAGTTCTCATGCGGCATGGTTCTTGTTGGCTGACATACACTACTTATGCCGCAGTCTACAACTAAAATTATATCATACAGTAGTATAGGATGTACTCTGGTCCACTGTTCGTTTCAAGATCTGTCCCCAAAATTTAGGCTAGTAGTTAGCGCCTATGGTTTAGGAATTGATTTAATCGCGTGTGTCATCCAGGGCCCAGAAGTCGAATGATGCCGGTGTTGCGAACTGTTGGTCCACACCCTTGGAGAATGGCTGGCGCAATGTTCGGAATGTCCCAGTAGCACGCACCAGAAGCGTAGGTTCTAAAATGCTCGAGGCGAGTTTCCGAGCCAGCTGCCCCCCCGGTCCAGTTTTAAATCAAAATCCTCCTCGGTAATAATACCTTGTTATAGTCTGCAATACGGATACGATACTTGTTGCGTGTGGCTGGCCGATAATGATGTTCCTGTTCTGGACCATATCCCGTGTCTTCTGTTATAACTATAGTTCCTTTAGACTTCCAGGATCTGTGTGCTCCGTACACTACCATAGGGCTTAAGGTCCCATTAGCATCAGTGGGGGTTGGCAAACACCTATGCGGTAGTCGGTCTTGCCGTGGATATCGTTTCCCCGTGGAATTAACATGAGCAATTCGCGCAGACAGATGGCCCTTCTTTAGCACGGCGTGTTCCGTACAGTGTACTCAAAATTCAGAATCGAGTTCGGCTGCTAGTCCATTACTACATACCATATCATTCCACAAGTACATGTTTCCTACAGGAGTTCCCATCAGAACATTCTCCATTCAGATATAGCTACTACTTAATGGTCGAGTTGCCGTGGTTTGGGCAAACGTGGGCTTTTTTTTGAGCTCACGGACGATGGCCATCAATGCTGCTTCTATGCGAGAGTATAAGCGGCTTTGGCGCTTCCCCAAACGTTATTCATATGCATGCAGGCTTGACGTCTACTTTCAACCATTTCGTAAAATACTACATCCATCCCTATCGGTGAGACATCCAATGCACGTCACGTATATTATGATATGTGAGTATGCGCTGTGATTCGAGGAATATCATCTAAATTTTGCATGGGTTCCACAGCATGGAGACACGTACAAACCAAATACGTACAACTATGAAATAGCCGAATTGAGATAGTAACACAACATGGGGAATATGCAGAACGGAATCCGGAGAGTAGTCTCCGCTTCTCAGCCAGCCACCACTGGTAGGGAGTTCCGAGAAAAAGTTTTAACGCCACGTAATTGACTTGAAAACATAGATGGGCTAACTACCAGAAAACAAGGTCTACTTGGAGAAGAGAGGGGATAATTTCTGATAGGAGCCAAGGCTCTGTGGAGAATAATAACGTAGCTGTGATGCATAAAATTATCAATGAATGGCACGTGAAGAGTTGAATGAGAATATTTGAGTGCATTATTGTTTTCCTAAACTTTTATATTATATGAAGCAATGGACTGCAGTCATCAGCAGTAAAGCAACTATTAGCCGAATACCTAGGTGGTCATTACCCTGTTCCTCGTTTTTCCAATTTAACGTTACAGAATACTTGTAATATGACTGATTGGCGTAAATAGCTAACGTATTTCCCGGGTAAACCGAACACCCGTAATCACCATACAAAACATTCTTTTTGACCCCCCTGTAAATTCCATAAATTTATGTGTAACTAGTACCTAAAATGGATTATACAGAATATTTATATAATTTTATTTTATATGATAAATTTTTAAAAGAATCTATTAAGTCAGTTTATAGAAATTAAGAACTACGCTAGTAATTATGGTATTTTTGAATACGAAGGGATTCTTAATCTTTTTTAAAAAATTTTAAAGCTAAAATTATATTTATTTATATTATAATATATATCTAGTTTACAGATATAGATTACGGGTGTTCGGTTTACCCGGCAAATACGTTACTTGCTAATACCATCACGAACTCAGGTCACCACGAAACCGCTTGGGCGACGCTCGGACTGTACGATTCTGTTCCGACGATGCTCTGCAAGTTTGTATTTGTATTTTGCTTACACTACGTTAGTGGGTACCAGTTTATCCCAAGGGCGTTCTTGCTCACGTAAGGTAATGCTGTTGTGAGTGCGACAACTGATCTCAGAAACTCTACAAATATGTGTAGATTGATATTCATCATGTTTATGGATGAACATCTATCAGCTCAAGTATAACTTTCCGAAAGCTGTACGATTAGTTTCACACTGGGAGGTTAAAGAGAGAAACGGGAAGCATATAAAAAATAGGTATAAGTTGATGATGTCTAAATAGCTTGCAATACACCAAAAACATTATAAGATTGATAAAATTAATGACCATACTGGCCTACGACACATTTATACAATCAAGTGCTCTATTCTATTGTCTAAATCTTATGGTCATATTCCACTAGGGTTCCTCTTGTTATTGTTATTTTATGATATTAAAACTATGACAGATGACTCGAACTTATTGTTTGCGGCCGATGAGATCTGTTGCGCAGATACAAGAGGATTTGCATCTTCTAGATGTAACTTTGTAGCTGCCTGCGAATGGCGTCAATAAGTCCTATGTGGTCAGTTGTTTGTAATTTGACCTATGAAATCACCTAGATTATATAGACTAATTTGCCTGATTAGAAAGGTCTGTAAGCTATTTGTGAATAGCCACATAGTTTTATACCTAGTATATGTCAGACTAAAGTAAATAAGATCTCCTTGTGTATCCGCTGTGGTAACTTAGTTTCAACTATCTAGAGTGAAGTGGTATATGGATCAAATGCAAGTAGCGAGTGCAGAAGCTAAACCTCTGTATGATTAGCCACTATAAAGTAGACAGGTAAACAAACTAAGTTCAATGCAACTAGGAACAAGGACTCACGATCCTATGTCACGCATGCATGAACTCTCAGAAAACGAAATGATATACTTTTCCATTTTCTGTAAGGCAGTGGATACTGAGCAACTCGAATTTTAGCTTGCATATATGAGTCATTATCCATTGATCGACATGATAAACCATAACTCCCAAACCCTAACACTTGTAGATAAATATCAGACTAAAGACAGAGTGACGGACAGCCTCGCACTTGGAAGCTAATGGATATTCAGATATTAAAATGTACATTTGATTTCCAGAATATCAAATATTTCAGAGAAGTTAGCAGTAATGAGGAATGGAATTCCCAAAAGAACATTGATTGTTGGCACTGATTGTGTTAATAACCTGTTTTTTATCAGATAGGAGTGGTCTACGGGTTTGAAACGTAATTGCATGTCCAGAAATCGAGACTTATGCGGCCCATATTACAATATTATCACTAGTCTTATCGAGGTTAAGCAAGTTCCATTAGTATATCACCTCGTAACCTGTCCCCCGTATGAATGGAACTACCATAATCACTGCTAAATATAAGAGATACATACACGGGCGCACTTTCTCCCAACACAGACCTAGCTTGCTATACCCAGAACGAAAACCTATACTCTAAGTACCTATGTAGCGACAGCCCTCCTCTCGTGACTAGAACCCTGGAAGCTGTTCATATAATGGCAAGGATTTGCCATTGTAGGGTTATCCTTATCCAAATGAAATATCGGGCTCTATCGCCGAGTTTTTTTTTTTTTTATTTTCTTGCTAGCCCTGCATCCACTGTCTGGACTTCTCTTCGTCTATAGAAGTTGCGAAAATCAGATCCTAATGCTTTTCTTACGACCTTGGCTACAGCATGTATCCTGTGATTACAGCCAACGGATAGCTATGATGAGACCAATTTTGAAAGATGGCACTATATGATTGCAGGCATTACATTGCATAATACTACAGTGCCTGATTTGACTAGTTTCCAAACTCTAAATCTATAGGTAGTAGTAGTCTTGAGTTTCTTACTACATGACTATTGCTGTATGATTTTATGCTTAATTCCATGTATTTCCCACCAAGTATGTAGATACATGTATAGGGTCGAATGATTAGTAGGTAGTTCTATGTAATCCATTGCATTTTAGGATACGTTAGCTACTTCTGCCTCCTGTCGAAGTATTCTATGCACGATTTCATATTTCGCCTGAGTGTTTAGAAAGTTGAAACAGGCAAAATTCAAATTAGTTGGCCGGCAACTTTTCTCAGCTAGTATTAAAGCTGTTACAATTTAATTTATCGGCAGATTTAGTGCGCAGAACCAGTCGTTTAATGGGGAACAAAAAGTATGATTAGCTTACTTCCTACGCAGCCCGAATGTAGTTAGCACATTGGAAAAGATGAAAGCTTACCCGTATTCAGTATGCTTAGGCAATACTCTTCGCCAAAGTTCTTTGAAGAATTGATTTAGGGATTAGAGTTTTTGTTTTGCAGATCTCGAGAAATTATTACTTATGATTGGCTGCAATTATGGTGTCGGTACGGGCCGAGCCGTCGCACCATAAGATAAATAAATAGGGTTCGGACGTGTTAAGGTTAATATGAAGTACACTGAAAACATGTGTCACACATGCGATCTTTGGTCATAGGACCCACAATGGATTAGTTCCATGAATAAAATCACCAAGAAAATTGAAAAAAGTAATAGCTGGAAAAGTTGCTTTAGAATGGCCCATGCCTAGAAGCGCCGTAGTGTACTCAAGAGCGATGCTCGAATACGACCCGCAATGTACATAGAACGCCAATCTTCTGTCAGATTCCCTATTTCACGGGTTGCGTTTGTATAATTTGTTCAGCTTCTACTCTACTCCTCAGTGTCCGCTTCTAGAATGAGGTGTGATACGGTATCCCAAGCATGCGTATTATGTCTAGAAGTCTGTGTAAATAGGTACTAAGTTTTTATTTCTGAGAGGTGCCTGAATTAAGTTTTCGAAAAGATTTTAGAATAACCACATATTTAAGTAATATATCTTAGATGTAGCACCCCAGTTTTCAATGGAACAGGCAATTTGTGAACCTTTGCGTCGGTGTCGTAGGTTCGTCTCCCCATTAAACCATACGAATGATGGAGGCCAACTCTACCGCACTGTTGGGGGGGGGAGGCTGGGGGGCTTTAAAACATCTTGTAACTCACGCATATCTGCAAATAGACCAGGATAGGTATCAAGAAAATCAATCATAGATGGTGGATCGGATTTAAATCTCTAAATTCCCCTCTGAGACTCTCGATACCGTGCTTTCGAACCTCCCCAACCAGCTTTGCAACCTCGGGAGAAATAATTTGTTCATTGAAACCGAAGTACTTGTAGGCTGCCGCACCGGGGAGAGAATGCCCAAAGGTACTCATTGAGAATCCCGCCTCGGCGTATCTTTCCCACCCGTTCACCGCATAAGCTTCAATAACCACTCTTGGGATGCCAGACTGATACTGTAAGACTTGTCGCTTATATTCAATGCTTTGCTGCTCAAACAAGCGTTGGCAGGGAAAGCTCACTACCCGGGCCTTGATGTTGAAATGTTCACGGAGTGTGTCTCTTGTCCGCACAGCAAAAACCATCTCTGCGCCAACACCAATCAAAGTTACGTCGGCTTGGGACTCCTCCAAGAATGTATAGGCACCGCGTTGAACCCCATCTCGTGATGAGTATTTTGGATATTGTTCCAGATTCTGCCGGGATAAGGATATGATGGTTGGTGTGGACGTTGCTCTGAACGCCGCAAAAAAGGCACCTGCTGTTTCTTCACTGTCACAAGGTCGAATGTAAAGGATATTGGGCATTGCACGATAAAGAGCTGGAAGGGCAATAGGCTGGTGAGTGGGACCGTCCTCTCCAGTCCCAATAGAGTCATGTGTGGCTATATGTATCTGCTGGAGGCCTTGAAGCGCACCCATTCGAACTGCTGGGGCGGCATACTGATTCTACTTAGCAAGCTTTGAGAAAAAATGTTCTGGTTCACATATCATACTCACTATGTAGAACATAAAAAAGCTTGACGTTATAGGAAGAATCGTGCCTTTGTTGAAAGCAGCCAATCCGTTTGATATAGCAGCCATAGCGTGTTCGCGAACGCCCCAGTGGATGTAACGCCCGGTATAGTCACCATTAATACCGCATTCTGTCTGCAGACCAGGCTGTATTCATTCACAAGTCAGTGGTTGAGTTTATTTCTGAAATAGTCGTAATATAAGTGTCTTACACGTTGGAAGTCAATCTTTCCCTCCCACGCCATGTTGACTGACGTCGTAAGGTCTGCAGTCCCAACCATGAGGTTCTGCAACTTCGATGCCAATGGGTTGCAACACAGCCCAGCTGATTTTCTGGATGCTGTTGGTGTTGTTGGAAAGTGCTCTTTTGGTGGAATTATTTCGGACCAGTCTCCCGTCATCTTGCCTTTCACTCTCAGAGTAAACTCACGATGCAAATCCGGGTACTCTTGAGAGTACGCATCCAACAAATACCTCCACTTCACTTCTAATGTCTTTCCTCTACCTACTGCTTCACGGAAAAAATTATACACCTTATCCGAAACGATGAAGGATTCCTCTGGGTTCAATCCGAATTTTATCTTGATATTTGCGACGTCTTCTGTTCCAAAAGCTGTGCCATGAGCCTTGGCATCTCCCGCAACTTTACTTCCTATACCAATTATCGTTTTGACGTTGATGAATGTCGGTTTTTCTTTACTGGATCGGGCATGATTTAATGCTGATACGATGCTCTCAACATCATAGCAACCGTCTTCGACCTGCAGTACGTCCCATCCGCATGCCCTCATCTTGGCATTGACATCCTCCGTGTTACAGATATCCACGCTGCCATCGCAAGTGATCTATGGAAACTTTGTCAGTTCTACTATTCCACATGCCAGCCATTCTTAACCTACCTGATTGTTATCATAAATGATAACGAGGTTGTTGAGTTGCCAATGACCCGCAAGCTGAATCGCCTCCAACGCGACACCCTCCTGAAGACAAGCATCTCCAATCATACACCAAGTCATATTGTTTACCAGCGGAAACCCGGGCTTGTTATAAACACTACCTAGGTGTTTCGTTGCCATGGCGAGACCAACAGCGTTGGCGACGCCTTGTCCAAGTGGACCCGTCGTCACTTCAACCCCATCAATTTCAATTTCTGGGTGGCCAGGACATGTTGAATCTGGCCGTGTTGAGTGATATGATTTGAGTTGGCCTATTGTCATAGTAGAGTAGCCCGTTAAATGAAGGAATACATATTGGAAAAGGCAAGTGTGACCATTGGAAAGAACGAAACGATCACGGTTGAAATATTGAGGATCCGAGGGTGAGTAATTCATGCAGTACTTCCAGAGGGCAATGCCAATTGCAGCCATACCCATTGCACCTCTAGAAAAGACCGTCAGCTTTCATTGATTTGAATTCACTCATTATTTGAAGTAATTGTGTGATTAGACAACGCATACCCAGGATGTCCACCTTTGTGTTGTTCACATAAGTCTGCTATGAGACATCGGATTGTTCGAAGAGAGTAATCAATTATTTCCCGCTCTTGGGTCGGCAAGGATGTCTGACGTTCGCTGCCATCGCGTACCACTGGGGTTTGAGGGGCGGTTCTTTTGTATTCAGGCATTATAAAGGCTTCACTTCAGACTAGCTATAGGTAACGAGGTATAACTGCTAGGCGAGCTTCAATTTGTGATTGTTGAAGATAATTTCCAGTCCTATATTGTTTTTATAGTTATCGTTTCCATCAGAATGCCCCAGTAACAGCATAACCAAGGGTTAATTCTAACTGGGTCCTGTAACGGCGGTTAGGCATTCCTGTTTGGGAACGACCACACTCCGATCGTCTGTGCCCTAAGGCGTCCTGTCGTAGTTTTATAAGCCATTCTGTAATACTTGCCAACACCCCGCAGACGTGGCAGATTGCTAAAGCAACTGACAGGATTGTGGGGGCATTTGCGTATGTACTGTGCAACTGATGTATGACTGTGTAGCGCGAGCTGCCCTTCCGCAAAGGGTATCTGTAACCACCGCAGTGCATATGGCCGTTGTTGGGTGATTACAATATAACACGGTAAAGTACGGCTGTTCGCCAGCTTGTTGCATATTCTTGAAAAGCCATACTACAAATACATATCATGGATTCCTCCGTTGTTACCGTGACTGAATTCGCGGTAGAGGCGCTCCCAGTCAAGCCTCAAACACAGCAGGCCGAAGAAATTCCGAGAGAACAACATAATATGACTATCCTCCCTGATACACTGCCTTTTCGAAATCCATCATTGCAAGTTACATCCGACCATAATATTAAAGCCGTTGAAGCTCCTGTTTACGAACCTGGCCGAGGACAGGCATTATTGCATGTCAAAGCGACCGGAATATGCGGGTACATTCCATTTTTGAACCCTATGCCTTAAGATATCCTGGCTAAATAGATGAGATAGATCAGATATTCATTTTTGGAGAACAGGTCGCATAGGCGAGCTCGTCTTCAAAGGAGACTGCATCATAGGCCATGAGGCTGCTGGCATTGTCCTCAAAGTCGGCAAAGACGTTGACAATCTAGAACCTGGTAGTTTTTTTTTTTTCCCTTTGTTTTTTCACCCCGATATATCCATGATGTTTAAGTCATATGATGCTGAGCATGCGAGTATGGATCTAGGAGACAGGGTCGCCATTGAGCCGGGGGTTCCCTGCAATAAATGTTGGGTGTGTCGCGACGGAAGATATAATCTCTGCGAAGAAGTACAATTCGCAGGTGTATATCCCTACAAGGGTACAATGCAGCGATATAAAGTCCAGCCCGCAAGGTGGCTACATAAGTACATTTACCTTCTGTTCTACGCTGTCCTTATTTGAAGTTGCAGTTGCCTACAGTATTGATACGGTGTGAAGATTGCCAGAAAACATTTCCTTCGCTGAAGGTGCACTTCTCGAACCTCTCTCCGTGGCCATGAGCGGTATCAGGATGGCTCAGCTCAGCCTCGGTCGCGGCGTCCTAGTTTGCGGAGCTGGCCCAATTGGACTTATTACCTTAGCTGCGGCACGCGCATCAGGTGCTCATCCAATTGTCATAACCGACCTAGACTCTGACCGACTTGCGTTCGCAAGGACTTTCGTCCCGGGTTGCGTAACATACAAAGTCAACCCGGAACTCGAACCACGAGCAAATGGTAGAGTGATCCGGGAGCTGTTTGGAGATTTGGAGTATGACTCCCCTGAGACTGTTCTGGAGTGTACGGGTGTTGAGAGCAGTATCTGTACGGCGGCATATTCTGCTCGACGAGGGGGGAAAATTGTTGTGATCGGGGTGGGCAAGGAGATTATAAACAACTTGCCTTTTATGCATCTGTCACTTGCCGAGGTAGCTCTTGTGCCATTTATTCACCGTTACCATTACATTAATTGACTTCTCCTCTCGACAGATTGATCTCAGGTTCGTCAACCGTTACCATGACACATGGCCACCGGCAATTGCCTGCCTTAGCGGTGGCATACTAGATCTCAAGGGTCTCGTCACACACCGAATTCCACTTGAAAGGGCATCAGATGCAATGAGAATTGCCGCCAATCCTGAAGAAGCGAGTATAAAGGTTATGGTCGTTGATGAAGTAGATATCACTTTGTAGGCGTTGCAGATATGTCCCTGGGAAAGATACATGTATCGTAATATTTGCCCTCACCATGAGGTGAATTTGGAGTATCTAATGCGGAACCCATACGATTCATCTAAGTAAAGTACTTCATGCCTCAGATATGATGGACGATATTAGGCAAGAGCAGTGTGTGGAGATTAGGGTTACCTAGTGACTACCGAAAAAAGAAGCTGTAGCCGCTTTCCCCCGCAAATTTTGTCAAAAACCTTCGAAATAACCGTCCGGATGCTCCTCCGCATTCCAAAAAAGCAGGAATTGGGAATCGAGAGTCAATAATAGCCTGGTATATTTTAGAAAACTACACGTTCATCAGTATCTGCGAGCGACGCGATGATGGACCAAGGAATTAATTATTCACCCAATGTCGACACCAGACATCCAAATGCAGTTCGTTCTCCCGGGTCCCTCAACGACAGGTTTACACACAACTCACTCTATCTTGCTTCTCAAGATGAACTACGGGGAATGATATTTTCAATTGCACAATCAACCCCGACCAGTTCTTTACATGTAAAGGAGACAGAACATATCTTGCAAAGTCATCCTGCAAGCCAAGACTCTCACATAGTCATTGGAACACAGCAAGAGCAATGGACTTGCCCAGCAAGTCTCGTTTCAAGCCAAGCCCACGTCGTCTATCTAAAGAATTACGTCCGGGAAGTTGCTCCGTGGCTGGATATGTTTGACTCGCAAAGTACATTTGGCAATCAATTGCCTGTACTTGCTCGTGACTTCCCGGCTCTACTTTACGCTATACTTGCCATATCAGCGAGGCAGATGGAGAGGAAAACCGGGACCCATGGCTCACTAGACAGCCTTGAACTGTATCAAGAGTCCATTCGATTATTGGGCCCGTTGATACAAGTGCGCAATTCCAAGGTTATTGCTACGTGCGTTATGCTATGCTGCATGGAAATGATGTCTGCCAGGGGAGAGGATTGGCAGAGGCATCTAGAAGGATGTTCGGCACTTTTCAATGCTTTTGAAATTCATGGCTTCAGCACAGGCCTACTGCAGGCAGTCTTTTGGTGTTATGTCAGAATGGGTAAACCTAACTATGGTCATCTATGTAGAATGAACAGAAAGGCTGATAAGCATTTATGTAGATGTCTGTGGTGCCATAATATCCGACGGGATACTAGGTCCTCTTCTGAATACTTCACGATGGCTACCGCCTGGGTATACACATGAAGATGCACATCAACTGTTTCTTGACACACGTTCCCCGGACATGTATGCCAACTATGCGGTGTACTTATGCGCTCAAGTTTGTGAATTGCTCTCTAGTTATACACAATGTGTAGAACTAGGTCGAGAAAATGGCTGTCGTGGCCGAGAATTTGAGTCTAGCTGGTCTCAATTGTGGCACAGCCTCCAAAGATGGTTTTCTGAACGACCTGCTGAATTATTACCTATCCAGACTACCAAAGTAGGACCATTTCCACACATTTTCTTCCCGTTCTGGGCAGCGATATCGTCAAATCAACTCTATCACACCGCGTGTATTCTTATGCTCGATATAAAACCCCGTACCACGAACTTTGAAACAAATAATTCCGTGTTGTCCCCGGTGTGGCATGCTCGGCGGGTTTGTGGCATATCATTAGCTAACAATCACTTGGGATGTTTGAACAATGCTGTCCAGCCCATTTGGGTTGCTGGTCGGCTATTCACACACGCAGCTGAGCATGAAGTAATCATCAAGCTGATTCGAGATATTGAGGCTGCTAGTGGATGGGCCGCTTGTTGGAGAATTCATGATCTAAAAGCTTCCTGGGGCTATAATTGCTCATAGAGTAGTTCAATAAAAAACCGGCAGGGCACCATACAGCCGCGTGCTTTTTGATTTTTGTGGATCACGCCATGATTATGCCCATCCTCGAAAATCTTCCATTTTCAACCATTCTGCCTGCAAAGCGGCTATGACATCACTAGTATTCCAGCCTGTTAACTCACCAATACGATGTATCCCTTGGAGTATATCCACCTGCTGGGATCTATATGTCATTGTCTTTGCAGCGATAAAAAGCGACGACAACAAACTGAAATCCCAGCACTGGCGACGGTCATTGTGTAAGGCCATGCCACATATCCTCCTGGTATGCCACAGTATGGACCTCGCAGCACTGTGGATATGCAGAAGTTGGGCTGTGCGAGGCTTCTTCTGAAGCAGCAAATACATTGCGGTGTGATAAAGCTGGTTCCCAAAAACACCAGCACCGCTTGTGAATAATATTACTGGGAAGTCACTGAAGTCTCGCTCATGAGATTCGAGATCAGTAACAGGCTGGAAGAGACTGTTTCTTCTTGAATACCACTGATTTAGTTCGTGTGTGAGTTCTAACCACTTTTCTATCGTTCGGTGCGTTGATGATACACCGCTTGTTCCGCCATTGTAAAAAACAGCCGCCTGAACGCATAAAACTAATGGAACGTGGGCATGATAGAAAACCTCGTTCTCGACGTTGTTTCGAGAATAGAGGTCAAAGTTCTGAATCGTGATTGTCGTCAAAAGACTCAAAAGACGGGAAGTTGGATTGATCAATGCAACACTGAGATCTGTCAATTCTCGACATTAGCAAACAAAAATTCCAGCAGGAATAGTGATGCTCTACTTACCTAGCCTTAGCGTCAGCCAGAATATTGCCGATCTTAAGCTTTTCTCTAAAGCATACGGGATTAGCGAGCCTACGAGGTTCGAGTGATCAAGACTCATTTCTGTTTTAGTCCATGCGCAGTATGTATTGGAAATTAGGGTGTGCACCCGTTTGAGAGATGTGGTTAGAGCGAGAGAAGTAGGATGCATTTCGACTTGACGAAGCTGGTCGGCATTCTCATGAGAGCCTTCCAAGTTCAACGTGTTGGAAGGTGTTTCCCCTAACGTCGTATCGGTGTTGATAGAGTATATTCGCATAGACAACCCAAGATTGGGCGATTTAGGTGAGAATTTCTTAAATGAAAGAATCTCGGAGAGAATGTGCACATCTGGATGCGGTCCGAAAGGGGCAGCACCAACGGCTAGTTGGATGGCAGCTATTCCAAATGATTGACTCGTATCGCAAATATCCAGCTTGTCACAGTGATACGTGAGAATAAGTCACCCATCCAAACCACGACAATCTGGAAACTTACCCAGGTAGCCACTTCGTATCTATAGTGCTGAAGGGCGTGGATATCCCCACGCTCCTGTTGCTCTCCTTGCATGACTGCAGAACTGCAGAAGCCGGTATCTCTAGGGCCCAGTAAAAGTTCATTCTGGCGTAATGGGCTCGTGAGTGGGCCATCGAGGTTTCCTAATGTGTCATTGCAGAAACTAGATGAAGAATGCTCTCTTGAGATATTTTCAGTTGGTAGTCTGAGAAGTGCGTCTATGCTTGGAGCTTCACTTCGCTGGTGCAAGTCGGACATATTGGAGCTAAAATTTTCCGTTGTCTCGTCAGCAGAATGGTTAACTGCAAACATTGCAGATGATCGCACGCTGGAGACTGTCAAATTAAGTGTCAAGAGCCCCCCTGCTGCAGCTGTGTTGCCTTCTTTGGGGCTCGTAGTTTCATTGGGTGCCCTTTAACATCTTAGCCATCGCATTGAACGCAAAAAGTCGGGGATTCATACTGTGCCGCCACATTGCCATTGCTAACTCCGTTTGGGCTACAAGGCTGTGATGATACTTTGCTTTCATTGAAAGAGCTCCCATTCCCGTTTTTAGCTGTTGAAAGAACCGCCGAAGACTGATCCTCAGTTGTCTTCGACGGCGATGCGTTGACAAACTATAAATCTAGCTGTCAACCGAAAAGGAAAACACACAGAAATATGGCATAGAAGGTCTGTCACCTGAATTACCTCGTAATCCCTCCTATCCCGAGAAGGATCTACATGCTGCTGGTCGGGATGCTGAACGGTATATGCGTTCTTACTCAAAAAGGTCAACACAGGACCATACTGGCAAAGACTGCCTTTACGAATGCAGTTGCGGCATTCTGGCTTTCCTTCATCGCCTAACAAACTAAAGCGTCAGTTTTAGTATTCATCGAGAAAAATGAGTTTATCCGGGAGATACACACACTTCCGGCGTCGGGCGCGACATTGTCTGCATCCTGTTCTTACACGGGTCGAGCGCTGCAAACGGTCTCGCTGATTAGAGACCATTGCTTCCGTCAGTTATGTACTTATCCCCAGTACGATTAGCCGAGTGTATTCAAGTCATAAACTTCTTTGATGATTGACTGCGAGTAGTTTGAAGGCCCAAGTTTTGTTTCTGCGCGGTTGTCTAAAGCAAGCCTCAGGCACCTGGATTCTTGGCATTCATTACTTAATCACAACCCTAGCCTTCATAACCCTAACTGATTGGGCACCTTTTCACTTCTTATCGAAGGGAAAGAGAAGGGGGGAAGAGATGCGTGTATTCGTTAACTTAGGTAGGCCTCATGAGGAGGAGATATGTCCTCGGGAGGCACACTAACCTATGTAATCGGGAACCGCAGGCACGGTTCTGCAATACATCGAGGATCTCAACACCTTTTCTTCTTGTGCAACGCCATGGATATTTGACCCTTTTTATTCAAAGTCAGGGCGTACGCATCTGACGGACTAATTAATTTCTGGAATTCGGTTTCTAAATTGAAAGCTATTTATCTTGCTGTCATTACAAACTCCCGAGGTATATGAACGTTGGAACGTTTTATATTTACTTAGATAGCTAGGTATCTAGGTACCAGGTATGAAGGCAGATCAACGCCGTTACCTGCCCAGGTGGGTATTACCTGGTATATACGACTTCCCATCTCGAGCGCCATAAACCTCTGTATCCAGGTGTTGATATGCATGTTGTCACTGCGTAGCAGCAGCCCAAGCTGGGAACAACTCCGGCGGTTCAGCTCCCAGACTTGGAACCATCCCAGGATCTCCTTTCTCAATGGCAGTCTTGTATGCCGGCCTCTGTCCAACACGCTGTAGCCAAGCAAGAATCCCGCCATAGCCAGTCAAATCGATCGTGTAGAATAGCCTCATAGTAGACACGGAAACTACCGTCATGATATCCGCTGCTGTGAACTCTTCACCTGCCAACCAGCAAACCTGGCTGAGCCGATCATTCAACATATCAAGGACCGTTTTCAGCCGCGACTCTACATTCTTCTGCACGGGATGCTCGGGTCCCAACTTCAATGTTCCGAGTAGCATAGCTCTGAAGATACTTGGCTGCAAATTGCTATTTGATTGATGGAACCAATAGAGGTAGTCGCAATAATTTTTGTGAGATGGAGGCAAAGCTAGTCGTCCCTCGCCGTGTTTGTGAATAATGTACTCCATTATGGCACCGCTCTCGGCGAGTATTAATGGGTTGGATGGGTCAAAACTCGTGTCCGTGATAATGGGAGCGCCGCCCATGTGTGTCAGTGCCTTGATTTTTGGCGGAGCAAAGAGCGGACTGCGAGGGTAGCATTTAAGCTCATATGGAATTCCGAGTTCTTCGCAGAGCCAAACAATGCGTTCGCTCTGGCTGCGTTGAAGATGGTGCACGGTAAGCATGTCTGCTATGTTGATGGCAAGTAGTGCGATATTCGAAACGAAGAAAAGGATAATTCGCCGACTAAGGTTGGAAAGGAGCGACGGACGAGAATTTATACTTATATTTATCTGTTTCTGCTAATGAGTTTCCATTTGCTTCGAAAAATAAAATCTCAACCATCCTCCTTAGTGCTTCGGAGCCGTCACGGAGCCGCCGCGGAGCCGCTGTGGAATCGCTTCGCCACATTATCAAAATTTTACCTGCGGCTTTTCATGTAAGCACGTTGTTCTAGATGAATCTAGTGATAAATTCCCTGGTATGTTGATTTCAAAAGCCTTGTTGTTACTCTTTTCGTTACGTAGATGAACAAATCTCACATCTTCAATTCCGTGTTCGGGTTGTGCATTTAACATCCAGACTTGCAGACTATCAATTGCAGTACTTTTTCAATGATGATTCTCTTAGCGTATGAACGTACAAGGCTGTATTTTGCCCCGTGGACAGGCATATTCAACTATGGAAAGGTCTGTAGTTCGTCAACCCCCCAGCAGTCCATCAACACATCGCTATGTGAGCTCATGAGTTTCTGAACGGTAGGTCTCGCTGACCGAGCCCCTGCCACGGTAGCATCCATACCTAATAGGCATTTCAAGACAGTTCTGATCGAATGCATCCTACTGTCCACATCATCCATAAACTCGACATCTCTTCCGAACATTGTGACGTTGGTGAAGGTAGTTTGTTGGATAAGATGTTCCAGCGCCTTACTCAAAACTGTCACAACCGGTGCAAGGCTAGCATGGTGTAAAATAAAAGGTAGCTTTAACTCAGAGTCGTAGGAAAGTCGGATATATCCGTGCTTGGTTGAAATATTGTTGATACGACTTGAAATCGCGACTACTGACGAAATAGCATTCATTTCGTATTCCCGAGCTTTCTTTGAAACGTTATGCGTAGCTTCATCATTTACATCCAAACCATAATGGACCGCCGCGTCAATTTGTTCAACAAGAATAAGGGCTCCCAAATTCCAGAACAAGGTCTGATAACCTAGTGATATTCAACAAAGTATAATTTTACTGACTTGAACGGCTTAGATACGTACCGACAGCTAATTGCGAGACGTCAGATAATCCTTCGAAACGCGATAGGGCTTCCTCACAAAATCGGCCATAAGTCGAACTAAATTTATCGACAAGATTGATAGAGACGTCTAAAGCAGTACGCAGTGCTGATTTTTCGGTAATATATTGGGCTTCACGTACAAGCTGCTTCACTCTGGTAACCTGCCTCAAAACTTGTCCTATGGGCCTAACAATCTTCTGGCATAGCGATGGCACTTCTGTGTCGAAGGCTTGAGATATCTGACCAGAAAGATCCGAAGAGACGTCTATCATAAGTTAATTCAACGAAAGAGCTAGAGCAGAAATAGAAAAACAAACACTCACAGTTGCAATTTGGGGGGTCGTCCGTAAGAATGCAGTCTCGATCACAGATCAAGGACTCAAAGGTATCTTTGACATATGCGAACCATTCAAAAACCCTAACTGAGGATTCAAGAAGCCTTCTATAGTTTGACGCGGGGCTCAAGTTCCGACTGAACTCTTCGACCATGACTTTTAAGTCGCGCAGATGACTTAGACATTCATTTAGAATTCTGTTCTTGTCTATCAGAGTGTCATTGAATTCTTCAGGCGCAACAGACATGTGGAAGAGAAGCATGGCATAAACACGTGTGAATGATCGACTGGGTTTCGCATTTAGAATTCGAGATCGCGCGCCAAACCATGCGGTGCTGAACGCGTGAAGGGTCTCCATGGACGATCCGTTCTCATTTGCAGATGTACAGAGTGGAAGGCCAATTTGAGATTTGTCAGAAGCTAACCATTGAAGTGCAAAGGCTTGCTGGACAGAGATCAAAATGGCTTCATCCTCTTCTCTACTTTGTCGGTCTAATATGTTTCCATAGAGATGGGAAAAATGATCTAGAAACCGAGCCAATCCAACGAATGTTACCTTGGTTGGTTTTCCATGTGCTTCATTATAGACCCGATTTTGTAAATGGGAAATTTGGGACGGAGTTATTATTGTTTGAGGCCCAGATTCAGAAGACATCGCTCCGTCAATTGACACGTTCGGGTTGATGACTTCATTTGATATACTCCGCTCGCCTGGAGAATTGGATACATATACACCGCTAAATGAATATTTGTAGGGGGGCGCGAACGGGTTGCATTCATAGTCCAAGTACCTCGATTCCATTCCATATACCATCGAGGTGTATGTGTGGTGAAGGCGAGCTCCCAGAACATTTGCCGTAAATGTGCAATTGAGGAGTTGAATAGGGCTTCCTCTCCAATATCCAGAAAAGCTTTCTTCGTCGATATCATTTCGGTGGCCCAATGGTGCCATGGAAGCAGATAATGAGAGTCTAGGGGATCTAGTTCGGCTCGCAAGCTCTCCTAGAACGAAAGATTCTTCAGTACGAACCAGCCATTCGTCGTGAGCGTTGTCTAATGTGGTGAAATCAGCAAAGATGTCGTTATGTGCTCCACAAGAATAATCGACATCGGATATATCGTGATGAGATTCCGAGATTGATGACTGTATTGTTTCCCGTGCGGATAAGTGGCTTAAAATAGCAAAACGCTTCTTCTTTTTCTGCTCTGTCCGAGTTGAGACATAGTTGAAGGTACATTTATAACCCAAATGCGCACAGTTGAAACAGACCAGGCCAGAAACAGGAGGCGGTTCTTCATAGACACATTTACGTTTTAACCGACGGCGTGGGTCACAGCTGGAATATTGGCGCCGTGGCGGCATTGTAGGTAATTCAATGACACTGGAAAAGCAGTAGTGTGGCATCAAAGTGTGAGCGCTGAAGAATTAATCGTTATCGGCCTAAGGCTCCCGGCGAATCCTACCTACGTACTACCTAGCCAATGACAGGCAGCCAAGCATACCAAGTCCGTCCGACTCTATCATCATGAATCCCAAGCTTTTCATCTTCGAGTTTTTTCTCTCCTTTCCGGTTACTTCTTGTTGACGTGTGTGGCTTGGCGGAAGGTACTGTTAAAAATTGGTATCGCTAAATGTAAGGCAGTTTGCGGCGATCTTGCTATATGTATAGTAAGAAAAAGGAAGGCAGTAATAAATGTAAACTCCAATCCTAGAAACACGATGTATTGCCATATAAGGAAGATGGCCTAGATTCTAAATTTGAAAGAGTTATAAAACATAATTCACATAAAATGAGCATTACGAGAAGGAGTCCCTTTTTGATGGCCTGCTGGTTAATGATCCGTTGTCAAAAAGACACCTGAAGTTACATTTTGTCTGATTATAGTTGGCTTAGGAGATTGAAAGCTTATCATGAGAGGAGCAGAATATGATATCTGAGTTTTCCATATTGAAGATTAATGACAGTAAATCAGGAGCTCAGATGTAAAGACTTTTATGAAGTCGCAACTTGCATTCGAAGCCACGACGCCAGTCACAAGCCAGAATGGATTTTCTTTTTTGGCCTTTTTCCGATTTTTTTTTCCCTTTCTATTTTTTTTTCTTGCTTTTTCTTTCTCTTTCGAGATTGAGTAGTGTGTCAAGTGACAGCAAAGCACCATCCAATGAAAAGATCACTCAACTGCGACAATTGTCAGACTATCCATATTGACTTGCCCACGGTTCTTCACGATTCGTGCACTTTGCCCCCCGAAATCGTCATTTATGCGGACAGCCGGAAAGCCATTTTTGTTCCAATTGCCAACCTGAATGATAGGTTTGGTAGGTTGTGGACCCTTGCTAAGATCGTGAGGAACAAAAGGGTGAAGCTGGCATCGATACGTCTTCCGCAGTTCCCCGAAGAAGACGTCTTTGAGAGTGTCAATGTGAGCCTGTTTATGTTCTTCAGAGATATAGGCTGGGCGTAAACCCCCAAGGTACTTTATCACTGGTATAAGGAGATATAGCTCAACTCCCGTGTCCTCCATTAAGTATGAAGCCGCGACGTATCGCACCAACTTGCTGCTTGCCTCAAGGCAAAAGGGACATTCATTGCAAGGAAGTCGAGCAAATACCACACATCGCCTTCCAATGGCAATCACAACATCCTCAATGCAAGAGTCTGAGTACGATATATGTTTGGCAAATATGTTCATGTCCGAGCAGTCTGTGTAGTTTACGACCCGCACTTCCATGTACGCTACCTCAATGTTCTTTCCGTCTTTGTGTTCGCCTTCCTCGATAATTGTCGGTTTTGATCTTGAGCAAGCCGGGGTGTGTGCTCGGATTTCGGCTTGCTCTTGGGTTTCTCCCGGACCGGGAGTAACCGCATAAAACAGCGCAGCTTCGGCAGACATAACTCTAGAATCTAGCTAGATATAGGATACAGTTAGCAGAGCTTGCAGTAATGAGGTACTTATCCAGCAGTCATGTTGACTAAGAAGGAACGAAATGACTGATCTATCCTCAGTGTTTTCAGGGGCGTATCTTACTAGGAGAAAATGAAGGTCTTGTTTCGTTAGCATGAATCGGGAGCATCTGGCAGAGTACAATATCAATTCTTCTCTCACCTGAGTAGGAGCTGGAAGATCCCTGGGGTATATTTAGTTGACTAAGGATTGAACGGCGTTGCGTCCCTTCCTTAACTGATAACCCGAGTTGTTTGTTGAACGACGATTGATTAGTCTTGGTTGATAAGAGAAATCAGAGATCAGCACTGGATAATATTGCAGCAAGAGCTACTTGAAGGTGAAGTTGAAAGAGGGATAGGGCAGGGAGCAAGAGGTACATTTATAGCCTTCATCATCTCAATACAGGCCTGGTTATCTGTGCTCGTTGAGTCACGATAAGTATCATAACAGTTTCAATATTGTGGAAATTACTCACTGAACCCATCTGTGTCCTTTGACTATCACAATTTTCAATTCCTTCCATTGTTCTCTGATGCATTAAGGATCGAGGTTCTTTGTTGTATGTCAGGTCCGATGTTGACGATGTCTCACCGATATACCGTTTCTATTAGTTGAATGCACATATTAAGTCATTATTAAAACCGATAAGATGTTCGGCGTCTTATGACAAAGCCTTGAATGAGCAAACATGACAGGTATGGGTCATATTTGTTGAATGCCTAAACAATCTAGCAACGTTGCCGTTTGGAAACAGGGAGAGTATAAGATGCTACAAAAGACAACATACATGTACAAAGGCCTTTGGAATGTTTCAAAGGTAATGTGTATGACATCCGTTTTAGTGAGGGCTCATAGAATGTAGTAAAATATTGGACTTTTTACCATAATGCCCATGAAAAGGAATCTGATAGCCTAGTCTGGATCATTAGTTGGTCAGAATTGTCATTTCTTTCCTACTCCTAACCGCTTAGAGGAAGTTTCCAAGGCTAGCTTCTCAACGTATATTTTATTACCTCGAGGATGGGATACTTCCGGGGCCAAAGTGCTGGCATCAATCCCGACTGTAATAAAGGGGCAAAAATCTTTACTATTATGGGTCTTACCGAGAAGAGGAAGATTGTTGTCACAAAATCAAATTCCTCACCATTTGTAGCGAAAGTATTACATAGCACGACTTGTTTTTGCACTTCTTAGTGCGTTAACAACATGGTTACTGTAGTCACTTATGTGAAATAGACACTAAAATAATAGTCATCTTATTGAAGCCAAGGAAAATGATGCCTCGTACAAGAAGACACCTTCTTTATTAGTGCTGAAATACCTCATGCATGGCATTCGATGTTACCGCAATTCTTCGAGTGTCGAGGTACATAGCGATAACTCGAGGAAAAGATCGAATTGGAAGTTAACATCTATTTTTCATGATGATATAATACGTAAATAGTACCTTCTAGACATGTTTTCTCCAAGGAAGTTACACTTCGTGTCCAGGGTCTAGGCATTGTCGAAGAGGTTGATTGTGTCAATGGTATGATCTGCATGGCTTTGATCCGCTTTCCCAAACATAACGGCAGGGAATAGAGCACTGTAGTCGTCATCAGGCAATGAAAATTCGGGATTCAGCAATTGATCTATGGCATTCAAATTCATGCTCCCATGCTGCACATCCTCCTCGTTTAACCAGATTAATGGAGCCGCAACAGGAACCAAAGACTCGGGCTCGCGCAAGCCAGAAGCTGTACGGGTTTCCCTTGTTCCAACGAGATTTCCTGGAAAAGAGAGATTACTGCTTCGTTGGCTGGTGAGGTTGGCTGTTTTGTGCATCTCGTTTCTCCTTTTCATATTGCGCAAAATGTGCTGTGCTCTCTCAAATAATCGAAACATCACACCGGCACTCCAGTAAGTATTACTGATGTTTTCGAGAAAAATCATGCAAAGATGAAGCTTGTTACTCGCCAGCCCACTCTGGACAGGATCGTTTGCTCGACAGTCCGACAGATGAACTTGCATGGTAGGTATTAAGGCCGTAATACTATTTAACAAGTAATCATTAGCATCTTGGCAATCAGGCATATAGATTGAAGAGCGAGACAAACATCATTGGTTTCACATAGTTCAGAGCGCCGATTTGCATGATTTTCTCCAGAATCATGTTTGTTGCCGATGCCGCTGCCCGCGCACGCGATTGAATGGCTTTTAGCCATAACGCACCTGCGTCTACCGGTATTTCTGCGGGATTGATGAGATACTGGCGGTATAGTATGACTATTGTAGACCTATTTTGAGTGTCAGAATGACTGAAAATATGTAGTCCGGTTCCTCGGGAGCTCACTGATAGAAAATATCCCAGTGGTACCTATGAATGAGAACAAGTTCATCCGTAGCTTCTGGCTGAAGCTCCGGCTGTTTATATGCGTCAAGGTCTGTGGCTATCTTTTCGATATCGTGGGTATCTGGCTTCAACCCTTTGACGCGATAATGCATTCGTAGAACCTGGCCCAGTATGATGCTGGTCTTGACAAAATAGACCCATATCTCTGCCAACGTATCCGAATGATGCGGGACGAACTTTGTCCGAATCTCGGATTTTATATTAGCTATTTCATCGGCAACGTCCTGTGCACAGGGCATGAACACATCGTAGTCCTCGTCGTGCACTCGCATGGGACGGCCTTTGGCAAGTGAAAGCCATCGATCCCGGATAACACATGCCCACCAGATACGACGAGAAAGCGGGTGAAATTGAGCTGGTATTATACTGTTTATGAAATGAGGATCCCGGTGGATGCCAACACTTTGAGCCAGAGAAATGGCGATGCCAACCCAATACCATGCTCCAGTATGGTCTTGGGGATCGGTATACCAAAAACTCATCAAGAGCACCGACTGTATCAATGTGAGCTTATCCGTACCACGGTCTAGATCGTACAAGCACTGAATAGCGTTTCAAGAAAACCGTCAGTTACCTCGTGATGTTCACGCAGGTGCGATCGAATCTTCAACAAACCTTTGCTCTTGTATACATGGCTGTCTTCATGGCTTTCCTTGACGAGAAACCGACATTGCGTAAAGCTTCATCGTCCACAAACTAGGTTATACATATGTTAGCAACGCTGTTGAGTAATTATCTTTGGTACTCGCTTATTTGACATGCGCAAATCGTGGAACATGCTGCTCGAAATTATATGGAACTCACATTTGCAGCGGCTAGGAACATACTCCACATAAGCAGAGGATTAATATTTTGAAATCCATTGTTCTGGTATTCATTCAATATAAACGATGCATCGACGACAGGCAAGAGAAAGTGCACATGCCGGAAATAAAAATCAAGTATGCTGTCTGTTTTTTCCTTGGAGAAGGTCTCAAAGCCACCCTCGGCACGAATCAGCTCCACTTCATGCGGCTTGTGGATGGTGTTATTTGGGAGATGCGAGGAGGTTCTCAGAGGCAGCGCTTCCTGAGGCGTCTCGGAGTGGCACAGATCGTAGACAGAGTATCGCGGGCCACGTTTGTCCCCTACAGCGAAGTGTCAGTCCCCGCAGGCCGTGTAACGGGGATATCATACCTATATAGCTTGCTGGGGAATCATCAGGCAGTATACATTCGCCTCTGGAAATCGATGCATACCGATCTTCGTAATCTTGGCGAGTGGACCTTGGCTCTGCATCTCCAGAATGAACAGTGGCTCGCGGACGTCGCGGTCTGGACTCTTTTCATTCAGTTGAGTTGTTCAGGGTCAAATGGACTATGACTTCTATCGTCTGGTAGCCTCACCGATGCTTTTTGCGTGGTAGTACTTCACAGACCGTAGCCTCGTACTGGCAATTCGAGCAGGGAACTCCTGTCTGCGTCACGTCGCAGCGGACTTTGCGGCGATTACAGGTCTGACAGGCCACTTTTGAACGTACACGTTCTGTTTTTCTTGGGCTGCTGCCAGTTGCAGTGCGGGCAGTCTGGGGAGTCATCTCACTCGCCTGCGATAATGCCGGAGTTTCCAACATAATGCTTGCAGTCGCCGACGGGTAGACAGACCTCAGTTGGTCGGCAAAGTCTTGCCGTGGCATTTACTATTTAGGGCGATTTAAGCTGGTTTTCCCCCGCATTCTCCATTTTCGTGCAGCGGTTGTGTTCGGCATTTTCGGCTCTTTCGGCTGAAAAGACCGTGCATTCTCCCAGTTTCTGGGGAGTTGGAACAAAGACTGGACAATGAATGCTAAAGGCTTGCATCGTAGCGATGACCGTGCGCAAATTAATCGTCTCTGTGTTGGAATGCCTCCTGACATGTTCGGATACGTCTCCAGCTTGTTCCATGCCCTCCCTCTCATGCTGGCGGCTGGCTCGGTAAAAAAGCAAGCGTCCCTGCGCAGATCGGTAAGCAGTGAAACCGAGCTGTAGGTATAAGAACAACAAAAAAGAAATGACATAGAGATTCTCTCAACGTCAGAGCATCGTCTAATGTCTTCCTAGCTACAATCTACGCAGACTCTACTATAGTTCATTCACCATGGTTTCGAACGACACCACTATTAGTTCTCTCGCAGAACACGATGGGCCCAGGAAAGATCGTTCTGCGTATGAAATTGAGATAGTGGAAGACGCAAAGATCGCCCCTGCGGTATTTACCGAAGCGCAAGAGCGCCATCTTGTTCGAAAGCTAGATCTCTGGTACGAACTTTCATGTTGCTGGTGAGCTAGATAGCTAAGTATATACTTACCGTGAGCAAAAACGACATCTACAGGATTGTGCCACTTATGATGGTTACATATATGCTCCAAAGCTACGACAAGGGGATCCTGAGTGCAGCGTCGCAGTTCAACATCAATGCCGACTTGGGATTAACCGTTGTCATTGGGCACGAGGCAGACGGAACTCCCATTACCAACAATCAACGATACTCAAATGCGTCGATGATTTTCTATGTTGGCTATGTCGTCGGAACATATCCTATGTCATATCTAGCACAGCGTTTCTCTGTCTCGAAAATCATCTCCGGTGCCACTTTTCTCTGGGGAGCTGTGGTCATGTCCACAGCAGGCTGTACCAATTATGCCGGCATTATTGTCAACCGTCTTGTTCTAGGAGTCTTAGAATCAGCTGTTGCTCCAACTTTCACTGTCTTGGTGACTTTTTGGTGGACGAGAGAAGAGCAGGGTCTACGGACTGGCCTGTGGTATTGTTGCGTGGGGGTTGCCACTGCTATATCACCTCTCATCAATTACGGGCTGGGCCAGATAAGGGGGCCGTTGGCTTCATGGAAACCAATGTTTCTCGTATTGGGGGCCGTCACAACACTCTGGTCCGCGGCTTTGTTTTTCTGTCTTCCTGATAGCCCAATGGAAACTAAAGGATTGACCGAATCTGAAAGAGAACTTGCCATTCAACGCTTGAACCGAAATAAAGCAGGAACCATCAACCATACATTCAATAAGCACCAGTTCTTCGAAGCGTTTCGAGATTATAAACTTTACAGCTGCACAATTCTCATCCTGCTCACTGGTGTCCCCTCGGGCGCTATTGGTACCTTTGGAACGATTGTTATCAACGGCTTTGGCTTCAGTCATTTCGAGTCTCTGGCACTTACTTGTCCAATTGGTGGTCTCACGGCCTTGAGTATTCTGATTGTTAGCTATGTTAGCCGGAAATTTGCAAACAGTCGATATCTCTGTATCGCAATTTGCGGTATCATATCTATTGTTGGCACTGTAATATGCTGGGTAGGGCCTCGGAACAACAGGGGCCTGCTATTTGCTGGAATATTCCTTATTGCTGTGCAGGTTGCCTCTGGCGGATTGGCCGTGTCACTGGCAGCCTCCAACATTGCCGGTCATACCAGTGAGTAGGGACTCTTCTTCCAGTTCCCTAGATTTTGTGACAAGGAACGGATGCTGACACTAGTATTCCTGACATAGAAAAAGCCACAACAAGTGCAACTACGTTCGTCGGTTATTGTATTGGCAACATCATCGGGCCACTGATTTTTGGCGCTTCTCCAGGGCCTCTTTATCGTGCCGGCTTCATCGGTAGTTTTGTATGCCTGTGCGCGGTGGTTGCAATTGCAGCTGCCACCTATGTGCTTCTACGGAGGGAAAATGCGAAGCGAGACAGGATGCACGGGGCTCCGATTGACCATGTTTCTGTAGATGAGGAGCTAACTGATGTGCAAAATCCCGATTTTCGCTACGTGCTGTAGATTGGGCTAACCGGGACAGTATCGATCAATTTACATAGCTGTGCTCTTATGCGGGGATAATAAGTTCTCTTTGTTCTTTGTCTTAGTCTCACGAATGGCATTTATATTCTTCATTATAACTGCGTCAATGCGTACCCAACACACGGTCATCAATCGTTTTACTGGTCCTCGGTATATGTCCGGCATAAGCTAGCTGATGTCAATGGTCAGCTATGCATGCCGCAGAAAACTCCGGGGTATGTAATACGCAGCATCCATGTTTGGGTCCTAGCGAGTGCGGGGGGAAAGTCTTTCAACTCTACACAGTCTAGCGAGTATACCAAGGTATATTCGAAGCCCACAACTAGAGCCATATGCCGAACAAGCACGAGGTGACACAGTGATGGGCAGCCAACGCAACAAAGGTTGGGTTCCTGCCAACAGAGGTAGGTATAAATACCTCAACATAGGTGTATATAAAATGTCTACTCATCGAACTTCCAAGCGTACAGTCCCTCTCCGAGAATATTTGGATCGGCAATGAACAGCATTCCTTGTAAGAAGGGATAGACCATATTGTTTCCCTTCCCCTTCAGCGTTTCCACTTCTAGAACCTCACTTTTGATCATGGTTGGCCTAGTTGTAGCTGCTACTTGCTTCCTCTCGATCACAAGATCATGGTGGGATGGCACTCATCAGACAGGCTGTGGAAAGGAATTACCGCCAGGGCAATTCACAGGAAGCGTGTCAAATATCACAATCATTAGTAGCGGATCGGAGCGATCCTACCTTGTCTTTGTTCCACCTCATTACTCGCCTTGTGTCGCGAAACCCATCATCTTTTCCTATCACGGAGGAGATAGAACGGCCGAGGATCAATTGAAACTCGATCAACTCACCAACCCTGAATTCAATAAAAATGCATTTGTGGTTTACCCACAGGGAATAAATGTAAGTCAATCAAAGTGCATGAACTTGGTTCAATCCTACGTTTATGGTTTATAAATCGGAGAATGGCCAGGCTGAACTCAACATCTCAACAGGACAAATGGCAAGGCGTTCCCAACATCACTACAAACGATACTCAGTTTACTGCGGATATTCTGAGAGACGTTGAAAGCCGATATTGTATCGACTCAAGTCGTATCTGGGCCACCGGCAAATCTGATGGCGCTGGGTTCTGCAATATTCTCGCATGTGACCCCATTCTATCTACGCGTTTCGCGGCCTTTGCTCCTGTTTCCGGGGCATATTATGTGGACGCCCTACCCTGCGATCCAACCACGGTGGTATCTCCATGTTTTCCGGGAAGACGGAATATCCCTTTCCTTGCCTTCCATGGAGGAAACGATACCACCATTGCATTCGCAGGTGGCGAAAGGAAGAACGAATGCCTGCCCTCAATACCGCATTTCATTCGCGAATGGGCGGAAAGGGATGGTCTGGGTTCTCACAATATCACGGAACCCCTTGCAGATGATGCGGTTATCTACAGTTTCGGTGGCGGATCTGTTCAGCTCGTATACGACTCGGTTATGGGCCACGACTGGCCAAGTACGATCCTTAATGCAGACAATTCAGCAGCTGGCCATCATCCAGCGAGCTTCAACGCCAGCCGGATGATTATAGATTTCTTCGAGAGTCACTCGCTGTGATAATGTCGAGCGATCTGTTGTTTTGATGGATTATCTCTTGTTTGCTCGAATGCACGATGTCTACCTCCCTACTATCTATCAGTCATTAGCATAGTAAGGCTAAGAAATGTGTACCTATCTCTCTATTGGTCGTCATTGTTCACTATGCACGCAAGCAACAATAACAAAACCCATACTGCACGGTGGGAATCGGATATATGACTTCTACTGGCAAGTATGCAAAGTAAAATGTATATATTAGACGTGTATATCAGCTATGAACTATCAGATAACTTACCAAAGGTAACACAGTTGCATTGACTGCTACCTCCGTAAGCACATCGTATACCTAGCCCGCCCGCTGGCACGTTCTCGGCAACTCGCCGGCATTTTGTAAGTGGTATAATTACCGAGCAGTCTCTCTATTTAACGACAAAGCTATTCGCGTGACACGCAGAGATATCAACTCTATAGTTCTAAAACCTATAGAACGATGACGACAGAAATGGAGCCACGCTTCTCCCTTCCATCAGAGACACCCTTGTCCAGCAAGAAGGAGCTGGTAATCGGCGGTGTGCGGATATACATTTACGGGCTGGAAGAGCTGCACCGCGGAGAAAACGAGCGAATTGCTGTTCTGTATCTCGCTCACAATAGGACTCGCACATATCTAGTTACTGAGGGTATTGCTCATGAAGTCTTACACCGATACCGAGCAGATGGGAGACAAAAGACTGCGCAGCTAATTGCTGTGACGATGAATATGAGGAATCACGGGGACAGGGAGGTACGAAGATTTCACTTGCAGTGTTGGGTAAATCAAAGTCTTATTAAATTCAATGGTGTTTCTACATTATAGATATCTCCTCGGGCAAACCGTACCTGGAAAGATGGCAACGAAAATCATGGGTATGTCATGCCCCTCACACTTCCAGTCATGTTTATTATTTTGATATTGACGTCTAGCACAGGGTTGACCTGCTTTCCATGATCTCAGGATCTGCTCAGGATTTCAAGCTGGTGATGGATTATCTTCCAGCCTATTTACCTGAGTATGCCCAGTTGTATAATATCATGGCCGGGGTTTCTCTGGGAGGTCATACCGCCTGGCGCATGGCTGCGCTTGCTCCGGGACAGTTTCATGCCTTTGCGATGATAGTTGGTTCACCAAACTTGAGGTCATTGCTTCTCAGTCGGCTAGGACTCAACTCGACGACGGACCATAGCCAACTGGACTATGATGGCATGAGCTATGAGGATTTACACGGAATAATGAGACCACGCCAACAGCGAATGTGGCCAAGAACTCTGGACAAGATTATTGGTGAAGGAGACAGGAAAGCGTTTGAAGAATTTCCCACTGGTGTGCCTTTACTCTTGTGCAATGGGAAATATGATAAACTAGTGCCGGCGAAGTACACAGCATCGTGGGTCGAAAAGAGGAAACAGTCGAATAATATCGAATTTTTCGTGCAAGACAATACTGGCCACAGTTGCACAAAGGAAATGGTGAGCATGCTAGCACGGTGGCTAAGCGATATGTTTCAAGTTCAGAGTGGCATGGCACACATTTAGTCAGGTTGGACTGCATTACAGGGACATTCTTCTGATACGTCTTCATAGATTTAGACACGTTATACATATTATCTTTCTGCTTTTTGTATTGACCGTTAATGTCAAAAAAAAAAAAAAAAAAAAAAAAAAAAAAAAAAAATTAACAATCACCCAAGTGTACTTTTGTGGGGGTTTTTGTTTCCTATTTTTTTTCTTTCATTAAGTACTAAATTCTTACATACATGGCATCTCCAGTCTCTAGTTCGCACGTTCTTGTGTTCTATGATTTTAAATTAAACAATAAGCAATCGTATTCCGAGGATGCCGGTTCTAGGTAGGAGCCAGATTACAGGGTACTACTCCTAGTAGTATCCTGCTTTGTTTATGAGAGCTAGAAAGAAATGTGGCAATACAGGACATTGGGGGGGAGGCAACATTCCTACGGGGCTCTTCGGAATCTGAACATTCAGCGTCGCATTCACAATCTCTCAGGGGTAGTAGGTACGTACTAGGTGGTATTCCAAGATTAAAGTTGTTGGTCACTTAATGCTAGTATAGTAAGGTGAGAAGGATGAGGCGCAACTTGGCAAGTCTTGGGATAAGCATCCAATTTGGATATTTCAAGTAATGCACTCGAATATCACGCCCTGGAGGTTCTTTTTTTTTTCTTCAGAGGTCCATTTCCTCTTGTTCTAAGCATTATTCCGTCCTTTGGTCTCATTTCGCCGCAGCCCTAGCCAGCAGCCGCGGTGGAGTGGCCAAGTCGCTGGGATGAGAACTAATGCATACTATCCATACAGAACCAACTGGACGAGAGAATTAGTCTTGGTGAATATTCAAACTTATGTAAGAAGCAATTATATTTTATTCATGTTCGTTATTCAATCCTTCATAAGAATTCAGTCAGCCAATCGTATCTGCACAGCGTCCCAGATGCTACTCAAAAAGATAAGCTATGGAAGTAACTTTAAATGAACCCGATTACTTGTATGGGGCTATGGGCTCAATACCACCTGGGAAATGACTTAAATACGCAGAGGCTCGCTGTGTCTAATTGAGTGATTCCTGGGAAGAATATTCTGCCAGCCATTCGACATTGTAAGGTAGGAAGTCTGTCGAGATGTATCTCCAGGGGTGTGTTTCAATTCTTTCGCTTTGTGCTGTCGCTTCGGCGAGTGTTCTTAATTATGGGAGTCATGTAAAAAGCAATACAGGAAAGTCAAGTCTTCCTCGAACCGCGGCATACTATGCCAACTGGGTAAGTTCAATCTGTCCGAGGTCGTGGGAAAGGAGAGGCAGCATTAACGTTTTATCTGCAGGATATTTACTCAGCAGAGTACTACGTCACAGATATCCCGGCAAGCCAACTAACTCATCTCATATACGCCTTTGCGAATATCAACTCGACAACTGGGGAGGTGTAGGTCATCTATGGTGCAAACGTAACACGCGTCACTATGTCTAACATCTTTCCAGCTACTTGAGCGATGACTATGCGGACTTAGAGTACCTCTACCCTGGCGATGATGCCTCCGTGCCTGGACCAAATGTCTATGGAAATATCAAACAGCTGTTTCTTCTGAAGAAGAAGCACCGAAACCTGAAGACAATGATCTCCATCGGAGGTGGCACGTACTCAGCTAACCTGGTTCCCGTGTTGGCTTCAGAGACTCTGCGACAGTCATTTGCCAATTCAGCTGTTAAACTTGTATCAAATCTGGGCTTCGACGGAATCGACATTGACTATGAATCTGTGAGCAGTACTACTCAAGCAGAACAATTTGTCGATCTCCTGAACAAGACCCGTTCAGCTTTGGACACTGTTGCGGCAAACATCAGTACAACGCCATTCTTGCTCTCGTTCGCTTCACCTGCAGGTTCACAGAACTACGACTTACTAGATTTCCCCAGCATGGATAAATTCCTTGACTTTTGGAACTACATGGGCTATGCGTATGCCGGATCATGGAATACCTACACTGGTCACGATGCTAATCTCTTCTATTCATCTAAAAACCCGCGCTCGACTCCAGTCAATACCAATTCGTCAATAACCGATTACATCGCCAAGGGTGCAACACCGAGCAAGATAAACTTGGGATCTCCTTTGTACGGAATCTCATTCAACAACACGGCCGGACCCGGAACTCCCTTTGACGGCATTGGCGATCTGGGAACATTAGGAGAAGCAGGAACCTGGAACGATAACTCCCTTCCCGTGCCCGGGTTCAATGCTACAACTTTCGAACTCCCAGAAATCGGGGCAAGTTACAGCTATGACCCAGTTAAGAAGTATATGATCAGCTATGACACACCTAAGATCGCAGCTGTTAAGGCCGAATACGTGACTGAGATGGGTTTAGGCGGCACGATGTGGTGGGAAGTTAGCATGGACAAGAATGGAACTTCCAGCTTGATCAATGCAACAGTCAGGCAGTATGGTGGCGAGAGCGCCTTGGATCAAACCTTGAACAACCTGAACTACCCAACAAGTATATATGATAACTTAAGAGCCGGGTTCCCTGAGAATAGCACTACTCCTGCACCCACTAGCACGACTAGCTCTGCTGTAAGTTGGACATCGACTGTTGCTCCTTCACGCGTGGAGCCCAGCACAACTGCTTCGTGCACAGAATACCACCTTGTTGTCTCGGGTGACACGTGCTACAAAATCTGGACGGAGTATGGAATAACTGCTGCTGAGGTGAGTGTATCTGTTGCAGTCAATCCGAAAGAAAGCGTCTAATTAACTGACCACCTCAATTTAGTTCGCCGCGATGAACCCATATGTTGGATCAGATTGCGCGAATCTCTGGCTTGGATTTTACGTTTGTGTGGAGGCAACAAGTTCATAAGGGCGTCTACCAACATTGGCAATTTTTAAATCTTCTTCGGCCACCCCTAGGTCTATATAAAGTGTAATGCAAAATCAAAGCAGGCCACTTTTTAAGATTATGTGTTCATAGTTGCAAAGAAGCACGTGCCAAATGCCAAACCCTCGCAAAACGAACTTCACATAATGGTAGAAACCTCTCTTGCATGGTTTGAAGGGCTGCTTCGCAAGTCGATATATGCATTGTCGCAGCTATATTCAATATGTTCATTAAGCACCACTTCGACACAGCACTGCCTGGACGTGCAACCAATGCCACAATAAGCATGGCCCATAATCTTAACACAGTCTGCAAGCATTGCCCTTCTTATTGTGCTGCAGTCTTGGTCTTCTTCAAGATATTGACCCCATGTATTTCGCATTCTTGTGATCAGCATATCACAAGACGGCGTCCCGGGGGGTCGTTCGTCAACCACCGCTGCTGTGTAGAGGAGCAGTATAAGCCGGAAAAATCCGTGGAATGCAGAATTACTGTCATTCAGGTCATAGCCAGCTGTATCAGAAGTGAACAATAATGTGTACTGCACGGCCGCCATCCAGAAGCGAATCTTTACCGCATCACTACTTTTTCACTCGTGTAGACGTCAGACCTATTATGCAGATACAATTAGCTTCATGCAATGCTGAGTGTTAACTGGCTATTTACAGAAAGAGGACCATGTGCTGGGCAAAATGAAGCGCACAATTCCGTACTACTAGTGGAAGGCGGAATACATAATGGACCATTTATTCTATTAGAACCGGAATATTACATATTTAGAGAGCAAAAAAAGAAAAACAAATAGTACAAACAAAATAAACCGCTAGGAGAAATATATGAATTTTATAATACGTCTAGATATAGAATTAAGTAGGCATTCTATCAGGTTGAGGCGTATTTTGATTGCCCCACCTACTAACCTGTACATTAAGAATAGGATATGAGAAGCGAACGCTTCTGGAATATCAAGTTGGCCAAGGAGGGTTAACTGAACATCAAACCTGCTTTGAACGCCCCAGAAATGATTGCACCACTTACACCTGGAGAACACACATTCACCAGGGAACAGATCAGCCGCGTTCTGGACGAGGGACGATTCAGACCTCGCGACGGCATCGAGGGGAAGCCCGGGGAGTTTATCTCCAAATCGCTTTCGATGGACAGGGATTATGTCAACAATAAGACTCACGTATACAGCCCAAACGAGGTACAAAAACGAGCAGAGCAGCTGTGTGAAGACTACTCTGCGACAGTGGAAGAACCTCTGAACCACTGGGGTCGTCTCGACGCAAGCTTCTCTGAGCTTATAACATGTAACTTTATGGCATTTGAGACACAGAAGACGTCGGAATCCATTATTGAGGACGTCTACAATTTGTTGTCACGGCTACCTGCAACACCAGTGCCCGTTGACACTCGAATCAATCTGGCCGAATTAGACGGCGAGTATTTCAGTCACCGTCCGGAGAAGTCCGACTCCCTCGATGCCTCCGACATCAACGAGGGACACAAATGGGAAAATTCGCGGGTTACGACTGCTGTCAGTACAAACGTTATTCGAGTCGCTATCGAGCTTACCAAAACAAGTGTTGGCAATGGAAACATTGGCCTATTTATTGATCTTGTCGCCGACCTTTTGACAATTGTTTCAACGGAACTTGCGAATACTACTGCCGCGGGGGATAGTGATTGCCACAAATACTTTCTGATACAGGCCTTTCTGTGGACGACTTGGCAGAGGGTCGTGATGCTATATTTCTGGTGGATATTGAAATTAATCTTGGACTGGGGATATGACTACGACAATGACGAAAAAATGATTGGGCTCAAAAGGGTGCTTAATGTCCGAGCAAGAAGCCCGGAAATGCAGTTCGGTTTTTCGAACACACCCTATATGTGCCCTTGGGCCTTCGAGCTCCTTTGCTCAGACCGTGTTGCAATCCTGCAAGATTTCAGGGTCTTTCATGCGCGTTTCAATGCAATATTTACCGACCGTCCGCCTCGCTGTCGTCAAATCGGACAGAATGGAGCCAAGATCGACCTGACCTGTGACGGTAGCAGTCCCGAAGCCTGTCATCGATTTCAAAGTATGAAGGTGGAGGATCAATCTGCTCACGTATCAAATTGCGGAGGAAACTGTGCCGTCATTTCTTGGGACGAGATTTCGTACAAGAGCGTGGAACGCGGTGGTAGAGCCGTTTCATTGAAACAGACAAACGAAAGGTTTCTTCGATACTGCCCTGCTTCCAAAACCACTTTGGTCATATCCCATGTGTGGAGCCATGGTCAAGGAGGCAGGCCTGAGGACGGGTTCAACTATTGTCTCCATCAGCGGTATGCAGCGATCTCCCAAGCCCTGGGCTGTGACTCGTATTGGATGGACACGCCTTGCATCCCGGATGATTATGGCCTCCGCAACGAAGCAATCGCCAATATCAATCGAGTATTCTCTGAAAGCAAGGCCACGCTTATCTGTGACAGAGACTTGATGGATATTGATGTTTCGAATTTGACCGTTTCTCTGCGAGAATCTATACTTGCTACTCTGCTAGTCTGTGACTGGAACGTACGATCATGGACACTACTTGAAGGAATGCGTGGACGGCGAAATGTCCACATCCTGTGCAGGAATAATAGAACAGTATCTCTCTCTGAATGCCTCGACGTATTATTACACGAGGGGCGTCTCGATTTCATATACCTTTTACTCGCGGCACAGCAATTTATCCCGTACTTTGGACAAGATTCATCATGGGATAACGAGGCAGACCCATCTACTCGAAGCCAAATCGAGCGTATGAAGACAAGGGGGATAAAGGGCCGGGTTACGGTAGAAGTGGGAAGCTGTTTACTTAGCCATCGCCACGCATCAAGGCCTGGGGACGAGGTTGTCATTTGGAGTCTGCTTATCAGCGACAGTGTTCACAGGACCGCAGTGAACCTCTGGCAATCTCTAGAGGGACAGATGGTACAAACAGGATTCCTCATGTCGAGTTTACCACGCATCAAGGGTCACAAGGGACTGGGATGGGCGCCGTCACGTCCTAACTTCCCGCCTCACACAACATCATCACCAGCAGATCCCGAACATGAAGGTGTTGCACCCTTGACTCAAAGAATCTTCCCATCTACTGGTTACGGTACATCCAGCGCCCTAATCACTCCAAAAGGCCTTGACGGACCCTGGCATGTGTTCGAAATTGAGGATCTAAACGCAAGACAGTGGCTTCGAAAGATCAAGAAGAAGATCCAGAAAGAATTTCAGATGCGCGCGGAGATACGCGAAGGGGTGCCACCTGCGATTCTCACCCGTCTCAGGGAGCAGAATGTCAAAAAAAGGGTAGCACTAATACAGCCCGCATTTGAACATGTTGTTTTTGCTTCTGGGGCTCTCTGGGAGGATATGGCGAGATCGAGTGGGCCATATTTTGCAGTAGTATCCTCCAGCGATGGGATTGAATGGGAATGGAAGGAGGTTATCAGGATAGAGAGTGCAACTACACTGATCATGAGAACCGAGCAACTCCTATTGGTATAGATACATTACCTCGAACCTCAATACGGACGGCGACGCGTTTACTAGGGAATGACCCTAAATTGAACGCACTTTGAACGATAAAGGGCTTAATATAAGAGGCTCTGGCCTAATCAATGTTGTGGAGATATTCTAGTATATTCTTTGATTATATCATTATATGACCGCTTACTAGCAGGGTCTACCTGTTCCCCTACCTAGGCGGCGCAAGGAGGCCATGGCAGGGCTGAGTAGAAAGTGTGTCAAACTCATAGCATTATAAAGAGATACAAGATTGCCCGGAGAGTCTAAGTTTTTGACTTCAAAACCCAGGATTGCTTATTTTCTTTTCTTTTCTTGAAACAATGGCATTGTTCTCTTCAAATGGACTCTGGAGTCTCGGTGCTCGGGGTAATTCAAGCCGAACTGTTTGGGATGTCAATTGGGGCAGTGTTTTTCCGTGCGCAAACGGCGCTGCAAGTACAGTCATTAGCCGATTTGCATTGAGAGACGTCGACACTGTCGTCAAAATGCCCAAAGAATTTGACGAGGCTGCTCGAATCGCCTCACAGGAGCCGTATTACCAAATGCCGTCAATTCTAATACTTCTGGTTCAAGTCCCTCAGGCTCCGGGCTGTGAAAAGGGAGGTGTCATCCTCGACGAGTTAGAATTAGCATGCAATCAAACTCTGCGAGAGCAAGTTGTTGGATTAAACGCGTGGGTCTGCCGAATACGGACTGTGGAGTCTCAAAATCCGAGTAAAAGCCGATATAGATTAGCCAATCAGATAACATCTCTATCTACCAGGAGAAGATTCCAAATTAAATATTAACTATACTCTCATGATGAGTAATTAGTCCTTTGGACAGGTATAAATATGAGAGACTAATTTCAGACAAAACTTGGGCTTTTTCTACTTACCTCTTGTCCCAAATCGTCTCTAACATTATCATCATCCAGTATCCTCAAAATCTAAAACACTTATTTTCTCATCAATGTCTTTGTATCCTCGCGAAACAACGGCCGACTACATCGCCGCAAACTGCTCCCAGGCCATTAAGGGCAAAACAGTCCTGATTACCGGGGTATCACCTGGGGGTCTAGGTGCCGAGTTTGCAAAAGTAATCTGCAAGCATGCCCCGGGGCTTCTGATTCTCGCGAACCGTGACACCGCCAAAGCGTCAACTACTGCCCAAGCCATCGCAGACCTTGCGCCCTCGGTGCCCACCCGAATACTGAAATTAGATCTCTCACCTCAAGCACAAGTCCGTGAGGCCGCAAGAGAGATTATGGAAGACTACCCCGAGGTGAATATCGACGTGCTCATCAACAACGCCGGGGTGATGGCTAGCCCTCACAAGCTCAATGTGGATGGCATTGAGAATTAGTTCGGCACAAACTATATTGGGCATTTGACTTGATCATGAAGAAGCTTGTACCCATGGACAGCAAGCATCGCTTCCCAGCAGCACGAATTGTGGACGTCTGAAATAATGGGTATCGCCTTGGATGGGTGAGATTTGGCGATTAGAATTTCGACGTAAGCTACTTCGCTACCATGATAAAAAAAAATATCGGCTAATTAAATAATTTCAATGCGTGCAGAATGGCAAGACATACAATTCATGGGCAGCCTATGGATAATCCAAAACAGCAAACAGTCTATTCCCACTCTCGCTCGCGGAAAAGTTTGACACTAAGGGGCTTGTTGCAGTAAGCTTGTGCCCAGGCCTTGTTTCAACGAATTTGAGCAAAGATTTAGCAAGAAGCGAATTCCAGGCACTCGGTAATTACCATTCACTCACATGAAAAGGTACCACACACTAGTTTAGTTTTCAAAGCCCAAGCCGACCGAGCTGGCGGGCACAGTCAGTTCTGGACGGGTGACTTTAGGAAGTTTGCAAAGACGAAGCAGTAGGGGGTTGCTACTCATGTATTTGCCGCGTTCCACCATTCAATTTCACCTACAGGTAAGTCGTCCCATTTGCTATTTATCATAAAATAAATGCTTGTATGTAAAATCTAACTGAATTCTTCAACTTTATAGAGAACAATGGGTTCTTTTTGCAGGATAGCCAGGTGCTTCCCGGGGAGGAATTGTATCCTTGGGGAAGAGACGCTATTGACGTTGCCAAGTTGTGGAAATTAAGTGAAGAGATTGTAGGAGAGAAGTTCGCTTACTGAGCAAAATAGTCTAAGGTTGATTAGCTAAATCGGGTCTATGCCTAAATGGCAGAGTAGTGTTGAGAACTGTCGTGCTGCTTAGATAGGAGATTACATGCAATGACTGAATCATTGTAATTATTTCCCCCTTTTCCAGAAACAATTACATACCAGTCAACAGTTCACTGCTGCCACCGAATAACTTTCGCGAGATGGGAAGTCAAGTTATATTTCGAGCATCGAATCATTTATTCACAGACTACTAGGTACCAAAAGCAGAAGTGTATCAATTACACCTGTATATCCGGGAGTGCAGGCACCACCTGTGCGAATGCTGCTGTTCCATATGCACCCGGAAGCTCGCCGTCCCATAGTCTATACACGTTACTTACTGCTATGCAAGAACAATAAAGAGAGAAAATAAGAAGCCGGACTTACGATGCAAAAACCTGTCGATCCTCCTGCTTCCCCTCCCAGGGCTCTCGTCCGTGCTGGGCAACTGATCACACAGTCAATCAACATGCACACTCCCACTGCACAGATAGACAGCTCACTCACTCCTATTATCATACACCAAAACATCTCCCCGCTGCCACTTGTGTAGTACGCGCGTCTCCTCGGTGACTCGAAGCAGGACATCCAGGTACCGTTCCGGGATGGCAGACCCGTCTCCATAGGTCGTATCTCTGACCGTTCTGAGTCGTTCGGCATCGGGAGTTCGCTTCTTCTGCGCGTATTGGGCGGCAAGTGAAGTGAAAAACCCCGGTATGCCGGTTCCAGGCTGGGTTCTGATGGCGGGCAGAATGTGCTCGAGGGTTATACCGCCGTCTTCGTTCCATTGCCAGCTTGTGTACTCTGCAGGCCGATTGTAGCGGCGGATCTGGTCTTCGACTGTATTTCAGAGAATTTGTTATTCGAATATGAACGGCTACGGTTTTTGTGGGCGAAGGGGTGATTACTTTTTTGCCTTTTCACTTCATCGCTATCTTCATCATTGATCAGTTTGCCAAAGGCTTGTTTCAGAGTGCTGCCGCCTTTGTACTGAGCGTTGGGTTTGTAGATTGTCGTTTGTTTAACGCCCTAGTTGATATAAGCAGCCTAACTCATCAAGGTCAATAGTGGGGGGGGGTATAGACCTTCTCGGCAAGTTCTTGGATGAATTCCGGAACCTCCTGGTTGACCTTGTTGAAAATTTCCAGGGAAGATCCGATCGGGGTTTCGCCTCCTTTCTCGGGCACTCTGTGAGCGTAGAAGAAGATGTACGCCGGGGCTTGTAAAAGTTAGCACAAGCATACAATTTCCTAGCAGTAAGAGAAGAACCAATCTACCATGCGGAACCTGAGGCGACTCATTATGACTTCCAATCGTAGTCGTCAATGCAGACTCGTTCGCCGGAGCCACGTTCTTGGCCAGAAGAGGGCGGTCGACCACAATGCCAATAATCTCATGAGGCTTGTATCCAAAAGCATGCGCAAACCTGCTAAAGTCATCGGCTTTCTGAATAGGAAGGCCGCGGAAAAGCAGAGTTCCATGGCGGCGGAGGGCGGCGTCTAGGTCCCCTCGGTCTGCGAGTTGTTTGATTGTTGTTACTACAGCATCGAGTGAAGACGTGGCATCATGCCCAGCAGCGCGTTCGGGCGAAAGTTGCAGAGCCAAAGGGATCACTGTTCCCGGAGCGTGTGGCTCGCCCAGGGTTCGCTGGTTGGATGCTGGAAGAGAAAAGGGCTGGAAGGGCAGGAGGTTTCCCGTTGTGGAAGACGATGCAGCCATTTTGATGCCTAGGTATACACTCTTGCCTGCGATTCCTAGGTCTTTGGAGACAAAAATTTACGGTAGAAGACGCAGGCGATTATAAAAGCGATTATATAGCACGCACGACCCCGCAAGGCATGTCGCAAAACCTAGCGTGCTGACGCCATTGCTATGATAATTCCATTCACTATTGTTAAAGACTAGTTGATGTCCCTGGTAAAAGTGTAGCGCAGAGTACTGATTTCGCATTCTATATATAAAAAAAAACAACTGCTTAAGCTTTCCAACACCACACTTTACCGTAGGACGCGCGGCTAGTATATTAGTAGAGATTGATGTGATAAGGCGCAAGAATGATCGCAGAAAAGCAATTAACTAGCAAGATTACAGAGTCACTCTATTTTATACTTTGTCACGAATAACCAAATAACCTTTTCCATCACAACCCGAACATTATTCGTCAAGGCGTCGTCAAACGCCGCAAACTCGGAATTACATGTAGCCTTTACACGACTTTAAAATAGGCCTTGCGGACCTGCCAGATAGACTACCGGGCCAAATTCGATCGAATAACTGACAGAACAATGGCTGCCGAGGGAGATATATCAAAGCACCCTGATACCATAGCTACAGAGATTGCCAGTAAAGATGGACCCGACCGAGATGTTTCAGGCGACATCATTGAAGACGGCCTTCGTCGAGGGTTGAAAGGAAGGCAGTTCGTGATCATTGCCTTGGGCAGTATCATTGGACCTGGATGTCTCTACGGACTCGGCCTAGGGTTCTATGAAGCAGGGCCGCTGGGCGTTCTGATCTGCTTTGCGATCACTGGACTTTCTATGTGGATACTCATGCAGAGTGTGGGAGAAGTTGCTACTCTGTTCCCCGTGCATGGGGGCTTTGTCGAGGTATTTATCTCTGTGATTCAGCAGTTTCTTGCATTAACTTGATTCTAGCATTGCGGCCGCTTCGTCGACCCCGCCCTCAGTTTTGCAATGTCCTGGATGTACTATTTCATGTGGAGCGTGTTTTTGGCTGGAGGTACGCAGTCTATCGGACTTGGACGCCACGGTACTAACAACGTTGTAGATTGGAATAATGCCGCCGTCATTCTTCAATACTGGTTTCCTACCACTACAGTGCCAATCTGGGCGTGGTACATTATCTTCTGGGCTGTCTTTTCGGCAATCACAACGCTGGGTGTCGGTTTCTACGGGGAGGTTGAGTATTTCTTCGGAATGTTCAAATTCGTGTCCCTGGCTGTCCTGTTCTTCATCTCAATCTTGGCCAATGTTGGAGCTTTTGGCAACGGCTATGTAGGGTTCAAATACTGGGGGGAACCGTATGGTGTGTCTTGCTTTCGTTTTCAGGTCCGACGGTCCACGTACTTACTGATGGGCATTTCAGGTCCTATACGCAACGGAATCAACGGCTTTGGCCAGGTGTTTGTCATGGCTGCAGCATTTTACGTAGGCACAGAAATCGTGTCTGTCGCGGCAGGAGAATCTAAAAACCCTAAACGCGATGTACCCCGGGTATGCACATGAAAAAAAAAAAACAACAAAGAAAAAATAAAAATAATAAAAAATAAAAAATTACCGTCACAATGCCCCATTTCATTTTCTAACCACGATATTCCGGCTCCCAGGCTACAAACTCCGTCGTGTGGCGCATTCTATTCGTTTTCATCGGCATAGCCTTCTTTCAAGGCCTCATCTGTCCCTCGAATTCCGACCAACTGGTTAATGCTAGTTCAACCGTCGCTTCATCGCCTTTCACGATTGGATTCGTGCTGGCAGGATGGAAATCGGCCGGCGAATTTGTCAATGCCATCATTCTCATAGCATTTATTTCGGCTGCCAATGGGGTGGTGTACATTCAGTCTCGGACCCTGTACTCGCTGGCTTTGACACAAAAGGCACCGGCCTTTTTCGCTGCGACAACTTCGAGAGGCGGTATGTACCTCCCTGCCGATTATCGGTTCCATTGAATGAGGTTGCTAAATTCCGGCAACTGTGATAGTCCCGTACCGAGCAATTCTCTTCTCCAATCTCTGGGGCTTCCTCTCCTTGATGTCCATGAAAACCAGCAGCGGCGCCGTCTTCACGTATATCACTGACTTCGGCGGCACAGCAGCATACATCGCCTGGGCGTCAATCACCTTTGTGCAGCTCCGAGTGCGAGCGGCTGCCCGGGCACAAGGCATCGACCGCAAAACATTTCCATTCGTCGCACCTGGGGGATCGTGGGTTTATTGGCTGAATTTTGCCTTTAACCTTTTCATTCTTTTGATCCAGGGATATGCCTCTTTCGAGACGCCGTTCAGCTATCAGACGTTTATTGCATGCTATATTAGTCTGCCGCTGTTCTTTGTCTTGTTCTTTGGGTATAAATGGTGGTTTAAAACGAAGTGGTGAGTAAAAAGACTGCATACGATCATGATCAACGCGTATAGATGGAACGAAGAATTCTGACCGGGCTCAACGTTCAAAATAGGGTTCCGTTAGAAGAGATTGATTTCTCGGATAGGAGGATATACCACGACGATTACCAGAGTGAGCGAGATACTCGCTCTTGGACGAGGAAATTACTTGATGTTATGAAGGATTGAGAGTCTCATTGCTTGATAGAGGATAGAGATATCACAGCTGCCATACACTGCATTCAGAGTGTGAGATATTGGGATTTAGGGTTTGATATCCCCAGATATATGGACATCTATCTATGTAGAAGCTGGAAGAAATACAAAGAAATAATTAGATGCCTTAGGCATTCTCGTCTCGCTTCCAGACAGTATTTGGGCGCCGCAGCGCGCACACACGTCAAAAACTTCTCCCAAGGCATCCATCTCTCCTTCCCTCTACATATCACGCAGCTTCCAACAGAGCCCTTCAGCTCCAGATATTCCTCCGATCACGAAATCTGATATGTACTAATGTGCGCCCTGAATGCCTTACAGCGCTCAACAAGCTCGAGGCGTTCAGTAAAGAAAGATCACGATGCTTGCATCAGCAGTCAATATGACCATGGGCAGGACGAGGTTGTTTAAACTCCTCTCTCGTCTGGCGTAATCGAGACTAGCCCATGAATCAAGGCCACAAGGACAATGCCTCAATGCTCTAGCCCATAAACGGGAAGGCGATCAGTGCAGTGCACTATGTATGTGCGTTGGAGTCTTGAGACTAAGAAATGCCACACCATCACCCTTCACCGATCCAAATGCGGATACGGTTGTGGCAAGGGAGAATCACGCCTAAAAAGCATCATTCATATGATTACCAGAAAAGCCCTATAAGGGATCCCTTTTTGGCAGCTTAATAGTTAAAACCCCGCTGTTAGGTTGCTATCAACGTGGTGGAATCATGCAGTCGGAGAGATCAAGCTCGCTTGAAGATGGCCTGCCTCGAAAGAGATATAACTATCGCTGTGTTTTTACCTCAAATGTCGATCCATTAGCCTTCAAGAAGTTTCCCGGGATTTCAGTCATTGATGATTTTGTTCGCCATACCCAGACATCTCATGTAATCCCTTTGCTTTGGGAACGTGGGACAAGGAGCAAGACGTATGCCTAAGAACTTTTTTTATATGTTTTACCCTAATATTTTTATCTGATCCAGGATATAGGCTAGATTTATCGCGAATTGCTGGACAACTCTATACGTACGCCTTGCTCCCGGATCTGAAAGGCGTGATTAGACCAGACGAGATTAACAGCCCTGCTAATATCATGACAACTATCGTGGATATAAACAAGCATTTTGGGCTTTTCAACGTGCCTTAGGAACCCACAGTAAGTGCCTACCTACTCTTACTTTAGTAGTGGTATACCAATTGAATCAGGAAAAAGAAAACACACGAATGGTGGGAAATATTGATCAAGTTCTGCATCATTCTGAAGACATCCGATGTATGGAAGCACCGACATCAGCGCACTTTTTAACAGGTTTGGTCTGGTAGCCATCCTCTCACAGATCAAGAGTGAAACACTTTTCTTCCACATTCCCATCTGATTTAAGTCTAGATAAAATTCACTGCTCAAGAAAGACTTTATTCAAGAATTTGTTGAAGGGGTTTTATGTGCTTCGGAGATTACGGCAGTGGACTATTCTTAACGCCTGCGGGCAGGCTGCTATCTCCGGCACTGTTGGGCCTCGATGCCTGAAGAATCGGAGAAAATCAAGTACTACGTATGATCGATCGCTCGCTACTCCAGAGTCCCAAACATGGGGGAAGATCATGCTTGGAGATCTCGGGGTTAACAGCCAGGCCTTGTCGTAGCAACTTTCTGCACTACATCTCCGGCATAAGCAATGCAATGCTCCTCTACCGTTCGCTAGCCGGGGTGGTCACTACATATATAGATTGCCCATGTCCCTTGCCCCCCTGTGCCATGTAATCGTCGATATCATCAATCGTCAACTCTCAATTGACTATCATGGCATCGTTTCTTGTGACAGGCGCCGAATTCGTCCGGCAGTTGGCCGCCAAACCGGAATCCGAGGTCAAATTGGTGCTTGCAACTTCGCGTGCAGAGAACGAACGTCTAAAGGAGTTGACTGAACAGTACGCTGGGCGAGTGGTCTTTGTTCCTCTCACCGTTGGCGACGAGACGAGTATGCGCAATGCCGTGCCTATTGTTGAGGCTACACTCAAAGAAAAAGGATTGAATGGGCTGGATGTCCTCATCAACAACGCCGGTATTGTCGGCTGGACGCATGCAAAGGAAATGTATAACTCTCTGGAGTTTATGGTGTAGATGTGCGTTGCTGATGTCCTTCAGGGCCGACTTGGATGAGGTTTTCCATGTCAATGTTACTGGCCCTCATACGATGATCCAGGCTTTCCTGCCGCTCTTACGCAAGGGCAATGACAAGAAAGTCATTAATATGTTAGTCTAACTAGTTGAGTCCTGCCTTTTTCTGTTGTTATCCTAAAATCTTGCTTTAGTTCGAGCTCAGTGGGCTCGATCGCTCGACAAGGTTTCTACAAGGACCTCTTACAAGGTTACCAAAGCCGCCCTGAATGTGTTGAGTGTCGTATGGTCGCAGGAACTGAGCGAGGAGGGATTTACCATTCTATGTCAGAATCCAGGGGTAAGCCACGTCTTAATCTTGCTTCCTACGTTGTCTATACTGATATATATATATATATATATATATAGTATATATAGATATAGATATATAGTCGGATGCAAGTTCATAGCGGACAGATCTGATTTGCCCGGCCGGCCCGGACGGAATATCTAAAAATCCCTGCGTTAGTCGCACTACTACTGTATGTAAGCCTTGAATGTAACTTGAACAAACATTTTGAAAGACTGTCAAAATTATCGTATTGCACAAGATGCTCCGGCCTCGCACTGTGCTCCGCTTCATTATTTACGCCACTCTCGCTTGGCTCGGTATGTGTGTCTGTCACAGTTCAATAGCATTGCAAGAGCCAACACTTCCAAGCCCTGATCGCCGTATATATTGGCCTACCCAACTTTTCGCGACGTGATAATGGCACAGACTACGCGACCAAGGTGTTGAAGTCGGGCAAAACACTGACGCAGGTTTACGGGCAAGTAATTGGGAAGACAATTGAATGCTGACTGGCTGCCCTGCTAACTCTCGAGTAGAGCGGACTTTTTCCCACGCGATGGCTCTGTCGGTTTCACCAGCAACAATGAAGACCGAAGTAACATCGCTTTAAGCTTCAAAATCGATGAGGCTTCTGATTCGCTCGTCGTCTGTGGTACTGGGAGAGTCCCTCTATCTAGACCGGCGGAATTATCGCCCGAGCAGCAACAGGAGGAAGAATACGAAAACGACGGCCGAATTCGTCTGGAAACTCTTCTACGCGTGTCAGCGCCTGCAGGCGATCACGATGGAGTCAATATGCCTTGGTTTGACACGGCGGATGCCATTCTAATGTTCCACTTTATCCATCGCGACGAAGCGCTGGTGAACCTGCATGTTCTCTACGCGCTCGACGGAGGAACGCTCGAGGTGTGGCCGGGCGGGGATGATTGGGTAGGCATACCATCTATGTCCCTGAAGGACTTACAAAAGACTGACAGGAAGACACTTGTTTAGACCCGTCCGTTGCCGTTGCAGAATGAACACCCTCTTCTGTCATTGACTCTGGACAGCAGCAGCAATGAGCATCGTGTGCTGGCAGCAAACACGCCTCCTCCTCCACTGTCCAGCTCGCCCAGCCCGACATACCCAATCCGATGCACCGTGTTCATGGTCCTGGCACCACTGACTATTGCGGGCATGGGTATCTACATGAGCATTGTCTTGGTTCTGTATGCAGTTTTGAACCTCTTTTTCCGGCTCTTTTGGGTCCTGGCGTTTTCGCTCTTGGTTTACTGGCTGTATAAGCGTAGACCTCCCGTGGACGACTTTGTGCATGAGGTTATTGATGGCGTCGCTGGCGGGTTTGTCAGAGTGCGAGATTGGCTGGGTAGGTCGTTGTCTAGCAGAGAGGAACAGCAAGACTCTCATGCTGAGCTTGAAAGTAAGGGTTAATTACTTTCTGGATAGATGAAGTATATACTTGCTCTCATCTGTGGACATCTGAGCTATGTAGAGACATAAAAAATAATAATAATAACCATTAGCGTCAATCATCACAGTATAACTATGAACATGACTATCTGCCACACGCTCACTCTCTTCTAATCTCTGGCGATTCAATATTATGAGCCACGCCCGATGATATATTCTTGTCATTCTCTGTCTCCAGATCCTTTTCCCTACCATATAGCCTGTTCGACTCTTCGAGTCCCTTGCGAGAGGTCTCGGGCAGGACTAGCCAGGCATACACAAAACCGATGACAGACATGGCGGAGAAGAACCAGAATGTGCCTTCTGGTTTTAAGGAGTCTTTTCGGAGGAGCATGGATGGGGTGGCCTATATGCAATAACCCAATTAGTAACCCAGTTCAATCCGGATGTCATTGCCGTTGTCCGAGGCAAAAAGACTAACCTTGGACAATCCCATACGATTAGCATAATGCCAGCACGTCACAAGACTAGAGCCCACGATGCGAACGCGAAGAGGGAACAGTTCCGCAGTAATAAGATACTGCACCGAGTTCCAGCCCAAGGCCCAGCCCACGCCGACGAAGAAAAGCATGACGACCGATCCCATGGCTGCGTGTCGTGCGGGTGCTGCTTGCTTGGTGACTTCGGAGAGGTTGGAATACACAGTTAGGAAAATGGAGTCGTAGACTAGGGCGACAATCTGGATGACGAGTCCAAGATAGAGCGTCTTCCGTCGTCCGAGGTAGTCGACGAGCAGCAGCGCGCTGACCAGTGCACATGTTAACTTAACCACGCCGAAGACGGCTGTAGTGAGCAGTTTTTCGTATTCGCCGCTGATACCGAAGATTCCGAAGAGTTCGGGGGCGTAGGCTGAGCAGTCAGTTGACACGCGCACACACACACACACACACAGAGAGAGAGAGAGAGAGAGAGAGAGAGAGAAGGGCAACATACTGGTGACTGAATTCGGCCCAGACCACTGACTCAGACACTGCAAGACAAAAACAAAAGCAATCCGCTTGAGATTCGCAGCCGTCATGAACAGCTCCCGGAAAGTATCAATCCATCGCCGCGACGCCGTCTGCTGATACTCCAGCTCGAGCTGGATGCGCGTGTTTCTGAGCTCGGTCTGAACCAATTCGTGCGTCGGCGGCAAATTCCAGATGCTCGCCAGGGCATTGCATGCATCGTCCACGCGGTCTTTCTTGCATAGAAAGCGAGGGCTCTCCTCGCAGAAGAAGGATATCAGAAACAAAATGCCGGCCCACATGATCTGAACGCTCTGGGGGATCACCCATTGTTTTGCACTCGAGTTGGAGATGTGGATGGATGCGCCCCAGATGGAGAAATACTTTCAGAGTCAGCATGCTTTCGTACGCAGTGCACAGGGTAGTATAGCAAAAAGGGAGGGAGGCGCGGGGGGGGGGGGTGCAAAATACTCCGATCACGATTCCCAGATACTCAGACATGCCGTACATGTTCACCATCATCCCACGCATGCGCCGAGGAGCGACTTCAGCGAGATAAATAGGCGCAACCACGCCGGCTTGTCCGAGGCCCAGGCCGATGATAAAGCGTCCAGCGTAGACCTGTCCAATACTGTTATTGGCCGAGGTGATGAATATGACCGAGCCAACAATCCACATCAGACACAGTTCGCGCATTGTCCACAGCATGCCGATTCGCTCAGAGAGAATGAACGCCAGCACCGCGCCCGGCAAACTGCCAATGTGCACCATGGAGGTGACATTTGACAGCCGGTTTGCGCGCTGCGAGGCACTCAGATAGTCGGCGTGCATGTGGAACTCGTTGATGAAGGACTGTTCGGCCACAGTGCTGGCGATGAGGCCCTCGTCAAGACCTGCAATGGAGTCAGCATTTCATCATGGATATACAGAAGGGGAAAAGAAAAAAAAAAAAAAAAACAAACCTCGACCGCTGCCCGAGAGCCCAAAACAGAGCGCAGCACAGAGGAGTTTGAAGGTCAACCCATCGCGCAACAGATGGCGCTGGCTAGCATCGACCATTTTGCTGTTTCTGCTCTATATCCAGGTACCTCCAAACTCTGAATCTCTCGCTGATATGAGAGAAAGGTCCAGTCCATGAAGAGCATATTGGCACATCTTATACGATTTTTGCCATTGTTGATATCAAACGCAAATGCACAAGAAATTTCTTTTGGGGACCCCAGGAGACAATCCCTGGCTCGTCGGGTCCTCGTACGGAGTCCTCCGCAGAATTTTACGCAATGCCTGTCAGATTATAGCCCTTGATTTTCTTTTCACCCCACGCTATGAAGTACTTTACTACGTAGTACTGATATCGCTTGCGCGTCCGGAGTAACGAGACGAGAGCAAGGACGCTGGGATTCTGCGTGCAGTATACGATGTCTTTCAAGGTTCCCTTGTGCAAATGCCATAAATCAATCCCTCGTGGTTCGGCCAATATCTAAAAACATGTTCACCAATCACGCTGCTGCCATTTCAAATTTTTTTTATCCCGCACTAGGATCCAGCTAAAAAGCTTGAATCTAATGTAAAAAAGCTTGACTCTAATATAAAAAAGCTTGACTAGAAGAGGGGGAGGGGGGCGCCTCATAAGTGGCTCAACTTTCGAAAGGCCTGCTAGGACCTTGGAAGCCCGGAGTATATGGAAGAGATATATTAAGCAATAGATACAGTCACTAGTTATTTCAACCGAACGAGATATATAATGAAACACACAAAAACGCCGCAAGCCGAAAGTTCTGTTTGCATGACCAAGTAATAACAGACATTGAGTAATTAGTATCAGTATCCTGGCCGTTCATCAGTCGTAAGTCGTCTCCGTCTCTCCCAGGAGGAATTATATATATATATATAGTTGTTTTTGTTTTGCCGTCATAGTCAAACCCATGTGAATGATCATGAGTTCGCCGGAGCTATAGACACGTCGAGACCACCGCCCCAGGGAGGCAATTCCCGGCCATGCGACGTCGCATTCCCGGGATAGTCTGCTTCGCCAAATCCAGCAGGACCCGCAGCATTCGTCGCCGTTGTCGTTTCGCTCCCTACCCTGTCCATCGTCGGGGGCTGGCCATTGGCCGTTGGAGCTGGTAATCCGTGTGCTGGTTGTGCTGCGGCTGCCGGAAGATAATTGTTTCCGGTGACATTGCCCTGGTTGGGGAAGAAGCTCTGGTTCAAGGTACCGCAGGATGTACATGTGAATTCGATTTTGAAATTGGTAAGCACTAGCTGCGCTGCTACGGGGTGTCCGGGTTGCGGTGCGGGTTGTTGATGGTGCGGAGGATGTGGTGGTGGTGGTGGTGGTGGCTGAGGCTGGGAGGATATTTTTGAAGTAGTGGTCGTAGGAGGAGTCGGCTGGGAAACAGGTAGTGAGATGGGATGCACATATGCCTGTCCGGTCGATGTAAGAGAGGTAATTTGTTGATGCGGCAATGTCGAGAGGTCTCTGGCATCTGCAGGACCTGGTTGGGTATGTGATAGGGTGGCTAGAGACGGTTTATTCTGCTGCGCATGTACAATAGCCGCCGGGGTGTTTTCCGAGGGAGAATCATTGCCATCGTCTTCCATCAATGCGGATGAAAGGCCATTCTCCGGCCACCCGCGGTCGTCAGCCAACGGATCGAAAGCTTCGTTGCCGACCCGGACTGTTGCAGCAGCAGCAGCAGAAGAAGGGACCGACGCCTGAGGAGGCATGTGATCCGTGACCTGAGCATGCGAGCCTCTCGACTGTCGCGGTTGTAGTTTGGTCAGGGCCCGCTGGGCCTGTCGCATTGAGATATCGTAGCCGTGATAACGCTTCACTGCCTCCACCACGTCCTGGCCCTTGATCTTGCTCTTCATGTCAAACAGCTTGGGTATCTCGTTCAGCAAAAACCGCACGTGCGAAGCCTCGGAGCGCGCGGGCGTCGATCCAGATGCAGTGGCGATATTGCGTCGGCAACTGTGCGTATCCTGCAGGCTGGTGATGTAGGTGGCATTCTTGTTGGCACGACACACGACGCGGAAGTAGCAGTTCGGAGACGAGCGACATCCGAGCACGACGCTCTTCTTGTTGCTGCGCACGACACGCAGGTCCCAGTGCTGGCGCACGGAGATGCTGCGAATGGCCGCTTTGAATTCCTCGAGTGAATTGAAGCGCTGGCCCATGGCGAGCTCGGTCACGACCTCAGCCATCATATGATTTGATTGTAAGCAGCTCTACCGTCGCCTCGTCCGCGATAAAGCTGCGAGGACGAGCGACTCCATTCGCGAGTCGAATCGGCGAATAGGAGGGCAGAGTCGATATTCCGATGGATAGTGTGATGCTGATGCTGATGTTGATGTTGATGCTGATGCTGATGGCTGATGCTGATGGCTGATGGCGAAAGATGAAAATCGGAGTTGAAGTGGTGGGGCGAGCTTAAGCCGCAAGTTTCGGCTGGGTCGCCGGCATCAAAGGGACAGCAACAACAACAACATCATCATCATCATCAGTGACCAACTGCACGACCACAATATGGCGTCCTATAAGCTGCTGGACCAGGAGGAAGAAGGCATGAAACTCTGTCAAGCCCGCTTGTGCCACTTACATACTAACGCCCCCTTCCCCAGACACCCTCCACAAATCGCGCCTGCTCAACGTCGAAGAAAAACCATTCAAGCGCATCACCAAACGCCTCCTTGCCAGCGACTCTCTGATAACGACGCCCCTCTCGCTCCCTCCAACACCGCCTCCAGACGCCGGTGCAGCGGATGACGACGAAGACGAAGAACAACAACGACGCAGGCACAAACGGATCGAAGAATGGCGGCAATTCAAGGAAGCCGTTACCCTCGACTTTGCCGCCTTCGAGAGCAGCATCGCGCGCATACAATTCCTCCTCACAAACAACGAGAAGGAGCGCGAGCGCTACGCCGCCCAGAAACTCCGCATCCAGTCCACCGCACAGGACGTGCGCGACAACACGGTCGAGCTCCGCACCCAGCTCGAAGCGGCGCAAAAACAACTCAATCTACGCAAGACCTACGACGAGCTAACGGAGAAGATTACGAGCAACCGGCTCCTTCGACCGCGCGAGGACCAAAAGGCGAACCTGGAGAAATTGCAGGTCGAGATTCTGGAGCTGGAGAAGGAAAGCAGGGAATACGCCGAGACGTGGTCGGAGCGGCGTGAGCAGTTTGGTCGTATTGTCGAGGAAGGATTGCAGCTCCGTCGCCTCATTCGTGACGAGAAGGAGGAAGTCGAGCGGAGAGAAGGGATGCAGGAAGGCGATGGCGGGGATGGCGATGATGATACCAAGGGAGGAGGAGGAGGTCTTAGTGGAGTGAATACTCCCCGGCCGGAGTCTGAGGCGGCACAGTCACAGTCTACAGAGGAGCCGACTACTCTCAGACTACAAGCGGATCGACTGCAGGCAGAGACAACGGGTGCCGCGTCGCCGCTGCGGCAGTCGATATCTGTCTCGGAAGAAAAGGTCGGGGAGGATGTGGATATGGCAGATGAGGGGGAGGTGGATGAACTGGAGGAAGGAGAAGCTGACGAAAGAGATGGGGTGATGGACACGACGTAGGCTTTTTTTTTATTTCTATTTTGTACACATTATAAGCGGTTGCATGGCATGTTGTATAAGATTAATTCAGTATAGGGCGTCAATCATGCAATTTCCCTCAGCGACGTCTTGCCCTGTGACACGGCCTCTTTGGCAGCAGTGAGCTGCTCGACGTTGCTGGCCTCTCCTTTGTGGCCTTCTTCGACCTGCAGGAACAAGTTGAGTAAAAGGAACCCTTCATCCTAAACCAGGACAGATTCATGGAGACTTACAATAAGCTGTTCCAACTTCGCCAGAGCATCCGTGATCTTCTGCTTCAACGTCGGGAAAACCGCCTTGGTTTCTTCAATTGCTTGACGCTGTAGCCATGTAAGTTTTAGGCATCGAGACTGAGAGGGAGTGAAGAAACAGACCTCCTGCTTCAGTAAGAACTCGCGGTTTCCTTCATTGTCGTCTGCGGGGGTCTCTGATTCGAGCTTTTGGAGGCGCTTGGTCTGCTGCTCTAGCTCGCGATGGTAGGAAGCTTCCTCCTTGACGAGACGCTGCACGGAGGAGGTGGCGATGGCTAGGGGGGATGCTGGAGGCATGTTGGTCTGTATTATCTGGGAGTTAGTATAGCAAGCAAGTAGAAGACAGATGTTTGATATATATATGATGTCATATGGTGCAGTTTAGAAACTTCGCCATGACAATACGAAGAGACAGTAAATAGAAAGCAGAAAGTTCTTTTGTTTCGTTTCCCTCTTTTCTTCTTCCTTCTCCTTCTTCTTAGTCTTGCATGAGAACAGAAGGCTTGTCGTGATATTCTTGGTGGGATGTCCCATACACCAAGCATGGTAGACGCAGTATGTGGAGTCATATTGAAGCATGTAGGGGATGTTGTCCACCGGCAGAGAGCAAAATACACACAAGATTCTTACCTGAATTTACCTGTAGGAAAATGAAAATGACCGTATGCAAGGTGTTCAGAGAAAAGTGGTAATGCTCTCACGTTCCCCCCGCGAGGGGAGTTTGTTTGCATTGTTTGCTTCAGTCTGTTGTCCACTGCACTTCTAAACTATCGCCCTGATCAAGCGCCCACTTCAACAGACAAACACACCCCGGCCCCCTTCTGCGTCTCATACAGACCAACGGCATTTTCCACCCGCAGACAAATCTCCGTCCACTCGACGTGAACGCGAACCTCGCCCGTGCTCACGCTGTTTGATGTGTCAGACCGCCAGCCCAGCTTGCGGTCGATGATGGTGGCCTCGGAAGGTGCCGTGGCCGCCCACAGCGACGACTTTGCTTTCTTCGTCTTTGATGATCTGAACCACTTTCTACTACCACTGTGCGCAGGCTCGACAACGACCGGAGGAGGATTCGTTGACTCGCCGGCGACGCGATGACCGCTCATCGCCAGCCGCATACGCAAACTGGCCGCCAGCTCGTCGAGGACAAACGGCTGTCTCCAGAATTCCACCGTATGCTCCTCCCCTTTCAGACGAACCAGCTTGACGACCTCGGTGGACGCAAAGCCTACTATCTCGGGCTGTGAGTAGGATGATGATTCCAGCGGCGGCAGCGAAGTCACGTTGCACGGCACAAGCAGAAAGACGGTCTTGTAGATGCCGGATGCGCTTTGGCTGGCCAGCAGCGGGTCAATGTAGGTCGACAGGACGTCGCGCACGCGCGAGAGACGTGCGTCGTCGAGCTGTTGGTGGAGCGTAGCAGGGGTCCAGCCTGATGCGATGCTCTCCTCATAGGAGGGCACGGGGTCGTTCAGAGGCGACGGTCTCGACATGACTTCTATAATTCGTCTTTGTAGAACAACAGGGATTTATGCTGTAGGACTCGGTGATCTATTCCCTCATTATCAGGCTAAAGTCAGCCTTGCGGCATTTAATTCGCCCTAACCGCTGCCAAGTCTGGACTTGACGGGTAATCGCGACGACAGATGGGCTGACTAGCATTTCTGCCTGGAAAATTTGACTCTGGAACTTTGGTCCAGGCATAGACCTTGCCCTTTACGGACTACCGTACGTATATAATGACTTCGCTGAGATCGATGTTCGTGGATAGCGCGGATGTCCGGAATCTTGGAAGACTCCGGAACTACCTATGTGAGTCCGCGGTAGCAAATACTAAATGATTGGCATTAATCAGTGGAAATTGACTATTTCATTTCTTCCAGTCACGCGTATACATATAACGCCACGTGAATAAGCAGGGCGTAAATAGCTGTGCTGGTGCGTCGGCGCCTGGTTGGTACCTGAGGCATCCGCTGCCCCCGTCCTCTTTTGATGCATCTTAGTCAGCCCCGCAAATCCGGGGTTTGATAGTTAACGGTTGTTAGAGTACTACAATCCTCCCCTGCTTGAAGAAAGTTGACATTAAGTAATGCACCCATTTTTTGTAATGGACAAAGTCAGATTGAAAACATCAACGCACGCGAAATTTCTTCGTTACTCCCACTGTATATACTCTCCTCCCAATACCATTTAGCTCCTCGTTCTCTACAATCGGCCCCGAGTGCCCCTCCAGCGCCACCTGCAACATGCTTGCAGCGAGGTGGTGCATCATAATGGAATTCGCCAGCTTGCCCACCACCCAAGTGCGCAGCCAGGCGCCCTGGGGCTGCACAAACCCCGGCCTCGCAATATAGACTTCAAACAGCCCGCCGGGTCTCGTCTCGGCGTCAAGCCGCAGCAGCTCATTCTCCAGCTGTCCTCTCATGCGGCGATTGTCAGCCAGAAACCACAGCTTTTTGGTCTCGTCTTTCTCGGGCAGTGCGCCGCTCAAGTACACAAACTTGAACGGCCTACTGCCTGTCGACCGGGACTTTTCAGCGGAGAAGCGTCTCGCAGTGCTAATGGCAAACTCAAAGTTGATTTTGCGATTCAACTCGGCGGGCCGCACGGGCACGTTGGTGCCGAGGCAGTAGATGCATGCATCTGCGTCTTGGACGTGGGAGAGAAGTTCTGGCGGGTGGTGGAGGAAGAAGTCGTCGTTGTCGACGATCATCACGCGGAGCTTTGCATGCGAGATGTTCAGGTCGCGGCGAGATAGGGCAAACGTCGGAGACGTCGGCGTGCGCCAGGCATTGTGTGAGCACTTGGTGGCCGATGTAGCCTGTGCTGCCGGCTAGGATGATTTTCATGGTTGCACTGGCACTGGTCAGAGCAGGAATGATGTCCTGGAGTGAATAAAATACCCTGCTCTGTCTGGAAGATCCCGGGCGTCTTATGCCGCGCTCGACGGTTCGGTGTGAAGTTGGGCCGCCAGTGGCCTGTGTGACTGATAGAAATTCCAGAAAGACATTCTTGAAGCAATCTCCGAAGTATATTCTCGCGCGCTGATTGGCTGTTCCGCGATACCTGCCGGAAGAGGTTAGTCAACGTTCTATACTATTGACTACATAACTTATATAGCACTGTATAACTACTAACCATCATATATACTGCGTACCTAGAATCGAAAGAACTGAGAATATAGAATATAGCTGGCAGAAGCGAGAGAATCCAATAATGTCACGGTCTTGCTATCTCATCCCTGCTACGGATCTAACCAATCCTGTGCTTCTACACTAGCCCAGCTTTAATCTCATAGTGCGCACTAGCATGCCCAATTCGGCAATCAGTCGCGTGCGAAATCAGCCCGCTTATCTGCCTGCATCCAGAATTTACTTTAACCGCAGTGTGCGTTGCGGTTGTAAGCCCTAGTCACTAAGTATCTGCATGGATACCAGCGGATAAACACTATCACACTGTTACTGTTAGTTAGTCCTTATCAGTGGGTACATGGCTCGGTCTCCAGTATAAGATGGATAAAAGTTCGTGAGGGAACCCCAAAAAAAAAAAAAAAAAAAAAAGGAAGGCTCAGAGCTCGCCCATTCTGCCGCCATGCCTCAGCTTCCGCAGCTCAACCTCAGGTCGCGGCTTTCTCGCCGGGTGGCCGACTTCAAGCAGGCGACCCAGAGCAAGGAGAACTTCCACAAGTACATCCAGACCAAGGACAGCGAGAACAACGGGCACTGGTCGTGGATCAACGAGGGTGACCACCCATTGATTAGCACTTCCCCGAAATGCTGGCGGGGATCAAGTCGCTGATGATATGATATAGATTTGCTCCCAACGCCGCTCGAGAAATGCAACTGGCGCTCTCGGAACTATGTCTTCTTCTACGCATCGCTGTCCATGGACAATTGGACGCTCGGCTCGGGCTTGATTGGCGTTGGTCTCAACTGGTGGCAAGCCATCATCGTCGTCTTCGTCTCGCAGAGCCTGGGCGCAGCGGCCTCGGCGCTGAATGCCCGTTGCGCTGAACGATACCACATCGGATATCCGGTCGTTGCGCGCTCGGTGTTTGGCATGTACGGCTCCTACTATGCTGTGGCGGCGAGAGCCATTCTCGCTGCCATTTACTTTGCAACTAAAGGTGGGTTGCCCTTCGGTTCCTGTCTGTCCCCTCGTCACTGACCGGGCCAATCAACACACAGTCTATACCGGAGGAGCCTTTGTATCCAACATGCTGCAGGCCGTCTTTGGGTCCGGCTACACGAAGATCCCGAATCACATCCCGGCCGACATTGGCTACACGACCAAGGAGATGCTAGGGTTCTTCCTCGCGTGGATAGTCTACGTTCCGATTGTCTTCCTGCGGCCATACCAGCTCAGGTGGCTGTTCACCCTCAAGATCGTCACCATCATCCCAACGATGGTCGGCCTCTTCATCTTCTGCATGGTCAACACCAAGGCCGATCTCGCCCTGAACGAATTCGCCCCCGGCAAAGGCAGCGTCGGCTGGCTGGTCATGTACGGCCTCAACTCTGGCCTGGGCTCACACTCGACGCTGGTCACCAACCAGCCCGACTTTTCGCGCTGGAGCCGCAACAAGTGGAATTCCACCTGGACCCTGATCTTCTACCCATTTGCCGCGACCCTCGCCGCCGTCTTCGGCATTCTGTCCACTTCCGCCATCAACCATGCATGGGGCGTCAAGCTCTGGAATCAATGGGATCTCCTCACGGCCATCCTCGAGCGCTACCCGCATTCTAGCGCGCGCTTTGCCGTCTTCGTCTGCGCCGCGTGCTGGGCCATATTGACCATGGGCACCAACATTGCCTCCAACCTGATTGCCTTTGGATCGGATACCTCCATGCTGCTGCCTCGCTACCTCGACATGCGCCGGGGCCAGGTGCTCTGTCTCCTCCTCGCCTGGCCCATTTTCCCCTGGAAGATCCTCGCCACTGCAACCACCTTCACCAACTTCCTTAGCGGCTATGGCCTGTTCATGGGCGGCATTAGCGGCGTGATGATTGTCGACTACTACATCTGGACCAAGGGCAATGTGTTTTTGCCTTTTCTCTTCAACCCGCACAACAACACGCACTACACATTCACGCACGGCTGGAATATCCAGGCCTATATGGCGTATATCTGCGGCATTGCTCTCCCACTGGCCGGGTTCTGTGGCAAGCTCGGCGCACGCGGTGTCTCCGAGACTGCAATGCATTTGTATTACCTTGGCTGGCTGCTGTCGTTTTTTGTCTCCATGTTCACGTATTCGGCTATTTGCATGGTTTGGCGCACGCAGAATCAAAAGGCGGTTGCCATACTGGGTCTGGGGTATGAAGAAAAGGCGACTAGTAGCGACTATGATTTTGCCGCGTATACTACCAACACGGGCGCTATTGTTGGTGAAGACTTGGTCGAGGAGAAGGTTATTGTTCCGGAGGAGTATGAGGTTAAGTAGGATGGTTTTACTGAGGTCGATGGTCAGAGTTGGAACAGTATATTAAAATAGTCCGCTTGATAGTCAGTGGATACTCCTGTTTACAGCATGTCAACTATAGTATAAACAACATGCATTAAGCCAACTTGACTCAACTCATGACTATACATCTTTTAAGCATTGCAGAGCTCATACTCAGTCAAGCTTATCATGCTGATACGTTATATTACTTAAGCAGTCTCGAACTTGAAAGCAACTGGTATTATTTGTTCACTATGTACATTAATCTAACGCTATGATTGAAACCAATTCGTTCAGTGCTGCAAAGCCAGTCAGAGCTGCCTAGTGCAATAGATTAATATGACGACTAACCACAGTATCTTCCCACTGCGCCCATCCTCGACCCTTCACATTGGCAAGCTCTTCGGTCGTGCGGACTGTGCCGGTAGTGAAGTAGCCCGAGTTAATCTTTGCATCAATCTCTACTCTAGAGTCTTGCGGGATCATATCTGCCTCAAGTTAGCATATAAAATTTAAGTTCTTAGGTAGAAAAGAGTAAAGACCATCAGGAATTGGAATCCTCTCAATAATCGGGATCCCCGACTGCACAATAGCGTCATGCTTCATATTCGACATGGACAGCATGCGGTCAATCTTCGTTATGCCCAACCAGTGCAGGATATCAGGCATCAGCGCCTGAAACCGCATGTCGCGCACCCCGGCCACATTCTCCGTCCGCTGGAAGTATTTGTCTGCAGTATCGCCGCCGCGCTTGCGCGCATTGTACACCAGGTACTTGACTACTTCGCCCAGGGCCCGCCCTTCCTTGCGAAAGTAGATGCACAACCCGCTGCCACCACTCTGAGCTTCGCGAATAGCCTCCTGCAGACCAAATGCAAGGTATGGCCTGCACGTGCAGATATCCGACTGAAACACATCACTCCCATTACACTCATCATGCACCCGCAACGCCAGCGTACACGCCGGATCCGAAATACGCTCCGGCGGACCAAAAATATAAACCGTCAGACCCCCAATAGGAGGTAAAAATACTTTAATGTCCGGCCGCGTTATCAACTCCGGGTAACTCCTGCCCGTGTGCTCGAACAGCGCACGCCGAAGATGCGCCTCGTCGATGTTGAACCGCTCCGCGACGCCGGGCAGATACCAGACGGGCTCGACGGCGACTTTTGAGACGCGCACGTCGCCCGCGGCGTCAATCACGATGTCGCCGTCGACAGGTAACTTACCGGCCCTGACGGCCTCGGCGACCTCGGCCATGCGCATTGTTGCGCGCGTTACGGCGATGGTGGGTCGGATATCGACGCCGGCCGCGAGTTGGGTCTTGTATGCTGTGGACACGATGTGGCCGAAGGGGTCCATGGAGACGATTTTCTTTTCGTCGGCCCATGCTGGCTGCGGCTTGAAGTCAAAGGTTGGCTGGGTGTTGGTGAAGTCTGGGCGGAAGTCGGTGGGCAAAGCACCGCCGGCGATGGCGAGGGCTGTGTAAACTGAGTATGAGCCACCGTGGGCGCCGATGGCATTGTGTGTGTTAAGTCCTGATGCTACTACCGGTCCTCGCTCTTGAGCGTTGCTGGCTCCCCATTTCAGGGGGATTGGGTTGATGCCGCCGGAGGTTGGGTAGGTGGTTAACTGGGGGGGGGGTTTGTTAGAAAGTGTTGTTTCTGCGCGGAAAAGAGAGATGGCTTACAGCGAGTTTGTTGCTGTTGCTGTTATAGGGCTTGACAGAAACCTCGACTGGGGATAAGGTCAACATGGTGAGGGATAGTAAGGTATGCAAGTATATAGATATAGATGAGATGAGATGAGAATGCTCGCTGTCACCACTCGCACGAAGAGCCCTGTATATATACTGATCCTTAGACCCCAAGTGATGCGGTTACATTCCATGATGTACATGTCTGCTCGAGTAGATATCTATGCATTATCCTTGACGAATGTCGTTGACGCATTCTTCTATTTAGCCGCAACGATGCGGTTAATGCGGGACAAACAAAGATTACCGGAAAGGGAAGCCCATTCATTCTATTCGAGGAAACCATCTAAAGATAAAAATCAAAAAAAAAAAAAAAATACGTTAACTTCACCGCCACTTCATTCAAGATGTTAACTAGGATTGTCGATATTGATCCGCAGTTGTGTATACCTGCTTTCTCTACTTGCAGATTCGAATTAGCCGCAACGATCATGACTTGCGATATTAATCCAGCTCGATAGCTCCTGGCCTGCGACCTTCCGTTCTCAAACACAAGCGGCATAATGAGTCCCGAAGCTCAATACAAGTATCTGCTCGGCCTGAAGAGTATACGCGATGGCGCGCGCGTCGTTTACGAATCGGCACAGAAGGGCGAGCTCACCAACTTCGAATTCCACGCCCACAAACTCGATGGCGTTGCCGAGTTTGTTGCTTCTCTGATTATGGTATGTCGCAAACCATGTCCTCATTTTGTACGTTCCAGATATACTGATATTCATCAGCAATCTTTCGCGCCAGAGCTATTCACACTCATTCCCCCTCACGGTAGATGGCAGCACTTTGAGGTCAAACAGGTCCCGAGAGTCGACTCCATCCTGAAAGAATGGAGGGCTGCAGGAGTGGAGGAGCTTGAATGCTCGCGACGACTGGTCGATCTCTTCCTAGTCTCTGTCCTACTAGACGCAGGAGCCGGCGATGTGTGGAGGTACAAGGAAGAAAGCACCGGACTTTCTCTCGAGCGCAGCGAAGGTATCGCCGTAGCGAGCTTGTATGCTTTTACGGATGGCTTGTTTTGCTCCGAGGGAGTGTGCACTGTCGATGGTACTATATTAGCATATTATTAAATTTACAGATTGGTTTGATGCTGACACATACTGATAGCAACGGGGCTGAAATCACTCACAACCGAGAAACTCAGCAAGGCTATGCAATCATCCTCGGAGAATCTCCTCCTTGGAGTCCAAGCACGAGCAGGGCTGTTACAGAGACTGAGCGACTCGCTATTATCGCTTCCCGGTATGTTTGGCTCAAGCGGCAGACCAGGAAACATTGTAGGTAAGGGTTGACCCCCTAAAGGACTTACCCCTTAAAGGACTAGAATCGAAAAGGATGGATAGACGCCTGACAGATGCATAGACTACTTGCTCGACAGACAGTCAGTGGACAAAACCATTGACGTGAACATCCTCTGGGACAGCCTCCAGCAACTACTAATTCCCACCTGGCCAGCCGGACGAACCGTCTTCCATGGCCAGCCGCTTGGTGATGCCTGGCCATTACAGCTGCTGAGCGACGGCAGCGGGATCCAGCCATTCCACAAACTCACGCAATGGCTCACATATTCGCTGACCGTGATCTTCGAGCGAGTACTGGGCATCGAATGGACGAACAAGGAAGACCTCACCGGCCTACCGGAATACCGGAACGGAGGACTATACGTAGACATGGGGGTGCTAACCCTCAAGCCGGACGTTCTGGCGCGAGGCTTGGAGGCTTCCACGACGGGCCTGCCACAGTTCGACGCAACGGACGACGTGATCGTAGAGTGGCGTGCGATGACTGTTGCTCTCCTCGACACCACGCTGGGATTAGTGAATGAGAAACTCGCCGCGCAAACCGAGGGGGCCGCGGCGGCGCTGAGTCTGCCACAGCTTCTAGAGGCGGGGACATGGAAGGCAGGCCGGGAGCTCGCTGCCAGACATCGGCCGGCGACAAAGAGCAGCCCGATCTTGATCCTGAGCGATGGGACTCTTTTTTGAGTTGATAGTAAAATGCAACAACTTCCATTTTCGTTTGCTGCGTACATACACGTTGTATTCCTGAGGCATCAAACGCGGGTATTTCGGAATCTCCCGAAACGGACCCATTCTAGCCCTAAATGCCAATTCCGTGGATATAAGAACCCGCTATGTGCACATAATGTGTTCGGCGTTTAGTTGGCTCTGGCACTGCTTATCTCGCTGCGTCGCCTAGTCAGGCAATAGCTTGGGCTAAATAGATAAGAAAGTCTTCAAAACTGGGGCATTCCCCGTAATCCACTGTCATACGTGCCCAGTCCTCCCATTTATTCCCCAACGGATCGCATGCAGTAAAGTCCTCACAACCAATATGCAAGTATTGCAAAATAGTATGCCGCAATTTCTTGACGATGCGGCATATCACAATGCCCACAGCGATAGTGATAACAACAACAACTCAAGCAATCGCAGTCTCGCGAACTCGCAAGGCGGCACAACCGAGCGACGCGTAAGGCGGCGTATCAGCAGAGCCTGCGATCACTGCAACGCCTCGAGGCGGAAATGCGATGGGAAGCGCCCATGCGGTCATTGTCTGCGTAAGTTTTATGTTCCTGTCCTTCGCATTTCTTTCTATATATATATAGCCCTCGTTCTGCATGGATCCCGCCGTTGCTTTTCTCTGGTGGCGGTGCTTGTTCACATGGCTGACGGGCAACGCCATCATAATCGCAGTTTGCTCAACTTGGAAAGGAATTTTGGTTTTCTGTTTTTATCCTAATATTTATCATCAGATACCAGCAGCTTGTGCGAATATAAGCGTCAGGTAAGGAAGAGGGGTAAAGCATCAAGCGCTCAGTCGAAGCAGCAGCAGCAGCAACAACAACAACAACAACCTACTGTACAAGAAGAGACCACCGAGCGTATCCGAGTCGCAGCGAACGAGGATTTCAGTCTGGCGACATGTGAACAGGACAATCCCGGCCTCGCGCCGACGACTAGCCAAGGCTTGCCGCTCTCGCAATTAGAGGATTACCAGATATTCAATTTGGACTCCGGCTGGACCTTTGAAGACTTTGGGGAAGTTATTTTTCAACCTCCGCCGGTGACTCAGGACAACGATGCCGACATTCGGACAAGGTCTAGAGGCTCGGCGGCAGAATCTCTCGGCTCAATATCCAGACTTCCAAGAACGCAAAGGCCTCGTGCAAATACGCCGGATGTGTATGGCGTTCATTCATTCGAAGCTATGGACGAAGATTCCGGGGGTGCCACCACGGCGGCTGATTTGCCCTCGCCAACTAACCTTCTGAGCATCAGCAGGTCTGGTATGTTGGGTCCGAGTGAGGCAGCGGCAATGGAGCAAAGGAAGCCTCATTCTATTCCTCGGTCTGCTATCGAAAGGTCTCAGAGAAGTGGTGCCGGTGGTTTTCGATATCCAGTCTTGCAAGATATAATCCCATTTTTGCGCCCTCTGATGCCTGATTCTCTGGCATACGACCTCTTAGAAGCTTATTTTAGAGTAAATCCTATCACAAATGCACAATTGACCCCCTGTGCACCTTTTGTATTTCGCAGACAATCCTTCCTCCGCCATGAACAACCCCGTCGCAGCACTCGAGCTTTACTTGCTAGTATGCTCTGGCTTAGTGCGCAGACGGCAGACATTCCAATTCTCAACGCTAGCATTGCGAGACGGAAGTATGTGCGGCGGAAGCTGCTTGAGTTGACAACGAATCTATTGAAGCCGCTGAACGAGTTCTCGCTTGGCAGTGGCTTTCCGCAAAGTGCAAGATCGTCTTCCGCTCAAGATCGACCGTTAGAGGAGTTCAGTTCGCATGGTGATATGAGCGACAGCGTAGACGAGATTATGGCCTATGTTCACTTGGCTATGGTTACGTCTGCTAGTGAATTCAAAGGTGCAAGCTTGAGATGGTGGAACGTTGCATTCTCTTTAGCCCACGAGGCCAAATTACACCAGGAAATCCCCTTCAATGGTATGAGCGATGCCGAAGGCTACGATACTGACTCACCCTATCCCCCCGAATCCAGTCTTGGAGGGTCGCAGGATTTCACACATGCGCTCGATGAGGAAAGAAAAGAGGAGCGTCATAGAGTATGGTGGTTTCTGTATACTATGGACAGACACCTCTCATTCTCTTACAATAAGCCCCTCTGCCTGTTGGACTCTGAATGTCAGAATCTCAATCGCCCGTGCGACGATACAATCTGGCAGAGCGACCACGCTTACGATCCATCAGAAGCACAACCACTAGGCAAAGGGCCATGGTTCGAATGCACCGGTCCAACATTCTTTGGGTTCTTCACGCCTCTCATGGCCCTTCTCGGAGAAATCGTCTACTTCGTGCAAGCTCAGAACCATCCTCGCTTCGGCGTGTCTCAAAGCACTCTTCTCGATTGGAAAAACTGGGAGAAGGGCATTGAAGACCGTCTCAAGCTCTACCAACAGGGGCTAGAAGCGCTCCTAGGACCGCGAGACGACGCCGAACAAGGCAGCGCCGACTTCCAAGCCAGAAGAAACCTTGGATCCATCTCGAACCCAAGAAGAACACCATCCAGCCCGGCCGCTGCTGCCGTGGCACCTGTCCAAAGTCGTATTGCGTATGCCTACAGCAAAATCATCCTGCACGTCCTCTTCATCCTGCTAATGGGGAAGTGGGATCCGCACACTCTGCTCAACGTCTCCAACAGCTGGCTATCTTCGGCCTCGTTCCGGAGAGCCATCGCCCACGCAGTTGACGCCGCCAGCAGTGCCGAGCTGCTGCTCGACCTTGATCCAGACGCACACTTTATGCCGTTCTTCATCGGCATATATTTGTTTCATGGCAGCATGCTGATACTGCTGGTTGCGGATCGGGTCGGCCATGATGCTGCTCCAGCGATTGTCCACGCTGCGGATACAATGGTTCGCGTACAGGAGACAGGCGCCATTCGCATGCCAGCTGAGTATCAGGTACGTACAGAATACGTCGTTCTCGTATGATCGATCGCTAACCACGAATTTTTTTTTTTTCCGGCAGACTCTCTTCGTCTCTGTGCTGCGAACGGCGCTGATGGAGATGCAAGGCCGCACGCTTTTTGTCTCGGACGATTCTTCCTCGAGGAGGAGGCAGGTGTTGAGACAGTACAGGTGGACAGTCGAGGGACGAGGGCTGGCTTGCTAGGTCATAAGTATAGTTCATTGTGGAATAGCCTCATTGATAGAGATAACAATGATCATCTGAAAAGGTCCTTCTCAACAGCATCTTCTACTTACGCTAATTCCGTGTATCTAAAATATAACAACTATGTTATAAAATTTCGTGGAAAGCAAGAAAAGAATTTCTATTCACCCATCATTCCTTTGACGATGATTTTACTTGGGGAAAGTACTCATCGAACCTATTTGTTCTGTGAACTAGCTTGAGAAGTTCTGTAAAAGCCCTACTATTGATCCTACTGCATCAATCGCGTCCGAAATACCTAATGATGGTCCAGAACTCTGATCAGCGCCTGGTGCTTCCGGATCGACATCCTCCTCCTCCAGCGTCTTGTCCGTCGTTATACCTCTGAGCCGTGGGATGAGGTCAATTTCACATTCAACCTCTTCTATCTGCTCTTGACCCATGGCCCTGAGCACCATTTGCACAGCGACATTCCATTTCATGTACAAATTGTATGTCTTGAACGTCGGAATACACGAATGTGGAATCCTGGGCGTAACTTCACACGGTTCATTTCTGTATGACTTGCCATCCTCTGCAGGGCTGAAAAGATGTTTTGTTGTCCAGGTCTTGCTCGCTGACGGACCCCCCCGGCAACTCGAGCTCGAACGTACCACCCAGAGCAGACCGCGTCCCACGAATGCCCGCAGTATCACGAATCTGTGCGGTGACTTGATGGAGAGATATCGGGGGAAGGTCAAATCTGTATTCCGCCGGTGACAGTTGCAGCTGGATGGATATTTTGATGTCGTCTCCTATAACAGCGTTTCTTGGGACGATGATAGTCGGTGCGAGCCAGAGCAGTGGATATATATTCAGTGCACTTCTCAAACGCGACGAGAAGGTCTTTTGTTTCTTAGGCTCTTTTCTGTCCATGCAGAACTGTCTCTGTCCCTTTCGCATTACTCCTTTGAATGGCTCGAGCTCTTGGACAGTCACGGGGGGTCCAGAAATTCGCACTGTTTCCGGATATGACGAGGTTTTGTCGTCGTCGCCTTCGCCCTTTCCCTTTGAGATGGTAGCAGTCACTGAATATTGAATATGACACCATCCAGCCATCGGGTCGTTTTGGCTGGGTTGTCGACGCGGCACGCTCATGGATGGCGGCAACCGATGTCCTCCTGAGCTCTCAAAGGCATCATCTTCTTCTAGCCAAGAGTGCCTCCAGTACGAGCGTCCACTGTGAATCTTCTTGGCTAGATCCGCAGGGTTTTTCTCTACGGATAAGGGTATGGTGAGTGAAAATTTGGGAGATTCCACGTAGTCGGATGGCTCGAAACGGGTTGTTTGATAGATTAGCAGTGATCGATCCTTCTTGGCCCCGCCGTTTCCAGGCTGGATGAATGATTCACTGCGTCCTTGTAGAGAGACATCCAGATAAGCTTCGCCCGTCCATCCATTAACACTCCCAGTGATAGTGTCGCCAGGTGCAAACAGACGGTTTGGGTGGTCGAGGGTTACGTCGACCGAAAGTGATGCTGTAGACTCAATTGGTGAGGCCATTTGGTGTTTTTTTCCTTCTTCTTCTTCTTCTTCTATTTCCTTTTTTGGTCAATCGAGAGGGAAAAAAAAGGTCCTTTTGATGGGAGGCTACTTATAAGTTAGGAGAACAAGGCTGAGTGACTAGTGTGTTGGTTGTATTGATTTCTATTTTCGGCCACTTACTACCCAACTTTTCTAGACCGGCGCCATGTGTAGGCCCGCGTTACATAGCCTGAGGCTGAGCAATCCTGAGATATCTGAGGTGGGCAAGTCTTTTTGAGCACGTACGTCTCTGTATTAGCGAGGATTTGTGGTAAATGGATCGATCCTATGGCGGAAAATGCATGAATAGAGTCAGCACTTTATCAGACGATCCTTAGCAAATTCATTCCGACGGGTCATATATCATTGCCTGCCTATTAATCCTAATCAAGAGGGATTGCCTAAAACAAGCTGCACTTTTATTACCGAGGGGTGACAGCAAAAAATATGTGGCCAACTGTGAATGTGGCTAGACACATCGTGGATATACTTCGGAATCTTTCAATGTGTGTATCAAGTAAGCTTGTCGGGAAATGTGACAGTTATTATAGAAGGCCTCAATTCTTCAATCGTACTACTATTTGAACTTTTGTATGTAATTATTATTTCGGGTTAGAACTTGAGATTTGAAATCAAATAGCGCATGCGCTCGGAAGAAAAAGGGTCAATGGCCACTTGATACAGTACTGTATACAAGATCTTAATGCACAGCAGTTGGGCCAACTGGGAGCGTTGACGACGAAATGTGGCATTGGTGCACTATATTGATGTGATTAGCGGATCAATAGTAGAAGACCAAAAATTATTACTACAACTTACTGATTCTGGTGCCGTAGCTTGGAGGGAAATCAATCGAACTGTGTAGGACTCCCTATATGTCATAAGCGTTGTCAGCAAGGGGATCAGAGGCAGTAGAGGGCCAAATGATGTATTACCCAGTTGTTAAACATGACGACATCGCCCTCGTTATACTCGGGAATAATGATGCTCTCTGGCTTGCAGATTCTGTCCAGAATATTATTGAGCCAACTGTGAATCTCTTGGCCATCTTCAACAACCCGCTCAGGCGCCCTCGCGTCAGTCTTGAGGTAGAGCTTGTGCACGACATCAGGCATGATCTGGAAGCACTTCACTCCCGTTACTGGGTTCACCCAGACCATAGGGAATCTGTAAACCTTCTCAGGGACCCAGGAGGGAAGCTCTTGTAGGGGGACGGTGGTTCCTCCGGGCGCCATTCCAAGGCCCGAGTTCCGGAGCTTTCGGGTTCCTGTCCAAACATACGGCTGGGGAGCTGGCGCCCATGTGCTGTTATCTGCAAGAGTCTTTTCTTCCGGGGTCAGCAGCTCATAAAGCTGTGCAGAATCAATAAAGGCAGTCAAGCCCGGCTTCGACGTAACAGACTGGCCACTCCCGTCATCCCAGTTGATTGTGATATCTGGCCCCCTTGGTGCCCTAACACAGCGCAGGGTGGTAACACGAGATGGGTAAGCACCATAGATCACCCCATCAAAGTGGAAGGAATGAAATCGGGTATGACCTTTCTCAAGTTCCTCCTCAGGCAATGGCTCCACGTGCAAGTCGTACCTCTTATTTCCTAGGGTGATATCTTTGGTTCCATGTCCATCATCATCGATATAACCGCGAGCTACAAGGGTAACTCCCTTGGAGTCTGGGACAACATTGAATTTAGACTAGGCCATGGTCAGCATTGTCGGGGAACAGATCAACGAAAGAAAAACATACTCCCAGAACGCCAACAGTGTCGTCCTTCACGTCGTCCGTCAGGAAGCCATGCGTAGGGGACGCGTCAGGGTCGAGGCGCTGGACAAAGTCAAACTGGCTGATTGGCTTCATGGCACCCTGGCCCTTGACAATGACCACTTGGTGAGTGTAGATGGCATTGCGAATGATTTCGAAGCTCTCGTCGTCCAAGTTATTCAGATCCACGCCTGTAATCGTGGCTCCCATCTGAATCCTATTAGCGTGCACCTTGGGGTATCCCGGCTTTTTCTCAAAAGTTTTACCTACCTTGACAGTAGAGCCGGGGGGCTTGGCAATGGGGGTGATTTCAATTGCCATGATGGAGAGTCTTCCTCGAGAAAAGTTGTCCGGACGTTGCTGGGGGATTGATTGCCTGAAACGCGATGTAGTAAGACTGGCTTCGGCAAGCCTTAAGTATCATCGCGGTGTATTAGGGCTCGCTGACTATTTCCCAGTGGTGGATGCCTTTTATCTTATCTTTTACACAACAAGTACAGTTTGTAACTACTCAACCAACTAGTTAGCTATGTTCCAGACCCGAAGCACACTTCTTTACCCTGCCGATAAATACGCCGAGAGAAATGCAGAGAATCCTACTTGGCGGTTCCTGATAGATAACCGGCCCCTCCTTGTCATCCAGGCGCCTTAGCTTCCCCTAACGAAGAAAAGTCGCAGTGGGGAAATACGAGGGCTCGCTGACAGTTGCTGGGAATTGCCCCAGCTTTCGTGGGTTCTGGGTCGTTATCTCCGTTCCAGGGAGCAAACTATCTTTGATTGAGATGGACTCTCAACAGGGTGGCGACATCTGGCTATAAGTAATCCGCGAGAGAATGTGGCCTGTTGTCGTTTTCCCTCTTACCTACTCGCATTTTCCTTTCTTCCTCCCCAAGTCAACATTCCGCGATGAGTGACTCGCGCGTGCAGGACAGTCAGTCCTGGCCTCCCGGCTCTGTCTGGCTGAACGAGAAACTGGATGGTGATGACGAACTTATTCTGCGGCCCCAGCCAACAGAGGACCCGAACAACCCTCTCAATTGGCCATCATGGCGCAAGTATGTCAACTTCGGCTTCGCCTGTCTATGGGACTTGTTGATCACGGAATTCCTCTGCGCGGCAACTCCCACATGGGGCCCGATGCACCGGGAGCTAGGCTTCAGCTGGGCAATACTGAACGATTCCTATGCTGCCGGTTGTGGCTGCTTGGGGATTGGCGCGATCCTTCTCACCCCGTTATCGCTGAAGTTCGGACGTCGGCCGCTCTATCTGCTGAGTGCCCTCGTTACCTTTGGCGTCAGTATTTGGAGCGCTAAGATGCAGACCGTGGCCGATCTGATGCTGGTCAATGTCTTGTCCTGCTTATTTGGCGCACTGTCCGAGGTCATTGTCCAAATGACGATCGCCGACATGTTTTTCGTGCACCAGCGTGGGCTTATGAATGCAATTTTCGTCTGGGTTAGCCAGATCGGCTCCTCCTTGGGAGGGCTGGCCGCGGGCTATATCACCGACTCTCAGGGTTGGAGATGGGTGTGGTGGTGGAATGTCATCTGTTTCGGCGCCCTTTTCGCCGGTCTCCTCCTGCTTTGCGAGGAGACCAAATACGTGCCAGTGCTCAATCAGTCAAGCGCGGAGGATGTGACCATTTCTGCGGTGCCAGACAAGGTACCGACAACGGATTCCTCCTCGATCAAAAAGAAAGACCCGGAAGAGGCACGCTACACCATCCATAACAGACCCGTCATTGACGCTAACATACCTCGAAAAAGCTACTGGCAACGTCTCTCGCTGTCCGCGAGGTCTCCTGGAGGCTTCAGAACCTTTGGGCGTCACATGTTTCAACCATTCGTCCTCATAACATGTTTCCCCGGTATCCTTTATGTCGCGCTGTCATACGGTGTGCTGGTCGCCTTGCAAAATGCTCAGAGTACAACGCTGTCCAGTAGATTAACAGAACCTCCCTACAATTTCTCCTCCAGTGGCATCGGCCTTATAGGCTTGGCCCCGTTTGTTGGTGTTACCATTGGCTCGTTCATTGTAGGGGAGGTCAGTGATCGGTGGATTGTTCACCTTGCCCGTCGGAACAATGGCATCTACGAGCCCGAGACGCGTTTGTGGTTGATTATACCCTTTCTGCCCCTGGTTCTTGCGGGCTCATTGCTTTTCGGATATAGCATCGACAAGGGTCTCCCCTGGCCGCTCGTGGCTGTTGGAAATGGTCTGGCCAGTGCCGGCGTGGCTACGGTTCAGACCGTGATACTCACCTACCTTTCGGACTCTTACTATGATGTGAGTAGTATCTAGTATATCCTCGGAATATTTCTTTTCTTTTTTTTTTTTTTTATCTCTACTCACGAAGCGATCAGGTGATTGGAGACGCCTTGGTTGGGGTCACATTTGTTCGGAACTCTGTCAGCACCATTTTTGTCTTTGCTCTGGACCCTTGGTTTGCCGTCAACGGCATCTCGAATGTCATCCTCGCCATCACACTTATTGCCACCTTCTGTCTGTCGTTTGCTGCGGTCTTGCTCAAATGGGGCAAGCAGTTCCGTATCCATACCGCGGCCCAATATGCCGAGTATTCGTTGAAGCAAGCCCGTGTGTAGGTCTCCCGACGACAATGATTAACGTTTCCGTGCTTTTAGAGGAGCATTGAGCCTCAACACGGATCTTACTTAGCCCTGGAGTAGGCGACCCGACCTTTGATTATGGTTGAATTGTTAATTGTTTATTGTTTGTTGTTTGTTTTCCCTGCCTAACATGGCAGGATAACCTCGGCCTTGGGCATATATAGAATGAAGCGTAACAACTCTATCTCCAATGGAGAAATTGGCCATATATATAAAAGCCGCTTGATTATGCTCGTATCCCGTAGGCATATGCAGTCCTAGAAGTTTGCTTCGATGGACGTCTGGACTATGTAGTGATCTCACCCCGCTAAAACAAGTGGATGCATATGTATACGTCCAGTCCGGAGCTAACATGATATCACCGAAGAGGCGGAGGGGGCCCTAGATAAGAGAGATAAACAAGGCCAAATAAATACTAAACGGTCGATTTCCTGGCTTTTGGCCCTTTCTTTTTGACCTTGTCAACATAGTATTCCCCAATGCCCAGACGCAACAGAGTCCCCATCACCAAAACCAAGACATTCAATGGGTACGCAGACAACCCTTCCGCCTCGATTAGCTGTACTGACGGGCACAGATGTTGGACTTGCCGTCATCGAAAGGTGAAATGCGACCTTGCACGACCAACATGTTCCCGGTGCCAGAAGGGAGGATACTCTTGTGATGGCTATGCTCTACTTTTGCATTGGATCGAAGACAGTCGAGTCCGTCCAACGTCCATCAAGCGGAAAGCAAGGCTCTTCCCCCGTACGTGCTTTCTCAAGTTTTCCCTTTACTTCAGGTTTTGACAGGCCAGCCCAGGATTTCCATCTTGGGCTTTTGATTTGGACAAGATCGATGAAATCCTGACGCGGATTGACCAAGTCGACACGTCCCTACTCGAGGGCCCCTTTTCTGTTTTTCCCAGCCGCCTCCCCGGACTGCACCAGGAAGTGGCCTTGGTGCAGAAGCAGAAGAACTTCGACATTCCATCACTAAGTTTACTCAGTCCGGTCCAAGAATTGCCTTGGCTTACGGGCCATATCATTTACCCAGGGCGCCAACTCACGCGCCGGTTGTTTCATCACTATATATCGGATGTCGTGCATGTGTTGCAACCGATAATGCATTCTCGCAACTTCTATACTACTGTGTATGTTCCCCAAGCAATCATGGGGGGCAGCAGTCCCTGTGTCAATGAGATATCGTTACCAAGCCACCGTGCGATATTCTACTCGTTACTTGCAACTGCGGCGTTCCATGTCCGTGGGATGGTGGCAGCTTCGCTCGAACACTCACAGCAAATAACTCAAGTCGCTCATGCGTGTCGAGTAATGGCATACCGCTTTCTACGCACAGCGCTCGCATCAGGATTTCAAACCGATATGGAATGGCTAGCCATCTTATCAACTATTCTCTCGTTCGTCACGATCGATGTACGTCTGATGCTCGGCTTAGTCCCACCCACCGTTGCGGTATGATACTAACATCATTATTTTCCTTCGTTCCAGGTTATGGAAGGCAGCATGTCCGAATATTACCTTCATCTAGAGGCTTTCCAACACCTCGACTTACTAGGAACGAGGTCAAAAACCGACGCCCCTGGATCAACGTCCAGAATGTATTTGCAGACAGCATTTTACCTTCAGTTGACTTTGTCTGAAACAACGAATTTTCACCTCCCCGGAATACCATGGCCACCTAATACCGGAATATCAACCGAACTCACGAATTCCCTTGCGCGGAATCCCGCCATTGATGATCATATGCTACAACATACGTATGGTCTCACTCACACCTTATGTAGTTTCATTCGCGCTGTGACGGTTCTATATCGACATCGATCCTACTATCTTGGCCTGCAACAGCCATTACCTGTCGGTCTTCGAAAGGCTGTCGTGACAATGGAGACCAAGATCAAAACCTGGGAAATTGGTTCAGAGATGAACCTTCTGTCCATTGACGATAAATCAACGACTGGGGTAAACATGATGCGGATTATGAATCTGCACCTGTCTGCCTTCCACAACGCTATTCAGATATACTTTATAACCCATTTGAGTCCCTCGTTCAATCAGAGTGATCCGGATAATAATACCACAGCCTTCTCCCACGATCTCCCCTTCCTTGTCGAACAAGTGGCAGCTAATCTCATTGAAATTGAGAAGATGAAACGCGAGATCTCGGCCCTGGCAAATCGACAGATCGCGCCAATTATGTGGCCTGGTTTTATTGCATCATGCGAGTCTCGACTGGAAAACAGAGAGGTTTGGCTCAAGTGGTGGGGTGAAATGATGGACTATCACATCGGTAATGTCCATCTTCTGTGGCAAACGGTCCAAGATGTATGGCGTTTCCGAGATGAAATTCAGTCTAGGGGACAGCTTGTGCATGATATTCCTCTCTGGAGAGCATATCTCGCGAAAAGCGTGAGAAATATATTACCACTGTGACTTTTGAAAGCATGTTGATAGATAGGCCCGCTCTTTTCCAACCTTTTCGACATGCACGAAATACACCTTCCATATATGATGATACCGCTTTCAAGTCCAGCAGCGAACCGATTTGCTGGCCATGGCATTATTACCATCATTCATCGCTGATGGTAGAGAACCTCTCGGTTACCTAGGTAGCATTTCTTAGCTATCTATCTGTCATAAACATTGCAAGTTGATGTCTTGGGCAAAGTCGTATGGCCTAAATGCTGATGTTCTTGTCCCGTACGTATGAAAAATGAGCGACTCAAGAAACTAAGATCTGGATCCCATAATTAAGAAGTATTTTGCAAGTCAAAAAGAGCCCCCTCTCCAGACTCTTCCCGATGCTGACTAGTAGGAACTCTATTGTATGTACAGCCACTGCCAATACTTCCTCGGGTCAGCAAGGCTGAAAAAAAGCCGCATCCCGCTATTGACTCACGGATGACAATGACATCTGACAAGGCAGAGATGAGGGATTTTAATCCAATAGACAAAGACAAGGGCACTTGCCGAGCGCTTTATGCCTGCTGGCATTGGCAATGCGGCAACGTCCGACCTGTTTACCAGGTAATATGTAGGCTTCCATGAGGGATTCGATCCTAGGTATAAATACTAAATAGTCTGTTTTCTTCTTGCATGCTCATCTGCATATATCAATCAAAGACTGAAGGACTTCATCTGCTGACAGCCTATCATCCACTTGTTCTCTGACCGTCAAAATGGGGTGCGAAATATCATTGTCTACTTGTATCAACACTTCCTTACTGATCTACTTGCAGGTACCACATCGCAACCGCAAATGAGTATCTCGTCATCACAGGTGCCGGTATTGACGACCTGCGCATCTGCAAAAAGGCATTTGTGTATCCGTGGCAGAAAGTGTGTATTGCATTCCCGCATGTATATGTATGTACAATTGCAGCAGAAGCATATGCTAACGGGGATGGGCTTCTCATGCAGATCTCGAGAATATCCGTCACGCCCTTTGACTTTTCGCTGAATCTCCAAGCCATGACAATGGAGAAGCTACAGTTTGCTCTCCCAGCCGTTTTCACGATTGGGCCGGACAACGAGATTGAGGCTTTGAAAAAGTATGCCCTGCTACTGTCCGGCAAGGCGGATGGCCCTGATCAGTCGAAGAGTGAAGTCAATTATCCGGCCGCACGTAACCATGTGCAGGATATTGTCAAGGGTATCATCGAGGGTGAGACTCGCGTGATTGTGTCTAGTATGACCATGGAAGAGATCTTCAAGGAACGTCAGATCTTCAAAGCAAAAGGTATGTATGCTAAGTCGAGGCAGTCGTTATAGGTTAGTTATATACTAAAAACATGGCAGTTATTGAAAACGTCCAAAATGAGCTCCAGCAATTCGGTCTACGAATGTACGTTTCACCTCGCTTGAAATCGAGTGCCGGGAAGTCAATAAAAGCTAACCAAAAAAAAAAATCCAGCTACAATGCCAACGTCAAAGAACTACAAGACACCCCCGGAAGTGAATACTTTGCTTTCCTCAGCCGAAAAGCCCACGAAGGCGCCCTCAACCAAGCCAAGATCGATGTTGCCGAAGCTCGCATGCGTGGCGAGATTGGCGAAGCCGAAAAGAAAGGCCGCACAAAGCAGGAAATCTCCAAGATTGATGCCGAAACAGCCGTGCTCGAGACCAAACGCAAAGCCGAGAAGGCCAAGGCTGATTCCGAGTTGACCAACCGCACAATCGAACTGGAGCGGGATACCAAAATGGCCAGAATCACGGCTCAGCGGACCACGGAAATGAAAGATGCTGAACTGCAAAAGTCGGTCGAGAGCAGGCGCGCCGAGACTGAGTTGGAACGTCTGCGTGCTACGGATGTCACTAAGAGCAAGATTGCGCGTGAGGCCGCGCAGGAAAAGGCCGATGCCACCTTTTACACGGAGCAGAAGGCTGCTGATGCTCTATACTACAAACGAAAGACGGAAGCAGATGCATACTGTATGATTCATATTCTTCTCTGTCCGTTGAGAGGAGGTAAACAGCTAATTTTTTTTAAAAAAACATAACAGACTACCGCCAGAAACGTGAAGCCGAAGGTATCATGGAAACAGCTAAAGCCTACCGTGAAATGGTCGACACGCTCGGCGGTCCACAGGGCTTCCTGCAACTCAAGATGCTCGAATCTGGCATGTACGAGAAACTCGCCCAGGCCAATGCCACCGCTGTCAACGGCATGCAGCCCAAGATCACTACTTGGAATACGGGCCCCTCTGCTACTGGTGCCGCTGGTGAAGCAGATGCCACCGCGCCTATTAGAAATATCATGCAAGCACTGCCACCGCTGCTGAGCACCATCCACGAACAGACTGGCATCGCGCCGCCCAGTTGGATTGCGCAGATGCCTGGTCCTGGAACTCAGAATGGAGATGGACAAGGGAAGGACCTCGTGACAACGAAGAAGGGCGCTGTCAATGGTCACTGATTTTGCGGTGGTTGATTGGCTCGGATTAATTCATTTGTATCATGACACTCGTTATTGCTTGATCAGCCGGTTTTGTTTCAGATTGATATCTGTTTGCTGTATACCACTTGTAGTTCTTTGTATGTTTAATTTTGGCAATGCAAAACTTTTACTTATGAAGTCGAAATAGCATGATTTAGCTATGAGGTCATTCCTTCTGTATATCCGTGGAAATTTTCAGGCTGTGAGAAATTTTCCTAATCTGGTAATTATTGGTGGTTGCCTGCCTAAGAGAATGGATCATGTTTCGCTAATCAATAGGAGTCCTGCAGTGTTGTACCTGCATTCGTGATGAAATGTCGGTCAGTGAGTGAGCAGCTTGAATCAAAAATGACTAATTGATTTGATTATACATCATGTGTATTCTAAACAAGCAGTCAAGGGTCTGCCCGGAACGAGGGAAGATTGCATTCGACGTGTTCTATCTGGGCCCAGCCAAGGCTCTTATATATCTTGTAACTACTAGATCACGACCGAAAGATGCAGCCAAGTGAATAAAATCTTGCCATAACTTTCTCACCACGGCATAGTCATACGCATGCAGGCGTACCTAGTTTCTAGATAAGGCAGCGGAACAAGCAAAAGGCCGGGGAAACCACAGCCATCGGCTCTTCCGTCCGTCGGGGAGTTAGGACTGTCGGACGTCCTACAGCCAATCACATCGTAGACAGAGTAGAGCGTATCGGACGTCCGACACCCCACTCGGCACACGCGGCACAACTCCGCTGATCGACCAATCAGATGCAATTGTGCATACAAATTTGAATGAAATCCTGCTTCAAAGTTCATGCTGCAACCTCAGCAACAATTTTTTTTTTGGAGCTTTGCTAACTACTAAGTACTTAACTCTTAGCCTTGTTTGCAATAGGACGGTAGAAAATTTTCTGTATCGCTGATCGATCAATCGAACAAGACTAGTCTGGACTCTTATCCTTCGAGACCCTGGGATATATATACCTACGTATATATACACCTTATAGTGATCTGTTGTCTAATACATCCAATTAACTAACTACTTGTTTAATGTGTTTATGCCGTATCGGACTGCGCAGAAAATACCATGAGAGAACAGGGTATCGATCACTAATTTCACCTACCATTCATTATCGACCATGGGCCGCCACGACGCCGCAGAGAAATCCCTTCAGGATCAAAGAAACATCCTACCCATAGGTCAACTAGTGATTGTCTTCAGCGGTCTAGCAATCTCGCTACTAATCTGCTTCATCGACCAGAATGGGCTTAGTGTCGCGCTCCCCAGTATCAGCAAGGACCTCAATGCCGAAGACACCATTTCCTGGGCTGGGACGTCCTCGCTAATCGCCAACGCCGTCTGCACCGTTCTTTATGGACGATTGTCTGACATCTTCGGCCGCAAGAGTGTCTATATCAGCGTCCTGATTCTCCTCAGTGTCGCCGACCTGCTATGTGGTCTGGCCGTGGACCCGCCTATGCTCTACGTCTTCCGTGCAATGGCCGGTATTGCTACTGGCGGCATCACCAACATGACCATGATTATTGTCAGTGATGTGGTGACGCTGCAGGACCGGGGGAAGTATCAGGGTATTCTGGGTTCGTGTGTCGGACTGGGCAACGTAATCGGTCCTTTCATCGCGGCTGCGTTTGTGGAAAGGGATTCTTGGAGAGATATCTTTTACCTGCTCTGTCCGTGTGCGGCGGTGAGTGCCGTGGTGGCTTGGTTCCTGTTGCCGAGTAAAATGAGACCGGAGTCGATGAAGAGTCAAGTGAAGAAGATTGATTTTATGGGTACCATCACCTCCACTATCGCCATTGTTTTTATTCTGATTCCCATATCCGGTGGCGGTCTCTACTTTCGATGGGATTCGGCGCTTGTAATCTGTATGTTGGTGATTGGAAGTCTCTCGTTCGTGCTGTTTCTGTTCGTTCAGTGGAAACTCGCTTATTTGCCGATGATGCCTCGTATGTTTATCTCTCTTTGTGTGTGTGTGTGTGTGCGCGTTTATATGGGCTGACGAAACTAGTTTCTATCTTCAAAAGACCCGTCGCCACGACTCTGTTATTGCAGAGTTTTCTCCTTGGAGCTGCATACCAGTCCTTGCTGTATTATTTGCCGCTCTATGTTCAGAATGCACGAGGCTGGTCCCCAATCCAATCTGCAATCTGTTCGTTGCCCATGGTCTGTTTCCAGTCCACTTTGTCCATCCTATCTGGACAGTACATGTCACGATTGAATCGCTACCATGAGGTTATCTTTACTGGCTTCGCTCTGTGGTGTCTGTAGGTATCGTCATTTCCTCACTTTGAGATATCTTGATATGCTGACATTCAATGATAAGCGGAATCGGATTAACGCTGCTATGGGATGGGAGCACGCCCAAGAGTCAACTGTACGGCACTCTGGTCCTCGTCGGCGCTGGCATCGGCTGCACTTTCCAGCCAACCCTGGTCGCTCTCCAAGCGCATACTCCCACCTCCCAGCGCGCCGTTGTGATTTCCATTCGCAACTTTTTCCGTTGCACTGGCGGTGCCGTTGGCCTAGCTATATCAGCCGCAATCCTACAAAGCGTGCTCAAGGCCAACTTGCCGGCTGGGTATGAATATCTGACACGCACAACTTATGCGCTCCCTGATCAAGGCAGTATCCCGGCTGCGGACTGGGACGCTATTGTGCAAGCTTATATTAAGGCATCGCATACTGTGTTCATTTTTCAGGTGCCCTTGGTGGGTGCTTGTGTGCTCGGGTGCTTCTTTATCCGGGATAAAGGTTTGCAGAAGCAGGAGGATTCCAGCAAGAATAATAATAAAGAGGGTGTCAAGAAAGAGCAGGGACAGGGTCAAGTACAGACAGATGCAACAGAGTCCCAGGCAACGACACAGATTGATACTGATATCGAGTCGGGGAATAATGCCGAAACAAGGGACCGTGATGTTGAAAAACAAATAGGACGCGAGGACGGCAAGAAGGCCGACAAGGCTGACGAAGCCTCAATTGCCTAATAAAGGCACAAAAAAAAGTCGTCATATACACACTTGACTTTCGGTTTTGATCGTTATAGCCTGTGAAGAACATTCACTGCCACGCTATTCGAGATCGGACTTACGACTGTTGCATATAAATGAGCATAAATTTTCTTTCGGTGCATATCTTGCTTGCGATATACCATTATACCACGGGTTCTGATAGAATTTGGTCGTAATTTTTCAAAATAGTTTCTATACCCAACTAGAACAATGTATAGAGCATAGGTACTTCAGTTGATGGAGATCTCGTCTGTTCATTTTTCAGTAGGATCAGTTTGGCTTGCGTTAGTAAACAACAGATGCTGCCACCAATTTGTATAATACTCTCCTAGCTGCTCAAACAACAGCAACATGAGCATTTGCCAAATCCCTGCTATGCACGTCAAATATAATGCTCATTGAGCCTGAGGAACATGTCGGTTGCCAGCAGTGCAGTGCATTTGCTGTCATCCATAAAGACATGATTTGCCATTATTTTCGAGGCGAGATTCAAGCTAAAATAAGTCTTCTTGCTGGTCTAGCATAAGATATAATAAAGAAGAGAGTTGAAGGAGCTTCCCTATCGTAGAAAGAGACTCACTTCGTCGCCTGAGGCATGCTAATTCCATCCAATGAACGCGCAGCAAGCCCCACCCGCTGCTGCCGGAGTGCTTCTCATTGTATATTTATCACTCCAGCTTCTTCGCATACCCTCGTGGCCATCGACTTTAATCCCTTTTGAACAAAAATTCAAAAAAACCCCCTCCAGCAAAGACTAACCTCAATCCATGAGGTCTTCTCGCGCCTCTCCAACAAGCCCCGAGCACAACCCGCGCAAACGTGCGAGAACAGCTTGTTCGCGCTGCAAAAGCCGCAAGCAAAGAGTTAGTTTCTCTTTTACTTGCACATTCCGTATCAGAAACGAATTTTCTAACGCCATGCAGTGTGACAATGTGTATCCTGTTTGCACGAACTGTCGGAAGGCGGGCGTCGAGTGTGACAAGTCCTCGCTGAGCCTGGAAAGTGATAACAACTCGGGGTATTTGCTCTCCTGTTCTATCTTCAACAAGTAAATTTATTTATTCATATTTAGGTATACAAACGCTCTAGAAGAGCGAATTGCATACCTGGAAGGCAAGCTCTCCGAATTGTCAGGGCATAAAAGTGCAGATGAGGCCATCTCCACCCCCGATGCCAATCGCATTGGCCATTCCATCACTGCTGCTTCTCAGCGGCACACCCCAGAGAACCCTCAATCAGGGATAAGAAATAATACTTTAGGCGAAGTTGTCGGCTTCCTCTCCCTCGACTCCCCCGAAACGCCCGCTTATCTTGGCTCCAGTTCAGGGCTAGCATTAGCCGTGAACTTGGGTGAGATGGTGCGAGCTACGGTCATGACAAAAGTGTTTCCAGATTCTTCAGTTCCAGCTTCAGCGACAACGAGAACGAACTTGGGCCATGATGGCATTGGCACCAGCAAAAGCAGCGGGAATACATCCTACAAGGCCATCAATTTAGACGAGTTGCTGAAACACCGCGCTGATCCTCCCAACAACGAAATGGGGTCTCGCATCATGGAGGCCTACCTAGGCCGTATACACAACAAATACCCATTCCTGGATCGAGAGGAGTTATGGAAACTCCACCATGCTCGCTGGAAATTGGCAAAAACCAAGTCTGAGGACTTGACCCAGACTGAGCGCTTTGGCATATTTAAGCTGTATATGGTGTATGCCATAGCTTCGATGCTGATTGCGCTCAGTGAGAGATATATATATACGCCTCCTGAGGTGGGCGCCCCTTCCCTTTTCTGCCATCGATTCAAAGGAGGGGGAAAAAAAAAGGCATAATAAATAGTACTAATACGTAACAGAAATTCTACATGACCGCCATCCAACACGTAGCAGCCGCTTGTGAAACAAGGTCTGTGCAAAACATCGAAGCTATGATGCTTCTAGTAGTCTACCATCTACGATCTGCCACAAGTCATGGGCTGTGGTACATGATAGGACTTGCGATGCGAACATGCATCGATCTGGGCCTCCATCGCAAAAGCAGCGCCGCACGGCTCGATCCATACACAGTGCAACTTCGTCGACGCCTCTTTTGGTCCGTTTACTATCTCGAACGAGCCATTTCACTTTCCCTGGGACGGCCTTGCAGCATTAGCGATCGCCATATTGATGTCGAGTTGCCTCTAGATGTGAATGATGATGTTCGTGATGCTGCGATACTAAATGCGTTGCAACAGCAGCAACAGCAACAACCCACCCCAGTCACAAATCTATCCCTCTTCTGTGCTCTTCTACGAGCCAGACGAATCGACTCAAAGATCCAGCAAACCATCTACCGCGCCGATCGACCACTCCAAGAACTACGACCGAAACTCGACAAAATCTACCGTCTACTCGAAGAGTGGAAAACGACAGAACTACAGCGCTTTGTATTGAGTGAGTGGGACTATGCGACGCTGCACTTCAACCGAGCCGTTCGACTACTAATCCAACCCTTTCTACCTCTCCTACCCCTAACCGACCCTTACTATCACATTTGCCTGCGGGCATCAGGTGACATATGCCAGACACACAAAAGACTGCACCAGACCCTGGAATATGGGCATTCATTCCTTGCTGTGCAGACTGTGTTTGTGTCCGGGATCACCATGCTCTACGCTCTTTGGACGAATACGGATAAGGTCTGGTCGGTTCGCTTGAGCAATGACATCCGGGCGTGCTCGACGGTGTTATTTGTCATGACGGAGCGCGCGCCGTGGGTGAAACGATATCGGGATACATTCGAGCTAATGGTCAATGCTGCCATGGAGAAACTACAGGGCAACGAAGCAGCGCGAACATCCGGGATGGCAGGCATGATGGCTGCGCAGGGCTACACTACTGCCACTTCCATTGATAACAATAATATCAGCCAACCACCTGGCGAAAAACGACCCTATAATTTGACAGCATCAACGAATATAATGACAGGCACGCCTACCCTGCCCACCGCTATCGTGGGATCTTTCCAACAAGACCCGATTCTATCATCCTTGCAGCAACAACAACAACAACAAATACCACAACCTATACAGCAGCTACAGCACCCGACCCAATTCGGCTTCGATATATCAGAAGACGCCATGCGGATGGCCATGGAGTTGGCGCCGTGGATCGATCAAGAACTGGGCGCTGAGGGCGTTACTACGACGCCTCTGTGGATGCCGGATTTTGATACGCTGCAGAATTTAACGAGTCCGTACCAGTACTGATATACATGGTACACTCTTAGTATATGTATATACTTAATTGAATGTATTTATATGTTATATGTGGATACCTAGGTATGAATGTTAATACATATTCAATGTCTAGAAAGGCTTGCTTCCTGCACGAAAGAACTGACAGCCATACATCATGATAAGAAAATTAATATAATGAATTAATCTATTCTACAGCTCATCCTTGACGCCATCATCCACAACCGGAACAGGCCTTCCCGAATCCTGAAGCAAATCCACGCCATTCTTCCGTCTCCATTTCTGCCACAAAGCACGAAAATCCTTCTCCATGCCGCTCTCCATCTGATCCGGCAAGACGACCGTATACTCAACCAACAGATTTCCAAAGTCCTCTTCTTCGCCACCATCATAATCGTGCAAATGACCCTCGTGGTAGATCGGCATGCCCTGCCCGACCACCGTCTCAACAGCAAGCGGCTGGACAACTTCGCCCCGTTTCCGGCTCAGTTGCACCACATGACCGTCCAAATGCGTCAGGTTGCGAGTCCATTCACCCATCCACGCCTCTCGCAGAGACAGCACTTCCTTCCAGAACAAATCCTTGCCTTTCCTCCTGAAAAACGTCCCATCCGTCCTCTCTGCATCATTCGCACCCATCACCGGCTCCTCCTCCGCCAGAATCACAATCAGGTCGCCCGCAACCCAATCGGGGCTTTCATCAGCCTCATTCTCGAATGTGAGCCGCGTGCCTTTACCCATACCGGGATCAATCGTCGCCGAAATCGTGCTCGCCCTCCGCACCACGCGCTGTCCCTGACACACGGGACACGGCTTCTTAATCGATTTACCCTTCCCGCCACATTTGTCACAATGCGACTGCACCTGCTGATACATGCCCGGCGCAATCATGTGTTTCTGAATCACCAGCCCTCTGCCCCCGCACCGATCACACGTTTCCACCTTCCCATCCGCCGACCCCGTGCCCTCACACGTCTCGCAAATCTGCTGCTTCTCAATACTAAACTCGAGTTCGCGGCCCGTATAGAAATCGCGTAGTGGCAGCGCCAGTTTCACTTCCATATCGGGCCCCTTACGATGACCGCCGCCGTGCCCGAAATGTCCCCCGCCCCCAAAGAAGCGTGAGAATAAATCAAAGGGATCATTGCCGCCGCCACCTCCTCGGCTGCCGCCATGCTTGTGCTGCTCAAGTCCCTCGTGCCCGTATTGGTCGTAGATTTTGCGCGTGCTGGATGTGGAGAGCACTTCGTAGGCTTCGGCGATGTCGACGAATTTCTTCTTTGCTGATTCATCGCCTCTTTTTATTATTTTTAACCCCCGTTATCAGCCAATCCGCCAAAGCTTAGAATAAAAGAAGGGAAAGAGGAAGACATACGGATTCTTGTCAGGATGATATTTCTTACTCAACGTGCGATACGCGCGTTTTATGTCGCGCTCTGATGCTGACTTGTCCACCTCCAGGATCCTGTAGTAGTCCTCCGCACATAGCGCCGTGAGCAGGAGGACGGATACGACTAGGAGGAAGTGGAGGGGAAGCATTGCTCCTTGAACTCTCAAGGAGTACGGCTCCTTGGGTTTTTCGTTTTCCTTCAGATTCTGTGCTTAATTGCCCGGATTCAAGTGTGAGAGAAGAAGAAAATGAAAGTAATTGCATGCATGGCATGGCATAAACTGATAAGGTTTAATTGTTTAGCTTAGGTGGCCGTATCTCCGCAGGATTATTTGTTTTCCCGATCTGGTCCACGTGACGGTTGCGCCCTAATTTCTGTTTAGTTACAAGATATGATAATGATATAATTCGCAAAAGGATGATACGCTATTAGTAAATTATAAATAAAGACTATACATTCACATTGAATATATTGTTGCGCCACGTCAAATGGAGTCCGTCAGTATCGTCGCCCTCGTCAATTGCTTCCTGCGCTCTTTCTGCTTCATCTCTCCACACTTTGACAATGCTACCCGGGGTGTAGACGTCTTTGAACACGCCCTCCCTCGGGGGATAGGCCCCTATCCTTTGGTAGATATCTGGGTTGGCATACGCTTTGGGCCGCGCTAGCACAGCTCGAATAAAGGTTGCGTAATCCTGAGGATTGGCGATGTTGACCGCACGCAGACGCTCGCGGGCAAACACTAGCTCCCTGTTGATCGTCACCACCATAGTCACCACAAACTCGGCAATTTTCCTTTCTAGTGTTCGACGAATTAGTTGCTTCAAAAATGGCTTGACAAGCCAGAGAAGAATCCTCCATCGGCTGCGGTTTATTTTGTAGTTTAGCTTGTGGATATGCACGCGCACTCCCCTAAGCGTAACCAGATGTGCAAGTCGGTCTCGACCGACTTCCAAATCTACTGAGACGTCTATTCCGCGCTCGTCCAGATAAAAACTGCCAATGCCTTCGTCACCGAACCGGAAGAGCAATCCGCTATGGGCCCGAATCCAGTACCCAAACTCGGAGGCACTGATATTCAGCCCTTCTAGCTTCACGTTGACCATGGTTTTGATGGCTGTCTTGGCCCTTTTTGAGTGAACTTTCGCAAGCTCCATGTTAGTCTTGGACGTAACCAGGACTTTGTAAGGGAAAAACGACGATTGATTCACTGTCCTTCCTGGCTCCAACACCAGATTCTCAACAAGCAGATCCATTTCTGGAACTGAGACCTCCAGCCTTGGAATAGGAATATACTGAATACTGCGAATAAGTATTGGTAGAAATATGTGAGCAGCGTCCGCGACCAATACGCTCGCTTGGTTGTTGTAAACGTTGGATACATCTCTTATGATCTTCTTCGCTGCGGCATTCAGCTTTGCAACGGGGGGATCGTCAGGTATAGATCTTAGTGTTCGTCTCACTTGCTGCAAGAATGCTTCAACATCACTGCGCATGTTTGTGTCGCTTCCCACATTCTTAGACTGCTCTTTCAGCTTATCCAGGCGCTCCGGTGCCGAGTCGAAAAAGGCCGGGTCGGTTAGCATCTCTTGCAAAGACGCACCGACATCTCCTAGTAGTGATTCAAATTCCGGATCTTTGTTGGCATGTCTCATGACATCGTGGAATCGATCTTCCAAGCGTTTCCATTCTTCAACATCGCCGAATGATTGGACCAAGGTCCAAAATCTGTCGACTGCGGCTTTGAGGTCCCTGTTAACTTCCAGATCTTCACTCACGGCACTAGCGGTGTCCTCTGCGGCATTAGCGTATATCGCTCCGTACCGCTGAACGAGCTGAGACAGCGTCGAGACGGAATCAGAGTAGTCATTTCGGTTACGAAGCTTTAAGACCGCCTGTTTGAGACGATGAAGCAAGGCATCTCGTTGGTTGCCCGACACGTTTTGTTGCGTACTTTCTTTTGCTGTTTGTCCAGCGTGAAGGGCTCCTTCCTCCGTAGTAGCAGCAATTCGAGTTAGATCCTCGCGAAGATCATCCTTGGACGGGTGTTTGTCATCGTCCGCGCCGGCGCCATCCACCTTTCTAAGCTCCTCTTGTGAGGGCTCGGCTGCTTCGGCCACCTCATGAGCAGCTTCGGCTACAGTATGGGTAGTGTCGGCGAACACCTGGCGCCCAATGGTTGCGACATCATCAACGAACAATCGAAAATCCGCGTTTGTGAGAAGGAGACTGCCAACTGTACGCAGGCTATCGTATGCTACGCATGCGAAAATCACAGTCAGGAAGCAACACTTGACCATACTACCTCGGCGAACTTACCGGCCTGTGTATTCGCTTGTGACTTTACATGTGAAGCTTGGCTAGACAGTGCCGACTTGTCCAGCGCCACCCGAGATTTGGAGAGATGCCATACGAATTCTTGCAATTGGTCGTCGCGGTTCTTCTCTCGCAGGAGCTCAATAAAGGTCCGCATCAAAGTCTTGATGTCGCGTGCGAGCTGGCGGCTCTGTTCGCTCACGTCATCGCTGCGTGGATTGAGAAAGTCGGAAGCGAGGAGAGTGCGCAGATTTGTGATGACTTGCTCGGTTGAAGGCATGTATCCCTCGGACAAGGCCTTGAACATCTGATAGGAATGCAGCTTCTGCCGCAATTGGCGCTGGCGGGAGGTGTCATCGTTTTCGTACCGAGGCAAGAGAGGCTCGGTGTCGTCGGCTCTAGATCGTCGAGAAGCACAGCAGGAAGACATGGCGGATCAGGTGGTGAATTGGGATTCACACATGAGAATAGAATGAGAGACGAGAGTTGGCAGAGTTGGTGGAAGCGTGAGAATGACGTTGTTCCCCGGATTCCAAGTTTGGCAGCTGCCCACCCGCGCTGGGGCCGTTGATTGGCCACTCAATCCGCGCATACTGAGTCACCTGATTCGAGAGACAGGTTGTATATAATTGTGTATGCAGATGTGCAGATATGAACATAATATGCTCTGTTTTTGACCTATACACAGTCGTCCTTCACTTGACATCCGATTAAGGTGCTCCAGACTGTGGAGATTCAAGGTGGGTCCTGTAGCTGCTCATCTTCAATGTCTCTGCCCAATCGACGAATGCTCGCCCTCTGCAAGCAACAAAAGCCGCCGGTTGGCATCAGACCTCGGACACCGCGCCACTCCCTCCCTCCCTTTTCGCATGGTTGGAAATGCTTCGGTTTCTATTAGTACACAGTTACTACCCCCTTAGGTAACTAGCACAGATCCACGACGAGCTATCCCCGAAGCAGGCAAGCCTGTCTCCGCCCTTGAGTCATCTAGACTCCCGGCATTACTAACACTCGTCGAGATAGAAAAATCTGTGGCGCCGCTATACTCCGCCAGAATCAGACACTACGGGTACGAGAGAGAGTTCCCGATTTACTGCCTTCCGATACCGAGAGCATTCGCTTTCTCAGCTGCTTGAGGATACTCCGGGCTGAAGGCTGCTGCCACAGGATGATGACCAGCACTCCGTGTACATTCATCATCCGAGTTTCACACTGTGCTCGTGACTGTGACTGAGAGAAAAAAAAAGATCACACAATGATCATTCTATCTATATGCCATATGTGTTTATGGACTATGTATGCACTGCCGAACCAACAGCCGTGACGGACTGCTTATCCCGTAGCGCCCGGAGACCCATAAAAAATTATCGACGTTGATATTGTGCTTATGCCCGGAGTATCATCTTACATTCGTGATTCTACCCGGTACCGTACCGAGTACTCCTTCCCTTGACTCCAGGCTGCGATCAAGTGACTGGCCTCCGTCCAATTATACTGGTAGAGCAATTATCTAGCGTGGCTCGAGGCGGAGACGGAGTACGGAGTAAACTAGGGATAGTAAGTAAAAACAACAATCCTTGCCTGCCCCAACAAGACGCACAGCGATGCATCGTCATAGTATGACTCTGAATGACGGTGCATCCAGTGTCGTCCGGTGAGCATACTGCATACATAGTTAGTAGGTAGACAGTGCATAGTTTCAGTCAGTGTCTTGCTGCTCGGCGGAAAAGGCGTAGCGGTAAACAAACAGCGTAAATAACGTATCGCCCATACACAGGCTGGGCGGGCGCTAGTACCCGCAGGGGAAATTCGAGCTTTCTCCGCCCGGCGGTTGGGTACTAGCGGCGTATTAGCGGATACAGCGCCTTCCAGAACAATTTCATCTTTCATCCCCAGCATCGACCGATCGTCTGCACAGCTTCAATCAATATGATATGATTCACCTTGACACCAATGCGGTCGCACACATGCTTCAATAGTCTAGCCACCACAAATAAATGCCTCGTTGACGTGACACACGCATTCCTGGCCCAGCAAAGCTTCGCCTGCCAAGTTGGGGTAGCAAATGCAAATGCCAAATGCGCAACATTGGTCCCGGAAGCTTAGCGGTCCCGGCGTGCTGGGGATCCATCCAATCTTGACACTAACGCTAACTTCTAGCATCCAACATTTCTAGATGGTACCTCCTGTTTGCGGGTGTCTGTCAGACTTTCTGTTGGACGCTCAAAGGTTCACATGACGGAGAAACCATCCCCCCGCTGGTATTAAAAAAGGAAAAAAGAGAAATCGGACCCATTCCCCATATGGTAGACTCCGCTATCCCCCCGACTCTTCCCGATCTCGAAACCTAATGGTCGAGCTTTACGGCCAAAAAAAAAGAAAAAAGAGGTGACTGTCTGGCTTACAGAAACTGACTAGTATTTTGAAACACATGCTGAGTGTGCTGAGGGGGACAATAATACGCAGCATGACATGAAGACGACGCTGGTTCAGGGGCCGCTCGTAGTATTATTTCCATCGTCGTCGTGGTCGTCCATTCCTTCTGCAACGTCCTGATTCTCCCGCTCCCCTTCTGGACATGTTCCGTTATATACCTCGACCGGCCCGTCCGCACTCCTTGTTGCCCAACAATTTTGTCAGCTACCGTGGAAAAGCTCTTGTGTCGACCTCGTCGTCTCTCCCTGCGCCAATCCCTTCTTCTGTGAACCAGGCTTCCGAAGCGTCGCTGTCGCAGACATCCGCCGACATGGCTGCACACCCAACCCTTCCTTCGCTGTCGAACAGCCAGCTTCGATCAGCTCACCACGTTCCACAGCTGGGACTTGGTGGTCAATCGTGAGTAGACAACAACAGCTTGTTGTATCTATCTGCTGGGCAAAGAATGCTAACCGTGACCGCAGAGAAGGAACATTTGATACGGCCAACCCGCCCTATATTCGCAAATATCTACGCACCTACGGCCTGACGCCTCCTCGCGCTGAATCCTACGAGACGCAGAAAACAAGATGTATGCATATATCCCCCCTGCAGCTCTGGGCGTGGACGCAAAGGAAGAAACATGCTAATTGACCTAGGTCTGGCACAGCTTGCTTTGAAGCAAACCCCCATTGACAAGTTTTTATACCTGAGCACTCTTCGCAAGAACAATGTTCACCTTTTCTACCGTCTAGTGACAGATCACATTCAGGTTAGTGCTGTCTTTGGCGACACCACAATGCTCAAGCTAATGGTAGGCAGGACTTGACTCCCTTAATCTATACACCCGTAGTGGGTGAGGCCTGCCAGCGATGGTCAGAGATTTACCAGCAACCAGAGGGTGAGTTTTTTTAGTTTTTTTTTTTTTTTTTTTTGCCTATTTTCTTGAAGGGTGAGAGAAAGAAAAGACACTCATTGTAGTGAGCAGGAATGTATCTCAGTTACGAAGACAAAGGCAACATTGCCGCTGTCATTGCGAACTGGCCTCAGCCCTCGGTTGAAATTACAGTCATAACTGATGGCTCACGTATCCTCGGTCTGGGTGACCTTGGAATCAACGGTATGGGCATTCCTATCGGAAAGCTTGCCCTATACACCGCATGTGCGGGTATCCGTCCCGAGGCTACTCTGCCCTTGACTCTGGACTTGGGTACCAGTAACAAGGCTTTCCGGGAAGATCCCCTCTACATGGGCAGCCGACGAGACAAGGTGTCTCCCGAAGAGGAACAGGAATTCCTTGATGAACTCATGGCTGCCTTGACAGACCGATGGCCCGGTATTGTCATCCAATTTGAAGATTTCAAGAACCCATTCCCCGCTCTAGAGCGGTACCGTCACACGTACACTGCCTTCAACGATGACATCCAGGGAACTGGCGCTGTTATCTTGGGAGGCGTCATGAACGCTGTCAAGCGCTCTGGAGTTCTTCCCAAGGACCAGCGTGCTGTGTTCTTCGGTGCGGGAAGCGCCGGTGTAGGTGTAGCCAAGCAGATCGTAGACTACTTTGTCAAGGAAGGAATGACCGAAGAGGACGCTGCGGCCTGTTTCTATCTTGTTGACACCAAGGGTCTTGTCACTGCGGACCGCGGAGACAAGCTTGCCGACCACAAGGTCTATTTTGCACGCAAAGACAACAATGGACAGCAGTTCAAGACCCTAGAAGAAGTCATTGACCACGTCAAGCCCACAATGCTCATGGGCTTGTCAACTCTGGGTGGGGTCTTCACACCAGAGATCCTGAAGAAGATGGCCGAGTGGAATGAGCAACCTATAATCTTCCCTCTCTCCAATCCTTCTCACAAGTCTGAGTGTGACCTGGAAGCTGCAATCGTCCACACCGACGGACGAGCCCTGTTTGCCTCCGGCTCACCCTTCCCGCCGGTGGAATTCACCAACGCCGCCGGTGAAACCAAGGTCTACTACGGCGGACAGGGAAACAACATGTACGTGTTCCCCGGTATTGGGCTGGGCACAATTCTCTCCAAGGCGGTCGAAGTCACAGATAGCATGATCTACGCCTCCGGCGAGGCACTCACCAAGTGCATGACGGCGGAGGAAGAGGCACGCGGATTGTTGTACCCTGATCTCACCAGGATTCGGGAAGTCAGCGTGGTGGTTGCGCGCGAGGTTATCCGTGCCGCGCAAGAAGCGCAGGTTGATCGCGAAACAGCCATCCGCGGACTGAGCGATAGCGACCTAGATGCATGGATTCGCGTGCGCATGTATGACCCGCATGCCGAGGTTGCTTCGCTTGAGCGCGAAGTTGGCGCATTGTTGTCGTCGATCGGACGGCCTTTTCCATCAGGGAATGGATATTTCAATCATGCTGCGACTGACGATAAGAACGCGAAGCTATAAAATTTTAGATAAGATCTTTTGCCTTTTTTTTGTCTTATATATTTCCCGTTATTTTCTTTTGGAGCGAATTTTTTCCGCCGTTCTCTTGTTGTTCTTGATGTACTGTCTCATTCATTGGAGTTGTATCGATTAGGTCAATCTGCGTATATCAGTCACCTAGGGTCTTGTCGAGGATTCAGGAGGGCGGCTTTAGATATAGAAGATGAGGAGATAATTGATTTCGGGTTGAAAAATATAGAGAAAAATGAACAAGCAATATGGAGAAGAGTAACCAAAGAACATTCTTTCAAGTTGTCGAGGTGAGCTCAGATCACGCGACCAGTTTGCTGTGTTTGTCTAGTGTACGAAAAAGGAAGGCGCGAGCCTTCTCTTCCTTAGCCTCAATTTATTCTTCGATCAGCTCAAATTCTTTCAACCAAGCCAATCACTCTGTCCCTGTCTATATGACTACGAATAAGACTATAACTAACGATGCAAGTCTTTGACGCGATTACCACATCGGGCAGGTCAAAGGAATCGATGTTCGATAGGCCTGTGGCTCGCACTCCACAGGCTTAAAGCTTAATCTTCCACTGGTCGGTGGATGGCACTGACTGCACTCACCATGACTGCACTGATGCAACTCGCATGGCGATGGCGAGGACGGTAAGGCCCTGTCAGATGATTACTTGCCCCCTGTTGGGTAACATCACGAATTCCAAGGTGGTCGTCGACTTTTTGTTTTGTCTAAGGTTACTTACGTACGTGCTTCCTCGAAGAAACCCATCCATTGTCTCAACAGGCCCAGCAAAATTCCACTACCTGTCCGTGATGACTCTTGAGATACACCGCCTCACGAACGAGAATGCGGTGAAAAACGAGCAGTCTTGGCCAGGCCCAAACTTCCGCCACCAGAAAGGCTAACCCGTGTGCGTTGATTGTCTTGGCTGGCAGAACAAAAAGCTCGGAAAAAAGTCCAGCGGGTAGTCGGATCAAACGCCGACTCCATAGTACATGCAAGTCGGAGTAAGCTTGGTATTCCGAGAGTTATCTCATGATATACTCCGTACGGAGTGAAAGGAATTGATGAAGTGCAGCGAAGGCGGCTCATACTTTCTAGAGACGCTCCACACCGATCGACGTGCTTGCCACTGCTTGGGCTTCACATTTCTCGAATTGGGTTGAGCCGACTGACTGACTGACTGATTGACTCTTATGAAAATTCAGCACTCTACTGCGTACTCCGTACACCGCATCGATTTTACCCCGTACTCCTTACAAACTTACGTGCACGGTGAGAGAATAAGAATTTGAGGCACCCACGCGGGACGGTCCCGGTGGGGACTGTGGATTGACTCTTAGTCTTGAGGTTGGCTTTTGCATGCCTGCCCTCGAGGCTGTGAGTGGCCGCTTCTGCAAGGAACAGACGCTAATCATTCGACCCTTATGCAGTTGAATTTTGGTTTTTTACTTTCACTTGCGCAAATGCCAAACAATGAAACGGAATGATCAGCAACGTTTTGCCAGGATTTGATAGGATTGAACATGGTTGCGAGCGGTCCGCGTCGAGTCCTTGCACGGCGGGGCATGCAGAATCTCGACCCTGGAATTTCCATATTTCGACTTGCTTTGCAGTCCACTATTGATTATGATTATTGTCCAAGAGTTTGCAGTCGGGCTTGGCTGTGGGGTGCCACTTCCTTAGCTAACTATCACTATCAGGCTAATATAAAGAAGTTTTCCTCGACCGTTGACAGACCCCTGCGTAGGTTGATCATTTTTTGTGATTTATTTTTCATACATCCATCCCCTGCAGGAGAACGACTTGCCATCCCCGTTATGCTGGTCGCTGCAGCGATAAGCCATCTATTTATTAATACGCCCAGCCTTTGAGAAAAAGGCAGACAGAATATTGTTATAAGAAATAGAGAGGGGAGGGAAATCAGAGGGTCGTGCGTCGCGAATCACATGCAAGGCCACTGTGATCACGGATCGATTCTATGACATATCCATGGGTCGATGAATGAAGACCGCTTGTCTGCCTGAACTCTGATGGGGTTTCCCATCCTTTCATTCATTCACATGAAACATACAAGCCAAATACAAATATCTAGCGCATGTCTTGTGATGACGGCCATACGACGAGCGAACAATGAGTCTTGCTCTTCATAACGCGGAGTGTCTGACTGCTCCTTCTCCAACTACTCCAATGACTCCTACAACTCCCACAACTCCCACAACTCCTACCGATGGTATGCACAATATGGCCGACTCCAAGGCCAGAGCCAAAAAGTCTCGCTCGCGAGCATCATCTACTTCCCAGCGAGCAAACCGGTCTGCCTCCTCGAGCACAGCAGGGAATTCGAAACGGCCCAGCACTGGTGGAAATGGAAATGGACATGGACATGGCACCACCCACCGCAGAACAACATCTTTCCAGACACTGCAGTCGTCGCAGCACATGTCTCCGCAACGACGAGACCAACTCCTAGCCCTGCACCGAGATAGCTGTCGCCTCTTCCAGCCTGCGGCCATCGACACCCTCGCGCTCGCCCACGCAGACACGCGCTCATCACTGTCCCCAACGGCGTCGCCCATGCTCCAGTCCCAGCGCTCACAGTCCTTCCCACTCAGTTTTTCGGCTGACAGCGACATTTCCGACGAGGATTTGCTGCCTTCGTCACCGTCGTCACCATCATCACCATCATCGTGCAATCGTCAATACTACCGACGAACCAGCCATGCACTCCGACAACAAGATCTCAGTATCAACACCGCCCCCGAGAAACCCGAACGAGACACTCAACAACAACAGCAACAGCAACAGCACATCTCCGCAACAGTCACCGAATGGACATCCCCCAGCACCCGCCGCCGCGAATACGAGAAAATCGACCGCTCCAACAGGGGCATTCGTCGGATCTGGCGACGTCTGACGCCGAGCTGTTTCCAGTCTGGGGATAGTGTGCGCACGCCGTTTTGGGAGGAGGGGTGTAGTAGTAGTAATAACAAAAAGCAATATGAGGGGAGTGTGAGGCGGTTTCGGATGGATATTCCTGATGATGATGACGATGATGAGGATGAGACACAGAATAGGAATGAAGATCCGGAGAAGAATGCTACTGCGACTGCTGCGAGGAGGGTGGAGGATGGTCCTGAGCTCAGGACGTTGGTGTCTGGCTCGGGGTTGAAGGGGAAGTGGTCTTGTTTTTGACCATGAACGACGAACGGACGAACTACACGAACGGAACGATTTGACTGCTATTATGCTTGTATTATTATGATACCCCCCATTGACATGCACGATTCATACTGTTCAGCTTTGCATCTTATATAGAGCGTTTTTTTTGATATAAAAGAAACATTTTGGTTCCCCAACGCCTAGCTATGCATAAATCCGTCCAAAAAAACAAAAAACAAAATCAAACCATCAAATCGAAATCATCCATATTATCACGATACTTCATAATCGACCTCTTGATCTTACTCGAGTCGACCCAGGTCACAAAGTCCTCCATGTTGCGTGTGACGAGACTATATCATTAGTTTCCAGTTTCCACTGCTAAGACAGAATGGAATGGAATGGAATTGAATAAAACTCACTATGCAGGATCAGTGACCACCTCCGTCCCAACGCGGACATGCCCTTGCTCAATCCTGTTCTCTTAATTAGCCTCGAAATTCCGAACTTAATAAGAGAGTAATGAGAAGAGGGATGACTCACAAACTAACCGCCGTCTTCACATCCTGCACCATGCCACTGCGCACCATCAACACGCCCAAACGCCGCCTACAGAATGCCGAAACAGTCACCTGCCTCTCCACCGCCGACAGGCCATTCCCTTGCTCACGGCTCTGCTTCAGAATGCCCATCGCCCACAGCTTCTCGAGAATCTCGCTCTCGAGCTTCTTGCGGAACGGGTCCGCGGGGTCCAGCGCGCTGAGCTTGTGTGCCAGGCTGCGCAGGTGGCCGCATAGTTGGTTGTATTTGGTGTAGTCATTTGTGCCTTGGAGATAGTAGCGGGCGCGGATGGATTGTTCGCGGTGGTTGTTTTCGGTTTTGTAGGTGTTGAAGTTTACTTTGCGGAGAAGTCTGGCAATGACAAGTTAGTAAAAAGAAAACGAGCTTCTCCCGAAGGAAGAAAAAGAGGATGCGCACTTTTTCTCGTGGTGTTTTAGTTGGCGGACCATTTTTGGCGGTTATTATCTATTTATTGGTTTGCACAGATTTTCGTCGCTGTAGACTCTAGACTTTGGACTTTGATCTACGAGAAAACCGAAAAAATCAATTATTATGCCGGGCGGTGAGCCCAACCCTAATCATAACCCTAAGATGCCATCAACGCACATGATTGGCTGGGCACGTACAATAAACTTATATACGTCGAGTATTTATTTCTCCATCAGATCAAAGAGTATAAACAAACTCTGCATTCTCCCCATCCGTCAAATCAAGCCACCTAAAGTCATCAGCTCAGAACTCAGCAACAAACCTGTAGAACGGGAAAAAACTCACTCTTGATTCTCCATCTTCGCATAGTCTGCGCTGGCCCGAATCAGCGCCTTCTTCTTGTTCTGTCGGTCGTACCACCACCATATGAACGCGAGATCAAGCAGGCACACGCCATAGCACACTACTATCGTGATCTCGGCGGGCACATAGCGCGGCGCATCCTGGGGACGGAAGGTCTGGGGTCCTACATCATCCTGTCAGTCCGCGTCCATCATACCCCTAACGATCGAGAAGAAGAAGAAGAAGAAGAAGAAGATATACCAATGATATTCCCCACACAATACGAAATTAGATAAATGGCTGCCACCGTCGTCTTCTTCGTATACCCCGCAACGTTCGACGAAATCAGCGACAACAGCGCCACAAATGGCGCGGCCGCGGAATTCGTCATGTAGTAGCTTATCAGCCTACCGGTGTTGTTCGACATGGGCAGCGCAATAATCAGGATCATCCCAATCATGGCAGACATCAGTCCTCCCATGCTGCATAGCAGACGGCGGCCGAGCCAGTCGCCCATGAACCCGCTGGCAATCAAGGCGATGACCTCGACGGCGCCACCGGGGATGCCGTAGAGCAGAGACTGAGTTTCGGTGTAGCCGAAGTTTTCAATCTGAATACCACAAATTAGTAGAAAGCAGCAGCAAACAAAGGGAAGAAAGAGGAACAACCAATTGACTGAAAAAGTTACTAATGCCCCCATTCGGAATATCCGCCACCAACGAATAAAATGCAAAAGCCCACGTCATCGGATCCGTCAGGGCTTCTTTGAACTGGTACATTTTGAAATGCTTATTCCCGATCCCCTGCTGATTGATGCGCACGCGCTCAATGGCGAGAATGCGGTCTTCGGGCGACAGCCAGCGCGCATTCAGTTGGTTGTCCGGGATGACCCAGAGGAAGAGGAAGCCGACGCACACGGTGCAGAGGCCCGTGGCCAGGAAGATGATTTTCCAGGGCGCGATGGAGGAGCCGTTCTTCTCCGTGCCAACTGCTATGCCGTAGGCGATTGCGCCGCCGATGATTTGCCCGAAGCCGTTGAAGCTGAACCACAGGCCGGTGCGTTGGCCTTGCTCGGTTCGTGTGTACCACTGATAGATCAGCTCTCTCTCTTTTGGCTTGTGTCGGTTGGTATAAACATACCTGGGAGGTTAGCAGAGCAAACCCCGGCGTGACCGACGCCTCACAGACGCCTAGAAATAGTCGAATGGCAACTGCGCCGCCGAAGTTGTCCACAGCTGCAAAGCAGGACAGAACCATGCCCCAGAGGATAATGCAGACGGCTGAATATTTGCCTAGAGGCATGCGCTGGAGTAGTTGGTTGGCGCCGTACTCCCAGCCAAGATAGCCTAATCTTCATCAGCCCTTCTTTTCTCTACTTCAGAGGCGGACAGAAGAAGACATACCGAAGTAGAACATGCTCCCTAACCATTCGTACTGATTGCCGACCAGATGGAGATCCGTCTCCAGGCCCATGATGCTTGCATAGGATATAGTGGTTTCTAGCATTGTCATTATTTTTTTTTTCTTCGGCGTCCGAACATGATACAAAAAGCAAAACATACTGTCCAGGTAATTCAGCCCATACACAACACACATCAACGGCATCAAATGCCAGTCGATAATCCTCAGCAGTCGCTTGTTCGTCGCCTCGTCGAGGGTGACCACCTGGCCCTCGCTGTACTGGAGGGCCTGCAGCGCGACGTCGGCGTCGTGCGAGTGCTCGAGGATGCGCTCGTCGACATGCCTGTCGGCGATGACGGGGGAGCTTGGAGTTTTTTCGTCGAAGGTATCTCGTGCTTCAGCCATTGCAGTAGTGTACTACCTAGGTAGGTATATAACTATAACTATGCAACATTGCTGGAGGACTGCGCGGGAATTGCGCAGTATTTAAAGCCCTATCTCATCCAGAACGATATGCATATCTCTGCCAATCACCGCAAGCAAGCTATCGAGCGTTGGACAAGATCATAGGCCGGATTTGCCGGTGTGCTGCGCATGCAGACGATCGCTCAGCGCTGCCAATCAGGCGGGCAGCACTATCAGACCCCTCATCAGCTATCACCATAGCAGGCAATATAATATAGGGCAAAGAACAAGGAATATAGGATATAGATGTATGTATATTATAGATAATACTAGGCTACGCGCTCCAGATAGGCCTGCCATCCCTGCTGCTGGTACCGCCTAACCGCCTCCACGGGATCCGGAGCAGCATAAATGCCTCGTCCAGCAATGATAAAGTCGGCGCCACGAGCCACCGCCGACTGCGGAGTCTGGTACTGCTGGCCCAGCGCATCGCCGGCAGACGCCAGGTTGACGCCCGTGGTGAAAACGACAAAATCCTCGCCGTCCTCCCTGCTGGTCTCGGTAGACTGCTCCGCGCTCAGCGACCGGTTGCACACAAACCCCATCACAAACTGTCTGTAGCGACGCGCATAATCCACCGAGCGCGTGGTGTACGTGCCCGTGGCGAGCGAGCCCTTGGAGGTCATTTCGGCGAGAATGAGTAGACCGCGTCCCTCAGCGGCGTAGGGGAGGAAGTCATTGGATGCCGCGGTTTGGGTGAGCGCCTGCACAATGCCTTCGCCCGGAAGGATGCTGCAGTTGATGATGTGCGCCCATTCGGAGATCCGCAGCGCGCCGCCGTGGTACTGCTTCTGCACCGTGTTGCCGATGTCGATGAACTTGCGGTCTTCGAAGATGAGGAAGTTGTGTTTCTCGGCGAGCTGCGCGAGGCCCGTGGTGGTTGCGGGGCTGAGGTCGGACAGGATGTCGATGTGTGTTTTGAGGACGGCGATATGCGGGCCGAGTCCTGTGCATCAGCGTAAATATATACTTCTTCCTACCAATGTTCTTATATATATATATACACAGACAACGTACGGTCGGCCAGGTCCAGCAGCTCCTTGGTGGTGGTGACATCGGCGGAGACCGTCACGTTGGTCTGCTTGGCCTCGGCGATGGCGAACAACTTGCGCACGAGGAGATTGGGGTGATTCTTTGCGCGGACGCCATAGGGAAGTTTGGACGAGGACGACATTTTGACTCGATTGTTTGTGTTTGTGTTTGTGTTCGCCGTGGTGTTCAGCTTGGGTTTATTGTCCTTCAGAAGAAAAAAAAGAAAGGCGGGACAATTTTGTTATCTTATCGCGCCGCCAAGTCCCATAAACATAAATTCAACACGTTACGAATATACACAAATACGTAGAGAAGAAGAATTAGCTTTTGGAATTTCTATAATCACATTCAAAGGCTCAGCAATTCCCGACCAACGCCAAACACAGCCATCCCCCAGAGAGCGCCCTGGCACAGCCAGAATGTAACGCCATTGTGCCGTCCGCTGCCGTTGGGCTTGGTCGAAGTGATGTACCCATGCGCATACAGCGCGCGCGACACAACCCACGCCGCGCCGAGCGCAGCAGAGGCATTGGGCCACTTCAGGCCGGCCACGAGCATGTACGCGATTGTCTGGGGCATGTTCTCGAGGAGGTTGCCGTGAGCGCGCTGGGCGCAGTTGAAGCGGTAGGCATTGGGCTGGGCAAGTTAGCGTCTCTCTCTCTCTCTCTCTCTCTCTCTCTCTCTCTCTCTCTCTTCTGGACATATCAATAGTTGACGTACATTGGCCTTGCACTGCTCGACAGTCGCATAGCTGTGCGGGTAGGGAACCTGGGCTTTCTTGCGAAGCACGCCTACAACGGAGCCCTGGACGAAGGACAGGACGGGGATGACGCCGAGGGCGATGGCGATGACGGCGCTATAACATTTCGTAGTCAGTTAGTGTGTGATCAATGGAAGGATGGATGGATGCATGGAGAACTGTGCTTCCAATGTTGACCATGGGAAGCGAAATGGAGCCAAGGACTGGACAACACAACGTACCCATAGTTGTCTGGCAGCGTGATGGAAACCATTCTCAAAGGACAATCAATTAAGAGCGGGTTCGATATCTGTTATTGGAATTGCGTGATGGCTGGTGCAGCAGTTAGGTCGACAGGGATAGAATAAATAGATAAATACAGATAAATAGCGGCACCCGGTTCGGCCTAATGAGTTCCTCCGCCCCGCCGGCGGCAATTCTTTGATTACTTGACAAGGATGGAAAAAAAACCACAGAAAAGTATAGATTGATAGACATGGAACTAAATAAAAGGCCGACAAAGCTTGCTAAAGTATCATAATCAACTACGCTGCCATCCTGCTGACGCTGCCGTACTTCGCCTGCCACGCAAAAAAATACAGCAACGCGCCCAGTGGCTGGCCGACCAGACAGAAACTCACCCAGAACACCGAATTCCCGATGATTCTCGTCGTCGCGTCGTCCTTTTGCTCGAGGGGCATGGTTGCCGTGATGAGTGGCAGCTGCAGCAGCATGCCTGCAAAAGCCACGCCTGGACAGTCGCCGTCAGATCGGTGATTAGGAAACCGAGACCACAGCAAAGAGTGTATACATACCAATGAGATTGTGCGTGGGAATGCCCACCAGCAGTTCGTGCAGAACCGCCGAGAACAAAAACACCATGATACTCGCCGCAAACGGACTCCAGCCCCGCCCAACAAGCGGCGAGTAGATATGCCGTTTCATAAACAGATACACCGGCTTATTCCACGACCGCCAGTACATCCCAACACCCCAGCTGTTCCACCAGTCCGAGTAGAACTCGCGGTCGCCAAACCGCATGATCTCAGCCAATGCATTGAGCAGCGACTGGAAAAACGCATAGAACCCGGCCAGCCAGATCACCAACGAGATCGTCGACAGTTTCATGATGCGCTCGATGATCGATGCAAAGTCCAGCACGGCGATCTTGTCGAGCGAGTTGCGCAGTACGGGCGCCGCGTACTGCGTGGAGGTGAGCCAGATAAACACGGACAGAACCACAAATTCACCCAGTCGTTTGCCCACAAACCCCCAGCGGATATGCTGCGTGCGCGGATACACGGGCTGGTAGACCAATGTAGGCGCAAGCCAGAAGTAGACAAGATTGCCAATGCGGATATTCTGCGGATATGGGCATGTCGAGTAGATTTCGGGCAGCTTCGACGATTGCTGCTCCGAGGGGTGTAGCATGGCAAGGCGAAGATCGCGGTTGGTGAACGCGTACGAGCAGTTCTTGAGCCATACGATGATGGCGTGGAATTCACAGATGGTGCCAATACCCGGGTGATGCACGTAGTAGTATACTACAAAGTTTGTCACCGCCAGGCACAGAGTCGCATTGACGGTATGCGCAAACGCGATAATGCGCCAGGTTGCCTGGAAAGTGCGTCGCTCCTTTTCGGTCTGCACGGCGACATTGTCGCTCTTTCGTTTCCGGCCCAGAGCGCCCTTGGCCTGCTGCGCAGCGGCCAATTCGATGATGTACGCCACGAACAGATGGCATGGGACAAGAGCGAACAGGATGGAGCCGAGGAACACGTCGTTTCGTCGGTAATCGTGGCATTTGATACAAATAAGAACGCCATACTAGGCACGGCGATGACGTCAGAGACTGTGGTGACCGTAGGCAGTAGAAACAATAGAAAAAGGAAACGAAAAGAATAGAAAAAACATCACACCTTCATGAAATTCTCAACGACAAGCCGTAGATTCATCACAACTGCGAGAAACCAATCAGTCAGTGTGTTGCAAGGGCTGGTGGTTCCGTAAACGCACTTAGAACAATCACCATCAGATTGCGAAAGCCGATGAAGCTCGGGTTGGTTGTGGAATCCCTGCTCAGGCACGACGGGCGTATCCTGGAGTGATATGCCGCGAAATGGCGGTATTTGCTTCTTGTGGTAGCCAGCTCCGCCAGCTCTGTAGAGACATCCTGTGGTGTTGTGGCTGTGGTCGTGGTCGTGGTGGTGGTTGTTGTCGCTGTCTTCCGAGCCCCTGCGGTATGCACGCGATCCACGCTGGTGCTGACCGTTGCCTGGGTCATAGTCAGTCCGTCAGTCAACTGAGGGACGGCGCTCGAGATTGAAACTGAAATTGGATGTGAATATTATGTTTGTGGATATCACGTCGAATGTTGCATTGGGCCAGCTAACGAGTGGCGACAATTGACATGTGATAGTGCTGACAGCTTCGCATGTTATGAAGCGAGTGATGGAATGAGCCAGGCGGCAGGATTAGAATCCTGCCATCAACGCAGCTATTTATAAGCAGCACCGCGTGGAGGGGCAGGCATCTCCCATGGAATGAATGAATCTACAGTCGACAAGAGTCGAGACTGCAGCCTGAGGCCAGAATCAGGCCGTGCGCCTGCAGGAGCAGCGGCCGGGCCAATCAGCGCGCCGTCTGTGCTTCCCGCCCAGAAAAGCTGCCGTTTCTCTTGCAAGCAACGCTCGAGCTGTTGCGAAACAGATAAATATTCCGCTTTCTGACTGTCACTCACTCGTCTCGCGTCTGATGAACCCGCACTCCGATAAACCAAGCATACGCACCGCACAACATGGCTGCTTACGAGGACGGTGGTGATGGCTACTACGGAGGAAGACCCTCCAGGCCTTACGAAGGCGGCGGCGGCGGCGTTGGGCTTCCCCGAAGACCAAGTGCGTAGATAATACTGTCGAGTTTCCTTCGTCGCCAAACTGACTGGTGTTGCTAGGACCCGTCACGGACTACGGTTCATCCATGGTTCAATGGATGCGGACGCGACGACCGAGGTACAAGGGCACACATCGAATGGAGATTGAGAGGCCGAGTCTGAGCTATACAGTTGATGTGAGAGACTTTCTTCATCTGGGACGCTGCTGGATAATTCTGACTATCTGGATAGGTGCTTCCCCCCTACGCCAGAGTGCATTCGCCGGCCGACACAATTCCCGTGCGACACCTACATCAGTCTATCGGAAAGTCAAAGAAACCTATTACCGTTGTGAGATGGACACCAGAAGGTCGAAGGCTGCTCACCGGTGGACATACTGGCGAGTTCATGCTCTGGAATGGCACAGCCTTCAATTTCGAGACCGTGATGGACGTGAGTTTTATCACCCATGCTTCCCCCCCCCCCCCAAGTTATACGTCTCTTCTTCATGCTGATCATTCATTTCTTTTTTCAGGCACATTATGACCAATTTCAAGCCGGCGTCACATCCGCTGCTTGGTCGCATAGCCACGATTGGTTGATCTCCGGCGGACAAAAGGGAGATGTCAAATACTGGCGACCGAATTTTAACAACGTTGAAACCGTTGATGATGCACATCATGACGCCGTACGAGACCTAGCATGGGGACCGAGCGATACAAAATTCCTTTCCGCATCGGATGACACCACATTAAAGATTTTCGACTTTACCGCACGTGCTTGTGATACCGTCCTGACGGGGCATAACTGGGATGTCAAGTCTTGCGATTGGCATCCAACAAAAGGTCTGCTCGTTTCGGGCTCGAAGGATCACCAGGTCAAATTCTGGGACCCTCGAACGGGGAGATGCTTGACTACGTTACACAGTCACAAAAATACAGTTACTACGACTAAATTTTCTCGAGTCAACAGCAATCTTCTGGCTACGTCTTCACGGGACTGCACTGCCAGGGTTTTTGATCTCCGCATGATGCGCGACATATGTATATTAAGAGGACACGAGAAACCTATATCGTCATTAACGTGGCATCCGGTCCACAGCTCTTTGATATCGACGGGCAGTGAGGATGGCTCGCTATACCATTATCTTTTGGATGAGCCGAATCTGCCCGCAGGCCATGTGCCCACTGTCGCGCCCTACGATAGCAACGATCCTCTCAACACCCCTCCGCAGGTGATTCATCCTGCGCATCGCATTCAATACGCACATGCTTCAACGATATGGTCTTTGAATTGGCATCCCTTGGGCCATATATTGGCATCTGGCTCGAAAGATAATTTCACCCGCTTTTGGTCTCGAGCTCGACCGGGAGAGACTGCGTACATGAAAGACCGGTTCCACATCGGCGAAGAAGCTGCCGAAGCACAAGGAACATGGAACCGTGGCTTTGGAAAGAAACAGATGCGAGAGGAAGAAGAACAAGAGCTCCAAGATGAAGCCGAGGGCTTGGTCGACCAGAAAACCGCCACACCAGCTCTTCCCGGTATTCAGGGCGTGCAGCTACCAGGTATCTCGTCGGATGCTGGACTGCTCCCTGGTATCGGCAACTTCCAACCGCCCGCCCAACCTAATATGCCTATGCCTATGCCTATGCCCATGTCTATGCACAATATGGATGCCAACAGTCTGGCTTCATTGATGGGAGGGGCGTCATCAGTACCTGCTGTGACAGGGATCCCATCATATATGACGACTTCATCGGCAAGAGCAACTCCTCCGCCACAACCACCGAATCTTAACCCCAACCTGAATCTAGCTGCATTGCAAAAGCAGTTGATGGCGCAGGGAATCGAGCTTCCTGCCAATTTTGCCAATCCGAGCGCATGGCATCAAAGCTAGTTGCTGCTGGCGGCAACCAATATAAAAAAAAAAACCATCAGATATGACTGATTTCAAAGTGCATACATAAGTGCATGGATTTACTGGACAGGCGTATTTCTCTCCAATTTTCGAATAACATAAGAGATTTGGCGATGTCCCATGTATAAATAGATTCCTGCAGCAGGCACATATCTACATGGCGGCCTGCATTGGAAAACTTGAAATAATGAGAACCAGAACGTTAATACCGGCCCACACCAGTGGAATCCACGTAGTCATTGAGAAATTGCCTGCCTCATAAACCCAGCCAACACTATTATCAGCAGTTAGATTTTATACCATATCTATTATTCGTAAGGAGGGTTAAAAAAAAAAAGAAAAGAAAAGAAAAGAAAAAAGAAGGGGGGAAACGAACATCAACCCAACCAAACTCCCCGCCAGCAACGCCTCCAAAATTGACACAAGCATATACACCACGGGCACAGTCCACATTACCCTCCAATTGCGCCATTGCACGGCAACCGCGAAGCTGGCGACGATGAAATGCACGCCTCCGTACAGGAGCAGCGTCCAGAAGAGCGTGAAGCGCCATACATCTGTGAGGTGGTAGAGGTAGTTCTGGCCTTGGAGGTCGCCGAACACGGGTACGTAGAGGGAGGGGAAGGAGGGGACTGTATAGTCTAGGGGGGCTTGGTTGCTCATTGCTGGGTTTGAGGCATGTTTCCTTTTTCTTTTTTTTTTCCCTTTTTTCTTTTGTTGAAGAGGTAGAATATAGGATTATGTTGGATGTAGTTGAGTTGAGGTAGTTGAAGGAGAGAGAGACACAGCTGGGTTGCTAAGGGGCTAAACACTTTCGGCTTAGCGTGTTTTGAGCCAGGACGACGACGCATCTGAAGCTTTTATTTTGTTCGCACACTCACCACACTTTTGGCAATTTTTACAATGCTTTTTCTGATTGATGCTTATATTCTGATCCCTGGGTCAATTATCCAGGTCAAAAATCGTCATGTTGACACGGAGGATTGATCTAATCGCATGTGTTAGAGGGCAGAACTAGACGGTTTTTATATCCGTGGCTGCAATAGAAACTACGTTTCAATGCCATGACCTCATTTGTCGACATCGAGCATAGAGCTTTGCAGAGCCCATCTCCCGTGGCTACGATAATGAAGACTCCGAAGACCGCCGGTATGTTACACCGTCGTCTTTCAATGTATGTTGGCAAGAATAGGAAAGCAGATTCTCAGATGAGATTGATCCTGAACGGATTACCCCTAGACTCAAGAATCAGAGACCGCGAGCCTGTGTTCTCGCATTGCAGCGGCATACTGTTTAATATCGGTCAATGAGTGCCTTTACAGTCATGATATGAAGCAGTAGTTGAAGCTGGATAGTTCTATTGTATGTTGTGGTTGAAGATGGAGCAAATAAGCTGGCCCCACTGTGGAGTTTGCATCTTTTGCCCGTCCCGCTTGTACCTCGGCTCCGCATCGAGACGTGGCGTGCGAAGTCGCAACAACACCACGCCGACAATGAGCTTGGAGTCATAAACCATTCAAATCGAGTTCCTAAATGGTTAGGAGCGATGGCGACCGAACGCTCGCTAGCGACTTTGCTACGGTCGCTGCAAATAGCTTCGGAGCCTGAGGATGCTTATGCGTTAGTCAATGTCACGCCTGGATAACAAGTCGCTGGACATGCTGACCGCGTGCGATTTCATCTAGCTTGCTGCCCACCTCCACGAGCTTCCTTGCGATGCTCACGAACCCGCTGAACGTCACGCTACTTTCTTCCCAGCTACTTTCCGCGCAGGCCATCTGGGATCATCGCGTTGACCTACAGACATGCCGCAGAATCCTCAGCGTGTTCAACACCGCTGCCGTGGGCATCCTGCAGAATGAAGCATCCGATGAGCCCCGGGCACCATACACAAGACGCGGCCTGGACCGCGAAGCATGGGTGAAAGCTGTGATCAATGGAGCCGACGAGAAATCACCAAGATGGCGACACATGCTCCTTCTCGGGGGCGTTTTGCTTGGGTTTGAAGCGCAGAACAGGCAAGGGTTGTCGCAGACCCTTCGGAGTAAAGTCGAATCTGCTCTTGTGCGAGCCACACAGCTTGCGCTGGAAGAGAATGCTGGTCTCAATTCAATCGATGGGTTTGCTATAACTATGGTTCTCAACTATACATTCGAGCTTCTGTCAGACTGGCACCGAAGTCAAATCAACTATGATCGCTTGCTGCCGCTCATGCTCCATGCCACTTTTTTATCAAGCGAAGGGCTCGGCAGCGCATATTTCGTGGGCGCAATAGATCGAGAGATTGTTGAAGGGAGGGCACTGAAGAAATTCGGATGGTCCGCAACATCAGTGACGTACCAGAACGTTAAAGACATACTTTCAAGACCCTTGATAGCGTCACTAGGACCCTTGTCGCGTCTTATCGCACACGCAATGGAGAATGTCACTGACCCGAATATCGTTTCTGATGGCATGAGCTCCATCAACGATTTTGTGCGTACATTGCTAGTTCAGTGGCGCCAAAATAAGCTTTCGGAGGTCGATGCCTCTGAAGAGACGGAGTTTCTAGATCCAGAATCCCTGAAAAGCACTATATCCGATCTTTGGCGGTTGCTTCGATCGATCATGTTCTCTGTAGTCATCATTCTGCGAGCGGTGCTTGGGCGAGTCCTGAATGATCGGGTGCTTGCTGCTGACGGTGGTAGGTAGATCTTAATATCCGTTCAGGATCGTTATCCCCAATACTTACATTATCTAGTGGCACCATTCATTGCAGTACAATCGCTACATATCCTTCGAAACCTATATTTTATTACCTCACGCACCGGCCAGAGCTCATCTTCGCAGTATTCATTTGTGAATCTTGTCGCCATCGACATTCTAGCTCAGTATCCAGACCTAGCCGAGAGCTTCTTGCGGACAATCAGGCCCATTGAGATGGGCCATATCCCGCAACATCCTTTGGAGCGCTGTCTTGATCTTTTCTTCCTGAACACTTCGGAACATTTGGCGTTGGCATTGTCTCCTCTCGCCAACGAGGAGCTGATAATCGCTGCTGCAACGCCTTATCTTGCTGCTGGCGGCAACAATCGTCTTTTGGAGATCTTTGAAGCCGCACACAGCGTTGTTCTGGCCGTCTTCTCGGCGCCACAGAATGCGGATATTACGGCTAAATATCTGCCTTTCTATGTCGACAATCTTTTTACGGTGAGTTTTATTTTTTTTTCTTGTGTTTGCCAAGCTCAATATACATATTCGCGATGCTCATTCAATATGTTGTTGCCAGGTTTACCCACACAACCTCTCAGTCCGCCAATTCCGACTAGCATTCAAATCCGTTGTGCGAGTCGCATCGCCCCCTTCACCCCTAGCCAGCGCCCAACCTCTTCTAGCAGCGACGCTGATAGAACTTGCTCACGAACGTGCACTCACTGCCTCATCAATCTTGCTACCGCCATCCACCGAAGAAAACGCCCTCGAAACGCCACCATCACTATCCGAGAAATCAGGAGTCATTCTCGCCATCATCGATTCCCTTCCCCATCTCCTCGTGGAAGATCTGGACGAATTTCTCCCATTAACAGCCAGACTCATCAACACGATGAATCATAGTGAAAATAATAATACCGATAGTCAACAACAACAACAGCAACAACAACCCGATCCCATCTTACGCTCCACCTGCATCGACCGCTTCTGGGAAGTTTTGAGTAACGGCGAAATGGACGTTGAGCGCGCAAATTTTTGTGTTGCTTGGTGGAGTACGCGGGGTGGCAGGGAGCTGCTGCTTTTCGGAGATCATTATGATGATGATAGTCAATTAGACTCTGCTGCTGCTGTTCCCGAAGAACCTGTTATGAGTGGTGCCGTTGTGGTAGATGTTGCTCGTGAGAGCAAATTGTGAGGAATTATACTGTTTTTTTGAGCGTGCCGTTGGCCTAGTATATATACATTATATAACTTGACTTCCTATTGTATGATAACGGAAGGAGAACCTCTGTAGTATTACGAAGTAGTAAAATTCTATATTATTCTAAAAATAAGATGCAATGCTAATGTACAGGTCAATTAAATTAACAAAGAAAGGATTGATGTATATGTATATCTACGCGATGAATGGAATTCCAACAGGAGTCCTGCTCTTGTATGAAATATAATCATCCCCGAAAAAAGCAACGAGAAACCTCTCTTCCCCTAAAAGAAAGTTAGCGGACATATCCATGAAAATATAGGGGGCAATGGAAATGCTTACGTTGTATCCTCGAACTAAAAAAACTCCATAGTACCACTGCATACCCAATGAAGCAAACGACATTCTGCATGACCAACTGACTGCCCAGTCCCCACCAGAAGAAGCCAAAGTAACTGGGATGTCGTAGCAGACTATACACGCCGCCTGTAACCAGTACATGACCTTCTCGATACCGTGCTTGCACGACATGATTAAAATTGCTGCCTGCAGTAGCCATTGCCACGGTGCGCACAATCTGACCGACAATCATGGCCGCAAGCCCGAAGAACACGATTATAGCTGAGTACCAGGACCCTCCTCCTGCTCCCTCTTTGGGTGCTAGCAAAAAATGCCAAATGAAACATTCGAGCATAGCCGAACCATGCGCGATGTTGTAAGCAGCACCGTTGGCAGTGAGTAGGAAAGCAGAGACCTCTGCGTCGCGAGTGTTGTATTGAGCCGTAACCCAGAATTCGAGGAAGTGGAAGAGGCAAAGCGACGAGATAAAGAATGGCAATCGCCATAGAGGCGTGGGGTGCCATACAAGAAGGATGATTGTGGCGATGAGCGAAATTCCGAGGACAACCCCCAAGAAAAACGCGCGTATGGATATGCCTGCAAGTGACATTTTGCCATTGGGGAGAACGGAGGGATGAGGGGAGGCTCCGGCGCTATTGACGATGTCGGGAGGAGCAGTACTGCCGTTGGAGTTGGCGGAGGATGTATTTGCATTTGCGCCTGGAGGGCGCCAGGCCATGTATTCGCCTTCCCATCTCTGTCCCGCGTCGGTTGATTCGAGCGGACTGCTGGAGAAGGAGGGGGGTGGGATGCCGGTCGACATTTTTGTAGACGGTGAACTAGTCAGTAATCATATAGCGTAGCACAGTCCACTCTGGCTAGTTCTCATCACCAGAGGATCAATAGTTTCTGTGGTGCAGACATCTTTGTGATGGTTGTTTCTTATAGAGAGCATGTTCAGGAGGGAAGAAGAGAAAAAGGTGTGACGCTGAGTTTCTGCACGGAAGCTCCCCTAGAGGCTCCACATGACGAAATGGCCGGTGCCTGAATTGTCAGTCCGCATCTCTCGTGATCATCGCTGTGCTGCGTGTTCATCCGAGTATGCCGTGCTCCATACGCATGTATGCTCCTCTGGGAATTTCCCCTGCATTGAGATGCTTTATATATTCACTACTAACTGGCCATATGCTTTTACTATGCTATCAGCTTTAGCTCGATCGGCTGCGGGGCAGAGCCTAGACTGACCCGCGCTATATTCCCCAGCTAACGCTTTATTATTTACTCATCACTGATGCGAGATATTTATTGTTATTGCAGCACTGTTGGCAGTCATCCACGCGGAAACAATGGCGCCGCCCACTGAGAAAGAGAAGATGCTCCGCGGCGAGCTCTACCATGCATTTACACCGGATCTGATTGCTGCACGCACTAGATGCTCTCGTGCATACAAGCGCTACAACAATGCCGGTGACATCTCGCGTCGACGACAGGTCGAACTCTGGCGAGAGTGAGTGAAATTCATCTCGTGCTGCTTCACGTCCTCTATCAAGACCGGGGGGAAAGCGGTTAGACATGTATACGTAATGGACATGGCGAAATCTGCAAGCCAAAGTGTCCATCTCACTGACGATCTGTCCAACTGGTAGCATTGTCCAAGACGAACGGCCCATGCCCCCGCCACTCGAAGATCCTGCTGCTGACGAAGCTCTTTTTCAAAATGAGCCGTGGGTAGAGGCGCCGATTCATATGGACTACGGCTTCAACGTCAAAGTCGGCGACGGCGCGTATATCAACGTCAACTGTGTCATTATCGACACCTGTCTTGTCACCATTGGGGCTCGCACACTCTTCGGCCCGAATGTCCACCTCTACAGTGGCACACATCCTCTGGACCCTGCTCTCCGTAATGGCACCAAGGGACCCGAGACGGGCAAGGAGATCCATATCGGCGAGGATTGCTGGCTTGGAGGTCACGTCACTGTTCTCCCTGGTGTAACGATCGGTAGAGGATGTACCATTGGAGCCGGCAGCGTAGTGACCAAGGTATGTTCATGGCCGCAAAACATTCTCTGGATCTGGCTTGGTCTTTCATCCTGTTTGTCGCTTGTGACTAATCATGCGCGTAGGATGTGCCCGCGTTCCATGTTGCTGCCGGAAACCCAGCTCGCATCATTCGGAAGATTGAGACCAGCATGGCCGAGGAGTCATGACCACGCGTATGCAGTCGTCCGGGAGATATCAGAAATACATACATGCACGAAATGTGTTCTCTGTAGCAGTCAGTTATCAGTGCCTTGGCCTTGCAGAGAGGCTATCTTATGGTTTGCTGGAGTCCGCCTTTGCATGCCAGCCTCCTCACTGTAGTTTTAGAGGATCACGGTGTATGTTTGCTCTGCAACATCCTCAGCGATAGAAACTGGTTGTTTTTCGCTGTTTTCAGGTTTTTGTCTGCCTGTATTTTTAGCGCCGTAATCTAGCTTTACCTTACCTTACCCGCGACGGGGCTATACTTATCGGACTGGCCGCAGCTCCCGCAGTGTCAGATAACAAAATTACCATACGCGTTACCCGTCACGCAGGAAGCTATGACATGACGCCAGATTCTGCTCACAATAAAATTGCTTTTACTTCACCACAACGTCCAGCCACGTCTGGTTTCCTTTTCTTTGTTTTTCAGGGCCACAACGGACCTGCTTTCTGTTCACTCCATATCCTCGTCGAACCTCGCTTGGAGCTTTCTTGGCCAGCCAGCGTGCGCACCTGCAGCTCCCGCGGCTAACTCAAATCTTGGCAAGGCAGCTGCAGCTGTACAGCCTGCTTACATTTTGTCTACGTTCCAACCATCGCAGCGCCGACACTCCTCCTTCACAGTCAGCCGAAATACCACAGCAGCTTCGTCCTGCTCAGTCGGTCCATCGCCAATACTCACATTCCCACATTACCATAGGAAACGGGGGGAAAATGTCATGGCAGGTACCCCGCTAGGCAGCTCCAGCACCAGCACCCCGCCTGGTGCTCTATCACCAGAAGATCCCTTGCGAGTTCACAACGATCGAATGGAAGATATCCCCTCTCAGGCTACAAGGAAGCGTCCTCGTCTAGATAGTGGAGCGGATTCGCGCGAATCAATGTCTACTGGAGAACTGTCTACCCGTAATTCCGCGTCCCCAAAGACGCCGAACGACGAGGAGCTTTTGTCTTCTCCGCGCCCCTCAAATCGAGTTACAATCAATATGAAATCTCCCTCGCAGTCTGGCGCTGCGGTGCAAGATGACTCGTCCGCCCCCGAGCTCCCAGGCAACGAAGATGCTATCGAGTTGGACATGGCGGATACCCCGATTCAGCAGTCGGAAGACACTACTATGGCTGGGGCACAGTCTTCTACTGCCATCTCAATTACTTCTTCTTCTTCCCGCAGCCCGGAGATAGAAGTGGCTGAAGTGGAGGATATGGATCAGGATCCAAACACATCTCGATGGCGTCCGTTGGGCGAGGCTGTTGTCCAGGATCAGGATCCAGCGGGAGTAGTTCAAGTGCATGAACAATACTCGCTGGCAGATCAGTTTCCAAGATTGCGCGGAATCCCAGAGCTTAGAGAGTCCCTGGAAGAAACGGTCAATATTATAGAAAAAGGCCACCCACACGAGATTATGATTTTTAGAGCCGTTAAGCAATGGTTCACTCTCTGTATCGACAACTTGCCACAGGTCTCATTGGAAACAATTCGAGATGATCGCGAGTTTTGGGAGGATCTGCCGACCATTATAGAAGGATTACTCCGCAGGGGAACTGCTTTCCAGCCGAACCAAGGCCAGGGCACACTCGTGTACCTGGAAGAATTCTTTGTGGATTTCGCGCACCTTGCGCTCCACTTGCTTCGTCTCGACATTGACTATCTCACCCTAGTCTCTCAGAGTGAATCCATGCAGCCATCAGAGTGTATAAGCCGGTCCTATATGCAGTGTCTCGCTTGGACTCTTCAGATTTCGAGCATTCCATTTTTCAGAGCACTAGTGCGGCTCTTTCCGGTAAAAGCAGTCAACCTCGTCGCGCAAATCAGCGATCACATCTCAGAAGCACCCTTAAACGCCTTATCACATCTTTCAGAGTATACATTACTCGTTCTCCCTCTTCTTCCACGATTCCCACAGTTGGCACAATTTCTGATACCGGCACTCGGAGTTGCATCTAATTTGGTGGATTCTCGTAATGAGAGACGGAAGTTTGGCGCTGACGAAAAGTTCCTCGACACACCCGTACTAATTCAGACTATCAAAGACTCCTACCCCCTTTTCCGCAAGGTGGACAGAATATATCAGGATGCTGTTACCAAGAAGGCACCCTGGGTCACTGCTGATATAAGTGAGCATTTATCGCGCCATATACATGTCGCTTACCATGTCTACTGTGAATACGATACTGTCTTTGCTTCCGAAATCGCCGAGGAGCTTTCGCTTGAGGTGCCCGAAGTCACCAATGAGGATTATGCATCAATTGTTGTTCAAGCCTGGAAGTTCAACTCTTTGAAACGGCATATCATGGAGGGGCGTATGGAGCTACGAGTCTGGGGAGTCGAAGTCATGCAGGCAGATCTTGTTGGAATCTGGCGACAAAAAATCCAAAATAATTCGGAAGGCATTGATTCTCCACTTGTGCAGTACCTCCTGAAGTTTTTGCGCGACATACGCATCGTCGATTATATCGTCGGTGTGGGCTCACATCCTCAATTGATTAGCCGTGGTGGCAATATCGTGGGATTCTTCGTTGTGACTAGCACCTATACCAATGCCGACACCGATACTATCTGGAAAGCTGTCACAGGCAGCCAAGATCAAAGAACTGTTGGTGAAGTCCTTACAATGCTAGGTCGTACAGTCACGATGCATTCATCCACGTCCAATGAACTATTATATCTTTCCTCCAAACTCCTCGACCTTCCTATTAACCGCTTCGATCAACGGATGATAGAGTTCTGTGATCTGCTCTTCAGGGCCATGCGAGACAAATTTGAAGAGCGCCAGCTCAATGACCCTCTAGATTCCACACATCTCGATTCAACTCCACTACGCATTTGTGTACGCCTAATACGAGAGTCTAATTCATGTCCTACCCTAAACGATGAACAAAAAGTTACCCTTCAAAGATTTGCGGGTAGTCAACTACAACAGCTTTTAAATCTAGGCATGAGTGAACCGGACAAGCGAGATGTCTATGAACGGTGTATCCAAGATATTGGGGAAAAGAACGAATTTGCATCTGGCAGCATTCAAGCCCTGAATGCTTTAATCGCAGCAAGTTTTGACTCTCAAGAGATCCGGGCCCTGGCTACGGATTACGGACTAACCGGTCTAGTCATCATGGAGTTCGAACATTTTTGGGGTGGCATTTTCGAGTTTACAGACCGGTTCTCACAAAATGCTCTTTTGTCTCGTGTCCACTTCCTCGGACGCATTATCGACAAAGTCCCGGACACTATTACACCGGACCTCGGTGATATACTTTGGTCGAAGATCTTCATGACAGGAAATATTGAGCCAGCGAGAAGCACTTTGTGGGACATGCTGTGCCGGGTTACGAAGCACTGTGTGACACCAAATCCATTTATTGAGAGATGTCTTCATCATTACCTACCGAGCCTGTCGCCAGAGAAATATACTGTGGAAATCATTTTATTCGCTGAGCACGCTTTTCACTACGAGATCCGGTTCAGTCCTCCACCAGTTGCCGATGAGAATCAAATTATTACATTGCCTGGCATGGAGCGAATTTGGCATTTCATTCTCACTGCGCCTCCTAATACCATCGAGGCGAGGGCTACAAACTTTGCAATTGATGTTTATTTAGACCATACATTGATACGCCGGGCCCCTGTTTCTGCTGCTGAAGCCACACATATTTCCTTGGTAGATCGTTGTGTGGAACAAATCAAGTCTGCCGCGTCAAGGTTGAAGAACTCAGATGGCATTGCGAACTCGGAAGATGATGCCATGGTTACTGTGGCGAACGAGCATGATATCACCTCTGCAGGATTACAATTGAGCCGGTCTTTATTGTTCCTACAGCAGCTTTTACAAGGTCTTCGCAGTCGCCCTCAATACAGTCCGCCCCAAAGCCAAGCACCCGAACTTCCAGAACGCGTTGGCAGAGGAGAACAAATTGACATCTCGTATCAAAGTTTCAATGAGTCCAATCAGTCTAAGATTCGTACCTTACGTATAGACGCTCTCTGTACAGCGGCTGAATTGGCTGATCGTTTGACACGTGTGACTGGATTCAGCAAGTTCAGTGTCATATATGCGGGACAAAAGATCAATCTCCTAGAGAATCCGGACACCACAGTACAAGATCTCAACATTAAAGCACTTTTAATTATTAGAAGGATCCCTGATGGCACGGATACGGTGGCTGTTGGCAGGCGTCAATCACTTACTCTAGTTGATTCCGAGATACTAAAGCATTTCGACGACCTTTATGACCTCCTCGACCTTGATGACAAATATGCTCACGAAATTTATGATTTTCTAATAGTTTTCCCGCCTCAGGAGCGCGTGAAGGAGTTGGTGAAAGCAGAAACCAACACGGAGAATAATCTCTTTCCTATGGAGAAGCCTTATAAGCTGTTATACTCCGTCAAGGCTCTTTCTACCTGTTTGCGGGAGGAATTGCTCGAGGTACGTCTTATCACATCTTGTACCCTATTCAAATGGACAACGCACGCTTACCAACTAGTATCAGTCCGAACACCATTCCACCTTTCTTGCTCACAGTGCCCAAGTTCTGGTGGGCGCTTTGATCCGTCCTGAAATGTCAGTGGTATCAAACGATTGCATGAACCTCGTCTTCGCACGTCATCTGCTTGAGTGCCTTTTGCTGTGTCTCTCTGGTGCGTATTTACTTTTTGGTGGTTTTCACATTGATGTGCTAAACGTTACATTAGTTAAAACGACAGAATCATGCGCTCTTCCCAATCCTGAAGCTCTAGTAAAAGAGCTCTCGTACTTTATAAAAGCGGCTCAGAATGCAAATCCGTCAAGTTTCAGCGAGTCTGATATTCAGAAGCTCATTTCTCATTCGATATCGGTTCTTTTCGATGCCTCCGTATATCAACAGGGGTTCTGGGAAGTCACCAAGGAACATGCTCATTTTGACCAACTTATATTTTCGTTACTTCTAGAGGAGAAGCGCCACCCGATTCGACGTCAAGTTGCAGAAAAGGTCAAGGCCATTTGCGGTCCCTCCGCAAAAACCGCTCACGCAGAGTCGGGCAACACGGATGAGTCAACTGAGTCGAACAATTCGCCAGTTGCAGATATCATTTCTACAATATGGGATGCTTTCCTGAACAATATGCAGAATACAGTGCAATTTGCAGAGCAATCTGAGGAATATTTTTCCGCTGCTCTTGCAGTTTTCCGATCAGTAGCTGAAAGATCACCCCAAGATGTGGAGTTTACACAATACGTCTCTCAATGGAGTGAGACTATGCTCAGTCATGTGACTAAAGAAGTATGTCAATCTCTTTGCCTGGAGGTCGTTGACTAACGGGAGAATAGTTCGTTGGCCGGGAACTTGTAGATCATATTATATGGGGATTCGCGCGTCTCTTGCGTTTGTGTCTGGAAGTGGCTGGAAGAAGGAATATAACGATCGATGCCACGTGAGCGAAAGCCTGATGGTCCTATAGTTGCTCTCCTGTACTGACTTGCCTTTCAGTGGTCTTATTGACAGTCTAGTGAACAACTATCTATTTCCTGATCTGTCAGAACCGTCAGATACCGAGGTCATCGTCCCTCAAATTCCCGTGATGCATCAGGAAACAAGACAAGAATTGTACAATATTCTTAGCTTGTTGTGCAACAACGAAATCAATTTTGCTAGGATTGTCGATCTGATGTCTGATCTCATTCCTTATGGTAAGAACTTGCTAGACTACGCTTGCTATTGCTTTTCACTCACAGGATTTTATCTAGATTATACATACACTACAACATGGCCTGCCGACAGACAAAAAGCAATCAGATCCCCCGAAGGCTATGCAGGACTAAAAAACCTGTCAAACACGTGTTACTTGAACTCTCTCTTCACTCAGCTTTTCATGAACGTTGGCTTCCGTGACTTCATACTCAAAGTCTCTTTAACCGAACCAGATTCCACTCAGAAGCTTCTATCAGAGACGAAGAAGATCTTTGCCTACATGCAAGAGACGTGGTGCAAGTATGTTGATCCGGAAGGAGCTGTGGGTTCCATTCGGACATATGATAATGAACCGATCGATGTCACGATTCAAATGGATGTGGATGAGTTTTACAACTTGCTCTTTGATCGTTGGGAAGCTCAGATCACCGACCCAGAAGACAAAAAGCGCTTTCGATCTTTTTACGGCGGGCAGCTAGTTCAGCAGATCAAATCGAAAGAATGTGAACATATCTCAGAGAGACTTGAGCCTTTCTCGGCAATTCAATGCGACATTAAGGGTAAGGCAAATTTGGAAGAAAGCCTCCAGGCTTATGTGGAGGGAGAGGTTATGCAAGGAGGTAAGTGGTAAGCGTCAAAATATTTGGCTCTTATCGCTAATTTATCGAAGACAACAAGTACTCGTGTACTTCATGCGGGCGTCATGTAGACGCGGTGAAACGGTGAGCATATCTTTCTAGAAAACTAGTCAATGAAAGAAGTGAGGAAGAGGGTTTTTTAGCGACTAATATTTACTCAGGGCATGCTTGAAGGAAATTCCGGACAATCTGATCTTTCACCTAAAGCGTTTTGATTTCGACATGCTCACCATGATGCGAAGCAAGATCAACGATGAGTTCCAATTCCCGGAGCGCATCGACATGACCCCGTACAAGGTAGAATATCTGTCCGACTCGGACGTCCAACTTGAACAGGATATTTTCGAATTAGTCGGCGTCCTTGTTCACAGTGGTACTGCCGAGTCAGGCCACTACTACAGCTACATCCGCGAGCGCCCCGCAAGCAGCTCAACAACATCGTGGGTTGAATTCAATGATTCAGATGTCACTTCTTTTGAGCCATCGAAAATCGCAGAACAATGCTTTGGCGGAGTTAATGATGCTTTCCATACATCTTCCATGGCACAAGCACGTTTTGGAAAAGTATGGAATGCTTATATGCTCTTCTACCAGCGTGTTGAGAGCATGGAATCCGAGTCGGAATTGTACAAACCCACGGCAAAGGAATCCCCTGTTCACGTGCAGCTACCGATCGAACTTGGAAACCACATTTCCATGGAGAACGAACTTTTCGTACGCACGTATTGTCTTCTCGACCCGTTTCATTCATCTTTCAGCCGCTATCTTCTGGCTTTATCAAGGGACTTTGTTCTACAGGGCACAGTCGGGGCTTCGAAGCTACAAAAAACAACCGTCTATATCGGCATGGACACCCTGGATCAACTAATTTCGAGGACCAGGGAATTGTCAGAGCTCGACCGCCTTTTGGTTGAATTAAACAGGGCAATTCAAGACACGCCCAAGGGGGCATTGAGAATTATCGAATGGACCCATGATCGAGAGACAGGACTGCGCAACTTGATATTGAAAGCTCCGCAGTCAGTACGTAATACGTCGGTGAAGGTATTCCTTATGGCTCTTGCCAAGGTCCAGGAGTCTTCAAGAGACGAGACTCTGGATGCATCACAGCGAGCAAAATGGGAATCGAGATACACAGAATGTTGGAAGCACATTGTGACAGCGCTGAACAATCTGTGGCCTATTCTTCATACGGCCAGTCGTTCTTGGGATGATTACTTTGAATTTGTGACCCTCTTAACGGCATTTCAATCTCCAAAAATCGATATTTTGCTCGACCACGGCTTCCTTCTCAAGTGCCTTGAAATGGTTTGGTTGGACAGGGACGACCATAGGAATTTGAAGTTGCAATACCCCAACTATTTCCGGCTTCTAGAACGTGGTCGCAAATTCTCTTATCGCAAGTTGATGGATTTACTTGCGCACTTGTTAAAATACATCGACCTGACATTGCCGCCTACTCCGGATGATGAGCCTCGCCTCACTGCAGATGGACGATATTCTTTAACCATGACCGAAAGCTCTTTCATATTCGATATAGTGAAAACCACCAAGGGAGAACATGTTTTTGTGGGAAAGCTTCTCCAATACCAAGTGAACGCAGCGGCAATTCGATCAGTTATCGGTCTCTTGCTTGATGCAGAACCTCAAGTTGGGCTGTCCCCACATATAATCAAAGTCCTAGAAGATGGGCTCCGGATGTCACCTGCACAACTCTGCGCGCCTTACCTCGAAGCAGCCTTGGTGTTCTGTTCCCATAGCCCTAACGAACAACAGGTGATTGATATCATTGATTACATTGCTAAAGGGGTGGAGTCGATCGACAGTAGCGGGGGCAGAGAGCATATCGCCTTCTTCACAAATATTCTTTCCTGTCAAAACGAACGCATTGGAAGGGATGAATCTTGGTTCAATGAGAAGGTTGTTGAACGCATCCCTGATTGGGCGCCAACGTTTCTTATTTATCTAGACAAAGCAGTCAAAGCTCTGGCATTTGATGTCTTGCGTGAAATTCTTTTCAGCCAAGACCAGAACGACCTAGAAGAGGAATACCGTTCGTTCTATAGCAAGGTTGCCAGAGAACTTGCTCAGGCATGCGTGGAGCTTTTGAGAAAGACATATCTCACCAATCAGGGCCAACCTGTCGAGAGCAAGGTTGTGGATAATATAGTTCTCGTTATTACGCATTGCTTGCGGGAGTACTATGATGAAAGCGATGCCGAAGATGCAGATTTCATGCAGCAAACTGAAGGTGAGCTTTTTTACAAATTGCTGCTGGGCAATACTCTCTACAGACAATATCTGACTTTTCATATAGCCGTTCTCAGTGCTATTGAACAGTTAACGCTTGACGTGCCCGAGGAAATGGCATCTGGTATGTAGTTAACTTTTTTTCATATGTGAATGTTCTCTTTTGTATTTCTGACTTCGGAAATTTCTATCAGCGTCTGATTTTGCTTCTCCAGAAGATTGGGAAGACCAGTCTGTTATGGGGAGTGACTCTGAGCTTGGCATGGCAACACCATAGCCCCCCCAGCTTCGCAGCATGACGACGGATACACAATACACGCATTATACATGATGAGCCTGAGAGCTTCACGAGGAAAGAGGGAGACCATCCCAGCTCTCATATCATGTTTATCACTTTTTTTTTTTTTTTTTTTGCATCCTTGGTAGGCGTTTTCTCCAACGTTACTAGTCACAGAAACAGGGGGTCAGGCGAAGCTGATTTTTTTTCCATCCCTTTTTCTGGCATATATTTTTATTTTTGTTGTCCGTTAAAAAACCCTTCATAATGATGATCATCTTAAACGTATTTGCAGCGTTCTCGTTTTTCTGTTCATTGTTTCCTTTTCATTTCAACTCTCATGATCATTGCCTAGGAGCGAGCCCTCTAGGGTTGTTGTAAGAAGAATGAACACTATTTCCAATTCCAGGCAGAGGCCCAACTTCCGACTCCCTTGGCCACTCCGTATGTAGTAGTTAGAACCGGCATTCCACTCGCATCTGCAAAGGTCAAGACGGGGGGGAGAAGATCACCAGCTGGAATGTCGGTCAATCGCATCTCTCGGGCTCATGATCGCTCCGAATCGGCATGCGGAATGGGGCTTGCGTGGCGTCAATCGTTGCTGGGTGATCTAGATAGCCGATGCCAGAGACGCAAAATAATCAATCAGTTGTCCAGTCGACGATGAACGGAGAGTTGAAGTCTTGAAGTTGAAGATGTAACAATGTAGGTACACCCCGCACGCCCCAAAAGCTCGGGTGGGCCCTCCATTGGGGCTGGGCCGGCCGCGGAGACAGTTGGAGAACCTTAAAAAATTTTTTATCAACCCTCCTCCCTCACTCAGGTCTGTGTCTAAGTCAACATCTTCCACGCATCAGCCTCGCACCCCCTCCAGCAGCCAGTCAGTCAATTGACCTGATCTCGTCAGATCCGGCCCTTCAAAATGGCGTCCCAAACTTCCGTGTCGCCGTTCGACACCTACCAAACCTCCCTCACCACCCGCTACTGCAGCCCCGCCATGTCCAAGCTCTTCAGCCAGCGGTCACGGCACTCGACATGGCGCAAGCTCTGGCTCGGCCTCGCCGAGAGTGAGAGGGAACTGGGAATCGACACCATTACGACCGAGGCCCTGGAGCAGATGAAGGCTCATCTGGTGGTTACGGATGAGGACTACGAGGTTGCTCGAGTGGAGGAGAAACGTCGCAGACATGTATATTTGACGACCACCCCGTTTTCCGGAAATATCATTAGTTTGCTGACAAGGCTCCTTTCTTGTCTATTAGGATGTCATGGCGGTAAGCGTTTGGCTGCTTTGAAGACCCTCAAGACTTTCATGGCTAACCCTGGGGATAGCATGTCCACGCCTTCGGTCTTACTGCCCCTGCCGCGGCCGGCATCATACACTACGGTAGGCCGGAGATGGCGTTTCCCTTCACGGCGTTGAGCTGATTCTCCTCATTCGTAACCCAGGTGCTACGAGCTGCTATGTGACCGATAACACCGAATTGATTCTCATGCGTGACGCTCTCGATCTGTTGGCGAAGAAGCTGGCCAAGGTCATCTCGAACCTGTCCTCGTTTGCCCTCAAATGGAAGGGTGAGTGTATTGCCTTCAATCCGGAGCCCGCGCCTGCTAAATATATTGACTAGCCGAGCCTACTCTCGCCTATACTCACCTCCAGGCCGCGCAGCTCATTACAGTTGGAAAGCGAGCGGCCCAGTGGGCCCAGGATCTCATGTTTGACCTCCACAGCATCGAGCAAGTCCGCCGTGAACTCAAGTTCCGTGGTGCCCAAGGAACCACTGGCACCCAAGCTTCTTTCCTGGAGGTTTTCAAGGGAGACTCTGCCAAGTGTGACCAACTGAACGACCTGCTCTGCGAGAAGTTCGGCTTCCCAGCCTGCTATGATGTGTCCACCCAGACCTACACGCGCAAGGTTGATTTAATTATTGCTAATGCCGTCGCGGGCCTCGGATCATCAGCGCAGAAGATTACCGGCGATATTCGTCATCTGGCTCACTGGAAGGAAATCGAGGAGCCTTTCGAGAGCTCGCAGATTGGATCATCAGCCATGGTTAGTCCTTTTCATTTCTGTGCCTGCTTTCCACATTTAAGTTCAATGCCACCCAAGATAGTACCCTCAGTCTCGCATTTCCTCTTCAAAAAAATGCTGACAATAAAATCACTCAGGCTTATAAACGAAACCCAGTAAGTCAATAGATTACTAACACCAGTGTTCTGTGTGATATTCTGACTTCTCTAGATGCGTTCCGAGCGCGTTTACTCGCTTGCCCGCGAACTTTTAAGCAAACCCAGCTCATTCCAAGCCACGCATGCCGATCAATGGAGTTAGTATTCTTCAAATTTGTATCGGTTTCAATTACTAAATTCTTCACCCAGTGGAACGCACACTTGACGATTCCGCGGTCCGCCGCATCGACATCCCCGAAACGATGCTTTTGGCAGACGCCATCTTAATCGGTCTCGACAACATCACAGACGGTCTCGTCGTCTACCCTAAGCGTATCGCCGCTCACGTTCAATCGGAACTGCCTTTCATGGTAACCGAGACCATTATCATGCGCCTCTGCGCGCTAGGAGAATCACGACAGGAGGCCCACGAGCAGATCCGTGTCCTCTCGCACCAGGCCGGCAGCGTCGTGAAAAACGAGGGCAAGCCCAATGACCTCGTAGACCGCATTAGGAGCAACGAGTTCTTCAAGCCCATCTGGGGCGAGCTTGATGGCATGCTCAAAGCAGAGCTGTAAGAAAAACAACCTCCCCATCTCCTCTCCGTGTTTTCATTACTATGCAGCTAAGCTGACACATTCACTTAGATATACCGGCCGTAGCGCCGAAATCGTGGACAAGTACTGCGGTCCAGGAGGTCCCGTTGAGAAGGCTCTAGCGCCATATGTGGCATACATTAAGAGCGCTGCTACTGCAGAGCTCAATGTTTAAAATAATATAACACCACCTCCCGACTTGGCAACTGCGAATATGGACACTGTGTATCAATTGGGGGTTCTATCGGGGAAAAAAATTGTTTACAAGGGAAAGGGAGGGGAATTCGGTATCAAGCTTTTGCTCGTTAGAGAGCATATCATCGTTCCCCGGCTGCCTGATTCCTAGAAGACTACCGCTTTAATCCAATGAAAAAAAAGACTTTTATGATGTTTTTACTGTGTAACTACCTATGGTGGATATTTGTTTGGATGGTTCTTTGCTTGATTGGTTGTATATTGCATTGTGCATGTTTATATGTTGTCTAATCTACATAATTATATATAATTCATAATCTTTCGCCATGGACTGACTCTCAACTTTCGAATATAAAACATTTACTAATCTTTCTACCAGTCAATTGGGTAATCCAATGTAAGAATCCATATTACATTAGGCTCCTAAGTATGAGTGTATTGTACAACTTTTGTGATGCAGCATGAAAACCAAAGCGGCCGTGAATGGAATAATTAACTAGTGTACATATTATTTTTATATTTCTGAATGAAATCTTTGACATTCTGAGAAAAACGCCCTCTTGCTTGGAATGAAGAAAAGAAGCAAACGACACTCTCAAACATCTTCAAACTCTTCCTCGTCGTCCTCATCAGACTCTTCCTCTTTCTTAACTATTTCCTCGGTCTTGACTTTCTTGGCCACTGGGCCGTCATCCACCGGTGTTGCAGGGGTACCGGCTACTGTTTGAGGTGCACTGCTACCAGACTCCGAGTCAAGTTCTCGTTTTATCCCGACGATTGGAGAGCGTCCCAGAGCTGGAGCACTAGTTGGAGCCTGGCTTGTTGCGGCCGGTGTGCCCACAGTACTGCCCATGACTGAGAGTTCTCCAACATCTTCAAACTCTTCGTCATCCTCTGAATCTTCCTCTGCAGAGGTGGCCTCTTCAGCCTTGGCCTTTGCAATCTCTGCATAATATGCTGCGATGTCGTCGAGTGCGTCCATGGCAGGCTTCTGCTCTTCCTCCTCTTTGATCTCCGCTTTCACGTCCGCATCTATTTCCGCTTTGATCTGGCCGATGTTCCCAGCACTCGTGGAAACTGTAGAATGTGTATGCCAAACGGGAAGGGCGTTTTGTTTCTCAAGGGCTGCTTTACGTGCTGCTTCTGCCGCTTGCTCAGCCGCACTTTTCTCTGCTGACGATTGCAGCGAAATTTCAATCGCGGCTGCATCAGTTCTTGTATTGCCACGGACTGCTGCTGGCTGCTTGGCAGCAACTGCAATAGCGGGCTTCGAAGGATGTGTCTGCTGGTTGCGAACGACGTCAATTTTATGATCCCATGCAGTCTCAAAGTCATTCATCGGGATTTCCGTCCCATCAATCTGTTTTAGCAGACTTGTAAAGGCATCCAGTTGAGCCATCAGTTTACTGTTTTTCTCGTGTCCAGTGCGGTCGAGACCTTCACCACCCTTCACGTCCTCGGTGCGCTCCAAAATGGCACCACATGACTGACATTCGAAACCCTCATCACTGTAAAGACTCAAAACATCGAGTTCGGTCCACTCTGCTCCGCACCGTAGGCATATGTATTCTTTTCGATCCTCGCTTGGAGTGTACTGAGCCTTGACACTGGAAGTTAGGCGAAGAACCCGGTACTTAATAGCGTCAATGACTGGATGTAACGGAATATAGTAGTATTCGCGGTTCACCGGTCGAGTAGAGCCTTCGCGAATTTCACTTCGCGTATGACTACATGTGCAGTTTTTTTTTCCCTCGTTAGCAATGACCGCGAGCTAATTCTATGCGTGAAAACACGAGTGAGGACTATACACTGCGATGAGGCGGTCTTCCCGCAGTCTGGAGCAGAGCTTCCGCAAATCCTTCTGCTGCATGCCAAGTAAATGAGCAAGGTCCTCGGCATGAAGTCTGAGAGCAATGTCAGTGATTTAGTTCACATCATCATCATCACCTCTTTTTAACAGCAAGAGCCCAGGAGCCATACACCGAGTGTATAAACAGCGCATCGACCACTAGAATCTGTCGAGTTTCGTAAAAGGCGCGGACAACGCTCCGAACCAAGGCGCTTGCAAGATCCATGGCGATAATCTTTTGGGCCTTCTATTCAAAGTCGAGAGACAGCCGGGCGTCCTAGAAATACGCAAGTTCGATTCACTAGACGAGGCGGTTGTCGTCGACCGGAGCGTCGGGACCAGAAAGCAGGAGAGCTAGGCGCCAAGTAACAGCGACATGACCATTTATCTTCTCCCAGCTAGATAGAGCCAGAAAAAGTGCCCCCTCAGGTGACTGCAGCGCGGCCTTGTCAAGATGGTTCCGACAAAAGTCGCTGCGCAAACAGTGTTGAGACCGAAGGTGAGTGAGTGAGTGAAGTGACTGGCAAAGATTCGATGAGCCTGGAGCAATACTTAATTATAGAGGCGGCAAAATATACACCGCCTACGGCTTTGAGACTAGCCTAGGACTGCTGGATAAAAGTTCTTGGCCAATCACAATTCAGAACGTCTCGCCGCCCGCCATTAGCCGCAGTGAAAATAAATCCAACTGGAAGAAAATCTCGAGCAGTTTCTGAAAAGGAAGGTGTCATTGAGCCCTCAATAATCGCAATCCCTATGCGTGGTATCTCCATTAGAAGGTGGGGTTCGTCACACGTGTCACTGCTTTTTCCCCCGTCGAGCAACCAAAGCAGAGCTGTTATCGCTTCATTCTCGTCGTCTTCACCTTCGTCTTTCAGACGATTCTCGCAATTGAACTACCCCGCTGGTGTTTCTCAGGTACCATCCAGGACTCCAACATGGCAGGAAGAGGAAGTGGAAAGAATAAGAAACGAAATATGGGAAGGAAGGAATATTTGTAAGCTTTTTTCTTTGCTCTCTCTTTAACCCATCTCAATGGAAGTTTCCTTCTGACTAAGTCAAGCCGGCAACATGTAGATAAACGAGACCGAAATGAGGAAACCCAGGCGAATAAGAAGAGGAAGTTAGAAAATGGTGACTCGTCGGTGCCAATATTTGCTACGCAGTTCTCTGCCGAAGATATTGCAGCCGAACAGCGACGGCCTAAGAAGAAGGTCGCTGTTATGATAGGCTATTCAGGAACAGGATATCATGGCATGCAGCTGTACGTTTGAATTTCTAAGAAATTGATATCGCTATACTGACTTCCTTATACAGGAGCTTAACACACAAGACGATAGAGGGTGATCTGTTCGCCGCATTCGTGGCTGCTGGCGCAATCTCAAAAGCCAATGCCACCGACCCCAAAAAGTCCTCGCTCGTCCGATGTGCTCGTACAGATAGAGGTGTTCACGCCGCGGGCAATGTTGTATCTCTCAAACTGATCGTTGAAGATCCCGACATTGTCCAGAAAATCAACGAGCACCTTAGTCCGCAGATCCGTGTATGGGGGTATGAGGTTGTTACCAAAAGCTTCAGCTGTTATCACCTTTGTGACTCTCGCATGTACGAGTATTTGATTCCTACTCATTGCTTCCTTCCACCACACCCGAGCACGTACCTGGGGAAGAAAACAGTAGAGCTTGCCGAAGCGCATGGCGATACTGAAGGATTTAATGAACGACAAAAGGAAGTTTCAAGCTTTTGGCAGGAGATTGACGAGAAGGAAATCAAACCTATTTTGGAAAACCTCCCTGAAGACATTCGACGACTCGTTCAGAGCGCCTTGTACATCGAAGAAGACAGCAGCGACAAAGAAACAGCCATCAGCCAGGCGCCGCAAGACCCAATTGACAACAACTTGCCTGCCCTCGAATCTGAGTCAACATCCGCTGCAGCGACTGAGACCACACAAGCCGACAAACCGGATTCCGAAGCAGCAGCTGCTGCTGCTGCAGCACCACCCTCCAAGCCGACATTGACTATAAAACAGAAGGAAACAATCCAGAAAACCATCAAGTCCATCAAAGCCATCTACACGAATGCCAAACGCGCCTACCGGATCCCTCCATCCCGTCTGCAAAGAGTCCAAGACGCGCTTGACAAATACATCGGAACACGCAATTTCCACAACTACACCATCCAAAAGCCCTTCGCAGACCCTTCCGCTAGACGAGTCATAAGAACATTCGTCGCCAACAAGGAACCCATCATTATCAACGGCACGGAGTGGGTCAGCCTCAAAGTCCACGGGCAGAGTTTCATGATGCATCAAATCCGCAAAATGGTGGCTATGGTGGCGCTTATTGTACGCTGCGGATGCGATCCTAAAATCATCGAGGAGAGCTATGGTCCCGTCAAGTTGTCCATTCCAAAAGCCCCCGGTCTGGGTCTGTTGTTGGAGCGTCCGCTTTTCAATACATACAACCGAAAGATGGCCGCGGAATTTGCCAAGGAGAAGATTGACTTTGACAAATATGAGGCGGAAATGAATGAATTCAAACAGCGGGAGATTTATAATCGAATATTTAGGGAGGAGGAAGAATCCAATTCGTAAGTTGCGAAACTTATTAAAGACCATTCATTTTCTATGAAATAGTTACTAATCACGCCACAGCTTCGGGACTTTTTTCAACCATATCGACCATTTCCCAGCAGAGACGTTCCTCTATTTGACTGCGGGAGGTATACCTGCATCTCAAGTTAATGCAGAGACCAGGTCGGAAAAGATGAAGGCTGGCGAGGGAGCTCTAGTGGGCATGGAGTCTGAATCTGACGCAGAAGCTTCCGGCGAAGAAGAGGGTTAGAAGGAACCGTTTGATTAGGATTTTGAATATTTATTGTGTATATCAGGCTACAGTAAAAGGGAGTTTATTTACCATATCACCAAATAAAAGACAACATAGAAGTTTGTTATAGACATCTCGATACTCAGTATAACAAATTAACTCGTAACGTACACATCAAGGAAGAAGTTAGAACAAAGATGAAACGCAAAAGAAGATAATATGTTCCTCCACGTGGGCTCTGGTGTACATCTCGCAATGGCTGATTTAACATTGTGCACCTTCGATGAATGAATGTGAAAATATCCCAGAACGAGAGATAAACCTGTGGAGATGCGTCGTATAGATGCGCGAGCAGTTCGTGTCAGGAAGAGGAAATCACGACAACAAGATTGAAAAAGAAAAGAAGTTGTAAAAGCGTCTTAGACAGGAAAGTGGACAAAGAAAAAGAAATTTGGTATAGTAACAAAAGCTCCAAAAAAAAAAGATCCAGTGAGAATGATAAAATGATGGAATTGTAAACAAGAATGGAAGAGTTCATGGCATGGTTTTCAGTGAGCGACGTCTCCGGTCATCAAAACATTAAAGATCGAGTCTTCTCCCGACGACTCTCAGGGGACCGAACTTCCGGCTGTGACATATTATGCTGGTGTCGAGGTCTCGTTGGGTGTTGGAAAGGTGGTTGGGTATTGGACTTTACTGGATTTGGAAGCTCCTTTTGTAAGGAAGATTGTCCATTTGCGGTCATGAGACGATCAAGCGCTTCACGTTTGGCATTGGCGTTTCTTTCATGCTTGAGGACAAGCTCTGTCCAGGCTTTTACCTGACCAGCACCTGCAGAGTACCCCTTACCAACCGTTTCGGAAAGCACTTTCATCCATCCCTCTTTCTCGGTGCGGCTGTCAGCGTAGAAGTCGATTACCTCTCCGTTGGCAAATCGGATACGGAATCCCTCTTCAACAAACATATATCCTTCCTCTTCCTCTGAAAAGGCTGACTTCCGCCTACCACCGCCCTTAGTAGTCGTCTCCTTCTGAGTAAGGGAGGATTTGTCATCGATTAGTTTCGCGGCTTTGGCCAAGTTTATGGTAGCACGCGGCTGGCGAGTCACTTCATGATATGCAGTCAGTTTTGGACCTTGCAATCGGAAAAATCGCCGTCGCCAATACTGTATCACTCTCGTTAGCACTAGTTCTTCCAACAAGTGACTGACTAGACTTACAGGACAATCGCCTCCCTGTTGAGAAAGGAAGCCCTCCCACGTGCGAGACGCCGTGTTCTCCGCTTCGCGCATCTCTCGGATACATGCATTCATACTCTTTGGCATGTCTTCTTCCTTTATGCCTTTTGGCTTAGGAACGTACAGAAGCTGAAGTTCAAGGTTTCCAACTTTATATGGTGGTCGCTTTTGAACAATGTTGGTCGAACTACCCTTCTTACTCTTCAAGCTTGATGGTTCCTCAATGGCCCATTCGTTGAAGCAAGGAACGCGTACTGTATAGGGTCGACCAAAGGCGTATTTCTCATGGTCTGAAAGAGCGACATAGGAACGTGCAAAACTACCCTCACGATCAATAAGTGAGCGCAGCTTGTCCCAAGGACCAGAATTAGCAATGGCTTCCATTCGCTGCTTCTGTTGTTGCTCCATCTGCTGCTTCATTTCCAGTTCTTTCCGCTTCTTTGGAGAGGCAAAAACTCGACTAAAGGCAGAGGACTTTTGCTTCGAAGGACTAGCGGAGACTACAGACTCTCGAGTTTGCCTTAGTAAAGTACCTTCAGTTTTCATCTGAAGTGTAAGCTGGAATTCCAAGTCTTTATGGACAATGAGCTCAAACTCCTGTCCAATGGGTGCATTTCTACCCAACTCGAGCCACGAGGTGGTAACACAGTGCAGCCCGTTATCGAGGGTCAGAGCGAATTGAAGTTTTTCACCTGACAAGATTGAAGAGTCAGTTAGACATTGGGGAAACTAATTGTAATTTAGATATATTACCTCTGGGCAAGGGCATGTCTAAATCTCTCACGCCGACGACCTTGACGAAGAGTCGACCTCTTTCTTGTTCATCATCCACCTGCTCAGAGAAAGTAGGACTTTCAACTTCATCAACTCCTTGTTGAATGTCTTGAACATTGCTGGGCATTCCCGGTAAAGGAGGAACTGCACCTGGGACGGGCTTCTTTTTGACGGCCCCGGGAGCCTTGGTGCTTTGGCGTCGCATCTTACCGTTCCAAGGTTCAGCAGTCCATGTAGGTTGACTAGCCTTTCGCGGCGAGCTATTTGCTGGCTTTGCTTCTGGGCTAGTTGGAGTTGTGCTTTGCGCGGGAGGTTGGGGCTCATCATTGTTGCTACTAGCGATGATAACCTTGGTGTTTTGACGCATGAGGTAGCCTCTCTGTCCGCGCGTATATTTGTTAGCAAAAGATGTGCCAAATTTCAAGGGGTCCAAGGGTCCAATAAATCCGGATGAAGGGTATGATTGATTGTTGCTATGTAGAAACAAGTCTGATGACTGGGGGGACTTGGTGCTTCTGGAAAGGGCAAGTTCAAACGCAACCTTTTGGGCTTCAATAACTCGGTCAAATTCCTTGTCCAAACCGAATTCAAGGCTTTCACCGGAGCCAGTGAATGGGATATCCAATTTCACGAGACTGCTTTGTCTTTGTGTCACTTCTGGAAGAGATAGAGTAGGTGGTTTATCGTTCAAGCTCTCGGAATCAGGCGTATCCTGTTGGGTGCCATCCTCTTCGATATCTCCTTCGGGTTTGTCTAAAGGTGGCATGGTGGTGCTTTGCGCGCTGACTTTGCGACGAATGGCAGCCATCGACTGCATATCTGCGGGTGTCAGTGATGGCCTTGTTTTCAGGCCCGTTCCAGGTGCTTTAATAGTTGCAACTAACTCAGGCACCAGCTCTGGAGTAGATTCACGTTCATCATCAGAATACTCATCTTCTACTGGATGCCGGATTACGGATTCAGGAGTAGAGGGTTCATTATCAAAATCCGTCGTCTTGTCTTCTGGAGTGCTGGGTCGCTGCAATGGTTCAGGCAAGTTATCCAACCCAAAGTCTAGGTCTTTGAATGCGTTCGCTTGCTCCTCATTTGTTACTTGTGCCTGTTCAGTGACCGCGTTTGCGTTTTCATATTCATGAACTGGAACGGTAGTACTTTCACTCTCCGTTGATTCAGATGAAACTTCTCTTTCTTTTTTGATAAAAGATTGTCTGGAGTCTCGAGAGTAGTTGCTCTCTGCGTCATCATCGTCCCCTCGGTCTTCATCATGCAAGGGCAAGCCATGTGCATTAGGCCCATAATATTCGGGAACGTCATAGAGGTTATCATTATCATCATCGTCATCCAGAGGCTCTTCCTTGATTTCCACAGAGAAGTCGTCTTCAAGCGAAGGTATCGGGACATCAGGGTCATATTGCTCGTGAGGTGGTGGACTAGAAGCAAGTTGCGAGGAGTATTCAGAATCTTCTTCCTCGTAGCTCACGTCCTGTCTAGATTTCAAGTTTCGCAGAATGTCCTCTCGGGATATATGGGGCGGGCTGTCAAGCTGGCTTTCTTTCGACTCGGCAGGGTGCTCGTCTTCATAGTCGAATCCAGAACTTCTCTCGCGGGCTCCAGTTCTTCTCATTCGCCTGTCCTTTTGGCGCTCAGCTTCGGCTTGCAGGCTGTCTTCTCCGTTTTCCTGTAGCATCATAAGTCGGACCCTATCTTCGAGAGTCATAGAAGAGCGTGAAGAGCCCACAATATCTCTTTTGGAGTAGGAGGCTGGGCGGGGTGGTGACGGCAACACACGCTGTCCATTGCTTGCAAGTTCAAAAGCTGCAGAGAGCTTGTTAGGAGAGCTAGGGCAAGGCGAGTGCTCTTGTGTTTTGGCTTGCGGTAAAGGTGGTAGGGGACGTTTTTCCCCATTAGAATCGAGTGAGTCGATACGAGAACTACGATTGACAACTTCGTTATTCGTGGCAGGCTGGACATCAGGGCTCGGGCTGCCGTGGTTATCAGTGAAGGGATCTTCATCCCCACTGACCAAATCATCATTTGCCGAATCGGGGCTCATAAATCGCCAGTCCTCAGGTAGCACAACTGGTGTCTTCTCAATATCCTCGAGAGACGCATCAAAACTATCGTCACGGTCCAAAGAAGAGCCTCGATCAAAACTAACATCGATTTCGTCTTCATCAAATTCGTAGCTTCCTTCACGCTCCGATGCAAGAGATGAGATATCCGGTGTCGTCATTTCGTATTCATTGACTTGAGGTGGCGCTGCGTCAAACGTGACACTCTTGGGATTCCGATCTGAGATGCGTGATGGGCCGCCTTCTATGTCGGACCATATGTCATTTTCTGGGTCAAATTGCTTATGTCCAAATCGAGTTGCCTTCGACAAGCTTGACTTGGGAGGCGAAGGTTGGTCCTTACTTGGTGAGACAGGTCTATGTTGTGGTGAGGCATCTCCATTGATTGGTCGCTGGTGATTATCCTGGTTGGAGGGCGACAATGGCAATTGCAGGTCACTTTTACTACGGCCGTGAAATGAACGACCGGTTGCCAAGGGGCGTTCTGGGAGAGTAATATGAGAGGGATCATATTCTGTATTCTGCTCGCGAGCAATGAGACTGCTGTTCTTCACTCGTGAAGCGCGTTTCAGATTTTCGATTGATGCCCTCTTTGTTGGAGAGTACGAAATCTCTGGATCGTAGGGCCTTGTATTTTCTGAGTTCAGAGATTGAAATGAAGTTTCGCGATCTTGCCAAAAAAGATGCTTGGAGGTCGAGGCATTGAATGGCGATGAATCAAATGGAGACGAGCCCAGTGTAAACTATACAGAAAAAAAAACATCAGTTGTCTGTCGACACCGCACAATGAGGAATATCTCTACCTTTGTTGACTGTTTCCAGCTTGGGGAGTTCCGCCGCTGAGCCATTGGACTCAGCTCTGACAGCGGACGCGGCGTGTTATTATTGCTCATCTTGCAAGGTTATCGCTGGTCCACGTCGTTCAAGACGTGCTGCGTGGATATGGCCAGCGATCTGGAAAACAGAACGATGGACAACAGAGAAGCAAGATTTTATTTTACCTTGCAGCCTGTGGCGCAGGATGGCGATTGGAATGCTATGGCGTAATGGAATGGCCAGTCAAGTCCCTCTCTCAATCGAGTCGCAAAGCACCCAGGGCGTCTGGCGTAAAATCAGCAAGGTCGTCAACAAAGAAGATAAAAGAAAAGACGAGGCACAGAGAGCAGTAGAGGAGGTTTTAAGCCATCAAGGACGCCAGGGCAGGAGGTTGTTTCATAAATAAAGCCAATCCAAGGTGGGATGCGTGTTGACTTGGAGAGTCGGTCGCGGTTGCCCCGGACGACGCGCCTCGACCTGGCGACGGCCGCATGTGACTGGTCACCCTATTCTCCGCGCCGTGACCACGCGCTAGACCGCTCTCGGCCTAGCGCATGGGTGCGGAGCGCCTTCCGTAGATTTTTATTTTTTGATCCTTTGCTTGCTTCGTGTTTGCTTCTTGCTTGCGATCAGAAACCAGCTGTCTATCAAACTGACACGCACTATCACTTCCGCTGAATAGGACTTTGCTGCTGCACCAGACCGGACGTCACTATGTCCACTGGCTCCTGGAGCCGGAATGGGAGAAGCGTCTTACGGCCAACTCTCCATCCGTCGTGCTCGCCATGGCTCTTCACCACACGAATGGCATCCTCTGCGCGGCTACGGAACAGGCCGACGAGGATGTCGTTGTCGCCGAATGTAGCCAAAGCAAGTCTCAAGAAAGATCGCGCCCGCAGTGAGCGAGGCCCATGGTCCAATCTTAATCAGACAGAAGCCCGACTTCGAGGGAAAGCCATGCCCAGGTCCCAAGCAGCCATGAAAAGATCATCGCGAGGAAAGGACGAAGATGCAAAAGGAACGAAGAAAGAGGAATCGCCTCTATACAAGGCATTGAAAATGCAGACTGCGCTCTCTCCGTTGAACTACAACTTGCGAAACTCGATCAAAGAACGAATTGCCAGCATCATGAAATTTGATCAATTCAAGCTGCTTCCGGTCGTTCAAGAGTCAATACTCACACAAGGCCTCCCAGACTATATCGATGTCTCGCCGACCCCTATCCAAAGCGTTGCAATACCTGCGTTACTGCAAGGTGCAGATGACAAGCGGAATACAAGGAAGAAGAAAGGAGACGTCGTCTACAACTATGATCAGTTTTTATTAGCGGCGGAAACAGGGTCTGGCAAGACGTTGGCCTATCTAGTACCTCTGATTGACAATATTAAGCGCACGGAATTGGCAGAAAACGAAGAAAAGGAGAAAGAGCTAGCCGAGAAGGCGAAAGAGAATGAAAAAAGAGCCAAGGAGCGAGCTTTCGAACTCGAACCCCCAGAGTTGTCGGAGAATCTCACTACTTCGGCGGGCCGACCAAGAGCGATTATCCTACTTCCCACATCAGAACTGGTTTCGCAGGTCGGTGCCAAAGTCAAAGCATTTGCGCACACGGTGAAGTTTCGTTCTGGTCAAATATCTTCCTCCGATACGCCACGGAAAATCAAAAGCACCGTTTTCAAAGCGGATGGAATTGATATACTCGTCTCGACGCCACACCTTTTGGCATCCATTGCCAAGACTGATCCTTACGTCTTGAGCCGTGTTCAACATATCGTTGTCGATGAAGCTGATTCCCTTCTTGACCGGTCTTTCGGGCCTACAACAATGGAAATAATCGATAAGGCAGCCTCGAGCCTCAAACAAGTGATTCTTTGTTCAGCCACCATCCCGCGCAGTCTTGATACCTTCTTGCGCAAGAGGTACCCTGATATTCGTCGCTTAGCCACCCCGAATCTGCACGCGATCCCACGACGAGTCCAGCTCGGAGTCGTAGACGTCGACCAGGATCCATATCACGGCAACCGCAGTTTGGCTTGCGCTGAAGTTATATGGTCTATCGGTAAATCAGGAGAGACCGAATCCATGGGTCCATTCAACAGATACATGGACCCCGAAGTCCGAAAAATCATTGTCTTCGTCAACGAGCGTGAAGAGGCTGAAGAAGTAGCCCAGTTTCTACAAAGGAAGGGCATAGACGCCGTATCCTTCTCCCGCGACTCGGAGAAGCGCCAGAAAGAAATCCTCGAAGAATTTACAGAACCCAGACGCATCCCCACTACTAAACAAATCCTCGAAAAACAACGAGAACGCCGATTACAACACTCCGCCATTCCCGTCGTACTACCAGAACGCACCGCTCCGAAATCAGCAGAGACCAAGTTTTTGAAGGGGACAAAGGTCATGGTCACCACGGACCTGGGCTCTCGCGGCATTGACACGCTGCCCGTCCGAACAGTCATTTTGTATCATGTTCCGCACACCACGATCGATTTTATCCATCGTCTAGGCCGCGTCGGGCGCATGGGCAAGCGTGGTCGAGGAATTGTCCTGGTCGGGAAGAAAGATCGCAAGGATGTGGTGAGGGAAGTGCGCGAAGCGATGTATCGTGGCCAGGCTTTGATTTAATTCAAAGCCTCTTTTTTTTTCTTGTATAAATACCTATGATTTATATATTATATTGTATTATATCAATACGCGCGGCAGCATATGAGGCGTCTGGGATTGGGTTTAGATGGTTTGCATCTTCATGTACAATAACAATATTGAGTAAACTCGCAGATAAGTTGGATACCTAGGTAATGGAGGTTTAAGTATATTCTATAAATATATCTATATATCTCTCCATTCATGTTATCGAACGAACTAACCAAGGTCATTAGGCCCTAGTTATCTACCGAGTATGAGGCCTAGTAAACTAAGCATAGGGTAGTAACTTAGACGGTAAGTATAGCTTCTGGGCAGGACCAGTCCGAATCTATGTAGGGTTATATATAATGAGTCTCCCACAACGACTTGTATGGGACGGTGCGACTTTCCATTGAAGAGTGTTTATTGGAACACCGAGTAGGTATTCTAAAGACGAAATAGGACATTTTAATTTCATATGCATGAATTTAGTCTTCTTACAATGTTTATGTAGCCGTTCGTACCGTGTTTTCCATGTGTACATATGTACGATTCCGGGCCCCGTACCTGGAACTATACAGCTTGCTCCAGCAGCATCAGCTCAGGATTATTCCCAAGCCAATCCCCACCGTAGTTAGTTAATTAGTTAGCTAGGGCATTTACTAAAATCCTCTATTAAAAATATTTCCTTCTGCGCAATTAGGCATTAGTTCAGCTAGCCGCTTTAAGTTTAGTCTAACTACTACCAATCCAAAACCGTAAACGGTCATTATCAAGTTATGCAAGAGATAGAGCCCGAACTCAGCTTCGGATTCAGGATCTACCTATAACACTAGGACAAGAACCTTGGAATCCAATGAACTAGACCGTGATACTCATACAGGTGAATATGGACAAAGTCGATGAAGACAACACAACGTTGGATGGGGAAAAAAATCTTGATGATGATGATGATGACGATAATACAAACGCCCGCCTAGTCCTGGTTGAGAGAACCTCAATGCAAACATACCCAGATGGAGAGACCAAGCCCAAAGATAGTTCCAAAGAAAGCTCCATGCTTAACAAAAAAGATAGAACAAACAAGTTTTTTTTCAAATACTCAACTTTCCAAAGAAGTGGGGTGAATGAAGAACACTACGCACTAAGTCGAGCGCAGAGGCTTAGTGCGATGCCGACTAGCACGAGTACAGCGCCGTCCTTCATTATCACTGAATTCAGTTTCACTTCGAGTATCCGAGAAAGAAGAAGAAGGAGGCACAAAAGGATTTTCTGGAGCGGCGGGCGTGGCAACGACAACATCTCCCAAAACGGTGACACCGCGGTTCTTGCGGTCAACTTTGGCCTCTTCTTCGGCCGACAGGAATCTGTGCACGGTGCGGTGATCCATCACGCGGGTCTCCTCATCGCTGGAGCCATCGGGGTCGGTCTTGGGCCAACGGAAACCGTACAGTTTTGAATGGCGCTCGCATCGAGGACATTCCTTGCGTGTTTGATAGGCGTTCTCTTGTAGGAACCACGACGGGCAGGTTTGGCAATCTACCCATCGATCGTATCGCTGTGCGAGGAGTCGGGCCGTCTTTGTGTAGTCGCCGGGCGTTCGAATCTTGGGTATAGTGAGATCCGCTTCTACGGACGGTAGGGCGTATTTCCGTTTGTTGTACCGACGTTTGCCAGTAGTTGGGGGTTTCGATTCACTGTCGCCTTGTGGTGGTTGAGAGGGGCCGCCCGTGGGAGTAGCGGAATTGCTTTCATTGTTAACAAAATCTGGAGTTTGTCGAGTAGAGGAGGAAGCAGAAGTAGCTGCAGCAAGCGCAGCTGGTTCTGTGTTGTTTTCAATGGACTCTATTTTGACGCTGGGAATCACGCCGGATATCGATGTGGCGGGCGTCGATACAGATGGTTGACTTTCGTCTGAAGAATAGGTGGCTGAATCATGATCGGACGAACCACCGGATGAGCTATTGGTGTTGTGTTCTGTCTCTGCAGGGATTATCTGCTGTTTGACAGAGTTCTCTGGTTCCGCTGTTTGTTGGGAGGGCAAATCCTGAGCCGTTGGCGTAGATGAACCTGGGAATGGGGGCTTCTCAATGGACTCGGCGATCTCAGGCAAGACAAGTTCTTCTCGGAGCTTCGATTGTCGATGCTCGAATTTGGACCTCTTGTGAGGTGTGGAAGGGCAAGAAGTTTCCTGATCACTGTCACTGTCTAGTTTTCTCTTCTTTGCAGTGGTCTGCTCTGCCCCTCCATCCGCAGGGACAAGCGCATCGCCGTCGGTTAATTCAATGCTCAGGGGCGTAGAGGAACCATGAGCACCTTGGACTTCGAGTTCTCGTGTTTCTAGTCGAGGAGATTGGGCTGGTGTGGAGGTTTGACTGTCTGATAGAGGAACTGGTGGTGACCATCCGTTGCGCACGGCACGTTCGCAGGTCTCACATAAGCATTCGCAGTTGTCAATGCCAAAGTAATCGTCGCCGTAGGAAACAGTGATTTCCTCGCCTAACTCGATGTCGCGAGCAGCAACAACTTGCATGCCATCAGAACCTCTAGTCGCCAGTCGCCCATTGGCATTGCAATCATGATTTGCGAAACGAGCAGGCCCCAAGAATAAGGAAGGACTCTTTCTCCTGCTGGACATGACAATGCTGAAGTCTTTTCGACTAAGGTCCAGATCAAGTTCTTCTTCACGAGTCATAGAGACGAGTGTCCCGCAGAGATATTTGATTTCCTCGCCCTTTTTGATGTCCCTGCGCGCGACCACAGAAGCTTCATGCTCGGTAATGGTATATCGGTTTGTAGTAGATATTTCAAATGGGCAGTCTGGAAGATAAATATGAATATACTTTCGCAGATGCCGTTTGAACCATTCTCGCTCCCGATCATTAGGTAGGCGCTGAAGATACTTGCTCAAGCCAGTCATTGCCAGAAGTTCCTGCTCGGCGGCACGTACATTTTTGGCAACAATCACCTTATGAAGGAGGATTTGCGCGACATTATCTTCGTGGATGCCCCTCGCGGGAGCAAACTTGGTGCGATTCTTGCGAATCGTAGTCCAGAAATAGGCCTGTGCTGTGTCAGAAAAGCATATAAATATATCAATATATATATTGACTTATGCACAAGACTGACTTACACGATCAATAAGCGCATCTGTCGCCACATCGTCGTAGCTCGCCAACCTGGCCAGTGTGAGGCGATCTCCTCGCTGGTCAGCTGCTGGACTAGACCTGGCCTTGGAGGATGGCATGACAAGCCGCGGCACGCGAGGCGAAACTGCGCGGACAGATTCTTAGCTCCCGACCTCAATATCACGCAGTCCGAGGTCGCGGACTCGATACGTGATAGTCAAAAAACGAGTGGCTTTTTCTGGGAAATCGAACGTGTGAAAAGGAGTGTTTGTTCAGACCAAAAAGAGGTGGAGGCTTTAAGAATGCGTCTAGCGAGAGGGTTTCAGGTCATGAGGGGAGACGGCGCAATCAGGTTGATTGTCTGCAGATGGTGTGGCTGGGAGGTCTGTGGACTGGCGTTTTGCGTCAACAATGGTTGGCGCAAGCAACATCCACGCTTGTCCCTCGAGAATTGGGCGAAAGAAAGTCACAATAATATCGCTAGATCAAGGATAGATGGACGTCATCGCATAGTGCCATTGCTCAAGGGGCAGCCGGCTTGACCTCTGGATAATGATAATATGGATACAGACAGGGTCGGAAGAATGCCGGGGTCGGCCAAGTGGAAGCGAAGCAATAAGGCGCCTGAAGGAAAGGAAACGCAATGGCCCAAGGCAATTGGCGAATAGACCCAAACAATGGATGAAGCCAATGTTGTTTCCAGATTCCAGAGTCCCCCTCTCTATAGACATTGTTCCGGGTCGGCGGTCGGCAAAACCTGCTCCCGAGAAAAAGCATCCGATTGGGCTATACAAAGCTTCAACCCTTCTTGAATAACTGCCATATCAAAGCATTCCTGCGACGCTATGCAGACACGATGATTCAACTCAAGGTATCTAGCTGTGGCTCTGCACCGACGACAACAATAACAATGCTGACATTTCATACAGACGATGCTGAATTGCATCGACAACTCAGGAGCCGCCGTTGTTGAATGCGTTAACGTTTTGAAGAAGAAAAGCCCTGCAACCGTCGGTATGTCGACGGATCTACAACTTCCTTTTCAACGAGTTTTTGCTATACAGAGAGCTCATGGCTTTTCGCTTTTTACCCAGGTGATCGCATTGTCGTCGTTGTCCAGAAGCAGCGCAATTTCGGCCCCGAAAACTCCACAAACAGCGGCATTGCCAACAAAGTCCGCCGCGGCGACATTCGTCATGCAGTTGTCGTTCGGGCTCGTAAGGAAATTCAACGGCCGGATGGAAGTCTTGTGAAGTTTGATGACAATGCGTGTGTTCTGGTCAACAAATCCGGCGATCCTATCGGCACTCGATTGAATGGTGAGTGGGCGATAAACATGTCGCCTCCTTGTAATGAGCGTTCGAAAGAAGGCTAATGACGGTTCAACAGGTATTGTCGGAGCAGAATTACGGGGAAAGCAATGGTCAAAGATTCTATCGCTGGCGCCAATGCATTTGTAAATTATAGTTATGTACAATAGAAATAAATAATGATGATTTGAGCAAGCAAAATGACACGACTCCTCCAAACGTTCTCTAGATTCACATTACAACAACAAAAATGCATTATTTATCAAGACCGTCCATTTATGCTAAAAACAGCGCGCCAAACTCCGGGCGCAACTCTGGCGCGAATAAAGCGGAATAAATATTGAACCAACAACGATATACGGGTATCGAAAACCGAAAGTTCGAATGGTGAGAGAAGGCTCGTGATCACGTAAAGACATTACCGCACGTGCAGCACACGTAGTAGAGTTTCTAGTAGCACAACACTTAGCCAAATCTCGGGTTCCCTTCGGCAGTCAGCAAGAGAAGGGGTTCAGTTACCATTCCAGTCTCGGCTGAACGCTGTTGGCTTTGGAAGAACACGGCTTCGTTTTCTCCGCAGCTCGGACATAACTTGTTCGATCGCGGGAGCTAAGAAATAACAACAATGCGTGTTAGCCATCAAGTGCTCCAAGACAACTTGAGAAGCGAATCAGGGCATTGAAAAATAGTTTGCGTCTCCCGATTCGTAAGTTGAATCTTCCTCTTCTGCGTAGACGCCAGATGAGAGGATGCCACACTTGACACAGGCTAACTCTTCGCCACAGTGCAGGCAGAATTCAGGGTCACCAACCGTAGGATCAGATCCCACATCCTGGGTCACTCCTGCAGTCTCTCCGACTTGAGAGGTGAGCTTATTTTGGTATACACAGGCCGATGTGGCGGGCTCCGAAACATGGCAGGTGCGACAGGTAAACATTAGTCGGTTCTGCACGCGGTCTTCTTTGGGGTATAGCAGGTTGGAACTAGCAAGATGGGTCGGTCAGAGATCTCGTAGACAAATGGGATAGGAGTAGCTTTTTTTTTTCCCTTTGCTTACCATTCACGGCAGAATTTGAAGTGAATCTGATCGGTGTTGGACTTGGTATCGCCTCCAGCGGAGGATGCAGGGCTGGCCGACATGGCTGTACGATCGATCGAGGCGGCGGCGGAAAAATTCTCGTAGGGACAAGTATACGCGGCTGAAAGGTCGCGGCAAAAGGCTCTGTAGGGGGGAAGATAAGAAGAATACAGCAGAAACTGCCAGGACAGATGGGATGAGAAAGTCGAGATGGCGGATTATGCAGAGTCGAGGTCGCCGAGACAAAAAGCCGTGGCGGCGCTAGGCCACTCCAGGCAGCGGGCACCCCCCGCTCCGCCTTTTGCATCGGCCCCCGCGTCTCCCATACAAAACTAAGCAAGCAATGCTCAATTGCATCAAAGCACCTGCAGCAGCACAAGGCCATTTGTTCTCTTAGCCCTTTGTTCTACTGGAACACTCACACGCACTCACAAACACAAACCCACGCACACACACATACATACATACATACATACATACATACATACATACATACATATACTTCTTGCAGGCTGCGTGCAGTTTGTTTGGCCTGTAAACACTCACTAAACATGGTATGTCTGTCGGCAACACCTCCACGCTCCTGTTGTCAGCTGACCTGGGCTCTGCCAGTCCGATATCACAGGTCTCCCAGATGGCTGGGAAGTTCGCCATTCCAACTCCAAAAACCTCCCATACTACTTCAACGCTTCGACCAAGGAGTCTCGCTGGGAACCACCGTCAGGAACAGACCCTGAGAAACTGAAGGCCTACATGGCTACCTATCACAGTGGCCCCTCTGGCATTGCGGGTTTGCCGGCCGAAGGCAAAATCCGCTGTGCCCATCTCCTTGTCAAACACCGCGACAGCCGTCGCCCCAGCAGCTGGCGCGAAAACAACATCACTCGGTCCAAGGAAGAAGCCATTGAAATCCTCCGCGGCCACGAGCAGAGGATCAAGTCTGGCGAAATACGCTTGGCTGATCTTGCAGTTTCCGAGTCCGACTGCAGCTCGGCACGTAAGAAGGGTGATCTGTAAGTCAAGGAACCAGGGAAATAAACAGTCTGCGAGCAAACTGGCTAACCAACTGCGTGTTCTTCCTTTCTTTTTTCTTTTTTCTTTTAAGGGGATTTTTTGGTCGTGGTGAAATGCAAAAAGAATTCGAGGATGCTGCCTTTGCGCTCAAACCAGGAGAGATCAGCTCCATTGTTGAGAGCCCTTCAGGAGTCCATCTGATCGAGCGGTATGTTGACCGTCCTGAGGATTGGTATCACCTGTACCCACCCCAGAACTGACTGGGTGCTTTTATTTCTTAAAAAGCCTCCAATAAAAAAGTACTATACGGAAGAACTTTCAAGCAACAAAAGAAAAGGAAAAAAAAAATAAAACAAGGCAACACCTTTATCGACCGCGTTGGTTTTGTGAACAGCTTGTCACCATCGTCTAAGATTCCTCGCTCCGAACGAAACGATACAATTGACATAGCTAGGATTCTGGTGAGGTGGAGAGGAACAAATGATTGCATCTTCGGCGTTGCTTGGGATGAACATGTTCTTCACTTCAGATACTATCGTTATGAGGTGCTTCTTGATGATGAGGGGTTATGTACCTTTGATGTACTAATACTTCAACAAACTACACGCCAGAGACTAGAAAGCCGTGTTCTAACAGAATCAACAGTTCTAATCAAAACCTGGTTAGCTTTCTGTTATTTCCGTCGGCGTAACGAAATAATTGTTGCATAAAGCTATAAAGCATGCTGTCTCACAGTGGCGACGTATGTTAGCAAACTTTGCCTATGATCTCAAAGTTACCAGTAAACTTCATCGGTAATCGTCATGTAGTCGCAACTCTAGGATTGACCCTCTGTGTTACTTAGGTACTCTAGACAAAATTCCAAGTCCTCGACGTGGTCAACTGACGAGAGTGGGTAAGAGTCGGCATAGCCATAGAAACGGAGTTTCTCTTCATCAGCAGACCTCACAAGCTGGAGTCGATCCGAGATGAGCGGCAAGCTGTGTAACACTGTTACGTCCATCCATGAGGTGTCTCTGCTGTACACATGGTCGAGGAAGCGAAGTGTTTCAGTTACCCCGGTATTCTTGGCCTGAGCCCACGATTTGGCGGGATTTTCTCCATGCACATAACAACACCATCATCATCATCATCATCATGGGACCCTTGGCTCAGGTGCCAGAGCGATGTTGCATCGGAACGAGATCGAGTTGCCATGGACACGAAATCATGAGCTGTTGATCAATCTCGAGAGGTATGGGTCGATGTTTTCAGCTTGTGCGTGGACAGCGTCGATGCGGGGGGAGGAGAAATATAACATCTGATGCAGTCATGTTCCCTCGATCGCCACGCAGGCAACGACGTGGAAGATGTATATATGTATATACATATATACATCTTCCACAGGTATTTATATGATGGAGAATGCCCATGTTGACAGTGTTGTGCATGGAGGATGGACGCTGATGGGCCTTTGCACTTTCCTTGAAAAACCTCCGTCTGACTCAACAGCAAAGTCACGCGTTTCTGACTCTCCGACCTTCTCTTTCCTCCTCAACCACCGCGACAACCAACATGTCTCGCCAAAACGAACCAGTCAAGGCTGCTGCAACTGCCTCAGCCTTGAACATCACCCTGCAGAACCAGACTACATCTGACACGGTATATGCATACATCACCGGCCAGGCAATCGACAACAACAATGCCCTGTTCCTGCTGCAGTCAGATGGCAAGACAGCCTACTATCCAACCTCTCCCTCGGACACCATGCAGGCTCTTGGAGCGGACTGTGCCATTCCCCTGGGTTCAGTCGGCAACTCGGTCACAGCGACCATACCGCACTTGGCTGGGGGTCGTCTGTGGTTCGCGAGAGACAAGACCCTCACCTTCTACTTGAACCCTGGACCAGCCTTGGTTGAGCCTTCGTCTTCCAATACATCTGATGCCAACTACAATACCTTCTGGGACTTTTGCGAGTTTACTTACAACAGCTCGCAGCTCTACGTGAACATCACCTACGTGGACTTTGTGTGTCTTCCCATATCCTTGACCCTAACCAACACCTCGGGCGACTCGCAGCATGTTGCCGGTATGTCTGCCAATGGCCTCGATACTGTGTGTTCCGGTCTTAGGGACCAACAGTCCAAGGACAGCGCCGGCTGGGATCAGCTCATCGTTCAGACTAGTGATGGCACGAACCTGCGGGCCGTGAGTCCGAATACGGGTATAGGATTGAATAGCTCCTTGTTTTCCGGGTATTATCAATCTTACGTGAACCAAGTGTGGTCTCAATACGCCGGCTCGACCTTGACTGTTAATACTCAGATATCTTCTGGGAACGTGGGCGGAACGGTCTCGGATAATACTCTGAACTTTGGCAACGGAGCAGCAACATACACGCAGCCAGCCGCTGCAGACATCTTCAGTTGCAGCAGCGGCCCCTTTGCAGCGACAGGGGACACGGAGAAAGATGCCATCACTGCTCGACTAGCAGCAGCTTTCAATAGATCGACCCTTTTGACGGACAGCAACACGCCGGAGAGCGAAGACCCGTCCAAGTATTATCAGAACTCCATTACCAATCATTATGCTCGCATCGTGCATGCTGCCAACCTCGATGGCCGTGGTTATTCCTTTCCTTATGATGATGTGGCTCCTACCAATGGAGCTGACCAGTCTGGGAGTATCCACGACCCAAGTCCGCAGTTGCTTACTGTTGCTGTTGGAGGAGGAAATGCTTCGACATCGGCAAGTAACAACAAGACACAGGCATCACTGCCTCAACCTGCAGGTGGCCAGAAGTCCCGTAATAATAATAATGATAGCAGTGGGAGCAATAAGAACAACAAGGGAAGTAACAAGGCCAACGACAGCAACCAACAGAAAGGTCTACTTGGTTTTATGAAACGCCTCTCCTGCTTCAAATGAGCATCGGCAACTGCTACTGGTGGCGTTCTGTTTCTTCCTATCTTTTTTTTCTCTTTCCCTCGAAGAGGGTAGTGGTGGTTCTTTGACTTGCATGTGTCTTTTCTCTCCGTCTCAGGTAACATGGACAGGGATATTCTTATATATTCTTTCATTTCCAAATTGCAGAATGACAGTAACAAGACCAACACAAAGGTACATCTGCTCAAATATGCATCGGTGGCTGCTACTGGTAATATTTAATTATATTTATCTTTATTTCAAAAAGAGAGGCGGTGCTTTTTCTCTCTCTCTCTCGCAATTAATCCTAAGACGCCATGTCCTCATTCTGGACGCAAAGGAACTCGAGTCAGAATATATCGACGATCGACACCAGGTCTTTGGTTTTTTTTCTTTTTCTTCTTTTTCTTCTTTTTCTTCTTTTTCTTCTTTTTCTTCTTTTTCTTCTTTTTCTTCTTTTTCTTCTTTTTCTTTTCTTTTCTTTTTTTTCCCCCCACTGTCTGAGTAGGTAGGCGGCTCCTTTTCTCCTGGATAATTGCCAACTGATAATATACAGTTGTATATGAGTCTTCAAAAGGAGAGTTCACTCTTACAGGTATAGGGCAGCAGTTCAAGTACATATTCTGGATCTCCTGGATTGCAAGGAAAATCTCGAATTTAGGAATCGCGTTTCAAATCACCATTGCCAGACCACTACTGGCGCTCACGACTTGCCTCAAAATTGACTAAGCCAGACGAAATCGCTGAAGAGGAACTCATTAATTGGCAGTGTCTATGCTTAAAGTTCAACGCTGTTCATGCAACAGGCAAAAAATTCGAGTCATGTCGCTATATGCTCGATATCCTAATCAACATGCTATAAAAATCTTGGTATAATTCCGGGTCTTCATAACCAAGCATCTGCCGTATTCGATCTACTTCAATAGGTTGGACAGTGGGTTCGCCAGGAATGAGCATATCTTATACAAGCATAGGACTAGGCAAATACAATCATTCCAGTATACATTGACAAACCCCCGTCGCACACGGCCTCACATCCCGATCAATATCAATACTCTCCAAGGCCAGCCAGGGGTCATTTCCATCCGAATTCGAATTCGACCCCAGATTAGCGCCCCTGGCGGCCGTCGCAACGAGATAATCAGACTCAAAGGCCACCAGCTCAATCCTCACATCCTCCACCTTCTTCCCATACAGCCACGTTTGAACACCCGTGTACGGCTCGCTCCATGCCGCCGTGGAAGTGGGAGTGGAAGTAGCTGGTGCCGGGGCGACGACATCGGTAAACTCGAGTTCTCGTAACCACGGCGCAAGCAGTGCCTCTCCGGTCATTTTTATATAAGCCTCTTTCAGCGCCCAATAGGCATAGAATAGACGCAGCGTAGACTTAATGACCGTTTCAATGGTTGCCGTGGGCGATGATGACCGCAGCGTCGAACTGTATTGTTTCATGGTCTGCAGTTCTCGTTGCGAGAAGACCTCGGAGAAGATGTCGATAAAGTCGGCGACTTCCTTGAGCGTCTTGGGCGCTTTGTCGCGACGCCGGCCGGGCTCGTCGACGCATGTTATGTCGATGCCTACTTGCGGGATGGCGGGGACGGGGGCCGAGGATGGTTTGGGGTCGGAATACACTGCAGCGACGCGTTGCCCGTTTTCCTCGTCTTTTTGCTCATTATGGCCTTCGACAGACGGGATTATGCACCCCCCCAATGCAACAAAAGACGCTTGATGGCTGACGTTGAACTCCACGGCCGGAAGTGACCCCTGCCCAGCTGAAGGAATGAAGCACGGTCGTTGATGCGGCTTCGGTGTCCGGCTGATAATGACCTCGCTCCAAGGGATGCGGCACGTTCTATGGATGAAGAAATATTTGAGTAGATTGGATGCCAGCGACATGTGTTTGTCTGGGACACGGAGGTACTTTTCCACGGCTGTCTGGTCGTTTGCTTGCAATGTTTCGACTAGTGGCAGCTCCTCGGTGCTTGAGGTTAGGTGCCGGGTGTCGATGTACCACCTGGTAAGGGAAGTCATGCTTGTCGTCCTGCGATTTTAATGAATGTTATGTTGTATATACGTAGTATATAGTTTGAAGTATATATCGTTTGTTGGATGAATGCCGGCGTCGGAACAGAAAACAAAGGATATTGCGAGAGTAAGAATACCCGTAGAAAGAGCACCAACTCTTAAACGCTAGACACAAGCCAAAGATGCAGTTAACAAACAAGAAATAACAACAACAACAACAACAAGAAGAAGAAGAAGAAGAAGAAGAAGAAGAAGAGCGACTGTGGTGGAAGATGGCACCGCAGCGAGGGGCCCCGCGCTAGACCAAATACAAAAGATCCCGATAAGATAAATTCCAGCGGATTCCGGTTGACTCACAACTAAAACACCAAGCACATTGTCATGAGCAAGATTACAGTGGGCGTCCTGGCCTTGCAAGGCGCCTTTTACGAGCATTTACAGCTTCTGCAAAAGGCAGCAGTGTCAGCTCCACCGCCAACTCAATGGGAATTCATCGAGGTCCGGACAAAGGCGCAATTGGATGCGTGTGACGCCCTCATCTTGCCCGGGGGCGAGAGCACAACCATCTCCCTTGTTGCGGCCAGGTCGGAGCTGCTGGAGCCATTGAGGGACTTTGTGAAGTATGCGCTGTGATGTGATCCGAGACCATGACCATAGACTAATGTTGCTGCTGCCAGGTTACACCGCAAACCAACCTGGGGCACCTGCGCCGGACTCATTCTCCTCGCCGAATCTGCCAATCGCACCAAGAAAGGCGGCCAGGAACTCATTGGTGGCATTGACGTGAGGGTAAACCGGAACCATTTCGGCCGCCAAGCAGAGAGTTTCCAGGCCCCCTTAGACCTGCCGTTTCTCGAGCAAGCAGACTCCCCGTTCAATGGCGTGTTCATCAGGGCCCCCGTGGTAGAGAAGATTCTGCCGCATCAGATCGGTATCCAGGTCGAAGAGAATCAACGCGAAGAGACAGTGGTGGCCCCATCGCGAGAAGTCATAGATGTGGCTGCGCAGAGAGCAACGGAAGACGACGTCCAAATATTGGCTAAATTGCCCGGCAGAGCTGCACGATTGATTGCGAAAGAGGGAGTGAATATCGACGCCGAGAAGGAAACTGGGGATATCATAGCAGTTAAGCAAGGCAATGTCTTTGGGACAAGCTTTCACCCGGAGCTGACGAATGATCCTAGAATCCACCTCTGGTGGTTGCGCCAGGTGCAGGATGCTGTTCAGACGAGACACAATGTTGTTGTAAGATCACAAGTAGGCAGTTCGAATTGACATAATGATTCGACTCAATTTTATAATATTACATTTTGAATAGAAGAAAAAAAAGAAGAAAAGGTCGCTTCGCCGGAGAAAAAAAAAAAAAAAAACGCCTGTGTATATCGCACATATGAAATAAATACCCTACCTTCCCTGGCCATATTCTTCTTCCTCTCGTCTGCGTTGTTCTGCGACTGAACGACCATATCCTCCACGACCGGGGTCGTATTCCTCGCGATACTCGTCTCGCACTTGGCCACCGGATTTTCCGCGCCTACACATGATGGAATCAATCAGCTATGAATCGTTATCTCGACGTCGATTGAAAAGAGGCAGCATACCCGTATTGACGACCCTCTTGGAAGCCAGGATCGAGATCTGTACGAATTATCCGCTCGTCAAGCTTTGTTCCTCCAATATACTTCAGACAGTCCAGCGCGTCCTGGTGAGTATAGTATTCGACGAAACAAAAACCGCACGGAGTCTTCTGGAAACGATCCAATCCCATGACCAGGCGTTTGATCTCGCCGCACCTATAACATTCGACTTTAGCTGTGACTCGAATTGCAAGATCTGGAAACGAAATTCATCATACTTGGCGAATAACTCGTGGATCTGCTCTTCCGTTGTGTAGAACGACCTAGCGAAAGTAGCTTTTTAGAAGACTGCCTTGCTGCTGATGCTTGCAGAAGGGCAAAGAGCATACAGGTTACCAACGTAGAGAGTTGTCGCATTCCTCAGATTGTCAGCAGGGTCTTCGTACTTTTCGGCCTCTTCTCGGTCGTTATGTCTGCGGCGCTTGTTCTGCGAGGAAAGATTAGCCAGGATCTACAATGGCGGGCCTGAGAAAAAAGCTACCTTGCCCTGGTAATAGGCACTTGGCCTGTCCAGGCGCTCGACTGTGTTGTAGTATCTGGACATGGTGCTTGAGCTGTCTTGAGCAGTGTGAAGGAAGTGTCTGTCAGTGTGCAGTGGTTGAAAGAGAGAGATCTCCACAATGGCAATTTAGCGCGTGTTTGTCGCAGCTACCATCAATCCTCCGCAAACCATCAAATATTTTGACCTCTCTGCTTACGACACTTCACCCCGTCGAGATAATGAGTTCGCGTCGCTCGCAGACTTATACCAAGCTTGATTAACTCCTATTTTTCTTTACATCCGTTTAAAAATCGCTGTTACACCGCGAATATGCCCAAGGTCGTCGGCCATACGCCGCCTTGGCTCTGTCGCCCATCTCCTGGTGCTTCGTTCTTTACCAGACACCCTTCCAAGAAACCCGATGGCCGGACGCAGAATGGAAATGGGACTGAATACCAGGGCCCCCAGCGAACGCTGGCTCGTCGCGACACTGAGGTCTTTGCGGTCGTCGACAACCAGATTCGGTGGGCGGATTTGGCGACACTGAAGGCTGAATGGAGCCCCAAGCGCAAACCGTCGACGAAGAAGAACGCAGATGCTGATGGAAACTATTATCGGGTTTGTTTTTGTTACCTAACCTTGGAGCCATCGACCATGGAGCTGAAGCTGACCAATACTCCTCCTGCTAGACCTTGACCGTTCCCGTTTACGGCCAGATCAAACAACTCGTGATTTCACCCAATGGTGCTTTTATGGCGATTGTGACCGTGCATACTGTACACATAGCTATCCTACCTGACCGTTCGCATCTGTCCAGCACTGAAAGAACGCCGCTTCGGTTAAAGACGTACCAACTGGGCCCTACCACTCATGTTATTCCAGAGTCTCCTGTGGTCTCTGCATTATGGCATCCGCTGGGCGTACACACTAATGTGGAGGCTTGCATAGTGACTATTACAGCTGATGCTGCAGTACGCGTGTGGGAGCTGGACCGCAATAACCACTGGTCTTTCGATAGACCTGCTCTGGCAATCGACCTTAAAAAGCTTGTTGATGGTACATCCTCGGATGAGGACTTCACTCCGCTGGGGTTTGGCAAAAACAAGGGATTCTCGGCAGACTCTTTTGATATGGAAGTGGCATCTGCGTCTTTCGGAGGCACAGCTCGGCAAGGTGAAGATGCTTGGGCACCAATGACCTTGTGGGTTGCTATGAGACCTGGCGATTTGTATGCTCTGTGCCCTTTGCTTCCCTCCAAATGGCAAGCTCCACCGGCTACAATTCCTGCAATTTCAGCAGCCATTGTTCCAAAGTTGACTGCGGTAGAGCAAGATTATTCTGCAGTAGAAGAAGTAGGAGACGACTTAATTGCTTGTCGACAGCAATACGAATGGCTGAAGGAGATTGACAACCAAGAATTCATGCTTGATCCCTTTTCGGAAAGCGGAATACTCAAGCGTCCCAGCAATCCGAGTGCGATACCTCGCTTGCAAGGCCCATTTCAATTCGATGCTGGTGAACAGTTTGATGACCTTGAAGTAACCGACTTTATTGTCATCCCTGCCGGGCTAGACACAGAGGCTCTAATGACGGGTGAGGACGATGAGGGTATACTGGAAGAAAATGCGCAAGAAGGATTGCCTTTCACCACAATCTGCATGTCAACCTCAAGCGGCCGCGTCCACGTCTGTCTTGAGCTGGACGGAGTCGAAGGCCAGTGGCTCCCCAAGGCCAAGGCAAATACATTCACAACCCCGTTGTCAGAGCCGGCAGAACTTCTCCTCGTCGAGTCACTAGACACTGTGAGAGAGAACCTACGCGAGGCGCACTCCTGGCCAACTTTTACTTCGGATATTTCATCCCGATATTCCTTTTACCTCACAACTGCCAATAATGTCTCATTCATCTCATTATCCTCGTGGGTTCAGCGATTAGAGTCTGAGTTACAGTCCGAAGATACCTCCGGGTCGCAATTCCGACTAAACGTGCTTTGCGACGGCAACATTGCCCTTCGTGAAGTGCTAATTCAGCTGAATGAAAGTGATCTTTCATTCCCTGAAGAACCAAGGCATTTTACCAACTCTGTAGTCTTCACCGACTATGACCTTGGCCAACTTCTTCTCACATACAGGGGATCAACACCGCAAGCCGCAGAAATAAGCGAGCCTCAGAACGCGGCCTTGGCCTCTTTTTCCCAGTCTCTGCATGCGGACTTGGATCCAACAACCAGCCAAACCTTGCCACCTATTCAACAAAAGCCGCGACGTACACCCTATCAGGTGCCAGCGGTTTTCTACGCGGATGAGCCATTGAAATCATTCATTGATGAACATGTCCCCCACAGACATAGACCTTCGTTACAGGAGCCCGTACGCCTCTCTCCATCTACACTTGACACTATTGCCGCAGCTCACCGGGTGCTTGCTGCGCATACCGGTTTGCTCGAGAAAGCTGCCGCGGACCTATTCCGACGCTGCGAGCGTCTTCGAGGGGAGATGAGAGATCAGCTTGAAGGAATTGCTACAGTTTCCGAGCGCATCAAGGGCGTTTCCAGTCATATCGGCGAGGACGGGCAACGAAAAGAGGGTTCTCGAAGTGAAGACGCTCTCAACCAGAGACTCGATGCTACAAAACAGCGTCAAAGGGACCTTGTCGAGAGATATGCAAATATTCGCACGAAGATCGCGAAACTAGGCGGTCGCCCATTGAGCGAGAAGGAGAAGGGATGGATTGGAGAAGTGAAATTACTGTCTTCTTCTGTCGAGAAGACAAGCGAGAATCAAACAATACAAGCACGGCTGGAAACGGTGGGCAAGCTATTTATTTATTTATTTATTTTTTTCCTTTCACAAACCGCAAAGCTGACATTCTTATCTTTCAGGCCAAGTCAATCGCCGAAGAATTGCTTGTGGAAGTGAAACACATATCCGCAGAGCAACCATCCGCACCAGAGGAGACTACTACCGTCAGTGTCAGCACACCTTCTCAGCCCAAGATTCCACAGAAACTTCAACGGGCCAAGGTTGCAGATGCAATGAAGTTGGTAGACAGAGAGTAAGTCTTGTCTTTTCTTTTTTTCCCCACTAACTTTCTTTGAGAATCAAAGCTGATACCCTTGTCAAACAGATCTGCAGTCATCGATGCCATCACTGCGAGATTGGAGCGCTTGAATTCAAGCTTTTCCTGAGCTCTTTACTAGGCTATAGAATCTATGGAATTTAAGTGAAGAATAAATCTACGTTTCCCCTTGCTCCCCAGTATGGAAGAATCTGTATAATCTTCTCTATATGAACCTGCAACAATGTAAGTCAAATACTTCCAAGGTTACGTTAGGTGCTGTAGCATCATCAACCTCACGGCCATCAAATTTCCATGATTACCCGTATTCTCGTCAAGAGTCTAGTATAGTGTATCAATGTGTAATCCTGTGTCCAATAAGCGCTTGGGAGTCAGGCCTTTTGCATGAATGATTTCTCTTATATATAAGTATCAACAAGTAAGTCAAAAATCGTAACAGAGTCCAAAAGCACAGTAATCAAAATCCTGTGAATAATCTAAATATTCCTTCCATAGCATCCCCGTTTTCTTTTTCTTTTTTTTCCTCGTTCTTAGATGCGAACAAAGGGATCATCAAAGTACCACACCGGATCCCCTTCTGCGCTGCATTCCAGTTGCGTGAATCCATTACCCATGAACTGAAAGCGGTTATCGGTCTTGTATGTCAGATCGAAATCCTCCCACCTCACGTTCTTAAGCATCTCGAAGAAATGTAGTCGGGATCCTGGATATACTGCTGTTACGGGGCCCATCTTTTTGCCGTTTTTGAACCATGAGCGGCAGGCTGTGGGTCGTGTAAGCTTCACCAGGGGAGAGAAAGAAAAAAAAAAAAAAAAAAAAAAAAAAAAAAAAAAAAAAAGAAAAAAAGAAAACGAGAATAGAAGGAAACGGGAGGGAGGGAGGGAGGCTCAGAGACTTACAGGATGACCAGGCGAGCCGTTTCATGAGCTCGTGGGTGTGGTTATAGAGATCCTTGATGGCACCCTCTTTAGGCTCAAATGACTTGATGTTGTCTGTCTGCACCTTGTCGATCACCAAGAACATGTAGCGCGTATACCATTCCAGTGTGGGCAAGAATGAGCCATGACTTGTCGGGCTGTTAGGTCCCGGCAGGACTAAGAAGAAATGACGCTGGTCAGCAAGCTAGTTTGTACAAGTATGAGTGAAGAAAAGAAAGCAGAGATAATCTCACCAAAGAAGTTTGGAAAGTTCCGTACAGCAACGCCGAGATATCCCTTGGGAAACTCTCCAAACTGCTTCCTCAGGTCGGCGCCATCACGTCCAGTAACCGTAAAGTGTGGCGCGAACGAGGTATCAAAGCCAGTCGCGCAGATGACCACGTCAACCTTGTGCTCAACACCGCTGCCATCCACAATGCCCGTCTCCGTGAGCTGCGTAGCACTGTCGTGAACAACCTTGACATTGTCGCGCGACAGCGTCTCTAAAAAGCCGGGCCCAGGTGTCATCCTCCGGCAGCCAAGCGCGAATTCTGGGATGAGCCGCTTGGCCAGCTCGTCGTTTTGAAGCCGCGCGCTCATGGTCGCCGCAATGTCCTTGCACGATGTCTTCTGGTCATTGGAGTTGAGATGCATCAGGTTGAAGCGCTTGTTCAGCTCGCCCTCAATGTCGCGGCAGTACCGTTCGTACGCTACCGGATCCTTTGCAAACGCCTTCATCTGCTCGTCTGTATAGGCAAAGTTGGTGCCGCCCGGTGCGGCGTGCTTGGCGGCAAATCCGGTGGTGATCCAGGTCGGAGATCGTATGAAAGCCACCAGCTTGCCCACCTTTGGCTGGATATTGGGGATGACCTGGACGGCAGATGAGCCGCCGCCGATCACAGCGACAGTCTTGCCCGTGAGGTCAAAGCCGTCATCCCACTGCGCCGAGTGCATCACTTTACCCTTGAAGAGTTTGAGGCCGGGGATATCAGGGTATTTCCAAGAGTGGAGGAGACCCGAGGCCGAGATCAGCAGATCGCACCAGTCGTCGATATGGCGGCCCTCGGGGTCGAGGAGGCGAAGCTTGTAGGTCCCCGACCCCTCGTCCCAGGTTGCGCTCTCGACGGTAGTATTGAACTGCACATGCTTCTCGATGTTAAATTTGGTCGCAACGTCCTTGAAGTACTGCCATATCTCTGTCGATGAGGAGTAGTAGTGTGACCACTTGGGGTTGCGCGCCCATGTGTACTGGTACGAGTGACTGGGAATATCGCATGCACATCCCGGGTAGCGGTTCGCCAGCCAGCAACCGCCGATTTCCGAATTCTTCTCGTAGACCTGCAGGTCGACGTTTTCAAGGAGCCGTTCGGCCTTGTAGGCGATCTGGAGACCAGCGGCGCCGGCACCGACACAAACCACACGTAGCGGTCGTTTAGTGAAGAGTGGCTCTTCGGTTATTCTGTAGCCATCAAAGTCTTGGTTGTACCACTCGTTCTCGTGGGGGGCATCGGAAGCTGGTATGAGTCCAGGATCAGGTATCACCCTGTCGTCTGCTAACCTTCCTGGAGCCATGACGTGTCAACAGCGTGTACGAAGAGGAGGAGCCTTGTAATCGAGATGGCGGGTGTAGATGCAGTTGGAGGTGAGGTCTGCCTATTGTTTGGCTCCTGGGATTCTCCTTTAAAAGGACCATCTCGACAGACCTGAAGCCGTCCGTCCTTCGACTTTGTCAGGGGACATTGGGCTGCTGGAAGGTATCAGCGATATGGGACTGCCACAGCGATGCACTCGTAGTCAACAAGTTTTCCATGAAAATGTGCTTTTCCAATTTAATGCTGCATGACGGAGGACCGTACGTCGTAGTTGTAAAGGGAAGTTAACAGCGAAGACCAATCCGTGACGCTAGTCTAGCACCGAGATAAGACTTATCAACGCGAATCAAACGACCCATAGAGGGAGAGTGCATCCCGACAAGAAATCAACAATGCAGATGTATGAAACTGTCATAACTATGAAAAGTAATTCTAAAGAAATGATCCATGTGCTATAACGCCAGCCCGGTTGCAATGCTAGAAGTGAAATGATGAACTGACGTGACCGATGGAGAAAAGAAAATGTAGGATGCGATACAACTAGATGATACCTGGCTGCGATGGCCAAGGCAAAGTCACATTAGCATGAGACTGATATCCTCCGCCTCAAGAATGGTTGGCCAGTCGCAAACGGGCGCGAGTCCCTTGTCCGTCTTATCGCGCTCCCAGACCTTCGAGATCACCAGAGTAGCCTTGTCGTATGCGCCGAGCTTGTAGAATCGGATTGATCTAGACCATTGCAGATAACGCCCGCGCAGGTCCTCAGTCATGGTCTCGGCGGCACCCACAAACCAGGGCCATGAGATACAGCCCGTAGTGAGATTTGCTTCGCACTTGATACGCTCGACGGTCTCGAGGTGGTCGATGATGCTCTCGGCATAGGGCTGCAGGTGGCGTCGGTGTACGCCGCGCACAAGCCGGGAGAAGTAGATGATGACGGCCTGAAGAAAGGCGCGCGTCTGGTGCGTGATGAGTCTTTGTGACTCCTCAGCAATAGGTAGCTGAGCGATGTTCTCCACCATACGGTCCACCGGCCACTTGAGAATCTGGAGTTCAAGGTCGTCGCACATGCTCAGGAAGGGCGCGGGGGCAACTGAGCCCGGGTGGTGTCGCGCAAAGGTCCTCTTGCGGCGGATGAGTTCGGACGTCTTACTCGCGAGAACAAGCAGCTCCAAGGGAACACCGTAAACAAACTCGCAGGCTGAATGGTCGATGGAGTCCCCCGGGCCCGAGTCCTGGAGCCACATGTCGGGTACATTGAGGCTGTCTAAAAAGTACAGCGGCCTGCAGAGCCATGCTGTCGTCGCCTCTGAGCAGGGACCCAGGTCGGCATCTAGTGCGGCGCATTGGAGATCCGTTGCTTCTCGCATGATGCGCAGATACACGTAGTCGCGGTGCAAGGATTGTGCTTTTCTCGAGTAGCGGCGGCCAGGCTTGCGCTGAGTGGTGTGAATGAAGTCCTCAATACCCTTAAGGTGCCACTTGGAGGAGCTTGTGTCTCCGGAACAGACCTAATTGAGCATATTATAATTAGAGAACCTTTTTTTTTTGTAACTTCAATCTAGACTGTACAGCCTGCAATTACCTCGATGGTGATCATGGACAGCATCGCCGCCAGAACCTCTTTGTATTTGCCCCTCTCCGACACTGGGCAGCCCGGTTGGAGACACGATTTCAGATACGTGAGCGACTGGGCAGTGTGCTTAAGCGCGACCTCTCGCCAGCTATGCGCGTCCAATGCCTGCCCCTGTCCGTGGCCGTTGGCCGCCAGGTTGTAGGCGCTAATGGTGAGCAGAGCATGTAGCAGCGCGTTGCGGGCGTGCGATGTCGTGCCCCGAAAGGCGAGTTCTCCGCAGCCCTGGAGGGCGCGAGGCAGGTGCACCGTTTTCCACGGGCCCTTCGGCGTAGTCACGGCCGTCATGAGGTCGACGATGTCCGTCTTGTAGTGATGCAGCAGCCACTCCACGTGCGCTGGCACTCGAGATGGAGTCAGTGGGGTGGGACTCGGGCTGATTGATGTGATATCGGTGGTGTCGCCAGGACTGCTGGCTGTGACCAGGGATTCCGCTGGGGATTCGCTGCCTCTCCACGACCAAGGTTCCACGACGAAGTTATTCGCTGGCGAGGCCAGTTCCGGCGAGCGACCTGCATACTGCAGCAAGTCATCGTCTATCAAGGCGTCGTCGAAAGCGCATGACGTTGGCGCCGACTCATGAAGACAAGCCTCGGTCGCAGGGAACACAGAGAACGGCCCGCAGGCAGCGGTGAGAAGGCCCGAGGAGTCGATTTGATGGAGCAGCGCGTCGAGTTTGCGATCTGAAAGGCTTTTACGCGGCGGATCTAAATGTCATGATGATGATGATGATGACTGTTGGCAGTAGATCTTTTGTGGTGGTGAGTGAGGGAGTCACTGACCGCAGAACATGATCCTCCGGTGCGATATCCCCAGTCCCACACTGTCGCAGGCGGTGGGGACTTTGCAGCCGCCGCCAGTCGCTGTCAGTGGAGCGAGCCATTGCAGGCGCTGAGCGTACCCTTTACATTCTAAGTCCCTGCCAATGCATTGCTGGCAGCTGGGACGGCCCTCGTCGCATTTCACCTTGCGCTCGCGACATGTCCAGCAGCCCGTGAAGGTCTTGGTCTTGGCTCGGGAGTGATACGACGACATGGGGGGCCGCCTTAGTCTACGGGTGATTGGTCTCGCGGCGGGATCGCGAGAAATCATGGTGTCGAATGCATTCTTCTCCTTTAAACCGGGCGCCAAGAAGCCCTAGCATGGAAATGGCTTAACATACTAATCTATTCCATTGAGAAGAGCAGTCATACCAGTCGCTACGCATGTAACTAGTCAGAGATAATGCAAAGTTTTGGCCCTGTTTGGAGCCTTGCTGCCCTGTCCTAATACACAATAGGCCTAGTGGTACTGTAACAGGAGGAAATGCGAAAGTTACACTACTGTTTTTTGGCCAATGACAATGGCCGGGCTTATCACCGCTCCACAACGGTGGGGAGGGGCCCGCGCGGGAAAGCCGCGACCCACAATTATTAATACGTGGTACGGTATTACAGTAACGACCTTTCGACACCATGCCATGGACCAGCAAGGCGCATAACAGCAAGAATGATGGCTTCTTCTGGGCTTGCTTGCCATGCCGATTGGCTGGTTTTAAAGTCTCCTTTAGGTCCTAAGTAATGCTACTACAAGGATGCCGGCCTCCCATTTAAATCCCCTGGCAAAATCGATTTTTGATCAACCCGCTCCCATTTCTACTTACTCTTCTACAACAGCAACAACAGCATCATCAACATCGTTATCATTATAGTAAAGCAATCAAAAATGGCCATCATCTGAAGCAGGCACTGGTCCCCCACCAACGGGACCCTAGCCTTCTAGACACCAATGTAGGTCAAGGCCCTCTTCCACAGCGGCTGGGAGTAGTAAAAGTCAAAAAAGGCAATGTCTTCCACAGACAAGGGCCTCCGCCCGCTGACAAGATCTGCCTGGGCCGGATCGACGATCTTGGTACGGAAGATGATCTTATAGCCGGCCCAGAGGACGAGGAAAAGAGGCACGCAGAGGAAGGTCTGGAAAAAGTTCTCGACGCTAATGTCCTCGCCGATGGGGAACAGCGAGATGTAAAAAGTGGTGCCGATGACGAAGAGGCCACTGATAAAGAGGAAAATGCTCCCCAGCGGCCAGAACTTGTTTTTGTACGCATACTGCAGCGACAGCGGATTGTCGCCTTGCGCCTTGAACGCGGCATGCATCCGCCAGTTGGTGACGGCAATCACGATATAGGCGAGGAAGTACACCGTCGAGCCGACGGAGCTAAACCACGTGAAGATAATACCGCCCGTATTGGAGCAGTTGATGTACGTCAATGTGGTGGCGAGCGCGGCCGAGAATATGAGCGAAACGTATGGCCGGCCCTTCTTATCCACGCGCCCAAAGATCTTGGGGAACATCCCCATGCGGGACATGGCCGTACTAAGACGGGAGGTAACAAACAGCGCCTCCGCGCCGAGCGCGCAGAGGCCGACGATGATGACGACATTTACCAGGTCTGGGAGGCCCTTGATGCCGGCGTCTTGCAGGGCGATCACGAAGGGTGAGGACGCCGCATTAGAGACACCCAGAAGGCGGCCGTCATTGTAGGGCACCAGGAGGGAGATAAAGATGACCGTGCTGCCGAAAAAGAGGAAAAGACGTGCGCCCAGATTGTTGACGGCGCGGGGGAGATTCCAACGCGGCATCTTCGACTCTCCATTGAGAATGCCTAGGTATTCGCCGCCGCCGCAGGAAAACGAAGCGAGGAGGAAGCACTCGCAAATACCCTGTTCCGGCGGTCAGTCCTGTTTGTTTGGAGATCCACAAGGAGGGAGCGGTGGAAGACTTGCCGCGAAGCCATTGGGAAAGGCCGGGAGCTCGGTGAAGTTCTGCAGATGGTTCGTCGAACCTGTCGGTCCACCACCAGCCAGCATCACAATGCAGCTGATGATCATGATTGCCATAACACTAATCTTGAGGAGAGCCGTGACGAATTCGAACTCGGCGAAGTACCGATTCGGGAGCGAATGGATACAGAAGATGAGCACAAGATAGAACGTCATGCAGGCTGCCGTCGGAACGGCGTCAGTCCAATATGTGAGAACAAGCCGGAAGATAGATCCCTCGGCCGCAAGAGTTGTGTGATAGGCAAACCACTCGCAGGCTCCTATTTGAAGTCAGCAACTGCGTGCGCAGCCATAGCACCAGAATCGGCATCTCACCGAGAGCAAACGCCAATGACGGATCGACAAATCGAGCGGCATGGTCGATGAAGGCGCCAGAGGTTGGGAAGATCACAGCAGCCTCGGACATGACTTGCATGTTGACCCATTGTTGCGCGCAGATCAGACTCCATCCAAGATAGAGACCGGGATAGCTTCCGTAACGGAGAGCCTGAAGAAGGGTCAGTCAGCAGCTCGCCAGTGACATGAATACGACTGACTCACTTTGCCCGTTCCGACGAAGAGACCTGAGCCAATACTGCCAGCTAGACCAATCATCTGGATGTGACGAGCTGTGAAGTTACGGTGCAGCTGCGGCTGCGGCGACGGCGGAGAGCCTTGCTCGCCGGCATACTGCACGTCGCCCGAGACACTGCCCGCCTCGATGCTGGAAACATCATTGGTGCTGTCGCCAGCTGTCTTGGTGTCGAGCTTGCTCTGCATGGTAGTGCGGCCAAATGAAGAGGAATGAAGCTGGGCCAGAGGAAGAATGATACGTGCGACTCGCGGCTCTCTCTCTCTATATGGGGGTTTGAACGTCCCCCCGTCCGACCAGCCTACTTATCTACCCTGACGCCGGCATTACTGACATCCCCAGAGATATCCTATCAAACAAAGCATGGCATTGCAGAGGTATTCGCGTTGCCCCGTCTTAGTTTTACCCCGTCTTGCTGGCGAATTGGCTGAGCTCCACCTTTCAACGTGCGAGTCCTTATCTACCAAGTCGTACGCTGTACTAGCCAAACCCTCTAAATCTTATTATCGCAAGTGGGCCTTGTTGACTGGTGGACAAGCCGATCAAGTAGCCGTCCCTGCTTCTAAAGCGAAAATGGCTGGATCGGAAGACTCGCTCTTCGCTGAGACCTGCTGCTCTCTGTCGCTGAAACCTGCCCTCCGAATGCCCTAAGATCTGGTGCGTATCTCCACCCTAATCGAGCTCCAGGGCTCTTCTATGATCTATTTTACGGAGCTAACAGCCGGAATGTCGCACGCCTATTGAGTCTATGAAGCTGATTGATTTGTCCTCTTCCTTATCAAGAGGGGACTCAACCTCGCCCAAGCTAAGAAGCCTTAGTTAGCCGAGACCTTTGAGCATCGAAAGCATATGAATTTATGAAGCTTATTATGCCCCAACTACTCCGTAGCCTGAATTGAGAATCTTACTAATACGCCAGTCCTTGGTAGTCCAGTGATTAAGATCCCCCGCTTGTCATTATGAATAGCCATAATCGCGGATGACCGGGATCTGATTCCCCTCCAGGGAGTGGTGTTTTTCTTTCTTTTTTTTTTCTCCTCTCTTTTTTGTTCTCCTTCTGTATATATATTTATATGAGCTTGTATAGTTACTAATAAGGACTATGTGAAGCTATACAAACGTCACACAATGTGCCGAGCAGATCGGGGTAGACTAACGATAACAAGGCCCTATAGGTCCCCTGCCTTAGGCTACACATCGTTCTATCCTTCCATAACAGCCCTCTCAAGCCATGATCCCTTTCATCAGGTTACAATTATCAATTTATATTTAATGAGTCAAGACCGCCAGATTTCAGCTTATATACTGAACTAGTGTTTGCGGCCTATACTCTTCTTTTCCACCGTTCCAGGGATGGGCCTTCACCTGGGAGCTGAAACACGGTGCGACGCAATATTCGTCTAATGGATTGCTAGCCACGATATCTGGCAGCCAGAGGTATACACTTTTGAGTACACTCCAACCTTGGGCGAAACATCGGTGGGATGGATGCTGTCCGATGTGAGGAGATATCTGATCCTCGCCTCGCTTTGTCCAGCACGTTGACTGATTGTCTAGAGGATTTGTATGTACTTCCAACTATGGACAAATATGTGCCAAAAGAAATTGCCTCCACGACCACGGTATAGTCTACGCAGTCTGGAAACAAGGGACCAAAAGAGAGACAGGGCTTGATTTCTTCACAAGTTGAATGCTATTGTTCAGGTAGCCTGCTCACTACGAAACACCTACTCATGGTGGGCTAGAAACTTCCATAGAAATTTCCTAAACAGGAAATAATGACTCAAAAGAGTAATACGCATTCTCCTCGTTTCATCAACCCTTGACTTTACTTTCGATAGGATTACTTAATCATATCCAGACCTTGACCATTTAAGACAGAAATTGAAAAATAGGTTAAGGGGCGCTTCACATCATACGCACTGTCTAACTATACAAAAGTCTCATTCATCCAAAGCAAGCACCAACCGCTCCGACACTCTAATAATAGTAGTATTCATCATAACAATAGCCATTGTTCTTTCTCTCTCTCTCTCTCTTCTCATGAAAGTGGGAAAGAAAGAAACAAACAAAGTAAACAACTTAAAGGTCCACGGCAGTGCTGGTAGATCCACCGTCAAGCTCTTCTTTCTGTTCCTCGGACTTGTGTGATAGCTCTGTGAGAGTCTTCAGCATGGTATCGCGTGTATCGGTAGTCAATTTATCGACATCGGCGGTTTGCAAATCCTTTGTTTCGATGGGTGGGAGGACTAGCAGAAAATGTTTTGATTAGATGGAATATAGAATACGGCGTAGGTGAATAGAAGAGACTGTGAACCCACCTTTAATCCTGATAGCACCCGACTCAAACACAAACTTTCGAGCATTCAACACATGCGAATAATTCTCCACTACCACCGGCACAATAGGAACACCCGCCTTGACAGCAAGATGGAAAGCGCCTTTCTTAAAGGGGAGCAACTCCGGCTCATCGGAATAGCTCCTTGTGCCCTCCGGAAAGATAAACACACTCTGCTTATACTCCTGCATTTCTCTGGCGGCACCATCAAAGGCCTTCACGGCCGTCTCGCGGTTCGCGCGATCAATAAAGACTGTTCCCGACAGGGCCATGAACCAGCCCAAAAACGGCCAGGATTTGAGAGACTTCTTCGCTGTCACGCTGCAATAGGGCGGGAAAATAGTGCCTAGCATCAACACGTCCAGTTCGGTCTGGTGGTTGCCGATAAATACCGCGGGTCGCGTGGAGAGGTATTGCTGGCCCTCGATGATGTCAAATCGCACGCCCGTGGAATATCGCATTACCCACTTGAAGCTGCGAGCGGTGGCCCATTGAGACACGCGTCCGTATCCGACTAGACGTAGTACTATGGACGCAATGACGCCGTATGTGGCGCATATGAGTAGCGATGCGTAGGAGGATAGACATCTGGCGACAAAGCCGGCCTTGGGCACTTTGGCGGCTGATAGGGCGAAGATGGATACCGTGAGGGTGAAGTAGGACGCTATGCCTGTGGTAATGTAGGATAGAATCGCCATGTTGTGGTGACAGGAGAGACTCTTGGTTGATGAGGTGTGCGTGGAGTCGAGCGAGATGTGAGTTTTTATTCTATTTTCTCTCTCTATTTTTTTGTATCTGAAAAAAAGAAAAACCCTGTCGCTGATGAGAGACTTTTGACAGACTGCGGAGGCGTTGACTGGAAGAATATAAACTCAAACTCGATACCGGGTGCCGATGGCCATGGTTTCACTGTAGAAATAACAGCTGACAATGCTGAGCAGGCGAATGTCGAGAGAGCACGGGAGTTCCTCGTGATTTGGAGGATCGCCGACGATGATGTTGACTCTTTTGAGGTTTCCCCACAGGCTAAATTCGGAGTAGCCTACAACCGGCCCACTAAATTTGTTTACAACTTACAACTTCACACTGCACAGTATCGGCCTGTTGATTAAGAAATAAGAAATTCCTCTAATCATAGCATCAAGCATGTCCATCATAATTATATCGCGGCAACGATGATCGCGAAAAGGCAAGGAAGGTAATATACAAAAAGACAAGGCTACCATGAGTAGACCTCACAGCGTGCAATTTGCAAGAACAGTGTTATAACTTAAAGTGAGCAGGCCACCAAATTCCGAATTTAAGAATGTCCAGAGAAAAATAACAGAGATAAAGAAGCCTTGACCGTAACGCCACCCCGTTTTTCTATGCATGTCCAAGCAGAATGTCGCGTCCATCGAGTACGCCGAAGTATGTGAGCACCATGGGTAAACAGCAAATCAGAGAGGTACGGTACACTATGTGCAGTGGAGGTGACAGACGACGACCTAACCAAGCGTTCATGCCATGTCAGCGTCATCCTCCTCCTCATCATCCAATGATTCCATTGCGTCCTTTATATACTGTGCTGCCTACGGAATTAGTGAGCATTTGGACCAATTAATAAATGGAGTTAGGCCGCTACTTACCTTGGGATCAAGATTTAGGGCCGTGGTGAAGTGTTTAATTGCGTTGGCCTTGTCGTGAAGCATCTTATAAATCTTTCCGAGTAAATAGTGGACGTTTGCTTCGTCCGGAGAGATGTCCTTCAGCACTTTGAGTTCTGCCAGAGCCAACTTGAGTTCGTCCAGCTTCATGAGAACGCGTGCCTTTCGGAATCTGGCCAACACTGATTTTGGCGCGAGTGATGTGGCACGACTATAATGGAACAAAGCGGTCTTGGGGTTGTTCATCTTCTCAATCACAAGGCCCATGCAACAGATCAGAACTGCGTTACTAGGGTTGATTTGTACGGCGTTGCGGTAATGCTGCTCCGCATATTCGAGCTTGCCCATCTTTTCGTAAACTTGGCCGAGGCCATACCAAGAGTTGTAATGTCTACTGTCGACGCTGATTCCTTTTCGGAAGGCATCGAGTGCCTTATCGTATTCCTCGTTTGCAACATGTTCGTGACCCTGGAGAGCAAACGCATAGGCAAAGCGAGGATCAAGCTGTGTGGCACGTTTGAAACACTTCAATGCTTGGTCGTGATCTCGTTGGTGTGAGAATGAGTTGCCGATAGCACACCACGCCTGCGGAGATAGCCGATCTACCTCCATCAACTCGTGGGCTAGATATGACAGTTCAACATCATTCTTGAGGTGCCATAGCACGGTCGAGTATATTTCCATATCTTCCAACCGAGACGGTGCCAAGGCCTTGACTCGTATGAAATACTTCTCAGCGTCAGAATAGAGCGCCTGTTCATAGTAAGCTCGCCCCATCTGCGATAGAACCCATGGCGTTTCTCGCTGCGCTTGCGGCAAGAGATTGAAGGCCTGAACAGACTCCTGGCATTTATACCTGGTCAAGTTGTGGTACGCTGTAGCCAATTTACCAAAGAGATCTAATATCCATGAAAGAGCCTCCATTTCTTTCGAGCGGTCCGTGACTGCGCTCTTAGTAGGATGGCTGTTGCTGCCAGAGGCAGTGGAGTGCGTGCCAGGTGCACGAGGTTCCCTATTGTCTGGCTCTGAACCGCTGATCACGGTCTTCCTATTCCCGCTGACTACACGACCAACGTTGGTAGTCGTAGCAGTCCGTCCCTTTGCCCCAGTAGCCCTGACCTTTTTCACCTCTCGTCCATCCCTTGAGGTCAATGTCGAAGTCGCTAATCTAGTAGACGTGGGCCTTATGTGATTCAGCAGACGAGTGCTTCGGCGCTGTGGCGCACCTGGTTCAACGGGCTGGGGAGCGGGATGGGCAACCTGGCCAGATATGGTTCGCTTCCTGTCACCTGCGGTGGAGACGGGGATTGGCTCTGCATCCATTGGAACAATATTCTGATCTTCTGATTCCACTCTTGATCGTATTCTTGACTTCAAAGCAGTGGCTTTCATTCTCGGGGGTGGGTCCCCATACTCGACTTGCTGTATAGTCCTATTTCGCCGAGTAGGAGCAAGAGGAGGATCCCAAATATCAGTAGAGGATGTTGCACCATTGACAATGCGAGCATCTTCGGTCTCAGTCTGGCCTTCAGGTACTTCGTGAATAACCGTTGTACCCACTGATGCTACGCTGACATTGCTTCCGTTTAGCTTTTCCCACAATGCTGAGCTTCCATTCGAGACGCCAGCGTCACCTTTTGGCGTAGAAAAAAATGGGTCACTATTAAAATTTGTATTTGAATGCATCTGTAGAGGGCCGTTCGACGCCATTGTCTTGTCGCAAATTGCGGTTGGGTCAGGTTGAGGTGCTGCTTGTAACATAGCGACCAGCTCTGGACTTAATCGGTATATGTTGGGAACTCGGATGTTGACCCCTGTGGATATTTAGTCCTTTCAAGATATGGGTTTTTATGTTACAAGTATGCATTAAACTCACCAGCTTCACAAAGTCCCATAAACGCATCCCACATAAAAGGATTGAGCTTCAAGGCCTCAACGTAGCATTCTACAGCTTGTGCAAGATCCTTGTGAGCTTGCCACAATTTCCCTTGTAAGCAGAGCACCGCAGCTGCATCTGGTAAGTGGTGACGGCGTGTTTCGCTATGCTTGTCTACATCCACAATTAGTACAACACAGACGCGTTTGCTCGTTTGACCGACGTATGCTCACTCCAATGGCTCTTTGAAGCCCAAAGGCTCCGGCTTCTCTCAAGAGCGGTGATCCCATCCATGTATTTCCCCAAGTCCAGACATGCTTGTGCATGGACATACGAGCATCCGACGTGGGTTCCCCGAGAACCAGAATTTCGGCTGTATTCCCAAGCGGCCTTGGGCTGACCGCTCAGAAGATGGCATAGCGCGAGTAGATACGAGGCTTCGGATGACCTGGGTTCGTAGGCGTGGAGGCGGCCGGCTAGGAAAAGCGCATTCTTGACGAGATTGTTGTCAAGATGGTAGTAGATCAGTTGCCTGAGCTGGGTGGATATGTGAGACGTGGAAGGCGCCATGACGAGTGACTAAATGATAGAGGCAATCGAGGAAAAACCTGAGAAGATGGTGCCGCAGTTAAGGGCAAGGAAAGGCTGGCGAGGAATAGGGAGGGCGAAGTGAGGATTGCTCTAAGGTCGGACGCATCGAGAGGCGTCAACAATGCGCCAATTGTTTATAAATCGTCGCGACTTCGTTAGTGCGGTGCAAAAGGAGAACGGCAATTTGCGATGATCGTCGACAGAACAGAGTGGCGGCGTTGATGAGCGATGTCAGACAGCTAACAGCTGAGCACTGTTTGTGTATAGCAGCAACAAAAACAATCGGCGGAGTTCTCTATGCAAACCGAAAGTGGAGACCGCGCCTGTTAGTGAATAAAGAAGCCCAAGCCCGCGAGTGAGCTCACACGAGCAGGAAGCGCATACTATCGGCCAAGGGAGGGACGGAGGCAGATCCAGTAAGGCTAGGAGTGGATGGTGAGGATACGTCGGAGGGTTGATATCAATGCTGGCTGGAGTGGCGTGAGGGAGGCGAGGTGGAAGAGAGTTGCTGTTGGATGTTTTGGGCTGTGGCGGCGGCAGGAGGGAAAGCGGCGGTGCCTTGCTGCCTCGCCGCCCGTTGTGTAGGGCAACCGCCGTGTTCTTCTTTCTCTCTTGCACGCTGTTTGCGGCTGTCCTCTTCGACCTGGCACCGCACTCTGCACGCTGCGCGCAGCCATTATCTCTCCGAATACATACAGAACCAGTGCAATGGCTCAGGTAATAATACCATGACATATACTCTACATATCTGCGAGCTTACTCTTTATACTCCAACAGAAAGCGGCGAAATCTCTGGCGGCTCGCAATGCGGCATTGCTGAACAGGTCGCATATCATCACGCTCTCACTGCATGTCCTATTTCTGCTATTGCACTGGCTCTTCAACCGCCCAAGCGCTCTGCTGCCCTATGCCCTCTTCACTTTTCCTGCACTCGCCATCGAGTTCTATCTTGAGCGCCTCGGACGGCCGCGATACAGCCATTATGATGGATCGCTCAAGTCAGCCGGCGAGGACCTGGGTGCCTCTGGCTTGACGGAGTACATGTGGGATATTACATACTGGACATGGGGCTGCATGGTTGCCGTCTGTCTGTTCAATAACCGGGCTTGGTGGCTATATCTGGCCGTTCCGCTGTGGTCAATCTATTTGGCCTGGACTACTTTCTTTGGCATTAAGAACGGGCTGGCTGGTATGGGAGGCGCGAATGATGAGGCGTCTAGTGGTGGTGCCACTGGTGCGTCCAGTAAAAGACAGCAGAAGTTGGAAAAACGCGGTGGCCAACGTGTACAATACCGGTAGAAAGGAAGTTTACAGGTGCGATATAAAAGCGGATGAGATCAATCAGTAAAATGAGGTTCAACTCATCGTCACTGTGCATTAAATCCGAGATATTCTGTACGTTACATTGGCCCAATGGCCGCTGATGAATATAAAAAATGACAAAAAGGAGAAAGAAAAAAAAAAGCATAAAAGAAAAACATTGAGGTCGTGATAATGAAACAAAGAGTATTGAGATCCAGTGCGAAATAGCAGAAGGGGGGAAATCCAATACACACATCCGCAACGAAGTTGGGGATCAAATCAGCGTGAATTTCGACGAACGTAGTCAAGGGAAGCAAAAGAGAATACATCGAAGTAGCCGCGTAAGAGGATATCATGAAAATTTTTAGCCAAAGGGCAAGATGTAAGAAAATGATTCGTGTTGTTGTCACTCAATCATTGCCAAGGCAGGTCTCTGGCTGCATCAGAAAAACCAAGAAAAGCGCATGTGATTTGATTTCCTCATAATTCATCTTTGACCTTGCTTGCCGCACTGTTGATAACGGAGCTAGCCTCGGACTGGAGGTTGGTCGCGCCGTCACCCACATGGGAAGCTACATCTGTGATATGAGAAGAAGCAGAAGAAAAGGCTTCGGATCCGTAGCTTGAGGCTGATGAAAGAGCAGCCGCGGGATAAGGCGTCTCATAGGCGGATCGGAGTCTGCTCATGACGCTTTCTGTAAATGCAGGCTCTTTTCCAACCACAAGCTCGGAAACGAAACTTTCAAGGGCCTCAAAGCGAGATACTTGCTGGTCATAGAGCTGTTGTACCAGGGGAGTCGGTGCGCCGTATATCTGCTCACTGGCTTGTGAAATCATACTCTGCCAGCGTTCAGAGGCCTGGCTGGTTATTGACTCGAAAGTCCCCGTTGGTGTTCCAAAGATAGCCGAGCTGGCTGATTCAGAAGCGACAGACAATGATGACGACGCCGCCGCCATGGCGTTGCTGTATTTCGACAAGGCATCATCAATGACACTGCGAGCAGAATCACCGCCTTTGTCTGCTACTGAGCTGGCGGAGGCAACGACAGCAGCTAGACTCGAAGATGCTAAGCCCGAGACTTGGTGAAATTGGCTGATAGCTTCTTCCAAAAGACCCTGAGGGTCGATAACGGATGGCGTTGGAGAGGGAGAAGGTTCGGGCTCGTAAATTACGTCAGACGCAGAGGAGATGAATGCTGAGTATTGGTCATGAGCAAGTCCGATGGCTTCGTAATAGCGGCGCTGAGCATCAAGGAAAATAGGATTCTGTGTGGCTGTAGGGGTAGGTGCTATTGAGGCCTTCAAATTGGAAAACTGCGCGGACGCAATACTGAGGCCCTCCTGTAAGCGTGATGAGGCAACAGATGATATAGATTCCAAAACGGAGGTTGTAGTTTGAGAACCAGGTACGGGAAGGTTGTAAAAAGCCGAAGAGGCCCTACGTATCACCTAAAGTTAGTGTTGAAATATAAAATGAACATAAACATGGCAGACTTACGCCGCAACAGCCTGTTCATATCTCTCAGAAGCAGCAATCGCAAACTGCTCGCCGACGGATGGCGTCGTCCCATACAATATGCTTGAAGCAGCTTCCACTGCACTGGAGTATTGATCGCGGACCACCGAAGCTGCCTGATCTCCTACGCTGGATGTGGTGGCCTGAGCAAATAAGGCTTCACTGGCTGCTTTTGTAGCCTCCGCGTACCGTTCGCTGGCCTCGCTGGCAAGACTTACCATCTGCTCGGAGAATCTGTGTTCTTGGTCATCATCAAGTATAGGTACTTGATTTGTCACAACCTGAGCCGCAACACCTCCCCAAACTTTACTGTCACTGCTTCGGACATCATCCTTCTCCCCCAAAGCTTCTGCTACTTCGGGCTCGTTTTCATCTTCAAAGCGATCGGCTGTTGCGCCGGTAGGAACTTCAGGTGTCACATCTGCTAGCTCTATTCGTACTGTGGTTGTTTTGTCAAACTCGGTTTCGACCTCTTCAAAGGTTGCAGATGGTGCGGCAGAAGATGCACCACTCATCTCTGGGTCGTCGATGGATATAGACTCTGAGAGAGATTCTTCTTCTACGTTGTCCTCCTCAGGTCTCACTAAAGCTGGAGGTGGTTCAGTCCTGGTCTCGAAATCCTCGCTAACTTCCCTTGCCTGGATCTTCCATTTTCCAACTTCTTTGAGCCGCGATAGCTCCTTAGCGGCATCCTCAGCAGTGGTCATGCCCCTAGAAAGGATGTCCTCTGCAATAATCTTGGCCTCCTCTACCTTTGCGTGTTTGAGACCAGCCTCGTAAACCTCGCCCCTCCATTTATCAAACTGCTTCTTAAGAGCATGGTATTTTGCCCAATCCTTGTAAGTAACTTCATCCATCACGGCCCATCGTATACCAATTTCCTGCAGCCCAAGATCACGAATGCTGTCCAACACTTCTAGCGTGGAATCTGCGGCGGCCGTTACTCTTCGATCAAGTTCCTTTTCGAAGGTATTATACCATTCCCTAAGAGCATGGGCACGATCTCTGATTTCAGTCCCCACTAAACGTATAAAGTGTAAAAGATCCTCATTTGCCTTCTCCTCTTCATAAGGAGCGTCATATGGAGGAAGCTGTTGGATGATTTCATTGATGTGTTCTTTAATCCTCAAAATTTCGTGCTGTTGGACAGTGTGCAAGGCTTCGATCAAGGCCTCCCCATGCGTTTTGGCCCCGCTCTCGAGTTGGCTGTTCACAATATGTGACACTCGATCTCCCAGATCATCAACTCCCTTGTCAGCAGCCATGGCGAACTTCTGTTGCCAGATAAGTAGATCAGAAGCGATCTGTTCCCTGGCAGTTTCAACTCGTTGCTCGAGAGTAAGGGAAGATTGCGTGGCCTCAGCACTTTTTGTTGTAGATGTTGTGGCAGCTGTTGTCTGCGGCTCGCTAACAGTACTCGCTGTAGGCGTGGCCGCTCCTGTAACGAAATATTCGGTGGAGCTGATTTTGTCACTAGATTAGCAAGCTGGTTAGACAATTAATCGTTAACTCTCACTTACCTTTCATATTCATCAACGACAGTCCTGAGCTTTTTACCTTCGCGGTACGAAGCCAATCTTTCTCCAATTTTAACGAGCTGCGGCTCCACATTCTCGCTATACAGTCCAGTAACAGTAGGCAGCAGACTGCCTTTGACGAAGATAGCCAGGGTGGACCATCCTTGGTGGGCTAACGGAATCACAGTCCGAGTAAGAACATCCCGACTGGACGAATAAGCCCTTACAATTAAGGGCTTTGAACGAATATATGAGGGAAGAATGTATCCATTGTGAATATCGGTGGCTTGATTTGAAATGGTTTCAGTATATGGGGTTACAACGTCTAGGACTTGCTGCACGTAAGGATCCAGCTTGTCCTTATAGAGAGTATGTGCTGAGGCCTGAATCGACATCAGTTGTGGCACCGCCACCACCTCCCATTTTTGCTGACCGTATTCTCCAGCTTGTGCGATGGCTGGAGCGCCGTACGTTTCATACCCATGTTTCGCGATTCTCGAAGCAGGGGTATATACGCGCTCGTTGAGGACCGAAGTATAGGGGCGCGCTCGCTCAACGTAAGGTGCAGCATAGGCTTGGTAATATCGGTCGACATGAGGATCGACGTACGAGCGCGTAATCAGATATGGCTTGCAAACACGAGGAGAAGAATCATCCAGGGCCGATATATCAGATGGACAGCGGAGGAACGGCGTGAGGACAGTATACCAGATGCAGAGTCTGAAAAGTCAATATATGTGCAATTTGTTTCGCGGCCGACAGTGTACGAACCTCGCAACGAGAGCTAGAAGCCAGCGAAAGTAGCTACGTCGTGGCCTATCTCTTCGTCCTGGGCCAGACGGTTTCGCCTCTTCTAAAGAATCGGGGATGTTGCCGTTTCGAATCCTCTCGTTCACCGGGGAACTCATGTTGAGCCCGGTGGATTTTACGTCGCGTATTTCTTGATCCCCGAGAATGAGAGCATATAATCACTGCAGGCAGTGCAAGGCTGCAGGCATTTCAGGACGCAGTGAGGAATCTGCGACCTAGTTCACCATGCCGAAAATTCACCTGTAAGTTGCAACTGTACTAGCCAGCTTAGTCTCGCGTGCCGAGGATGTTACCGCGTGGTCTGAGCTCACGTCAATGTACAGTTCACTGCAAACAGAAAGGCCGGTCACTCACCAACGCAAATTCAATGTGGGATAGATAGATAGATCAGAGACTCTCCCAAGAAGAGTACGTCTTGAAAGAACGAAGTTTACTGATGGCGTCTTTGCTGGGCCTTGTTTTGGCAGACTAATGTTTGCTGAGATCATAGCTCCAATCGCGGCGCGCCCGACCTATCAGGTTGCCGCCCAGCAAGGCGGTGTGGGTACTGCACATGTTCTGCAGAAGTATATTACCGCCAGTATTAAATACAAGACTAAGTCATTCCGGGAATTAGTTACGTCAAGTTTGCATGAGAAGTCCGGAGCGTCATCGAGAGGAAAGAAGCAAGATTTGTATAGAGGCTCCTCATACAGTGCTGGCATCTGAAGGTACACTATGCCCTTTTATCCCTGCGTGATAAGTAATGTTTAATCCCTGCTCCCAGAGACGACGCAGGGCTCATTGCCTGATGCACGTGACCTCCGATCTCTTTGTGGCGCAGCTTAGTCACAGCGGATGCGCTAACTTGGATTTTGACTAGCCCAGGGAAGTTGCGACTCTTAGGCTGTCACGTATTCTGCAACCGTCAGACGTACTTTAAGCTTGCAAGCTGCCAAACATCCCATTTGGATGTTTCTTCTCTAATTTCTTCATTTTGGTTCCTGTTACGTTCCATTCTTGGTCCCTATTATTTTTTGGGTGTGCGACTCACTCCGTCAGCAAAAGAAAACATTCTCATCAGCATTCTCCGACCCGCATGAATTGAAAACCCGACACATAAATAGCTGTGCTTTGCACCACCGTCATCAAAAGAGATGATTCTAGTCAGATCTGCCCTCGAAAAATAGACTCGCAAGTATATTATGGATACCGAACAAGGCCCGCGTGCCATGCGCGGTGTTTCTCCGCTCCCTGATCTTATGAACGACCCAGCATATGCGACGAATACAGACACCAAAGGGAAAGGGCTCGACGAACCAGACACATGCCGAATATGCCGTGGCGAAGGGTCTGAGGAGGACCAACTGTTCTACCCCTGCAAGTGCAGTGGCAGCATAAAGTTCGTCCACCAAAGTTGTCTTATGGAATGGCTGTCCCATTCACAAAAGAAGTACTGCGAGCTATGCAAGACGCCTTTCCGCTTCACAAAATTGTACGACCCTGGAATGCCAGCTAAACTTCCAGCTCCAATATTCATAAGAGAACTGGCTATCCATGGACTCCGCTCACTACTTACCTGGCTACGTCTTCTCTTGGTTGCTTTTGTATGGCTTGGATGGCTACCATGGTCCATGCGTGCGATATGGCGTGCTCTTTTCTGGCTCGCAGATGGGCGATGGCCGAGTCCCAATGTCGCGCAGTTACCTCCTACCGCCGCAAATCAATCTGATATACAAACAGGGACGATTCCAGCACCTAGTGATCCAGCAGTATCTGCCGCCACCCAGACTGTCACAAACATACTACCTGGGGTTTTATCACCAGTAACGTCAATTCTAAATCTGTCCACTGAAGAGCCGTTAGGCTTCGCCATCGCCAAGCGTGTACTTCTGAATATCTTTCTTCCGTCTATATCAATATCAGGTGGAGGCAACGCCAGCCAAATCTCTTCAACACCATCTCTACGTTCACGCCAGCCGTCTTGGCTGTCAAATGTTACTTTCCTTAATTCTCTTACACCATCGCCAACCGTGAACAATATTGTTATTGATACATTGGAAGGTCAATTGATTACACTGCTGGTGGTTGTGTCTTTCATATTGGTGTTTTTGATTCGCGAGTGGGTTGTTCAGCAACAACCAGCCGTCAACCTTGGCGAGGAAGAGCGGGATGCTGTGGTGCGACTGATGGCTGAGAATCAAAATCAAGCTAACAACAGGCCTCGCGATCTTGCTGAGGCGCCCGAGATGCCTTCGCCAATTGCTGTTAGAAATGCGGATCTTGAGCGACCTGAAAACCAGTCAAGTGTATACGAATATCCCGTTAATGACGAAGAAATTTCTAGTACGGGTTCGTTACAGACCTCGCATGCCTCGTCGGAATTGACTCCTATTGAGTCTCGTCCCACTTTCGAAACCCGGGCATCAGGTTCTCGACCGACATTGCGATCAAGAAATGCTCTTGATGGAGCTTCGAACATTCGGCGAACGATTGAGGAGGCAGTGAATGAGCCAGGCACTCACACATGGCCTGGCATAGATACATTCAAAGATTTTTGGAATCGTGGCGAAGGAAATCCCGATGAAATTTTGCGTATCATACGCGAGGAGGGACGAGAAGACGAGCTAGGCTGGATTGTGAATGCGATGACAACTCTCAACCGAACAAATACGTCTCGCAGTCCTACTTCGATTAATTTTGATTCTCGAGGTCATGACGATGAGACTGTCGGTGAAGGCCCGTCTAGTTCTGGATATCATGCACGTTCAACTTCCAATGTGTTTCATCACAATTCAGAATCAGAATCTCTGCCCGGAGTGTCAACATTTACGCATTTGGACCCCTTGGATAGCGCGCATTCTCAGGAGGACAATGTGGATTTGTCTAACATTCCCCATGACTGGAATGAGTGGTCAATAAGAGAGGAAGAGGAGGAAGAGGACGAGGTGCCGGCCCCTGACAGTGTCGCAGCTATCGAGACTGAGCGCACTCTCGAAATTCAAACATCGTCTATTGAGCCTCTAGTTGATGCTACGAGTAATACACAAAACAATGATACAGCTCCTCCTAGCGAGAATACCCAGGGCTTTCAACAAGGCTTTGTAAATCGTGTCTTTGATTGGTTTTGGGGAGATCTTGCGGCTCCTGAAGAGCCTGGAGCTCATCTACAAGATGATGAGCATGTCGTGGAAGATCCTGCTTTAGAGGCACCTTTCGTCCCATTACCAAATAGGCACAATGGAGCTGCTGATGCAGCAGCCCCTAATCCATGGCGTGAACCGGCAGTTCCCCAAGCAGACAATGATGCGGATGCCGTGGATGATGGGGACGATTTTGAAGGAATTCTAGAATTGATAGGCATACAGGGCCCGATATTTGGACTCCTGCAGAATGGTGTATTCTGCGCTCTTCTCTTTTCGTTCACGATAGCAGTCGCCATCTGGTTACCCTACCTCTGGGGGAAAATTGCTTTGGTTTTCTTTACAAGTCCGCTTCGACTCATGATCAGAGTTCCTTTGGCGATGCTATCCATCACTGCAGACGTCATTGTTGATTCTCTCATTGGTAGTGTCGGGTACGTTTTGTATGTGGTTAGTCTCATGATAAGGAACCTTCTACGGCCGATAGCTGGATTCATACCGCTGTTGGAAAGAATGCCTCAGGGCACATCCTTCACGCATACATCATTGACTCTCATTGATGGCAGCAGCCAAAGACTTAAGAGGGTGTTAGGTGGATTTTTCGACTTCCATGATACCGATCTCCCCATGTTCTCGGTCCTTGCGCATCAGGCACTACGCATTCATGAGGCTCGCATTGTCAGATTCTTTGAGTTGTTTTTCGAAGGGGCAAAATTTGTTCTACATGACATGCCTCTCAAGCTTCTTTCTGGGGATTATAGGATCGATATGATGCTTGCGGCTTCAAAGGTTGACATGACCACTGTTGCGAATTTTAAGGAAGAGTTATTCGGCTTTGCCAAATCTTTATTCTCGATTTATGGCAAGTCAGAGTGGGACAATGACGTTTCATTTCTCGTTCACCCTGGGTATGACCTCGCCCGCTGGGACACAAAAGACCGTGCCATAGCTATCGTCACCGGATATGTTTTTGCTTCTCTTCTTGGTATTTTATATTTGAAGGTTACTGGCTTTTTCACTGGCACGAACCGCGCTCAGAGACCCGAAGGTGTTGTCGCCGAAATACTACATCAAGCTGGTGGCGTCATGAAAGTAATCCTTATTATCGGGATTGAAATGCTCGTCTTTCCCCTTTACTCTGGACTACTCCTAGATGTAGCTTTGATGCCGCTATTTGAAAACGCCACCTTTACGTCGAGACTTGCCTTTACACTATCAGCGCCACTCACCTCATTATTTGTACACTGGTTCATAGGCACATGTTACATGTTCCATTTTGCTCTCTTTGTATCCATGTGCCGTAAAATAATGAGAAGCGGCGTACTTTGTAAGTCCAATGGCTCTCTTTTGTGTATCGTCACTAACATGCATAGACTTCATACGTGATCCCGACGATCCGAACTTTCATCCCGTGCGTGATGTCTTGGAGCGCGATATAATAACGCAGCTACGAAAAATTGCATTTTCTGCATTGGTTTATGGTGGTTTGGTAATCATCTGTTTGGGTGGTGTGGTCTGGGGCTTATCATATGCCTTTGACGGAGTACTTCCAATTCGCTGGTCATCAAACACGCCGATACTCGAATTCCCTGTCGACTTGCTATTCTACAACTTCGTCATGCCTGTTATTTTGCGAATAATTAAGCCATCAGATGGCCTGCATAACATGTACGATTGGTGGTTTTACAGATGTGCTCGATTTCTACGGCTCTCGGAATTCCTCCTCGGGGAGAGACACAAGGATGAAGAGGGGCATCACGTTGGCCGTACGTGGACAGATCTCTTGTCCGGTAAGCGAGGCGATGTAGAGAACCCAGTCATAACTGATGAAGATCGGAAAGCTACAGAAGAGAAAGGCAACAACCTTTTTTTCGTTCGAGACGGAAAGTTTGTGCGCGCTCCAGCTTCGGATCAAGTTCGCATTCCTAAGGGAATCAAGGTCTTCCTTGAGGTGACCGAAGACAATGAGCGTGTGGACAATATTGCAGACAATGATGAGGGTCTACATGGCAAACATAACGAGATGTTCATTCAAGTCTACATTCCGCCACATTTTCGACTACGAATTTTCACTTTCATTTTCATGATCTGGGTCTTCGCAACAGTCACAGGAATTGGTGCAACTATTTTGCCACTGGTTATAGGTCGCCGCTTGCTCTCGTCCTTTTTCCCACAATTCGTTCGAATGAACGACATTTACGCATTCTCCGTCGGTATCTCCATTTCTGTGAGTACTGCATACGCAGTTATCTATATGAAATCTGGATACAGAAAATTGCAAGCGAGTTTGCAGCCGATGCTGTCAAATCCCGGTCAAGCAGCAAGCGATACTGCGGAGATCATACTTTGTGTCATGCGATTAGTCTATCTGTCGGCGGCATTTGTCTTCCTGATTCCATCCCTATCTGCGTTGCTTACGGAGCTCTACGTATTTATTCCTGTGCAAACGTATATGCACAGCCAAGAAACACATGTTATTCATTTCGTTCAGGATTGGGCTGTGGGCGTCCTTTACGTGCAGATGGTTTACATTTATATCCAGTGGAGGTCTACCTCCCGACTCGCAACGGCTCTTAACACAATAGCGCGCGATAACTGGCTGCGACCCAATACACGTCTGGCTACACGAGCGCTTATTTTACCGGCTCTGATCCTGACGTTCTTCGCTGTATCTTTACCCTTATGTTTGGGTTTCGTCGCCAACGAAACAATTTTCCCACGCTCGGGCTCAGATGTACAGTCGCGGGTCTATCGCTATTCATACCCTGCATCTCTCGCAGCATGCTTATTGATCTACGCATTCTATCTACTTCGCAGACAGATTGGCGTTTGGCGAGCGAACATCCGCGACGAAGTGTACCTGATTGGTGAGCGATTACACAATTTGGGAGAAAAAAGAGCTAGGGACGTTACAGCGGTGCGTCGGCGAGTGAGTACGGCATAGAGCAGGCATAGCAAAGTCCATCTCATGTTTGCACTCTTTTCATCTTCATTATTTTCTTAATGCATGCGAATTTCATAGCGGATGGGTTGGATTTGGTTCACTGCGCTACGGGAAAGCCACCAGCCACATTGAATGTACATAGAGGTGAATTTTATTCTACTGTAGCAATATCCTGTTGCTTCTATTTTCCTTCCAGAACCCTTCCATGCATGTTACCGTAATGGCACGATGACTGCCTAGCGGAATGACTCATGAGTTCCCGCTGCGTCATGCGCCACACTAACTGCTTAGTTATAGTTACTATGTATAGGCCGTGCTGTATGTAATATTACCGCTTTGGTACGTAGCGTCGCCGTAGTGCCCGCCCTTAACCCCCCGTGGCCCACTCCACGCTCCGGCAGTGCATGGCAGCCTGCATTCCTATTGGCTCAGTGATAAGGCAACAGAATTATCCGATCGCCGGTCTGCTTTAAACAGTAGCCTTGCCAGGCTTCAACTTCATGTTCGTTTTTGCGCCTTCATATAAAAAGCGTGGCACGCCCAATTATTCCACCCCTGCCATCTGCGGTCTCATGCCCTCCTTTTAACGCAGACGTCACTTCCGGTGTATGAGCATCGGACTATTGCCACCATGTCTGTTCTTCGGCAGGGAGGGTCTTTCCTCCAACGACGTCTGACGAAGATGTACACAGACACGAAAACTTCGTGCGAGAGCGTCACAACGGCTGCGAAAGGAACCGACGATCCAGAGCTGGTAGCATTGCATCGCAATTATCGCACACAGAAGGATAGACTACTCGCCTGGGGCCTCGACTGGAGCGACTCGAACGCTGCACAACCGAACGACATCGATGAATCGTTGACGGAAGCGGGCTTCAGCGATGTAGTCGCCAGTGTTATGTCGTCCATACAGGAGATTCTCAACGAAGCTGAACGGTTACAACACGGTGAAGCCCCGGCGTTACCACCAAAATCCGATAGCGGCGAGCTGCCTCCAAAAGAAGTTTTGGTGGGCAAATCTCACTGGACGGAGGAGGATATAAAGCGTTCCTACAGCTTGCTGGACGACTTGACATCGTGCATTGATACACTTTATGATTTATCGCAATCACGGCGGAACATGACCATGATGACTTCGTCAACCGACCAGTCGGGCAAAATCAAAGCGCGTTCTCAAACGACGATTCCAAAAGTTTCCAAGTTGGCAGCAGAATCTCACCGATCCATGTCTGCTGATTCGAAGCCGCCGCTACCGTTAGCGAAGGACTTTGTGGAGAGTTCAGTTGATAGGAAGGGAAAGACAGCGTATCAGAGACAAGAAAGGATTGATGTGTCGCCATATTCGAATTTTCATGCTGTTCCAAATACAATGAGGGAACCCATTTTCGCAGAGCGCCAGATAACTGAATCCTTCACATCGACCAAGCATCTTTTCATCGACCGATCAACTTTGCAGCTCTCCGGCGCCTCTCATGCGAAGAGTCCTCCACCATATGAGCAAGTTGCGGCATCCACAAATTCTCGAATCATTGGTCGTGTGCAGACCACAGCCACGCCGTTTATGACTGGTCTGACCAAAGAATCGACTATCCCCATTCTCGTTGAATTCACCCCCATGATGCTTGAGTCCCAAAGTTCCGTGACCATACCCGCAGCTCAGAGACTGGAAAGGATACATCGGTCATTAGATCAATTAGTCGAGAATTCTCGCGTGTCACATTTGGGCTTGTTGCGGTTTCTTGGCTATTATATCGACATGTCCAATGCCCGCTATGCATTCGTATACCAGATGCCGGTGGATTATTTCCCATTTTTGAGCAATCCGAGCAATCTTTTGAAGGAATTGAAGCCGAAGACTTTGGTCTCTATGTTTCACTCTGGAGAAGAGCACCAGGATATCCCTGTACCGACCCTGGAAAGCCGATTTCGTCTTGCTTATAACCTCGTTTTGTCGGTCTTACATTTGAGGAGTCAGAATATTGTCCATGGGAACATTAATAGCAGCAACATTCTTGTCTTCCCAGGTTTAAAGAATTCCGGTCAAGATGAGATCGGAAACTTGATTGAAGACTTGCGACACCCCTACCTCACATCACTCGCCCAATTCTCTGGCAATGAGCCTACTCCTGAACCTCTTTCCTCGAGCATGTATCGTCACCCTGACGATAAGCGACTACTAGAGGATGAGGCGGCCTGGACCTATGATCTCTATTCCTTGGGACTGGTTCTTCTTGAGATCGGTCTCTGGGCTCCGATCAGCCGTCTTTGGAAGATGAAATACAACAACGCCATGTTCAAACAGCGAATTGAAAACGTGTATATCAAAAAGCTGGCGTCAAAATGCGGGAATGCCTATTTGCATGTTGTTCAACTTTGTCTCGATGCTCCGAACTTTCAATTATCAACAGAACCAATGGCAGATCTGAGCTTGAGAGTACCTAGAGTCTTCACATACCCGACTCTAGAATTTGCAGAGCCCGACAGCCAGTTTGCTTTCTCCGCTAATTTCATTTTCACAATGAGCAAAATCCTTGCTCAATGCTGCGCAATCGACATTTTCTCGCCCCCGCCTGACGCGGATCTAGACGATTGTCTACCCTTAGCACTTGGCCGCGATCTAGAATCAGAACCAGAGCCCATCGGTAGCGAAGCATGGCCTCGGCCTAGTCTACCAATGGAACATCAACAATTTCAGAGTGACTACCAGGACAGCAAGAACACCCATGTAGTGGCTGATGCTACAGACAAGAAAGTAAGGAAGCGAACTGTGAAGAAGTTGACCAACGTAGAAATTCCGCAAGAGCACCTCAACCAATGGAATTTCTTCACTATGCCCAAACTGAGCAAACTTTTGCATAAGATACTCAAGGATTCTTCTGAGTCTTGTACTGCCTCATTGATGGTGACCGGCGAAAGCGTGGAAACTGCCAAAACGACCATCTGCGTTACATGTTCGAACGTCAAGAAAGTTCGAGCCATTCTCAAAAAGTACTTCGAAGTTGAGCAGGACTGGGACTTGATTGTACTTCGCGGTGATGTTACCAGATCAAAGGTTCCAAAACGGCGACGACGCCAAGCACATTCCTCGACCTCAGCTAATGCTTTCGAACCAGCTTTCACTCAACCGGACTTGAATCCACATTATCAGCAGAAGCCTATTTGTGGAGCCTCAATTGGCGCTTTCAGAAATGAAGAACATCTGCCCCCTGTCTCATATGGCGGTGCTGTTTTGATTGATGGCAGGCCATTTGGGATGACTGTGCATCACATGCTCGAGGCACCTAGTGATGATGAGGATGAGGATGAGGATGGAGCAGCGGAGACTCTGCAGCGATCTTCTGCTAATACGGCTGGGAACATCAATTTGGCAGCTGATGACTTCGTCTCCACATGGGGCGACAGAGATCCAGAAACTGACCTTGAAATCGAGCTCTCAGAGGATGAGGACGAGACAACCTCGCAGGAAGGAGATTACTGGCTTTCCGACGATGAATCTTCAGATGAAGATGAATTTTATGACCCATACGATGAGGCAGACTCGGCATCAATTGGGGACACTGCTGGCGTGGATCCGGATGAGGAACCACAGTTGCTGGTTACTCAACCTGCCATTGATGACGTGCACGAAGACTTCTTTCCTTCTCCTGAAGATAGGGATGATGAACATCTTGCCTCACACAGTCTCGGTTATATACATGCATCATCTGGTCTACGCCGCTGGACCAGGAAGGGTGTCAAACATGAGATCGATTGGGCATTGATAAAACTCAACGAAGGTCGCATGGACGCTCGAAACGTCGTCGCTGCACCAACGAACCGGAGGGTGAACACCATTTCCAGACCGAGTCAACAACATAGTGTACAGCCTACTGGAGGAGCTCCAATCTACCTCACCAAGGTAGCCAGGGTCGAGGAACTCGGGGGTCTCAGAGTACAGTGCCATGGCCGGACAAGCGGCTACCAAAGCGGACGGATATCGCAGGCAATGACTCTGGTGAAACTACACGGACGGCAATCATTTTCTACCAGCTTCTGTGTTGATGGAGGCTTCGGAGGTATGTATAAACATAGTTCAATAATATCATGCATATACCATTTCATTATCACCTGCTAACTTGCTTCGTGTAAGTGCCTGGCGATTCCGGAGCTTGGGTTTTCGAAGCATCCACTGGTCGCGTTTGCGGTCATGTTCTTGCATGGTCTGAGAAAAGTCGCACTGCATACATTGCGCCTATGCAGGTTCTTCTAGAAGATATATCTCGAACCCTTGGTGCTTGCACTGTCACATTACCTGAATGTCAGGACAACGACGGTATCTCCGCAGCCTCGATGTCACGAATTTACGACCAACATCAACAACAGACAAGACGATTCAGAGAAATGCCAATTATGCCGGAACATATCCCCATTGAACTGGGCCGACTAAATCTGAATAATGAGCCCGCTGCTTCCACTAGCATGCGACCCTCGCTAGGCAGAGTTGCTAATCGAAATCATCACCTCGGAGAAGTTTCGCCTTCATATCATCGTGCTGGACCACCACCAGTGATGACACGGGCAGGAGGCATGGAGAGACAGCCCGCATGACATTTTTCTTCATACAATCCCTTTTCTACTGTCTTTCCCTCCGTCTATCTCTCTCTCTCTTTGTAATCTCGGGGTTCTGCGTATTGATTGTTATTGTTATTTATGATACCAAATTTTTGTCCAAACTTTATATATATGTGCGGTTTTATCGCTTCATTGTTACTACGTATTCTGTACATGCCATCCGTCTCTCTCTTATGCAGATATGTCTCTCCCTACGCACCTATCTACTACTTACCAATCATACCCATTTTCATCCTCGTCCCCTGAACTCAAGAATGACCTAACATGGGATGGAATACCTACCTCATACCTCCTACCTACCTACCTAGTCGAACAAACATATCTTTAAATCAATAAAAAACCTAGGTTTCTCTCTCTGTTTTTCTCTTTGACGCCAATCATTCAGTATATCAACATCGTCATTGTCATAATATCACCTCAGCTCAACCGGAAAACTCAAACTCAAGCCCAAAGCGTCGTTCTAGTCTCAGTGAGACCGCGCCACACGACGAACGATACAGAGCCTTTATTATTTCCATGCAAAGGCACCATCCCAATTCCAGTTTATGGCAAAGAAAGGTGAGTGAGGTACGTATGACACATCCACGTCCAAGTCAGTTTAGCGATGCTTCCACCCTATATATCAATGGCTTTAGAGAGAGAGCAATGTTTACTTTACTTTTTTTTTTTTCAAGAAAAAACTGTAGGATTCAAGGATGTATTGTTCCAATACGTATAAGAAAGCCTATATACTTAGCTTGGATCTATTTATAACCCAGTGAACTAGGGCAAGCTACTGCGTAGCCCTAGTTTCATAGAAACGGACTAATCCTTTACATTACGCCAATAACGCTGGAACTACTACAATATGTCTAACTATTTTGAGTCTTATAAGTGCACCCGTCTACCATGCATAAATGGTTACTGCTACAATTTCAAAATGTATCAAATATGGAAGACCTGTCGAATCGCTTTGTAAGCTTTCCATAGCATCATTAATCTACACTATTGACGTTACTGGAGCTGCAGACATAGCTGCTAGAATCAAATTCGCCAATGAAAATAAACGCCAGACTTGTCATTAAGAATACTGGTCACGATATGGTGGCAAGGTGAGAGGGACATCCCAAGAGTAGTGAGAAATCTTTTGACTTCCATAGATCGGCAGACCCCAAGAGTATGGAAGCCTGATAATCTGGACTAGAAATATTGGTGACGGAATTGACTTTCACAGCAATTTGCTCCCAACTGTTCCCGGACTAATTGGACTGGTGCTGCATTTACTGTTGGGGGTGGCTATATCTGGGAGGAAGTCTATGCTGCTGCGGTCGCTCAAGGCTGTGTTGTCGTTGGTGGTGATGAACCAGTATATCTCCCTGGTTTTTGCAATCCAATATATATATATATAACTATACTGAATTTTTGTGTGTTTAGGCTATTGGCTCGATTGGAGGCTATTTATAGGATAACAGCCACTTCCCTCTAAGCTATTGGTTTTGACTTACAGTGGACTAAGTCCTCGATTTAATAATAGTACTAGCATCTGGTGAAGTTGCTATAGCTAATGCAAGCTAGATTACTGATCTTTTTACTACCCATTGCGGAGGAGATGGTCGCATATTTTGTGTTGTTATATTAGTTATGATCAAATCATACTTAACATATCTGGGTGTCATTCCGTTGGCTAATACTTCTCTATCGTAGGCATTGAACATGACTGCAGGCCTTTTGTCGAAATATTATATCGTGTCTGATGCTGGGTTTGTAGGCCATGGCTTGGTAGGAGATGCATCATCCATCGTGAAGATCGTCTCCCTGTTGTATATGGCCACACTTTCCCTCTTATGTTTTCTAATGGCACTAGCTCTGCTAGTGTTGAAAAGGCAGGCTAAATCACTTGTCAATACTGAACTTGTGCAATATCTACTCCCGTACAATGGGAGTGAGATCTTGCTAACTTCCTCATGGGATTCGTACCCTTCCTCCAAGGCTTATTAAGATACGCACAGGGTCATCGTGGGTTGGCGCAACAAACATCATGCTTAGCTCGCGGCAGTTTGGTAAAGAGTCTCTCTACTCGACAACACGAAGAACATGGGAGGGATGATTCATACTACTTCCACGACTCAGGATGAGAAGACCCTTAGTGCCGAGAAAGTAGTATTCTTTATGAATCTGGTAGACAGTGGTAAAGACCTGGAACCGCAGCCATATACCTCCATGCAGCCAGCGTGGAGAAAGACCTATGTCCTCAACGAAGTTATCGCTATCATGCCATGACAGCGCCTGCGCAGCCTATATCAACCCTCTTGAATTGGTTCAGGGTGGCATTGCAATGAACAAGTTGCTGCCTGATATGCAAATCAGGAAACGAGCCATGGTCACTAAGCCGGTGATACGAGAAGACTTGCACTTGTAATCTGAAAACTTGCATCCTACGCCCCAAGAGAGTCTGGATAGTGATGGCTATGCACCGCTTGCTGCTCAAAATACATAACAACTTGTGCCTGAACTGGCAACAACAAGAACAAGATCTGACTATGGTCGACATTTGAACGGCCAGCCTGAGACTAGGTACTACCTGTTCGACATGAGCTATGACCCTGGAAGTTACCAGTATGGTCAATGAACTTATCAATAGTGGCCTTTGAGGTTACTATCGCTCTTTCTTGCTGTAAAGATGTGTTTTATGAAATTGTTATGTAGTTATAGTTGCAAGCGTCTTATGGGAATTTGAGTGGTTTTGTTGTCCCTCAGGCGAAGCGCGTATTGAATAAGTCACAATATTTGTTGCTGTGATGATCACCTAGGGACAGGTGGGAGGAGCACGGGTTTGTAAGTCATCGGGGTTTAGTTAATCATGAATAAATGCAAGCCACGAGTTTATGACCTCGGGAGCATCTGATCATCTACCATTACGGGGACAGCAAGGCATTCAGCTACGAATGGAGACGTTACATTGAAATATAAAGGAAATTCATATTTGCACATTGATTCATAAAAGAGCGTACAAGACAAAACAAAATCATGACACAATCGTTGACAACACTAATAGTATGTAAGGGAAAACAAAGCACAACGATGCCTTTCAACCATTAACCCGACCTGTAACGAGCCTACGTGTATAATAATAAGAATGCAGTATCAAACCAAAATGAAAAGAAAAAAAGAGAAAAGAAAAAGGCAAGCCAGGATGCAAATTACACCGATCCCAGATACTTAAGGACGGATTCGCGCTCCTCGGCGGGCAACATGCTCAAAACCTGTTGGACACCCTTGAGACCTCCCTCCTTGTTGCCGATCAATAATTGAGCGACGTCTGAAGCAATAGTATCAGTCTTCAAGGCGTCAATCTTAGCAGAGATGGCCTTCTTGTTCTCTTCATACCAGAGAGCAACCTTGCGGTCGTTCTGGTCAAATTCCTTATCCAACAAGCCACTCCATGCCTTGAGAGTTAGGGTATGAGCCTCACGAACAGCCGAAGAAGGTGCAACAATGCTGCTAACAGACTTAGCACCGCTGTTGCCAGACTTTGGCGTGGGCGCTGGCTGGGCTTCAGTCAAGCGCTTGAGAATCAGTTCTTCGCTCAGACGGCGGCGCAGACGCCAGTAGAAGAACCGTCTGGCGTTCTTCCATTGCAGAGGTTGACGGATGGTACCCTTGGCCTCCATACGTCCTGCACGGTCGTGAAGGTCGGCGAATTGCAGGGCAATTTGCAGGTAGACAGGCGAGAGTTGCTCCTCACGGGCAGCCATCTTGGCCTTGACTTCGGACAGCTGCTCGTTGCTGAGTGACTTGTCCTCCAGCTGTCGTCGAAGCTCACCATAGGTAGCATCCAAGCGAGCCATGGTGTCAAGCTGCTTCTCGCGACGGTACTTGATGTTAACAATACCCTCGGGCTCCAACACACCACCGCGAGCTTCCTCATCCGCATACATTTCCATTTGCTGGGGGTTAATGGTTGGATCAATGACCACCTAATAGTAATATTAGCAAGTGTTACGAAGCAATTAGAGATATAGAAAACAGCAATAGTAACTTACCCATGAACCACCACGGAGCTCACCGAAAGGCGGGATGTACACAAAGATCGGCTGCTCATATTTAACAAGAGCATCAACGATGTAAGAACCGTACTTGAGAACTTCGTTGTACATATCACGCTGTCCACCAGAGAATCCACGCCAGTTAGCCAGGATCATTACTGGAAGCTGTTCACCATTGTTGAAATCCCGCAGAGCTTGTGCGGTCTTGTAGGCGGAGTTAGGGAACCACACTCCACCAGCCTCAGTGGTAGCCATTTCCATAGAGTCTGGGTTGGCAGGATCAGCCGGAGTGACGTTGTCGACAGAGCGAGTCTCAACTGCAATAACACCCATAGGGATACCGCCCAAGCGAGCACGGCCAACAACGACAGTTCTGGCCCAACCACCAAGGCTCTCTTCGAACGAGTCCTTGTCGAAGAGACCGCTCAAGAAGCCGTCCTCCTCCTGCTTTCCGGCAATTAGCCATCTCACATCGTACGGCTGTCGGGGGGGAGGAACGAAGGTGATATCACGATCCCAGTTGTCGGACAATGGTCGAATTGGAACAGGAGAACCCTTCTTTTCAGGAACGAATGATAGCCAATCCACGATCTTCTGAATACCCTCAAAGTCGTCGTTAGCAGTCATGTGAGAGACACCATTCTTGTACATGATTTGAGTGCCACCGAGCTGCAGGTTAGAGGTATAAACCTCTCGGCCAAGCAGCTTGTTGATAGCTGGAGCACCGGTAAGGATGATAGGCTGGCCTTCGACTTGGATTGCACGTTGACCGAGACGCACAAGGTAGGCACCGATACCAACGGAACGGCAAGTGACAAGGGTGATGGTGAAAATGTCCTCGTAAGCCCGCGAGGTTTCACCAGCAATGAGACCTGAGCCACGCAGACACTCGACACCGAGTCCGTCCTTAGCACCAATGACCGAAGTGATTTTGTGACGCTCTTCGCCAGCTTCGGTAATGGGCTCGGTGATGACTTCCTTAACTTTTCGCTCATCAAATTTCTTCTTGACCTCGGGAGTCAAATAAAGATATTTAAAGCCAGCTTCTGGCTTAGCAGGGTCGTTCCATGCCACGTTGAGGTAAGGAATCAACTCATCAGCCATACCAATGCGGGCACCAGAGTTGGCAGACAAGTAGATACGAGGGATACCAAGCTTCCTGGCCAGCTCAGTGCACTTGTGGAAGAATTTATCTTCCTGTGGACCAAATGAACCGATTTGATATGTGATATCGTTGGCAATGATAACGAACCTGCGGCCCTTAGGATATTCGGGGGTGTAGGCTGTAACGATCCAGCCGACCATACCGTGTGTGTTGGTGCCAGCTTCGCGAGACACTTCAACTAGATTGTCGGTGTCGTCCAAGACGAGCTCGCTGTACTCGATGCATTCACCCACGGGAGGTCGCTTCTCAGCTAGGGATGGGATGCTTGCAATGCTCTTGGTCCAGCTGTTTTGGAAGGCTTGGCGGAACAGTTCTGGAAAGTCATAGACGTATTGAGTACCCATCAAATGAGCCTTGTAACGCTTAGGCTGTAGCCACTCCTTGGTAGGATAAGGCGTGGATACTGGGCGCAGATGCATGGAGCCAACCTTTGAGTCATCTCCAATACTGTGGAAGATCCATTCTCCCTTCTCGGACTTCCTCTCAACGTACAATTCAACTTGAATGATGAAACCATAGGTGTTATTAATGACGACACGCAGTGGGTAAGAAGCACCGGTAGCCGGGTCGGTACACAAAATGCGAATTTCAGCACCAGTGACACGAAGTCGCCAGAGACGAATACCAAATCGGTCGACAAAGCCTGCCAGAGCATCCTCAACGTCCTTGGGTTGCAGAGGGAACACCTGCGAGAAGTTGATAAAGATGTGGTTGAGATCAGAGTTGTTGTTTCCGATAACTTCCAAGGCATCGAGAATATCGTTCATCAATCGGTCGGCCTCCGAGATCAAGTATTCAGCAGTGGGGATGTCATCGCGGAGACGGCCGGGACGCACAACTGCACGAGTGAAGTAACGCTTGTCGACAGTTTGGCGGTCAACCTCAGAGCCCTTTCCAATAGCCTCATAAACGTGAATGTTACGGTTTTGAGTGAAGACGGGCTTAATCTTGAACTTGGACAAGCGTCCCAATTCCAATTGAAAAGCCAATGCAGGTTCACTGTGACGGATACTTTCATCTTCCTCGTACAAGGGGCCACGGAAGGTAAAGTAGCCAGGGTAAGTACCGTCCTGGTGACCGCAAATGAAAGTGATGCGGCGGATTCGTCTAGAAAGAAGTTCTTCCTTGTTTTCGTTAATGATCTGCTTGAATTGAGCGAAAAGCTGGACATCGTCAAGATCCTCCACATCCCGGATGGCGACGGTACAGACACCGGACAGCTCCCCATTGCTGTCTTGACGTGGTGCAGGTCGGCGTTTACCACTGAGCTCGGAACTCAATAGGTTTGACTCAAGAGTCTTCTTTGGCTTGGAGGTGGTGCGAGGGAACACGCTGAGAGAGCGAGCGAGACTCTCCTCCACTTCCTCCAGGTACTGGACAGGGAGGATGACACCCTGGCGTGGGGATTCACTTGCCTCCTCATCGACCAGGTAAGACATGTCACTGATAGAGTGAATTCTCTTAAAGGGGTTAGGGCCCTCAGCGGTAGGTGTGCCTGGAGTAGACGGGTGAGAAGATGCGATGGGAAGTCCAAAGTCAGCCTCGCCGATCTTTCCCAGAGAGAAGTCCCAGGAGACAAAAGGGGATTCGCCTTCAGTGTGATACTGAATGCCCTTCAGAGTGTAAGCACGGTAGGCACGGCGAATATAGACTTCCAAGGCAGCCAATGTAACCCAGACGTCGGAGTGAGAGAAGAATTGTGGCAAGACGTCGAACACGGTGAATTTGGAGTCAACAACTTCCTTCAAAACACCAAAGTCTGGTTCCCGATGATCCCATCCAGCCTCGCCATAGCGAGACTCAACTACAGATGAGCGCAGAATATGTTCCATTTGAGTGGCTCTCTCCTCAAGGGATGGCAAGGCAGCTTGGATAAGAAGCTCACGGGCCTTAAGAGCGACCTTGGACGCAGCGCGGGACTCTAATTCTGCAAGTTTTCGCAAGATCGGCTTAACATATTTGCCAATGTTGCCAACGTTGGGTTGGTTTGGACGGTACAGATCCAAAATAGCAAGGACAAGGTTATTCTTTGTGCCAACTTTCGTGTGGGAAAGGACGGTCTGAATTACAGCACGAATGTCATCCTTGTTCTCGTCACGTAGTTTCAGGATGACCTCCTCATCACGAGTGTTCCGTCCTGTAAACCTACTCTCGACAGAATAATACTGCTCCAAGAGCTCAATGAAGACCTTATACTCATGAACCTTGAGACCATCATAGTAGAGCTCAATCACGCTAACAAGGGGGGTCAAAGTAGTCTTGAGGATGTCTGCATCTGCCGGGTTGACATTCTCTTCAACGAACTTGACGATTGTCTTTTGCAGAGACTTGGCGGGGAACTCAGCTTGTCGAGATTTGGCGCGTTCAACAACCTGTGCGACTTGACTGGAGAGCTTGGCTGGCATACGAGAGTGAAGAGCAGCGAACTGTGCATTCCACTGACCGTAAGGAAGCTCAGGATCACGCAATACCTCGATCAGTTCCTTCAAGGTTTGCTTCATAAGGAACTGATTGTCATAACCTTTGAGAATGTTCTCCAAAGTGCTATGAAGAAGTGCGTACCTCTGGGGAGGTTTGTTACCGACAATCTGGGGAGGACCAATGTCGGGAAGCTGCCCGCTGAAAGGCTGAGCATGCTTGACACGAGATGGGTCATCCAATGCCAATATACCAAGAATGTCACCAGCCTCCAGGGTTGCACCGGGCTGCTTGATGAACTGTACAGTACCGTCCTCTTGGGCAATCAAAGGCATGTACATCTTCATGACCTCAACCTCAGCAAATGGCTGTCCAGCCTTAACATGGTCGCCATTATCCACGGTGAACTTGACCAGCTTTCCAGGGCTAGGGGTACGTAATTGTGTTGGATCGTTCTCCTGCTCCAAAAGGCAGGTCTTGCCATCGACACTCATGCGGGTAGCCGCGGCCTCCTCTTTCCAGTAGACATTGTGACTGCGGCCATTCATCAGAACAAGCAAGCCACCATCAGCCAAGGCACGGACACCAACTGAACATTTGGAGCCGTTGATGAAGAGATGGTAACTATCAGCACTGGCCTTGGTGGCAGTAAACTTATAGCGGCTTCCATCGTAGATAAATTCGACCGGGAAAACAGTCTTCAGAACCTCCTTAGATGGGACTTGACCTCTCTCTAGGTTGGATTGGTACTCAGCAATGCATCCCTCACTGGCCAAATGAGCCTTTGTAACGGCACCACAGATAACAGCCAATGTTGGGTCTGGGCGTTCTGCGGTAAGCTTGTTGGAGATCAATTGGTCTAGCCACCCGGTGGTGATGGTGTTATCCTCAAACGCAGGTGTTTCGAGCAATTTGATAAGGTATTCGACGGTGGTCCTGAAATCACCACGAATGCTGAGTTCCTTTAAGGCAACAACCATGTGTTTTCTAGAAGCCGTACGGTTTTCACCATAAGCGAAGATGTGACCGAACTGACTGTCGGAGAAACTGTGAATACCACCGGAGGAACCGACGGAGAAATAACCCCAGACATTGGATGAACTGCGGAAGTTGAGCTCGTGCATAGTTCCACTTGACGGTTTGAAGCCCTCGCCAGGATCTTCGGATGTGATACGGCAAGCGGTACAGTGACCCTTGGGCTGTGGGCGACGCTGCGCTGAGCTGCTGTCCTCCTTGGAAAAGTCGAAATCGATGGTGGAGGAAGTGTGGGGGTCGACACCATACAGAAGACGGATGTCGCGAATACGGTGAAGAGGAATACCCATGGCAATCTGGAGTTGAGCAGCAGGCAAGTTCACACCAGTAACCATTTCAGTGGTGGGGTGCTCGACTTGTAGACGAGGGTTAAGTTCCAAGAAGTAGAACTTGTCATCGGAATGGGAGTACAAGTATTCAACAGTACCCGCCGAGACGTAACCGACAAGCTTACCCAAGCTGACTGCAGCACGCTCCATAGCCTGGAAAGTGGTGTTGTTCGCAATGGTGACGGGAGCCTCCTCAATAATCTTCTGGTGTCGTCGCTGAACCGAACAATCACGGCCGAAGAGCGAGATATTGTTACCATATTGATCAGCAAGCAACTGAACTTCCAAGTGCCTGGCATTGCTAGCCAGCTTCATAATGAAAATAGGCGAGCCAGGAATCTCACTGGCAGCGGCATTATACAGGTTCACGAAGTCCTCTTCTCGTTCAACTTTTCGAATACCTTTACCACCGCCACCTTCGGACGCCTTCACCATGACAGGGAAGCCAATCTTGCGAGCGGCCTCCAAACCTTCCTGTGGTGAATGTGTGCAGCCAGTGTCGTAGACATGGTCCGCGACCGTCACGATTCCATCCTTGTCCACCTCGACCTCTTCAACTCCGGTTCCAGACCAGGGAATGCAAGGCACGCCGGCATGTTGCGCAACAATTGTCGAAGAGATCTTGTCTCCCAGTGATCGCATGGCAGAACCTGGAGGACCAATGAAGATGATCTTCTTTGGCGATGCCGCCAAGGATTCAGGAAGCTTTGGGTTTTCGGAAGCATGACCCCTGTGATTTAAGTTAGCAAAAGCTCCTTTATTGCGTTGTGGATGTCATACCATCCGGCCCAAACAGCATGAACATTCATGCGTTCAGCAATATCAACAATCAACTCCACGTTGGCATAATTATTGTTGTTAGTACCACCAGGTACCTCTACATATTGGTCTGCCATGCGAATGTAATCGGCGTTGGCTTGCAAATCTTCAGGCGTCGCCATGACAGTGAACTGTATGGCACGCTCATTGCCAAACACTTCATATGCCCATTTTCTTACTGAACGAATTTCTTTCACGGCAGCAATACCGTTGTTGGCAATGAGAACCTAGAAACACCAACCCGTTAGGCCAGAATCATTTCTTCTATGTCGTTGAGAGCTATACATACCGAGGTAATGACTGAGTGACCATCATGAGCAGCAACAAAGTCCTTGACGTTGCTTGGGGGAGCAGACTCTAGGCTGTTTCCGCCGATAAAATGTGATGGCAGGTTATGTTTCGCGGCGAACGAACTGCCGTTCGCCTGTACTCCGTTCGTAGCAGGCATGTTGACTTGGTCAAGCAGAGCTTTCCATAAACCGGGAAACAAAAAGCGATTGCCCGCTAAATGAGATGTGGTGAGGAATTAAGTGACAGGGCTAGTGAGGGCCCTAGCTTCTCATATATCTCCCCAAATCGAGCTGAGACTTGGTAACTTGGGGGCGATAACGTTTCGGCTGACGGAAGGAACGATATGATTGCGGCGTGCTAGGTAGGAAGAGCCTAATGCAACAAGAGATTATAAGATCAGAGCTGGTTTCCCAAGACTAAGAGAAAATCATGGAACACGCATTGGTGCGAAAGTCATGGTTGGGGGGGAAGAGAGAGACAATTGGCACACAAGAGAGAGGGAAACTAGTGAACTTGGGCGCAAAACAATGATCGCCCATTGGGTGGCCGAGCTACATGCATGCGGCTTATCAGTTGTTGGTGACATAGAGTAGTGTAGTACATACCTCGCGCAAGAGATTATTATAATAATAAGATGTAGAAGAGGGCGAGGCAGGCCGGAGAGAGGAAGGGAAAAGAAGGAGAAGATGGGAAGAGGAAGATGGAAGAGAGCAGAAAGAAAAGTTTGGTATAGATGTGGAGGTGGACTCAAAAGCTTCTGAGAGGGAAACCAACAGAAAGTTCCACGCACGGAGGAGATTGACCGGGCACTCAATCAGTGGATCATGGAGATTGAAGTAGTACTCGTTCGAAGAAAAGCGTCGGAGTCAAGGACGAGAGAGGTATTGCTGGCTCGTCGATCCCGCCTGCGATTGAGTCTGCTAGCGGCATTGGGGAGGTCGCGCCTGCCGGACGCAGAAAAGTTTACTTCCATTCCCGGTTGGGCCTAGCGCGGCAGTAGCGGCCCGCCTCTCTCCGGGGCGGGCGAGATCGAGTGGGCAAGAGCGCTCCCTCACTCCTTCCTTCCCTCCCCCAACTGTTTTTGCCGGGCGGCGTCGCGCCTCGTGACTGGTCGAGGCCGTCGGCTCTCGGCGTTTTAGTTTTTCCCGCCTTCCCAACTTGTGTTCGGCGTGTTGGGCCTTCCCGCTGCCTGTGGAGCTGCCGTTCAACAAAATCTCTATCTACACTTCCTGTTCGCTTCTTCCACAACCAGGCACGTATGGCGTTGCAGTGAACCACCGAGCACAGGGTGGACCTGACATGCCGCTTTCGCTCGCCAAAGCCAGAACCAAAGCCAGAGCCAGAGCCAGAGCGGCGCAAGGGTTGGCCCGCAAACGAACCCGCCCTTGCATCATCCAGCCTGGCCCCAACCGGCCCTATGGAAGCCCGCGCGCGTCCCTACTGTAAGTCTACCGTGGAGCATGGAACCGCCAACTTTTTTTTAGGAACACAAAGTGTCAGCGATATAAAAACTCCGTACCGTGAGAAAGCTCCATGTCGCTAGCTAACTATGTATTACTGTTTCTCAGGTACAGGTATCGTCGTCCGTGCAACCACTTTCCTTATCAGACACGACGTCATTTCGAGACGACTACTACTCTACCGCATCGGTCGGTACATACAATTATCAACCAATAAACCCAAATCTGAGCTGTCGGATATTTGACGAGACTATGGACGTCTTATCCGGAATATTTATCTGAGCAAGAACCACTATCCACTCGACATGCAGTAGTCGGCTTAATTACATATAATAAAATACGTTGTACGTATGTATCTGAAAGTTCGCCCCGAATCAGTGACACTGGCAGAAACATTCTTTCGGTTGTTTTCTGGAACAATTCGGACGGACTGCGGGCACTGCTTCCATTAGCCAAGCGCTCTAGCTTGTTGGGGCCGTTCTGGCAAGGTGTGATCGATGGCTGGCTAGCCAAGCGAACCCGGTCCATGAGTTGTCATCCCTTGCTGCTCTGCTTGAATGCGGAATTGATATTGGATCGATCTGCAACGTCATGACTACTCCGTACTAGTACATAGTAGTTACTAAAATGCTAATCAAGTTATGTGAATGTCGAAGACGATCCACCCGAGATACGATAATGCACGAGACTCGTCGATGCTACGTATAGGAGAGGCACACAAACAACAACTTCTATTTGCAACCAGGGGAATGTACTTGTGTATCAATCGAACAATGTACTACATAGTACATAGTACATACTTTTATACTATATAGTAACACGGAGTATGTAGCATGGAGTATTAATGCGGACTGCCTGCTGCGTAGTGCTTATCCAATTAGCTTTAGCTCTTTCCATGACCGTCGCAATGACCGATGCAATTCTAGATTCTGATGACCAGATACAACAAATGACCGACCCAATCAACTACCCTGTCGATGCCTATGTACCAAATCGCTTAACTACGCATAGTTAATATTTTAATCAGTTAACTACGGAATAGTTCGAAACACACCATCGACGTACCTCGTATCTAAAATATAGTTTAAGCCCTAATCCACCACCCCCATAGTTCATCACCATCAACAACATATAAGTACCCAACCTCAAGATAAACAATAGGTTCATAGTCCGCCCACACCATCAGTATCGGAGTTCACAAATCCTATCCCTCTCAAAGAACCCTAGAAATCGTCGCTAAATTAAAACATTATTCCAATCTAAACCCGAATCATAGTTAATTGTCCGGAGTATCTACCACTCTGGAGTCCGAACGGGCCGGGCCTTTTTGTTTTCGGACCCCGTCCAAATTACCTATCTTACCAAGTTACCATTTGTTAGTTACATGCGTGCATACTTGGCTCGCATTTCTTTTTTCTTCGTCGGTGAGTTTATTTCCGAATGTGTTGGTTTTTGGTCGTTGGTACGTGTTCGTTGGGCATCTACATACATAATGTACCGAATATCTCCATGGCATATGCACAGATCATGCAGGCAGGGTGGGTCAGGTCGGATGCCGACTGAACATATACCTAGGTATGATATCACTGGCTAAATACCACTAGATGTTTTGTAGAGGCATTTAGTTTCTACGCAAATATTGTACTATCTGGTTTCATTCATGCTGGGTATTTATCTAAAACCATCCAACTAAAAAAAAAAAGGGAAAAAAACCAAACTAATCACAACGAATTGAAGGATCCTTTGTAGTTGTCAGTTTCAAACTATTGGTGCGACCCAAGAAAGTACTTCATAGTAGTAGTGGTAAAAGGAAATGCATGCTGTGCACAGCAATAGGACTCCGTCTAATATGACGAAAAGATGATAATGAGATCAGACACTTCTTTCTGAAAGCCCGAGTCTGAATCTGAGTTTGAGTCTCAGCCGCAACGCGCAAGTCGTACCTGTGACAAACACGTGCAGTGTATGTTATGGGGTATGTAATGTATCAAGGCAAAAAGAAAATAAAGGATATATGCCACCTTCCAGTCTGAAAAAAAGGTCCTGAATCGAGAAAATAAAGAGGCGCCTGACTGTTGTTTCCAATGGATCGAGATTGATGACCAATGCACCTATACGCCATGCAATAATTGAACACCATTTTGGCTTCAAGAAAAACCAAGAAAAGAGCAAAAGAAAAGTTCAGTACCAATCCAAGTAAGTAAACATATAGCGAAAATTGGATCAGCGTGTGAAAGCGCCTTAACCATGTGGGCGCAAGGATCAATAGGTCTCGCCAAGATCTTCCAATTTCAGAGGGGCCTCCTGGTTTGCTTTCGGTTGATTTTTCTGCACATCAACCTTAGAGTTGATCCGCCGTGGCGTAGGCAAACCTGTCATCTGACCGATGCTGCCACTAGGTCGTTTCTTAAGACCCCCAGGTCCAGGTATCGATGACCGGAAAGATCCCTGCTCTAGTGTGCCTCGACGCGGGGTAGGTGTTGAGATATCGACGTCTTCTTCAATAAATGTCATACTCTTGGGTGGTCCGTGAGTCTGAGAATATGAGCTGAGTGAAGAACGTGGTCGCCGACTTTCCGTTGTTGGGTTGGTCGAATAATGGCCGAGGGGCGTTCGGGTACGATGTAGGCTTTGTCTACTATCTGGCCGAGCGTGTGTGATCGCACCACTATAATTCCCAGGCCCGATGGAACTGCGACTGGAGAAACTAGTCCTACTGCTGGGTCGACTATCAACCGACCGCCCAAAGGACTGCCGACTCTGTGGCATGTATGAAGAGTAAGTGGTGGCATCTCCATCCCGCACCGACGAGCTTGCGCTGCCTGTACTTGTTCGCTTACGGGAGCTCTTGCGGAGCGTCACAGATGACGGTATCGAGGCCTGACTCATGGCGGACGGTGTTCGCGGTGATTGACCATTAGGCGTCTCTACCGGGGCGGGAAGTCGAGACCTGGCCGAGTGCACTCGTTCCTCGAGTTTTTGCACCTTTCCAATTAGGCCCCGGATCTGATACAGTGAGCCCGACCTAGGAATGCCCGCCTGGGAAGAGCTGAGCCTTGAAACACTCTGGCGTGATGACAGCGATGGGGTAGAGAACCCATTAGCATGTGGAATAGATGGAGTGCGAGTATGTCGGCTATAAGCTGAACGGCGTGCCGACTTTTTTCCAAGAGAGACCCGTGTACCCGTGAAGCCACCGTCGGTCTTACGCACGCTCATAGATGACTCGGAGGCGCTTGGCGAAGGAGGCGTGATGGCATCCGATGTGGCTGAAGAAACTGATTTTGCAGGAGGCGTGGTCATTGTTGGTGATGACGCTGTGGTCACGGGCGAGTGTTGGCTGCCTTCAGCAGTCTGGGCGTTGGCCGTAGAAGAGGACTCATATAGCACGGGCTTGCGACGACGGCTGAGCTCGCTCTCAGCTTTGCGCAATTTGTCGTTGATAATGTCCGCTTCGATCCTCACGTCCGAGAGTTCGTCGCGCAGACGCTGAGCCTCAATGCGCAGTCCCTCTCGCTCCTGCTCTCCGCTTTTGATTTCGTCTTCTAAGAGAACACCGCGTTCAATCGCGACGTTGTATTTAGATTCCAGATCCTCCAGGGATGACGTCGTGTTACGGGCCTGACGCTCAAAGTCATCGTTCGCGACCTCAGTATCTCGCAACCTTAATTGCAAAGCCCGGTTTCCTTCTCGTAAGCTAGTAATCTCCTTTTGCAAGGTGTTCTGGACCGAGCTTGCTTCAGCCTTTGCTTGTTTATATTTAGTCTGAACACATACAGAGCAGCTGTTAGCGTAGTACCTAGACGTGGAATGCGACGAATCGAAAACGAGCAGATAAAACATACTTTCCATTCTTCCACTTCATAACCCAAAGTTTCGACTTTCCCTTTCAAATGCCGCTCCCGTTTCTCAGATGCTTCAATGTCCTTTTCCAACTCGACCTCCAGTTCCCGACTGGAAGCCTGGAATTCGGCAAGCTCGACCTCTAGCTGCTCATACTGAGATTTGTAGTAAGCCAATTCCTCCTCCGCATTGCTACTGGCTTTTGGAGCCGAAGGTGTGCTGTTGGGATCGGCATCCGGCATTGTTTTGATGCTGCGGGGACGGGGTTATCGTGGGAGGTTGTTACAATGCCCGCACATGCAGAGCTATATCCAGTCAGAAGTGATTGCGTATGCCCGTGAATCGCAGAGTGTGGTCTATAAATGGCAACGCGATGGCGTAGAAGCAATTATTGTCGTTGTCGTCGTTGTCAGTTGTTGGTTGTTTCGCTGATAGGTGCGGGTTGCGGTGTTGTTGTTGTCGTCGTTGCCGCTGGGGTCGTTTCGTCCAGAGAGCGAGAGAGGTGGCCGGGGCAGACAACCCGTCTCAAGGCAAGGGCGAATGCGCATGCATTAACTTACCGTTTGGATGACTGCAGTCGCCCTCCTTCGAGAGGTCGTGGTGGTGTTGATGGCTGGAAGGATGTCAGCGGCAGGCTCGCTCACCGCCAAGGTTGGGCCCCGTGATTTGATTGTTGTTGCTTTGGTTGTCAGGGGCGGGCCCGATAAGCTTGCCCGCGAACGGCCTAGTGCGGGAAACCTCCGACCCGAACGAACCACATGCTTTTTGTCCTCAGCCGTGACTGTAAGGCAACCCAAGCACGAAGACATAAACCCGCGTCGCCGGCGCTGTGACTGAGGATTGGGCAATCCTAGCTCCCAGGGTGAGTAGACACTGCCCTTGAACTTTGAACTTTGCACTCTCCATCCACCCCGTCTGCCACACGCTGCCATGGCCGCTCAACGCCGTCCCGTCTCTCGTCCACTACATCCACGCACGGGCTTTTATCATCATATCTCAGACTTGCTACCACGCACTTCCTCTGCTGTCCCAGCGCTCTGAGGGAAAGCCATGGCCGCTTGATATGCGGAATCTCACGCCACCACCACCACCACCACCACCACCACCACCACAACGCTCCCGTGCGGAGTGGGAGCTAACTTGAGTTTCTCATTGCCAGTTGATGCCGGCCTTATAATGGCCACCGATACCACGGATTTGAATATGGATGCTCCAAGTGACCTCCAGGACATTCCTGACTCCGACATACAGCTACTTCCTCCTCCTGAAGCAACTTATCCAGACAAGTGAGCGGCTCGCCACCTATGGCCTAGTTTATATAACACAATGTTAGCATAGATAAGCTGATGTTATACGTATAAGAACCTCGCTTTTGGCCGCGGTGCATGCCCACGGTAAAGCGCATGGCTATAGAGTCGTGGTGAAGTCTTCTAGTACGCCGAATGATCAAAAGCCCGGCCGCACATCGAAGGTATGGCTTCGATGTGACCGCGGCGGTCAGTACCGACCGCGCAATGGGCTCACAGAGGAAACGCGGAAGCGAAGACGCACTTCGCGTCTCACGGATTGTCCCTTTTCGCTTCTTGCGGCAGGAACGCCAGGCTTTTGGACATTGACTATTACAGATCCCAGACACAACCATGGGCCAGTCATTGAGCGGCCAAAGGTCATACCGCCGAAACTCAAGAAAGGACAAATTGCCGCACAACCTTATGACTGGCCTCATGACGCTACCTTTACTCCTTTTACCACTGCACTTGTCATAATTGATATGCAGAAGGATTGTAAGTTACGGCCGAGTCTTACGATAAAGGAGAGCATGCTGACAACTATTCCTAGTTTGTGCTCCTGGAGGGTATCTAGAGTTCCAGGGGCACGACATATCCGCGACACGAGCAATCGTGCCAAAGCTGCAGCGTCTGCTGCAAAGCTTCCGCTCTGCTGGGTTTGCTATCTACCATACGCGAGAAGGTAAATCGACACCTTTTTCCTCTCCACTGCTCCATACCCTAACGTTTTCAGGCCATCGGCCCGACTTATCTACGCTGTCCAGTCGAGAGAACTATCGGTCTCATAATAACTCATCCGCTTTGGGCATTGGATCTCCGGGACCGCTAGGTCGACTTCTAATCCGAGGAGAGGTCGGACACGACACCATCGATGAGCTTTACCCACTACCAGGGGAGCCAGTTATTGACAAACCTGGCCGCGGTGCCTTTGCTCATACCGATTTTGAATTAATTCTACGCAATAAAGGTATCAAAAACCTTCTTCTCACGGGAGTAACTACGGATGTCTGCGTATCGACCACCATGCGTGAAGCAAACGACCGAGGGTTTGATTGCGTTGTTGTGGAAGACGCATGCGCCGCCACTGAGCCATCTTTGCATTCCAGCACGTTGGATTCCATTAAAATGGAAGGTGGGATTTTTGGATCTGTAACGACGATTAATGATGTTATGCAAGCATTAGAAAACTTCAAAACTGTCACTGTGAAAAAGCTGGCGCCGCAGATGGCTGCTCAGATGAGCGCTTGAATTTTGCATTTCTCTTTTGGATTCGCAGGTTCATGAAATGGGTATTTATTCGGATTTTCTGGCGCTTTAGAAAATGACTTTCAAAGGGAACATCGAACACAGCGAGCGAAACTTTTTATCACGATTTTGGCACTTTAGCTGACATTTTAATCATACTATATCCTTTTTGGCGATGCAAAAGTCGACCAATACAAGTTTGGGAGTAAACCATCGCCTAGATGTCAGGAATATGAAACGAGACAAATTCAATAAAAGGGTATCATATTGACATCTAATGTTCGAAAGAACAGAGGAACCACATACATAGTACTGACAACTACATATATCTATAAAGTACTAGCAAATTGAAAAAAAGAAAGAAGGAAAAAAAAAAAAAAAAGACGCAACCAACCAAGCCCTCAAAAACGCCATGCTTTTTGTAAATTTACGTTCATCCTCACATAGATCCAGCAAGAAACGCACAATCACAACCACTTTCTCCCCGCCGCAGCCACTCTGGTTCTAAACACTGGACTGGTGATCTGCATACCCTGCCGATAAAACGGGCTCATAACAGTCTTGACCCAGTTTTCATACACCTCTGTCATAAACTGTCTTATAGCTTCTTCTGTCTGAGGCGAAGTTGGGTTGGCAGCAATAGAGCTTGACGATGCTCTTGAAGCGGTTGCTGCACCTAGAGTGCTGGCTAGTGAGGATGTAGACGATGCTATACCACTGCCAGCAAGGGCACCACTACCGGTGGCAGAGGATGTGAGGTGAGGTGGTTGGTGTAAGAGGATAAAGCGTGTGCCGGAAGGGGTGAGGAAGGCAGATATGAAAGATGCGGTGGGTGGATAGGTGTCGACGTGTTTGAGGTATCTGGTTGTGCCATTCAGCATTAGTTTTTGTTTTTGTGTATATGTTTGATGATTCGGAAAGAAAGACTTACAGTGCTCCATTCGTCCACTGCGTCTCTTCGACAATATCCAAGCTTGCATGGACGATGAATTGATTCATATACTGAGCTGACTCTGGGAATCGGAAGCGTGCAATGCCATCGCCGCCAGCTTTGGAGGTGCCGAACGTGAGGTTGAAGAGCGGGACGTCCGTGGGGGAGATGATTGTGAAATAGTATGACATTATCTTGAAGTTATGTTGTTTTCCTCCCAAAGGTAATTCGGCATGTATTCTTTCTCTCGCTCGTCGCAATTCAGTGTCAGTCTGGGTCGCTAGTTGGCACTACGTACATTGTTGATTTAAGCTTCATGCTGCGTGGAAGTTAAAGTTAACCGTTAGTTATCAGCACGTGATTTATCGGGGCGGAGATAAACGATAACGAATTCGACTCCGCGCGCCCGCGAACTGAGCTCTTCACATCGACAAGGGAGCTTCAAATATACCACATTTCAACCTGCATAATGCCACCAAAACTATCCTACGGTCTTAACATTCCAAAACAAACGAACAAATTATCAGCCCTAGGAGGAAGCCAGACCAAATCACTAGCTGGCCAAAAGCGCAAGAAGACGATATTCGACGACTCTGACTCAGAGGGTGAACAGCAAGAAGGTCCAAGTCGCAATGATGATAACAGCGCAATTGAAATAACCACATTGGGAGGCCTTGATGGCCAAGACCTGGAGGAAGAAGAGAAAATAAATAAGGATGCTGCTCCACGCAAAGCTCCGCGGAGTACAGGGCTATCATTGTCATCGGCAAAACCTCCCAATGCCAGGAATGGCTCCAAACCATTTAAAGCCAGTATATTTGATGATGAGAACGATGAGGGACAGCAGCAAGACCAGCAGCCGAAACCCACAAAAAAATTCGGGTTACAAACATCAGAACAACACCCGACGGATAAAAATTATATAAACCTAGCAGCCCTCCACTCGAGCCGCAAATACGCAAAAGAAGCCGAAGCTATCGATCCCTCTATATATTCCTATGACGCCGTTTATGACAGCATTAAAGCGAAACGCGAGAAACCAAGCAAGGCAAATGCTAATGGCGACGGAGATGAGGGCAGCTCAAAATATATGGATGCGTTGATGCGCAGTGCTGAAGTGAGGAAACGAGATCAAATGCGAGCACGAGATCGACTCTTGGCGAAGGAGCGTGAAGCCGAGGGTGACGAGTTCGCGGACAAGGAGAAATTTGTAACGGCGGCGTACCGCGCACAGCAAGAGGAGGTCAAGCGGATGGAAGAGGAGGAAGCGCAGCGAGAAAAGGAAGAGGAGGAACGGCGCAGGAAGAATGGTGGCTCTGGAATGATGGGATTCTATCGCCAGATGCTCGCTCGAGATGAAGAGTCACACGGTGAAGTGATGAAGGCTGCAGAGGAGGCAGCTCGAAAAGTCGCGGCGGGAGAAGTACCCACAACAGACACAGCAACCGAGGCATCCACTGGAGAGAAGACAGAGGCACAAATAGCCGCTGAACTGAACTCTCGGGGTGCTAAGATTATCGTCAACGATGAAGGACAAGTAGTTGACAAGCGCCAGCTGCTCAGTGCCGGTCTCAATGTTGCACCACCCAAACCGAAGGCAAAGCCTACCGAACCAACGCGCACAGGTCCATCTACTACTGCATTTCGTCCTGGTGGTGCTCGTGCTGGTGGCCCGTCAGTCGCGGCTAGAGATGCTCAACGCGCTCGTCAAACCGAGATGGTAGCAGCCCAGCTCGAGGAGAAAGCTAGACAAGAGGAAGAAGCTGAAAAGGCGCGACAGAAGGAATTGGCAGAGAAGAATCGTAGTCGCAAGACGGAGTCGGATGTCTCTAGTGCTCGTGAACGTTACTTGGCCCGGAAGAGAGAGAGAGAAGCGCAGGCACAAAATCAGGGATAGCTAAGTTTCTGTTTTCTACTAATATCTGTGTATAAACTATAAAGTGTTCTTGCCCATTTGTGGCAGTACTCAAATAAGACCAAGGCTTGTGGTGAGATCTTCGCCGGGTTATTTGCCGTGTTGCAAAACATAAGTTGCACAAGTGTGCTTTTGTAAAGATAAATACAAAGTCATCATAGTCGTAAGAATAATCACATAAAACCACCCCCCTCTCCAAAATATAGTATCATATAGTCAATGCCTTCGAATAAACATTGTATGACAATTTTCCCGGTCTGAAAGAAACGCCTCTCCTAATCTATATATTCTTTCTGCCTTTGTTTTTTAGAATTTTGTCTCACGCCGTCAATGCGAAACTAATCCCCAATAGTCCCATGCCAGCAATAGCCGAGATGATGCATATATTCGGGTTATGGGTCAAGCTCAATCCTTCGCTGAACAGGTGTAGACCTACAGAGGTCATTATGCCAGCAGTTGCCGCAAACATGCCCCCGTAAACACCCCAGGAAGGACCCTCGGTGGCATCTTTTCCTCGGTCGGTGTACCATATCCACAAAGCTGCAAGACCAGCTCCAGCTGGTTGGCTGATTCCTCCTAATAAGCTTGCCCAAAAGATAGCCTTTGTTCTCGACCTAATCGCTAAAAACAGAGGCAAAGCAAGGGCAAATCCGTCGGTTATGTTGTGGATGAAAAGCGCGATGAAGACGGTCAGTCCTAAGGTTGGGCTTGCGTGATTAGTAGCGTAGGTAATGAATCCCTCAGGGAGTTTGTGCAGGGCTATGGCCAGTGATGTCTGCAGGCCAATTGAGAGAAAGGCATTTTGCGGAACGTGATGGTGATGCTGTGGAGAGGAGTTACTTGATTGTTCTTCCCATGGTTTGTTGGTCTCAGGAGTTGCCGATTCCTGACTGTCGTTGGCTGTCTGTTCCTCATCGTCATGACGAGGCGAGTTGGTGCGCTCGATATTTTGCGAGAAATAATCAGTAGCTTGTTGTTCATTGACAGGCCGATGAATTTCATTTTCATCTTGGCTAATAAGCGGGACGTGTCGAACAGTCAGCGGCGTGTCAGGCCCATCTTCACGGATGTTTGGATCTGATTCAATAACCAGTGGAGTCACTGCTCGTGTTTTATTTTGAGAGTCTGTTCCAATTCCACCGATCCAAAAGCAGAACTTCCCAGAGCCTAGCACCTTTCGACAATCCGTCCCGCAGGTTTGGGAGAAGCCGTAGCATGGCCCGTCTTCATCACAAAGATCTTTTGTAACTCCAAAGATCCGAGTGACACGTCTTCCCAGCAGTCGGCCCACTGAGTCACGAAAGAATGGTTTCGGCCGCATGTTACCAGTGCTTCTAGGATACAACCTTTGCGCAGGGCGCGTGTGATGATCGCTGGAGCGGTTTGGGAGAAGGGGCGTTCGCTCGTCACTTGCTGTGCCTGGACGGCTTTCTTCATCCTGGTGTTTGCGATTATGATGATCGTTCCCTTCCTCCCCATGGGTATGTGTACAATCGACTACATGCGATGGTATATAACGGTGCGTGATGCTGGAAAAGATGCTAATGATGATGACGCCGGCCAAGAAGAGTCCGATCAATGTCCAGGCAGCGGCAGGACTGGACAAACCAGAGCGAGCAAGATACTTCTTAGCGGTAGGTAGCATGCTATACAATGACGAGAAGATCTGTCGACTTTTTCTTAGTACATGTCATAGAAGAGGCGGCCCGCCAATTCGAGACTCAACCTACCATGATCCCTGCACTTAGACTCATCGAAGAAGACAGGAAAGTTCTATTTGTAGTGATATCAAAATTCCGTATTCCACAGCACGAGCGCAATATTACGTCTACGCAGATTATGCTGGCGCCGACAACACAAGCTAAGAATCAAATGTCAGCATGGACCTTCATTCTGGGACACGGCATAGAAATTGAGTACCGATTCCAGCAACACCGCTCATCACCCATCCACGGGCATCTCTCGCGTCGAGCCCCATGTTGGCTGATGGTGGTGGAGGTCGTGGTGCAGTCGTCGAGGGGGAGCAAGCGATGTCTGAGTGCGAGAGAACAAACGAGAGGCGGGAGGAGAATGATGTAAGAGGGCAACAGCCACTGTTGCCGGCAGTGACTACCGAGGGAGTCTCACTGCTTCAGCTCCTGGAAGGAAATCCTCACGGCGGCGTCGTTGATGCTGGCCATGGAGGAAGAAAATATTCATAGGTGGTGGCATTATATTCAAGGGTGCGCTGCAGCTAAATAAATAAACTACAGAAAGTTATGCTGCTTCCCCCAAGGTCCGCATTCTGGTCAGCAGATCAGTCACGTGGCTGCGTCGCACATGACATTCGTGACTCTCTCACACTGCTGGCTGTTTGGCATCTGCTAACCATCTAGCATGTTTTCTGCCTCTCTTCTTCTGCGCTGTGAGCATTATTGAGATGCGAAGAGAAGGAGAACGTTTCCGACAGGTGCAGAATAAGCCGTCTGTGATTGGCTGCCGGAGACTGGCCGCGCGCTTTTTGATTTCTCAATTTCACGCGACTGGGCCATCTGACAGTTGACCTCCAGGCAGACAACTTCGGTACCCTCGGTCTCTCCTGAGTTCAGTCAAGAGAGAGAGAGAGAGATACTTATACTAGACCCCTCCCAGCCTGAAGGTGCGTGTGTGTGTGTCTGCCGTGTGCTCTGTCAAAAACTTTTTTTCCCCCAGAATCTAATCTGCTATTAGTGCAGGAAGCGAGCTCGAGCACCATGTCCAAAACCACCTTTGCTATCTTTGCCGCGGCTGGAGCAGCTACCGGAGCAGGCGTCACGGCTCTGATCTATTCAGCAACATCTCCTCGCCAACAGACTACTCCTCCGCCTACCGCACTGGCAGTTCCAGCCACAACGACCACAACCACTGCTTCCCCGCCTATCCATGCTCCTACGCCGTCCTTAGCTGCCAAGGCTTCCACTGCATCTCCAGTCGATCCCTCGGGGCTGCTCCAGTATGGTTTCCCTGGCCCCGTCAGCGATCCCCTGAATACGCTCCCCTTGACAGGGGCCTATGACCGGCGAATGCGAAACCCGTCCTGGGTCGCTGAGCATATCACTCCCTTCTCGCTTTCTCTTAAGAACGCAGACCGCAAGCACAGTGCTTTTGCTGAAGACACAACCATCCCGACCATGTTCCGCGGGAAGCTGTCCGACTATTTCCGCTCGGGTTACGACCGTGGCCATCAGGTTCCTGCCGCGGACGCCAAATGGAGCCAAGATGCAATGGATGCGACTTTTGCATTGAGCAACATGTGCCCCCAGGTGGGAGAGGGCTTTAACCGCGATTACTGGTCCCACTTCGAGGACTTCTGCCGCAACCTGACCAAGACATACCCGTCCGTTCGCATCGTCACAGGACCGCTGTATCTCCCCCGCAAGGAGGCTGATGGCAAATACCGAGTTTCTTACGAAGTGATTGGCGAGCCACCCAATATCGCCGTCCCTACTCATTTCTATAAGGTCATCTTTGCCGAGCATGGAACCAATCCAACTGACAAAGTCGCTCTGGGTGCTTTCGTGCTTCCCAACGCTCGTATCCCGAACAGCCAGCCCCTAACCGATTTTGAAGTCCCCGTTGAGGCTGTCGAGCGTGCCAGCGGTCTGGAATTTGCGACGAAGCTTGATGCCTCCCGTCGCCGACGTCTGTGCCAGGAAGTGTCATGCGGTATTGTTGTGAGAGAATTCAACAACTCGCAAAAGTCATTGCCCGGCAAACGATGAAACAACGCCGAGGTCATCATGACTTTGTGTGCCATTATTCCCGTTCAGTGTAGTATTATTCTGGCATGTCTGTACATCTGCATTTCAGGCGTTGATACATCAGTTGTATTTGTAATTTATTCATTATAGACAGTGCCAATGCGTATTCACTTTGTCAATCTGAAGGAACCATGAAATATTTCCTATTAAATAGTTATTCTACTATGAATTTCTAGAGTGCCTCCACCAACGTCATGCGTTGGCTGCTCCACTTTTAGCTCTCCGCAACAAATCCCGTCGGGACTTCCGTCACTGCGTTTTTGTCTCTGCCATACACAATCCTGGACCATACACAAAGTTTTCAAAAAAAAAAAAAAAGGGACAAGAAAAGAAATGGCACACTCCAAACGCAACACCTCCCTCCCTCACTTCACATCCTACGAACGCTCCCTGCTACGCTCTAATTGGGGCACGCAACGCACTCGTCTGTCGCGCGAGTCATTCCTGCCTTTCGGCTCTTGCCAATTATGCCTACAGCCCGCGCGCGCACCAGTCGTCGCCTGTGCCACGAATGGGGATCTCTTCTGTCGCGAGTGTGCCATCAATGACCTGCTAGCCCAGCGCAAGGAGATCAAGCGCCTCGAACGAGAGCGCGAAGAGAACAAGAAACGCCTAGCGGAGGATGATGCGCGGGCTACCGAGGAGGCTAGGGCGAGGGAGTTGCATGAATTCGAGCTTGTGAGTATGGGTCTTGAAGGCGCGGTGAAGGATCGGAATCCGAAGAAACGGAAAGCGCCGACCATGGATGATAATAGAAGTGGTGGGAATAAGGAAGAAGAAATGGCGGCAAAGATCGATGCGGCTACAGAGGCGTTTCGGCAGAAGGAGATTGAGGTTAATGGGAAGCGCAGGAAAGTGTTTGAACTGGGGGAGGCAGAGATTGCGCGATATGCAAAGTCCGAGCTTGACAAACTCAAGAAACAGATCGAGCAGGAAAAGGTATGTCCATTGTTTTCTTATTATATTTAAAAAAAAAGCATGCTAAATAAAAGCTCTAGTCAGAAGCAAAGTCCGCTCTTCCATCCTTCTGGGTTCCTTCATTGACGCCCATGACGGAAAACGAGGCACTTTCAAACAAGAACCTGAAACTATCACCAATCTGTCCCGGCTCAACAAAGGAGACGCGACACGAGTACTCACTCAAGACCTTGGTAGATGTGCATTTCACCGAAGAAAAGCTAGACGGCCAGCAAAACCAACAGCAGCAATCATCTCGCATATGCCCGAGCTGCAAGAAGGCTCTAACGAATGGATTGAAGGCTATGTGTAAGCCTGCCTCTCCCCCTTGGGGCCTAGGACCTAGTGGTATACTAATATGAAATAAAGTAACCAAACCCTGTGGACATGTTATATGCCAACCCTGCGTGACAAAGTTCATGACACCAGAGTCAACCATCGACCCACATGCTGTGAACGACAACGACAACAAATATGAAAACCTCATCGGCCGTATGCTATGCTACGTTTGCGAAACGGATATTACGCCAGAATCCTCCAAGAAGAGTCGTAAATCGCCATTGTCATCACTGAAAGAAAAGGAGAAGTCTAGTAAAGTCAAGCCTGGTCTGGTGGAAATCAGATCTGAAGGTACGGGTTTTGCACGAGGAGGTGATAATATTGCTAAGAAGCAGGGTGTTGCTTTTCAATGTTGAAATCTATTACTACCACAGCAATATTGGCTGCAGAAAGTAACTACATCACGGTCTATATAACATTGAGTATATGAATATATAGGTAGAATCTGATTAGATGTTTTAGGCATTCTCATCTCGCTTCCCGGTGGTCCACTGCTTCTTCATCACATTATATATCCGCCTTGTCAGCATCTTTTGTGTGTGCGAACGCAACCAATAGAGTATGTCGATTTTCTTCGAGGCGATGGAGACGGCGACGAAGACATCCAGACGCTTGGTTCCACCATCGACATCGCGGAGTAATTCGACAGCTCGCTGGCGTCCAGTGATCGTCCGGCGTGTCAGCCTTATCGTGTGCGTTAAACACCATTTTCGACGCGCTGTAGGTAACGAGATGTAAGAGGGAATTTGCTAGATGAAGCGAAGCAATATGAAGGTATGCAAGAGAAAGGAGTATAGATCAAAGAAATGTAGCGATATAAAAGAGGAAAGATGATAGCAGCGAGTAGTTATCGAGAGTGAGGGATGGTAGTGAGGTAGGTATGTTTGGACGGGATAGACAGTCAGGAGACAGCGAAAAATGTGTCCGTCACGTCCAGGTTCACGTCTAGTTCACTTTGTCTTCGCTGGTAAGTCACGGAGCACCTTAATGGGACATCTGTAAATGCTCATTTGTGTGTATGTGTGTGTAAGTTATGCCTTATATTCCGCTGTCAGAAAGACACGCCTTCAGCGCTCCACGAATTGAACGAGTATTCGGGACCATGGTCCATTCAATGCAGATGACTACTACCTATACCGCACCCTGGCCGCCGACCATTCAGAGATCCATAGCGGAGCGTAATTTGGGTAGAGATTGGCTCCAGCCCGACTCAATAACGATTGTTGGCATGTTTTTGCCGGTAGGTTGGATGTGCAAATCCGGCTCGTCACGTTCAAAGCGCTGGGCTGAGCTTGTTGTTTAGTCCTTTACTGATCTAGCCTGCTGCACACTGACTACGGTCTCATCGGCACAGATGCTACCTCGAAGTGGAGATTCGTAAAGGTAGTGTAGCTATGAGCTCCTCCTTTGTAACCGATGGCAAATGACATGGAAATCATAGTAGGAAGGGCGGCCCCCCCCCCCC